ACCCTCAACCGTTGAGGAAATGATCAAACGAGCGGTACGGATCGACAACACGCTCAGAGACTTGCGAGCAAGAAAGGGAGGTCACTTTCAGCATCGAAGCGAGTACCGACCCCCTCGGTTCCACGGAGGCAACAATCACCGAGGAGGGTATCGTGCCAACACTGGACAACGTTTCCAGCCACGAAACCAAGGTCATCACGACCCTTATGGGCCTCAACCTATGGAACTCGATGCGACCCTCTCTAAGACGGAAAGGGACCGCCGCCAGAAGGAGAATCTGTGCTTCTACTGTGGCAAATCGGGTCATCGAATGAACGAATGCAACCAACGCAAAAACAAGGCCAAAAAACCCAGCCAGGGTTCTGGACGACGACAGCAACTTAGGGCCAATCAAGAGATCATGACGATCAGGGCCACCAGGGAGGCGGATGACGAGGGTGCCCGCGGGCACCCACGACCTGGTGAGCTATCCCCGGGAAGGGCTAGAAGAACCCGTAACACAGCTGCTACCACACAAAGCCCGGATGCCGCCCCGAGGAGGCGAAGTGTGACGGAAAACCTGCGGTCGGCCATGAGGACGACAGGGGGTCGAGGAAGTGTCCCACCAACAGGAGCGACAGTGCCCCCGGCCAGGGTATCTTGGTATGACTCGGTGGAACAAGGACGAGACACCACTGAGCCCCCACGGCAGGAGCCGACAGGAGACCGACACAGAAGGATGGCGAGTACAGATGCTAGCAACAACCCTCAGGAGAGTAACGATCGGGTAAGATCGCCACCACCGCCATACCAGCAGTACACGGACGAGTCCGAAGCTGCACAACTTCAGTCCGGAGATATTTCGCTACACGAAACCTCGTTCCAAGATCAAGGGACTGAGAGGACGAGTGGGTCCTACAGAAACGAAGCCACTCAACACGAGCCAGCCCAAGCTATGGTGCACAGCTTTGACCCTTTCGTGCAAAGAGTCATTGACCCGCTTGACGAAGACTATGGCACCCAGGTAGAGGGCCCTGTACCCTGCAGGGAGGTACCTACCGAGTGGTCCATAACCCCGAACCAAAACCCCCACCAAATTTCGAAGGAAACCGCAGCGAAATGGTTCAACGGAGTCCTTAACGACATCATCAAGGACCCAGCCAAACTCTCGACATCGCTAAGGGCACTGGTTACCCACTGTCCACACCACAACCTCACGTGCTGGGACCATACGAGCAGCACCTGGAGGGAGCACACGCTCCAATGTGCTCGACACCCGGACTGGTGTCAGATCTGCGGACGGAAAAATAGCGACTACCACGAGGAGCTGGAACGGCTCAGCCACAAGCGACTCCAGGGAAGTGAAGCACATAGGCCATGTGACGAGCCATGGTGCGAATGCCGATACAGGCAATGGGGCCACAAAGAACACACCAGGCTCCCATGGATAGTGTGCCACGACGATGCCTGCTTTACCCATAACCACCTGAAGGACATTGCCAAGTACCGACCAAAGCGACCGAATATCGTCTACGCAAACAACGAATGTCCGTGCCGACAAAGCAACTGTTCATGTCAGGGGTATCAGCAACACCCAGAGCACTTGTTCATGCACTGGACCAAGTGCTACGACGACGAGTGCCTTATCCACTATGAGGCCAAGCTGGGCAGGTACATGCCTAGCCGCCCACGGCATGAGAAGGCGCCAAACTGGAAAACCGTCACCCTTGCGGCCACGCGACAAGGCAGACACCTCAAACTCATGGCAAGGGCCCAAGGAAAGCCAGTATTCGTTATGATTGACTCGGGCGCGACAGGCAATTTCATCAGTCCAAGGTGCATGGACCGACTAAGACTGCGAGGAGTTCAGAAGGAAGAACCGAAACCGATCAGCGGGCTGAGCGGAGAGGAGTTGGGACCTCAAATGCTCACGGTTGAATCGGGAGTCATAACCCTAGTGGTAAAAGGGCGACAGATCGAGCTAAGTCTCGACGTCTTCCCTTTGGGGCAATATGACATCGTGTTGGGGATCCCGTGGCTCGAGGATCACAACCCGGACATCGATTGGTCAACCAAGACAATCCGATGGAGAACTAGCCCACAACAACAGGCACCAGTAGGGGCTGGAGCCTTACGGCCTGCCAGTCAGAGGCAGAACGCCAAGCAACCTGCGGGGAGGTTGATTCCCAAGGGCAATCACGCCGCCTTGGAGGAAAGTCCAGTTTTACAAGTACTAGCAGCAACTTCACGACCATCTGAACGAGTATGGCTGAAAGAAATACCCGGGTGGGGCACCGGCATGCCAATAAGATACAGCGAAACGATCCAGATCGACGAAACGGACGATTCGGACGGAGAAAACGGGGAGAACGCTCAGGCGCTTGCAGCGACCAATACGGAAGCCAAGCCGGAACCAACGATCCCGGAAGAGTATAGTCGATTCCAGGACCTATTCCAGAAACCTGAGAGGCCGGAGCTACCACCTCGCGGACCCCACGACCACACCATACCTATCAAGGAAGGTGTCGAACTAAACTACAAACGAATTCTACCACTGAACGACCGGGAATCACGAGTCCTCAAAGAATACATCGACGACCAGCTCGCGAAAGGGAACATCCGACCATCGCGATCACCCATAGGGCATGGCGTCCTATTTGCACCAAAGAAAGACGGGAGCGACCGACTCTGCGTTGACTACCGACCACTCAACGACGCGACCGTCAAAGACCGATATCCATTACCCTTGATTCAAGAAATCCAGGACAAAATCCAAGGGGCAGTATGGTTTACGAAGTTCGACATCACCGACGCCTACTACCGCATCAGGATTGCGGAGGGAGAAGAATGGAAAACGGCGTTTCGGACAAAATTCGGCTTTTACGAATATCTGGTCATGCCGTTCGGACTAACCAATGCACCACCTACATTCCAAAGATTCATCGACGAGGTGCTAAAAGACGAAGAAGAGGATGAGGACGACGAAGAGGACACCGAGAGCGAAGAACCACAGGAACCGATGAGCAAGTTTGCTCTCGCATACCTTGACGACATCCTGATCTTCTCCAAGGGAAGGAAACAACATGTCAAACACGTCAAACGGGTCCTCAGGAGGATAAGAAAAGCCAAGCTACGGTGCAAACTCAAGAAGTGTGAATTCCACGTCCAGGAAACCGAGTTCCTGGGCCATTGGGTCACCAAGGACGGTCTTAAACCTGAAGCCTCTAAAGTGAGAGCTATTAGGGAATGGCCGGCACCAAAGAACCAGAAGGAACTACAACAGTTCATAGGGCTTTTGAACTACTACCGGAGATACATCGATCAGTACGCATTCCACATGGCACCTTTGTTCAAATTGCTCCGAAAAGAACAGAAATTCGAGTGGGAAGAAATGCAGCAAGAAACCTTCGAAGCCATGAAGGAAGCTATCACGACGGCACCAATCATGCCGCAACACAACCCAGAACTCCAGACAACACTCGAAACCGACGCATCAGATTACGCCATTGGAGCGAGAATGACACAACCAGGACCGGACGGGAGACCCAGACCGGTAGGGTTCTGGTCAAGGAAGTTGACCGGACCAGAGATGAATTACGACATCCACGACAAAGAACTGCTGGCTATAGTGGCAGCATTCAAGCAATGGAGAGTCTACTTGCAAGGGGCAAGGCACACAGTCATTGTGAAATCCGACCACAAAAACCTGACTTACTTCACAACAACTAAAGAGTTGACGCGAAGACAGGCCCGATGGGCGGAGCTGCTGTCACAATACGACTACAAGATTGAGCACTGCAAAGGCACGGAGAATGGCCAAGCAGACGCACTCAGCAGAAGACCGGACTACGAGGATAAGACCAGACAACCGCAACCAGCGATCCTGAGGAAAAACGACGACGGGACGCTCGGAAACAACCCAATGATCCTCGCGGCCACCATGACACTTTCGGGCGACATGCTCCACACCATCAGAGAGGCCATGAAAGAAGACAAACTGATGCAGCAAATCCTAGCCTCTACACCAGGAGCATTGGAGAAAGATGGGGTGCTTCACATCAAGGGACTCGTCTACGTTCCACCAGCACTCATCCCACAAACAATTCGGGAGCACCACGACGCGCCAGTGCATGGGCACTTTGGCATCGACAAAACCTGCGAGCACATCGCACGAAACTACTACTTTCCGAACATGAGAAAGAAGGTCGAGAGATACATCAATGAATGCGAAACATGCCTGCGAGACAAACCAAAGAGGCATGCACCATACGGGAAACTTCAGAACCCTGAGGTTCCACAACGACCATGGGAGTGGATCACAGTCGACTTCGTCGGACCACTACCCACGACCAAGCAGGAAAACGACTATCTAGCGGTTATATCGGACAGACTCACGAAGTATATACATTTGAAAGCAACAAAAACGACCATGACAGCAAAAGAAATGGCGACGGTCTTCACCAATACTGTTGTCATGAACCACGGAGTCCCGAAGTATATTACTTCCGACAGAGACAAGCTCTTCACATCCAACTTTTGGAAATCAGTCACCGATACCTTAGGAATCGAACTGCGAATGACAACCGCATACAGACCACAGTCGAACGGACAAACTGAAAGGATCAACCAGACGATCGAGCAATATCTACGACACTACGTGAACTACGTACAAGACGACTGGGAAGAACAGCTACCCATGGCCCAGTTCGCATACAATAACTCGATCCATAGCGCAACAGGAATGACACCTTTCGAAGCAAACTTTGGATACCACCCGAATCTCCACGGGGAACCAATCCAAAACCAACCCATCGCGGAGGAAGCCAACCAATTCGTGGAAAGGCTCAAGACAATTCAAACACAACTCACCCGAGATCTCGAGTTCGTCAACCTAAAAATGGGGATTTATTACGACAAACACCGAAGCGAGCCACCAGACTTTAAAAAGGGGGGAGAAAGTGTTCCTGCTCCGCAGAAACATCAAAACTACGCGACCAAGTCAGAAATTGGACCACATCCGACTAGGACCTTTCAAAATCGACGAAAAATTGGGACCAGTCAATTACCGCCTACAGCTACCAAGATCAATGAAAAGGATACATCCAAACTTTCATGTTTCATTATTGGAACCTGCACCGACGAACGCCAAACTCGCTGAGAACGTGGAAATTGAAGACGAAGGAGAACAGGAATACGAAGTCGAGAAAATCCTAGACTCCAAGAAAATCAGCGGTCGGGCGCAGTACCTCGTGAAATGGAAAGGATATGATACCTCGGAAAACACATGGGAACCTATCGAGAACCTGACGGGCTGTTCGAAGAAGGTCCAGGAGTACCACCAGGGACTTCGAAAGTCGAAAAGTCGACGTTCTGCCAGAACGGCGACGACGGGGAGCCAATCATCTGAGTCAGACTAGGGTTGTCTGACGTCGCAGCCAGCTGAGCGACCGCAGCATCATGTTCATCAGCTAGGCGCTCAAGTTCACGGAGATCCTCGGCGGTTAGAGGATCCTCTTCATCCAACCGATCCAGCAAGGCACCATTATGGGAAATAATGTCACCCATACGCTCTTTATTGAACTTCTTCATCTTGCGAAGACGCTTTATCTTCGCCATCACTCGTTCTAACTCGGCTTCGGCGGCCTCAAGCTCGGCCGCGTATTTCTCGTCATCTCGAATCACTTTTTCCACATCGCGCGCGCCATGAAAACGCTTTTCGCATTTCCGACCACGACGAGTGCACGCAGCGCAGTTCGTACTCTTCGAATCCATCACGCAAGGAAAGTTACCAAGGGCGCAGCGTTCACAAGGGTTGTCAACAGGAAAACCGTCCTTCTCGATGAGGTCGGCCTGGAGGGCAAATTCGTTGTAACGGGAACGTTTCGCTTTAACGGACTTAGCAACACGGGACATGGTGAACCATCTCGGGGGGAATGAGATGGAAGGAAAAGGAAAACTCACCAGGTCGTGAGCGGGGGCGTCTACGCTACTTATGCTTTCGGGACGAAAGCTGAAAGAGGGGGAGATGGTGTTATGAACCTAGCCAAGCGGTCAGACGTTCTACCGGCAGAACATTCAGCGGTCAGAATATTATCGGGCGGATAATGTTCCTCGACGATAAGGTTATCCCCGGGATAATATTACGCTCACGATAACATTAACTACGGTTAACGTTCACCTCGCGATAACTTTACCGCTGCGATAATGTTACAGGCCTTCGGTGTTAACAGGCACAACTCCGGGCGCTTGTGAGCTACGCCAAAGATGAGCTGTTGTACGACACGGCTCACCCAGGAGCTAAGCGCCCACGAGGCAGGCCACGTGAAGACTACCGAAGGGACTACCACGAGGAATGGTAGTCGGGAAGGTAGTCGGGGGGAACTACCTCTGGGACTACCATGGTAGATGGTAGTCAGGGTGGTAGTCAGGCACGAAGGATATATAAGGACGCTCATTACCCACCTGTATCTAGTCTTACTTGTTCTTCGTGATCAATACCATTGTTATTCTAAGTGCTACCTTCAGATCATTCTGATTCAAGACCCTTGCGACAACACTTCGTCTAAGTACTTCTTGACAGGCTTTATCATACGTGGTAAAGACTGGCCTTGCCTTCGTTACGCCTTAGCCACCCCGACCGTGACTAGTCCCCATACTAGTTGGACGTTGAGCATACTTGAGTAAGTCAATCCATCGTCAGGGCTTAGGTCAAGACGATCCCAAGGTTTAGGAAGGCTTGAGAGGTCAACCTTCCGTAACAACGTAATTATTATAAGAACTTAAAGAATCTAGATTACTACTTAATTACTACATGAACTATGGCTGTGGCTCGTTAAAGTAGTAGTATACTAACTAAATAAGACCCTAATAAAGCGTTTAGGTTAGAAGACCCCATATGAAGTACTAATAGCTTAGAAACCTAATATATTAAACTACTATATAGTTGGATCCACCGCGTATATCCATGACAATGTTAAGCGCTTAATGAAATTCAAACCACGCGCTAAGCTAGGCTATCTAGTAGCCTATAATGCGTTAAACATATAGGACATTTAGTTACTAACTTAGAAGAAGGTTGTACGGGCTAGAGATATTATCTTTTAGGAGGAGTCTTAATATAATCCTCTATAATCTTTACTAACTAATTTCTCTAAAACTACGCTGCCTTGCATGGCTATAGAAGTCGTCCCGTTATTTACTATTTAAGATACTTGGAATAAGCTACCTATAGTTAATCCTAGTGCCATATTAACATTATATAAGAGGGTTAAAGCTAAGGGGGTGCCGCAGGGCACTAATAGAAGGTTAATTAATATTAAAAATAAGGTTAATGGACGCGGGGAATAATATTTTTCTATGTAAGAATAACCTTTAACCCCCCCCTTCCTTCCTAGTCTGGAAGTAACGCTAACTCTAGTATAGAATACTTTAGCGTAATAAACCACGCCTAGGGAGTTCCTAGATGATAACCCTACACTAAATACGTTACCTATAGGTCCTTAGGTCTCTATACAGGTCCTAATACAGGCTCGCGTGAATACCTCGCTAATACCAGCGCCAACGGCGCTAGATCCCCCATCACCAAGCTGGGCACTTCAGGAATCACTCTAGCAAGCTACTACTAAACCTGTACGATGATCCACACGTCTGAATCCCCTTGCCGCGGATACTGGTTCAGGGGGTGAAGAGGATACGATAGATGCGCCATGGTGGCCTGGCTTAGATATTTCATAGAAGAATATTATTATAGGTAATCAAACTAGAACCCGCAGAAATAACTAGAACCTTCAAGCTCAATATATTAAAGTGGATAGTGACGATAATTACTTCTAATTACCATACATCAACAATCCACAGATAAATACTATTGAGATAACCAAACGATTTCATCGAACCTAGATGCCTCCAGAGCCACGCAATTGGTTAGAAGCACAGAAGCATCTACTTGGTTAAGACTTTCTAGTAGCTATATAGAGCGAACTAGTAGAGATTAAGAGGAAGAAGTCTTATATTATTATAAATAAAGTAGAGGCGTAGAACCATTAGATCCTTCTACTTATATAGGTTTTCATGTATAAATTCAACGAGGATAGATACTATATTAAAGCTAAGGCACGCCTAGTGGTCCGCGGAGACCTATAACCACGTAGTGAAGAGGAGAATCGCGCTATAACTACTTTAGCTAGAGTTCTTTAAATGATTACAGTCCTAATAGCAATGTATAACCTTAATTTAAAGTAATAAGATGCTATTAACGCCTTCCTTAACACTATATTATACGAACCTGTCTATACTAGGATGCTACCAGGGCATGGCATACCTAGGAAGGTTTAGAAGCTTCTTTAAGCTTTATATAGCCTATAGAAATCACCATAACTCTAGTAGGAAGACCTATCTATAACTATTAAAGCACATGGCTTATGACCTATTCTAGACAAAGAATGCCTCTTTACTAATAAATTTATATTAATACTTATATATGTTAATAATATACTAATTATTAACCTTCTAACATACGAAGGCCGCGCTATAGCTGCCAGATTCACCATAGCGCTTGAAGAGAAATACGAACTAAAGGATATAGGGGAGTTGAAATAGTTCCTTAAGATGCGTGTGACCTAGGACTAACCCTAGAAGAAGATCTAGCTCTCCTAGGATTTATATATTAAAGCTATTACTATAAGATACTACCTAAATAACCTTGCATGGTGGCTAATAATACTGCTCCCTACTTAGAAGCTAGTTCCTAATAAGGAAATAGCATCTCCTAGCTAAATACATGAATATTAGTTAAAAGTTAGTTTAATTAGCTATGCTGCAACCTATACCTAGCTAGATATAGCCTACGCACATGGCGTACTATCCTAATTTCTTGTTAATCCATCCACTACGCATATTAGGGCTATTAATTAGGTTATTACTTATCTCTACAACACGAGGTTCCTTGCTTTAGAATATAGAGGAAGCTTAATATAAGCTAGTTAGGTGTTTCTTACTACTACTAATACTATATTTGCTGATGCCCATGATTAAAAGAGTACTAGAGGATTTATCTACCTACTATATAAAGGACTAATTAACTAGAGATCTTAGAAATAATATATCATCTTACTATTAACTACTAAAGTAGAATATATATTAATAATTAAAGCTACTAAGTTATTATACTAGTAGAAGAGGATTTTTAGAGATATTAATTTCAACCCTAAAGAGGACCTTGAAATATATTATAATAATAGCTCTATAATTAATTTATTAAGCAAGGAGATAATAATAGTATATACTAAGCTACGACACGTTAACGTACACCGCGCCTGGCTATGTTAAGAGGTTTAATAACGTTGCTTACAAGTTACCTAGGTTCCCTCATGGTCTATGCCTATAGATGGACTTACTAAGGCTCTCCTAAAACCACTACACCAAGAATTTATTAAGATGTTGAATATAGTTAATATCTCGAGCCTTATCTTATCCTAATTAGGAACCTCCAACCACTGAGGGGGTGTGTCGGCCAGAGCCCCTGGCTCTAGACCCCGCGCAAGCATTCCTCTCACTATTCTATCAAACATTCCTCTCAGGACTCACGAGATACAGCGATTAGAGTAGTAATATTAGATAGCCCCTATTTCCTTATTTAGTTTAGTTGATTCCTGTGCTTAAATAGTGCTGTTTCCCCAGTTATTCAGAATGACAGACCTCTTAACCTTCTTCAGATCCTCCACCTAGATCAACGGCCCGGACGACATAAGGTCACCAAGGGTAAGCTGCGTTGGAGGCCCTCTTGGCATCGTATGATGGAGTACTACCAACGGTATATACATACATGACATACTCGGGCACGAACCTGACTCTTGAATGGGCTGGATCTCAAATGCTCACCATGGTTCATCCATAAGCAGGTTGCATTAGCGCCCTGATTGGCTGCCCACAAGTCTCCACACCCAAGATCTCATTATTTCGTAATTCACCGCGGCCACCAATGTACGGTTGAGGCTTGAGGCTTTGGAGTATGCTTATGCTCCGCTCCTCTGTCGCGAGTACTTTGTAGACCAGGGTCTGCAACGACTCCACTCATGCCCATGATAAATAGGACCGTTGAGAACAAGCCAAGCAGAGTTTGTCCACTACTTCAAACCTTTATCACCACAACCATGACTACTACATCAGTCGCAGGGAAAGTGTTTATTATTACTGGAGGTGCATCTGGAATGGGCTTGGCAACAGCTACCCTCTTGCTGGCCCGTGGAGCGCAATTAGGTCTCTGTGATACAAACGAGACTGGATTATCCAAGGTCGTGGAGGGTCTCAACAATGACCAAAAGAGCAGAGTGCTTGCAAGCATTGTTGATATCACAAACCGTCCTGCTGTTGCATCCTTCTTTTCAATCAACGAAGAAACGATTCGGCAAAATCAATGGCGTTGCGAATTTCGCAGGAGTCGCAGGTCACAGACTAGGCCATGAACAAATCTGGGAAATCGAGGATCAAGAGTACGACTTTATCATGGATGTTAATGTCCGCGGCGCCTTCAACATTCTCAGCGAAGCACTCAAACCGGGTCTGCTAGAGGAGCCGGGGAGTATCGTCCACGCGGCCAGCATGTTTGCCGAACGTGGATTCTCCAAGGGCGCCATCTACAGTGCTAGTAAACACGCAGGGATTGGCATGATCAAGAGCGCTGCAATCGAGGCGGGCAAACGAGGGATTCGAGTCAATGCCATTTTACCGTAAGTTCCAAACCCTCAAACGGAGAGACCACGAGGATCGAAACTAAGGTAATTCGTTCTAGTGGCCCAATCAATACCCCCATGCTTCAAGCCAAAGAAAGTGGCGCTGAAGGTACTGCACCAGATGTACCACTGGGACGCCTTGGGGATGCGCCAGAGGTTGCCAACGTCGCCGCTTTTCTCTTGAGCGATGAGGCTTCATATATCACGGGGGCAACCTGGGCCGTGGATGGTGGAGCGAACGCTTGATGTCGACATCATCCTGTTTTAGAGTTGTTTGTGCGCCTTGGACTATTTTGAGATGGTCTCATACTAGCCAGTCTTTGATTCGTGCCGCGATATCTGCAACTAGCTGCTCGTAGTATATTCCAAGAGGAAGGAACATGGACTGATGGGCAGTGATTTCATCCATGCCTTCCATGGAAAGCGGAACCCACAGCTGCTTTTTGCAGGCTTCATCCGAAACAAAACAGAAGTGTCGGCCCCCTGATCTGGAACCAGAACTTGAATCATGGCGTCTGCTTCCACGCTCATCTGTGTTTTGATTTCCCACCGAGTGAAAGGAGTTGGTGTCAGTTCCCGTCTTTCGCCAACCGGGTATCGCCGATGTAGAATGTCGACGCTCTGTGAGGTCCTCATGTAGTTCCATAGACTCGCGACACTTAAGCTGTTTTTCATACCAGGGTATCTTTTCTCTGTCCATGTCTCTGTCCAACTTGTTCTTGACAGGGTAGGCAGTCGTGTAATAGTTGACGAAGCGGAGCCGCCCGCCGCTCGAACTAGAACCAGGAAATTCGCCCAAGCGACACAGTCTCTTGTGTCGTCTTACGAGACCAAAGTAATCGTTCAGGCATCCGGCATGGTCATAGTATGAGAATACGTACTGGAGAGCCGAGCGGGATAAATGGCGGGAATTCTTGTCAAAGAAATGGCGCGCTCCTTCCCAACCTTGCCACCGAGGCTTATTCACGTCGTTGGTCAAGGCCGGGTTGAATGTTGCGTCCTCGCTGTCGATTATGTCGCGTATGGCGTTTTCCTGACCTTCGCCTCCACTGCTTCTATCTGCTTTGCGATGAAATAACCTGGCCATTCCCGTTCCAACAACGCGTGGATGAAGTCCAAGGAATGGTGCATCAAAGGCTACCAGGCCAGCGATGTTATGTTTCAGCTGTTTGCCTTCACTCTGACCAGAGGCAGTGTGAGACGTCATGAGGGCAACCTCTGCAGCGATAAGACCCCCTAGGCTGTGGCCGAGGAGTATGACATCCAAGTCCGATGCCTCGTGCGGAGATAACCTGAAAGACGGTATGAGGGAAATGAAACACCAGGGATGGTTCTGCTGGAAGGTAGGGAAATCACTTACCACTGGCTGATATCATCTCGAGCCTCGTATAAAGGTCTCCGGGTCTTGTAGCGCGGGTATATTTTGGTGTACACAACATGGGTCCCGGCCAGCGAGACCGTCAGTTGGTCATGGACTTTTCTCGGAAACTGATAAAAACTGTCCTCCGACCCCAAGAAACCATGGATGTAAACTAGGAGTAGCCTGCGCTTTCCTTGGCGCCTGGGAAGGTCCGAGCTATCAGCGGTGGCGGACGCCGGGAGATATCTCTCAGGGATGTGAATTGGAAGTCCGTCTGGCGACATCAGGTCACGAATGCTAGATGATTGCAGGGACCACTTCCCGGGGCCTTGGAGAATTTGTACGGTCATAGAACTCACAAGACTTGCGGTTTGCACTGCCACCGCGAAGAATTTGGTCGTATTCGTATATGAGGAGGCCCACTTCCGCCAACCGAGCACTGTGGGTCGAACTGGATGGAGATTATATTTGGCTACCTGGTGGCCACTTGCAGGGAAGATATTACTGCTGGGTCGACTTTGCTGTAAGAGGGCGATGGCTCAATACACACCACAAAGGCCACCTGAAGACAGACAGAAAGCGTAGGATCAAGACCCAGAATGTATACGCCTCTCAAAAATAGCCGATTTCCAACAATGTGAACGACATGTCTCGCCTAGTCCAATAGTTCATCCGGAAACTGCATAAGCTGCCAGTACCTCTGGCCGCTCAAGATCGACTCCGTCTTTGGCTTAATTTCCAAAAGGGTACAGAATTTTTCTGGCAGCTTGACCAGAAGAATCAGAATAGACCTGTGGCCCTTGATCGAACGCGGAGGCCGCACGACTTTTCCCTCCTCGAGGATCCAACTGAGCGAATCTGTCGACGCCTCGACTACATCGTCTCCAGCCTCAACATCTACCCCAGGCGATATTATCGCTTGCTTCTTGTTTAATAACCCATCTCGCATACCCCATCAGACCATCGCTAATCCCCGCTCAGTGACTTGATGGTCACACACCCTCGAAATGACCCGGGCAAACGCCTGTTTCTCCGCATCATTCACTAACCCAGCCTCTTCAACCTGGTCTCGAAGTAGCGACCAGAAAACCCAAGGCATGGTCAAGTGCCGCAAACAAGATTGTGAACCGTTGACATGAACCGCCCTTTAGCTGAATGTGGCCATATTTCCAGTTCCTTATCTACCCAGCCCTCAAGGTCCTGATCGGCGTGATGTGAAATTTTGACATCAACTCCGCATGCAGGCGCTGGAAGTGGTCGAGGTATGTCCGCACTGGAGGCATGTCATTGCGTCGCATCCGCGCGTTTGCAGAGGGATGGAGGCAGAAGTATATCCCTCCATAGGTGAAGCCGATTGGTAAGAATACTATTATGATGACTAGTTTGACGATCGCGACGAATGGCTCTTTATACTGTCTGGCGTGCCGCTTGCAACTTATATCAATCATAGTGCCAACCTTATAGCCCTAGGGTGCCGTCATGGCAGGGTGCAGACTTCCTTCAAATTCACATATTGACTACCGTGGGAGATGCTGAAACTGGGACTTTATTAGAGTATTTCGCAAAAAAAAGCACTTTAAGGGTTCATATGCCAGATCCAGAATCGCCAACCACCACTGTCAAGTCACTCCCAACTTAGATCAGTCACTCCAATGGCGTCAACCATGTGTCGAGGTGCCTTTCCGGACAAAAGTCCCAAAGAATTTCACGGTCATTTTTGGCAAGCTCGGTAATATCATCCCAAATATCAGGGCCAAGCTCCGCTTGCGCACCGGGTTGCCTGCTCAGCCACTCTGCATGTTCGTACAGTTCGTTCTGAGCATGCTCAAATCCCGCGACCCAGGTTTTTTCGAAGAATACTCGGTGTTCCTTCACAAATGAGAAGTCGGGTTTGTCCTTTGGCTTTGGAATTGCTTCATCTTCGTCCATGGCTTTCCTAAATAACTTGTTAGCGTGTGTTCCCCGCTAATGAGAGATAGGAATCAGCGCACAGGACACTTTCAATGGCCAAAACGGTGGTGTTCATTCGCGCCAGGATGTGCTCGTTATACATGTACTTGCAAGTTGTGACAATTCGGGCGAGATCACACGACCTCCTGCCATGGTTATTGGGAACGGGCTTCGGGGTACTGTTGTCCTCATCATTCTCAAAGTAAGCGATGAGGCTATCTCCATTGAACATCTAGTTAAAGTATGGTCAGCTGTGCATCTCTCTGCCGGTGGTTCAGTGAGGGTATTACTCGGAACTTCATGGTGTTTTGGGTCATTTGAAGAATCGCGATTCGGTCTTCATATGTTGCAATAGTCGCCAGCTGCTGCATCAACGCCTTGCTCACCTTGTCCGGAGCATCTGCTCCTTCAGGTGTGGGGTTGTCAGCGGCTGGTGGTGCGTTGATAAGAGTAATAACATCGGCATGACATCCTGCGCCAGCAGCATTTACCCATCCGGCGACCTCCGCGACGTGCGTGATGTACTTGGCTATCCAGTTGCCCTCGTATATATGCTCGGCTTTCAACAGTTGTCAGCCTTTTTCTCGTTACAGGAACCTTCTGGGTTCGGAGGGCAGGAAGAAGGCTTACCGTCCCATCTCTTCTGTCTCGTGGTCTGAAACCAATCGCGGTTGTCCTTTTCCACAATTGACCGCTGGCTCATATCATCCCAGATAAGCGTGATATCGGCGTCTTTGATCTCGCAGTTCTTCTCCGACTTGGGGCACGGCACACTGGGCTTCGCAATCGGGATACTTCCGTCTTCTCTAAGAGTCGCTGGCTGCGGGTATTCCAGTACCGGCCAGGCATGCTCCCCTTTGTTATCGCAGTCGAGCTTGACTGTGCGGTCACCCATGGGGCCTTGTCGGGCAAGCAGGTGACTGTCCGTACTATTGAGAGATCTACCTGCAAGGCGGTCATCATCATCGTCATCGTCATCGTCCTCCTCGGGTGATTCCTCAGCCAGGCAAAAGCCTTCGCTCAAGCCACCGAAGGAGAAGCAGAACTGGGGGAAGACGTAGAGGTCATCTTTGTCGAAGAGGTCAACGCCAAAGAGTTTATCCTTGTCTCCGTCGAGCTCTTTCCAGCCTTCAAGTGCAAGATTGGCTCCCACTGTCGCCTCAACCATAATACCCCAGGGATCAGGGTCATTTTCACAGAAGCCGTTGATGTCTGAAATGATGTTAGTCAATGTCACCATAACTATGGTGAGAGGATACTTACTGCCACCGGCAGATGTGGTGACCGTGACCTCGGGAACCTTCAGTGCGATATCAACTCCGAAGCCGTTATCGTCTGCGCAATCAGTAAATACTCACGAGCCATTTCACTTGAATGAGGAGGTACCTAGAACAGTCAAGCTGACCGACAGCGCAATCTCAGTATACAGCGTGGCCTGGGCGTTGATCTGGGCTTGGGCCTCCAAAGGGTCCGTCTCAATCACCGGCGCCCATCCGCTCACGTCAACAGAATCCTCAGCCAGGAGATCAAGCTTCGCAATTGCGGTATCGGGAATCCGCGCAGTAATCCCGGCACCCACGGAAGCCACACCCTCGATATAGTCAATTGAATACCCAGCATTGAGCAAAATGCGCGGGCCAAACTCAAAGATCCCTCGAATGTTCCAGCCTGAGGCAGGGATCTCCAGGATCTCAAACTCTTGCGACGGCCGAACAAAGGACGAGTAGTCAAGGTGGCCCAGGAAGTCAAGGCTCAGACCAACATGTGCCTGGACGCCCTCGGGCCGGACAGAGATCTCAAACTTGTCGACCTCGAACCCATCCCAGCCAAGGCTAGCCTCAACATGGCCAGCGAACACGAGTGTGCCTGATGTACCGCATTCATTGCAGTTGGCGGTAACACTAGCATTGAGAACACCACGGTTCACCTGCCATTTGAAGATCTGCTGGGGAAGCGTAGCGCCAACATCCAAACGGAACTTTGCGTCTAGATCAGGAATGATATCGCGCTTAGTCTTATCATCACCACCAAGCACGACCTCGCCGAAATCCAGCACAAAAGTATTCATGACCTTCTTCCAGGTACTCTGTGTCGCTACCATGTTGACACGCTGCGTCTTGTCATCGAACGTCACGCTGCTAACGACGAACGGATCATGCGATTTATCCGCGCCACAGCCCTTCCAGCTCGGTACGAGCACAAAGGAGCGCAGGTCATTGTAGTTCACCCACTGCCAGGCGATCTTGGCCGCCTGGTAGATGAGCTTATGCTTGAACTTGATGTGCATATCTTCCGCATTGCAGCTGGCGGACTCGAGGGCAAAGGCGAAGCGGTCCATGTCTAGGATTTTCTCGTTTTGTTTGGAGTACGCTACCATGCTCACAACGACGGCTTTCTCATGCGGCGCTACAGAGTCGGTCAGTATCAGTTGGGTGGAGGCAGGAGCAAAGGCTTACTGTCCGTAGACGCCCATCTAAATTCTTCATGGTCTGAGAGCACAATTGAGCCTACGCCATCGTCTCTTTTTGTGATGCTCTCGGTGTCCCATAGCTCACGGGGGAGGCGAATGAGTTCAGAAGTAGGAGGAGATATGTTCAATGCAGGAACAAGGTGGAGAAGAAACCACAAGGTGGCTATGATCAGGGTAGGCCGGAACATCTTGCTATGTCCAAGCACTTCCAAAAAGAGAGAGACAGAGAAAGGACTCAAGAGCAACCAGGCCTGGCTCTTCCTAGACGATAGAACGAGCAGTATTTATAACTTCACCTTTGCATTCTGTTGGGTTTACCCAAGAGCCCGCTCGTGCCGTTCTCCTCATGCCCAGCCAAATTGCTCGTATAGTTCCGTGTGTTACTAACCAATTGTATCACGGATGGAACCTCCCAGTGGCTATTAATCTGGCGTAGATGGTAGATGGTGAATGAGACGGTGAGGATTCTGCAAGGCTAATGTCCGAGGCAGTGCAACTGCCGCTTTGTTGTGGAAATTGGTCGACATCGAGTTAACCCTCCTTCCTCATCTCGCTTTCCTAAAGACCCAAGATCAATACGAGGTTACACTGCAGTTGAGGACTAACAAACAACCGCAATGGAGAGCGCTAGAAAGCGGGGAGAGATATCGGCGGAAAGCAGAGCACGAGCCGCGATGGACTAGACAGGGCCAAGTCTTCTACTGATAGGCAGGGTAGGCAGGGTCTAATAAAGATCGGGGTCTCGCTAATCTAGGTTGAGCCTCTGCCTCGTTAGGTATGATTGCCAGAGCATCGACACGGGATCGACAGACCAATGCCCTTCCCAAAACGCACATATCTCCGCAGCACGGGATGAATATGGCGGAGAAAAGGGAGCTAAAGTGATATTAAGTCGCTGTACAGCGGCCCTATTGGCAGCAACCCCTGTGCTTGGCATTCGAGGGGGTCAGTGCACACGAGGATCGGCATTGAATTCTTCAGTGCAGCACTGGTGGGTTGCAGATTTTTGTTTCAGGGCTATGTTTACAATAATATTGGACGGGCCTAGAATCTCCGCAAGCGACTGCAAGGGTAGGATTGCCTGACAGGAGAATGCGGGGGAGGCATGACCAGCGAAGCCCCCCGGGTTGGTGGTCTGCAGGGGAACACTGACAAGGCCAATATAATCAGCGAAGCGAGCCTCCGGTTTATGGGCTAAGGAGGCTTTGACGACTGCAGTATGTATTCCTCCAGGCTGCCCAAGGCTCGTCTTTTGTGCCATCGGACGCATTTAAGCGTATCTGGTTTTGAGTATGCATAGAGTGGCGCCGAATTTCAGATACTATTTTAATTGCTAAAAAAAATGATTAAGTACACAACAAGACAAGGTATATCATAGATTAAAGCCATTATGCACAGCTAGCCCCGGCGTAGTTTTCACTCGGATATTTAAATCCACAGGAGAAGCGAGTAGCCGAGGGGCCCAAGTAAGTATTTCCTCAAGAGTCCACGTAGCATACCCGGGCACCACGCGTCGATATAAAACAGTCAATCTTGGTAGTCTGAAATAGAACATTAACTACTCTTAAAATAACCACGCAGATAATGAAAGTGGAAGTTTTGTAACTCGGTGTAGCCTGGGTGAGTTTGTAGTTGGCGTGGGTTGCTGCTTTGTTGGATATGCCACATTGATCTGTAGTCCGTATGGATAAGACTCAGCCGCACTGCGATTGGAAATGTCGCTTTCTACGGCTTGGTCTTTGCCCGAAGAGAATAGCAATACTAATGCTCGTTACTTCCGGTTGGTGGATGATAATCTGGCCTATAAGGAGGAGAGCAGGATATTCTTGCGGTTGGTCCCCGCACCCCTAATCCCATATGGGAACCACTTGGCAACCGATCTAATTTCAAGACTCATTGCATGGTGTTCCCAGAACCATGCAAGACAAACCAGCTGTTAACGAGGAAAGCCGCCTTGCCGCCCTCGGTCGGGAGCAGGCAATAAAACGCAAATTCAACGTCACCTCGCTCATTTTCATACGTTTCCACAGTAGCGTGACCGGGGAAGTTATCACGGCATCCATGGCGCAGTCACTTTTGACGGGCGCAGTTCCAGTGAGGTTTGGGGATTTTTCGCTGTGGCTATCAGTTATTAGTTATGCTTGCATTCTCTCTCACCGAATAGAGAATACGCCACTATCATCCTTACAGCAGGCAATATCACCATGTTGCTACGCTTTCCCCTCCACGTATCCATGTGCTGGGTGGCGGCATGGGTGGCGGCATGGGCCGCACCGTTGGTGGTCCCAGTTTCCTTACCGCGACATCGCAATGTCATTTATCTGACTTGAGTACACGCCCGCCTTCTACAGAATCTCATCCGGAGCAACGGCGTTGATGGTCTTTTCGTACTCATTCCCGATGATAATTGATCTGTCGTGGGGGATGCAGAAGAACAACCTCCGCGCTGGCTCGTTTCACGTGGGTCGGTTGAAGACGGCCGCGAACATCTCTGCTGCGTGCTGGTCCATCTATCCGATCACATTCACGTCCTTCCCGGCTTCGATGCCTGTCTCAGAGGCCAGCATGAACTACACTGTCGTGATTTTCCCCTTTGCATTCGTCGTTGCCGGTGTCTCATGGCTGCTGTATGGAAGGTGGACGCACGAAGGGGTCGTTTCTGATTTTAGCTACATTACACTCCAGGAGACTAGTGCCGTGGGAGAGGAAATATTTTTTCACAAGGCTGAGTAGCCTGCCAGTAGATGCGTGGAACCACAACAGTTCTGAACATGTCTATTGAATCCTTATATATCAGAGCCTCTAGATCAATGTTTCACCCACATCACAGCTTTGAAATGAGTACGAGAAAGGTATCGCTTTGTAAATATTGCCGAGGATGTAGAAACTCAAGTATAACATTCATGTAGCCGCCCACAAGCCGAAGAACTGACACAAACGCACCCCCATGGTTGCTGTATGATATTCGCTTCTCAGTTCACAATTGAACATTGGATCATTTTCTACAGCTGGTCGAGTCCCTGCGCTGTAGTCGGGATTATTCGAGGTAGATGGAGGGTGATGTGACCACGGTGCCATTTTAGACATCAGTATGGAGATTGGTCGGAGCTCCCGAGTAAACATGAAAATTGTAGTTATCGTAACTTGAAATCCAAATATCAACAAACTGCACGACTCTCATGTATCAGAGTCAGTTGTGGGAGCGGTGTTCGCATCTACGCCTGCCACCCAGTACATCCCTCTCCACCAGCCTCACGTCAATCCCTTCCTGAAACACAAACCACTGGTTTAGCACATTACAATCCCTCCCGCCATTGGTAAGCTCCAGGCCAAAGCACAGCAGGAGCGTGGGCACAAGCTTCACCATCTCCATTGGACTAGTCCACCGCCCACTCCAGGTGTGCGCGGCATGCCCAGATGCAAAAAAGCAGCGGTTCATGAGCCGCAAGTGCTCCCTGTCACTTGCCCCTGTCATACATCGCTCCGGTCGAGACCTATAACCCACAGTTACGACGGGGATAGAATATTCCATTTTATGGTCACACTGGTTTCCCAGGCAATTACCGCGACACTAGTAGGTGGTCGGGGAATGCCCATTTAGTACCACTCATGAGCTTTGACTGCCTTCTGGTGGTCGAAACTCGCAAACTCACCCGACAGGTATTTAAAGTGCTCAAAGATTACTGTGTAGGCTGGTAGAACCTCGCATAAGGGTAGTCTGCAACTGGTTACTTCTTTCTATTAACACGTTTTTGTCACGTTTTCGTATATGATGTGAGTGGGAGCGATTGAGACCTCTGGCAAAGAGTACGCCCTTTTTTGTTCGTCTTTCTTGGATGGCTGAGATTCCATGGACCAAGATAAGTCTCTGCGCCGCTTTAAAAGGTAATCATGAACAACCGCAAAGGTTGGATTTTGTGTTTATTTTAATGGAATTCATCAAACCTAGGCCTTGACCTTGGCCTATCTGTTATGAGTGGACTACGTATGGTATCTAAAAAATCAGGTGGGTCATGAATATACCCAGCCGCCTCAGCCGCCTCCTCGACGCGTCATCAACCCGCGTGGAGTCCACAGACTTTGCCTTTCAGAATAATATTAAGTCTCCTAACTATTCTATCGTACAGCAGGTCTAGAGCCCTTGTCGTTCAGTCCATAAATGATGCGCCTCGACACCCTGCAGCCGCGGAACTCGCGAAAATCACACCGTAAATCGCGGCTCGGGTGTCTCAACTGCAAGAGGCGACACATCAAGGTAAAATTTCTGTCATGAGAGCATTTACTCTACCTCTGGTGCCTAATACGAGGTTGTAGTGTGATGAGCTTAAACCACAATGCGCAAACTGCACCAATCACTCATCCGTGTGTGACTATTCCTTTCCGGCGCGCAAGGGAGGGAGTGCCTCTACTGGAAATAGTCCCCTTCTACACCAAAACAAGAAGTTGCAATTTGTGGAATCAGAGTACCAGGCTCACTTGTTGCCCTCCTCATCAACCCCTCCTTCCTCAGGGATAAATGGCAAACAGGCCCAGCTAGAACGAAATCCTCCTCCGTTTAAAGCCCAATTCACCCTACTCGACCTCAAACTTCAACACCAATTCCTTAGTTCAACTTGCCTCACTCTCGCCGAGAACCAGGGCAGTCTCCAGTTCTGGCAAACCCTCGTCCCTCGTATGGGGTACTCTTTCTCTTGGGTCCTGCATCTGTCTCTTGCCCTCGCTGGCCTTCACATGAGGAGATCCCCTCACTCTGACATCTCCACTCCGTCGGACCCCAACCTGAACGACCAGATAGAGCACCACTATATCATGGGCCTTCAAGGCCTATCACAAGCCCTAGCTAATCTAACTCCACACACCAGTCACGCGGTCTGGATCGGCTCCATTCTCCTCTGCTTTATCTCCATGGCTCGAGGGCCGCGAACAGGAAACTATCTATTCTTCTCGACAATCAACTATGAGCCATCTGAATGGATATCGCTGCTTAAAGGTGTTCAAGTCCTCTCCTGTCTGGACGAGCTACGTCCGCACATCTTTGGTAAAGAGAGCCGGGTTCACCAGTCAGAATCTGTTCGTACTAAGGAATCAGAATCCGAACGCAAAGCTTGTAAACCTCAATCGCACTCGCATGATCCACTCAAATCCCCTCCTGTCGCCTCCTGCTGTCGGGCCATCCAGTCATGCATAGATCTATTGCTAAACGACTTCGCCTGCGATCCTCTACAAGAAAAATACCTGGCAAACCTCTCCTTCCTCCACCAAGCTTTCATGGACCTCAACATCTGCACCTCAATACCTACCTCATCAGCATCATCTACCTCGGAATCAGTCTTGAAATTAATGTCACCTACGCCAAGTCCAAAACCAGATTTGAAACTGACGTTTATTATTTGGACGTGGACCTCACTCCTAGGCGACGGGCTTGACGCAGTGCAGTGCAGAGAACCCATGCCACTGCTTTTACTAGCAGTCTTCCTTGTATTGTTTAAACAGCTGGATAGTCCGTGGTTTGCGCGTGGGTGGGCAAAACATATTCTGACTGGAATCGAGGGGGTCCTTGACGGGGTACTCGATGAAAAGGGGAGGGAGGTGTTGAGATGGCCCAAGGAGGTTATTTTAGGAAAGGCTGTTTATTAACTTGTCTCTATTAATCCCCTTCGTACTTCAAATAGATCTTCAAGATAATGTAGGCAAGGCTGTCGAGTTACTGATCCTATTCCTAGCTGCTACAACATTCGGGCTACATACATCTTCCACAGGAGAATTGTCCAAAAAAGTATATGTGTACATACAGTATAAGATGTGACACATGGAAAGAATTTCTATGAGCACTTTCTCATCCTGAGATTTTTGTATTTGACTTGGACTGCGGCAAATAGCAGACAAAAAAAAGGGGGGATAAAAAAATTCAAAAATTCAAAACAGACTGGAAGTCTAGTGGACGAAAAGCAGAAGAAAAACATCAGGAGTAAGCTAAACAAGCTCATGAGCTTCCGTCAAATGCCGATCCGTTTATTAGGCTCCCAATGCTGCTGGCACCTTTCAGTAAGCTCCTGCTCACTGAGTAGAGGAATGGAAGAAGGAAAGCTCCCCCCATTCCTTTCAATCTTCGCTAGCATCCAACCCGGATGAAAGAGATTATAGATGATGACAGCAGGAACCATCATGGCGCCATCCAGTGCAATCAAAAGGCTCTCATTTTGCATCGTCGAGCTAGTCCATCCATCCATCAATTCGATCGTGCGGTAGATGCTCCGAATGTAAATCAAGAGAACCGAAAAGGCCGTCGCAGCAAAGAGCGCCAGCATAGTCCCACTTTTGGGGACTACAGACTTCGATCTCTTCAGGACACGCCAGAGAAAGTCTCCCGCAAAACCAACGAAGACGGTGATTGAGATGAGCTGGAAGATGATGCCACCGACCATGATGTGGGTTCCAGTCGTTTGGTTGCTGCTGCTGGATGAGGAGGTTTGGGCTCGAGTAGACACGGATGATGCGCTGCTTGAGGAAGAGGGAGACGACGATTGACCTCCCCCTCCGGAGGACGCCATACCTCCTCCGGCGGCCTGAACAACCAGGGAAATAATGTCGCAGGTGCAGAATATCCAAAGATACAGTCTCGGTGAAAGAACTGAAGACTGTGGGCCACAAATACGGATCAATCGTCCCAGAAGAATATAAATTCCCGCCGTAAAGAAGGTGGGTGCTATAGAATGATCAGGTTAAGAAGCGTAGGGCCACTTGTAATGCATATACTCACCGATAATCAAGGTGGTGATCTGCATGAGATAAGGTGTCTGCGCGTAGGGACATTTGTTCGACCATATCCGAGCGCCCCAGCCGAGTATCTCCACTGACATGGGAATAGATTAGTAATTTGTGCAATGGTTTTCTAGACGTAGCTCAGACACTTACCTAAACTTCCAATTGCGAAAACAACGCACCACCAACATCGTAATAAAGCCATTTGCGTGGTGTGTACTACCATGGACAAGCCAAAGAGCGCAACAAACGCAACTCCCGCTGCGAAAGAAGGCACATATCCATAAGAAGTACTCGACCCCTCAACATAGGCCTGGCATGTGTCGCCGCTGTAGTTTTGATTCATGGCGTCAGAAGTAACCTAAGGTCTTAGACAGCAGCAGCTGAGAGGTCGTCCTGAGTGCTCCCTTTTAAACGCAGCCATATAGCAGCCAAGCACAAGATAGCGGGTCAGACCAAGCACAGCCGCCCTAATTCGCAGCCATCCTATGGCTATTTGTAGAGGAACGCGTATACTTTGCCAATTGACTTCTCGGGTATTGCGTTGTCTGTCCTGCCTGATACTGGGGCCAGACTCCCGACTCTATACTTGACACCTGCAGGAGCATCAGTGTGTCCGGAACCCGAGACCAGAAAAGGAAATACGCTAGCCTGATTAAGCCGCCGTATCCGGGTCGCCAAAAGGGAAATCTTCCTCTCGGCCCGCCACGCGTCAATTGCCCTGGCATGAGATAATGTGGCGTGGAGATGTGCATTGTGCCTTTCCATATTCAACAATTTGTAGCTTGTAGTGCCTTGGCAGTGACCAATTATATGCGTTGTATTTGTTGTCCTGTGCAGATCGTTGTCCGCCGGTAGGGATATAAGTCTGCTGGATCTCAGTGAAAACGCAATGAACTCTCAAATCGAGCAGGAAAGAGCACAGAATGGAGCTTCTACTTCTCCTTGTTACGGCAGGGAACTCGCAGGCTTTTTGTCCCTCAAGTTTCTCAGCTACAACATCCGCTTCCTTGGTCGTCCTGGGCCTGAGGCTGATACATCTCCGTCTGCCTGATCTCTGGAAAACGTATAGCTAAAGAATGCGCATAGTCCGCGCTCCTTGCCCCATGCTTAACACCCTCGCCAATCATGATTTTCTCCCCCCTGACGGCAAAGAAATATCTCAGCAACGGACTATCGAAGCTTTAGGTACAGCCTTCAACATTGGCGAAGAGCTCGCACTGTACTTGTTTCAGGAAGCGATGACTACAAACCCGGACACAAACGTTACCACCTTTAATCTCGACCATTTGAGCCGACACAATATTTTGGAGCACGATGCTAGATTGAGATATGTCTTATCTCTCGGTATTAAGGCATGATGACGAAGTAAAATCGGCTAACGCTCAGCGCCATATAAGTCGCCAGGATGCTTACTTTGGCGATAACCACGATTTTAATCAGAGGGTTTTTGACGAACACGGTCCTACTGGCCTGAACATATCATCGACCTGCAGTCCGCTGCCCTAGCACGTCAGGCTCGAGTGAACACCAGCAAAGACACGAATCCCAACTATAGCATGTCCCCGCTTGGCCAGGATTTTAGTTATGGCGAGACAGCGGCCCACCTTATTGTTCTTGGAGATAAGGAGTCTGGCTCGGTCAAGAGATCTTGGGTTGAGTACATGTTCGGTATGTTACTTATCACTTGGCTATTAGGAGTCATTTCAGGCCACTCTGTTGACATACCAACGAAATAGAAAACGGGCGTCTCCCTCCTGAGCTTGGGTGGACTAAGCGCAACGAAACCATTACCCTCGAGGACTTGAGCTCAGTGCTACAGCAAATTGTGGAAGCTACCTCTGCTGCGACCCGCGAGCAGGGATATAAAGTCAGATGTGGGAATCTGCAGACTGGGCGCGAGCGCCCCATTTGAGAACCTGGGAGGCAACCCTGATTCTGCCACATTATAGATTATTGTAGTAGCTTGTTCCCCTATCTGCCCCACTCCCATCTACTATTTATTGTTAGAACTGGCCAGATTAGCATGTAACTTCCTTTGGCTTTTTGTCTCTGCCAGCCTTGTATTTAATTTTTAGCACTATCTGCCAGAGATGCGCCTGACATCTCCCTCATAGAGAGTCTTCTACAGGTGGGACTGGGTGGCATTACTCACACCTAAAAATATGGAACGGTGAAAATTAGAGTATCAATATTCTAATGAGGCAAATTCTGTATAACTAATTCGCGAAACGCTGTGTACGTTCATGGTCAAAGACGTCTGAGACGCGATGCATGTACAGCTTCGCAGACGACAGGTGCCTACTGAACCAAAACCAAGAGCCTCGTCTCAAGGACACGAGTGCCCAGGACTTCTTAAGCTATTTAAGCCATTCTTATATCTTTAGATTATGCTTTTATATAATATAAAGTAAGGAAGGAGCGACAGTAATATAGGAGATAGGAAGGTGTGACCAGCCTCAGTTGCCAGGTAGCGAGTCCGACTGCACCTGCCTTGCGAGCCATATTATTGCTTAGGAAAGGCCATTGTTCCACCCTCTTCGCCTATTACATGGTCAACTGATCAAAGGTGTCCCGAACTTGAAGAGACTAATCATATCTCTGCCCAGGCGGCAAATGTCAGGAAAATCGGTTCGGCTGCTTATGTGACAGGGTCGGTGTGTTCCAGCTGGCCACCCACATCATATCCGTTGTGTTCGCAACCACATTGTTAGGGATCTCTTTGTCGACGAAACCCCGGCGTAGGTATTAGGGGCGGGTGCTCAGATCGGTGCACTGAGTATGCGGTCTCTGCCGTAGGATGACCCCTAAGCGTCTGGCTTTTCATCTGGCTTTGCGTTCTGGCACTTCGTTACTCCAGATCGGAAACTGCCAGCCCGAACCCAGATTGGGGTAGGTCACTATCGTAAGATGTAACTTGGTAGGATGATTAGAGTTCTTCTGTGTAGGAGGGAACCATGAACAGGGCTCCACGACATATGAGAGGGTATAGGTCAACTAAACCCTAGAACCTTCTCCCAGCCCATCCAGAACACAGCGTCAATTCGCAATAGGGCGAATTTGATGATATCCAGGCTCCTAGCGTGCAGTCGGAATACTTCTCTGGCGTCGTCGAGTAGTTTTCTAAGTGCGTGATACTCCGTGTCCGAGTTAATACCCTGTTCCATTTCTGGCTGGTCGTCTGTAGTATTCCGCTGCTCAAGGTGACATGTAACAGTGAGGAGGAATATCAGATGTGTGATCAGGGCGAAGCATGTTTTGTACCCTGGATGAACAAACCGGTAAGCGTCTCGATACTAGACCTCGTTCCATGATCTAGACAGGGGGCTGGGGGGTGGTTGTGGTGTGGGGTTGGGGAGGGGATGATGGGATCCTACATGGCGCCCAGAAGGCTTGATAGTCCACGGCTGCCAGTGACGAGACACGACTGAGCGCTGCATCGACCTCTATTCGAGCAGCTTGCCGAATGTGAACCTTAGCAGCATCCCACTCGTCCTTGTCTTGAGGTGAAGGCTGAGATTTTGTATGGTTGAACGGCCGTAGAAGGGCCCTGAAAATGAGTATCCGTACAGCGTGATAGGCCATAAAAAGAGGTGCGCTCGCTTCTTGGGAACTCGTAGAAGAAACCCTTTGTGCCCAATCGGCCAATTTAGCCAGCAGAGGGCGCGCCGTCTCAAAGGTCTTCCGGAAGTCGCAAGAGAGCGCGGCAGAGGCCCGGAGAGAACTAGTCACATTCAGTTAGTTTCACATTCGTTTGCAAGTAGAAGGGTGGTGACATACTAGAGCGAAGATAGGGTGGAATCAAGGATGGTAGTAAGCTCCGAGAATTCCAATGGAAAGGTATATACTCCTTGCCCCTCGCTTGTCAGGCCAAACTCGGTCAGTTCAATCACAAGCCAGTCCTCTCTTGATATATGGCTTGGCCTACCGAAGCTGAATGCCAGCCATTTGTCAAGAGCATAGATTGACCATGACAGCCTGCGGCGTAAGACTATTTCAGCTTGAGGCAGGTTCCAGGATTGGGGGTCAAGATGAAGGCCGAGGGTGTGGGCCATTGAAACTGTCATCCCGAGAAGTGTCCATTTCCAGGCGCTGTCGAGAACGAGGGCATTCGTCGGTAACCTTAGTAGGAGTATGATAGCTGTCTGAATCGAGGAGATTGTCGGCTGTGACAGCGATTGATTCAAGCTTCGCCAAGCCATGTTCAAGAGTGTCTGCGCCGACGGGGGTGTATACGCCAGCTCGACGCAGAGGTGGTCATCGAACGTGATAAATGGTTGGGCGATACAGTATATCGCAGCCAGTAGGTGTGTGGGTGCAGTCTTCGGGTCTGGAGGTGCACTGTCACACAGTATAGGAAACTGGGGCTGGATGAAGCGGAGGAATCTACAACAACTCAGCCAATAATGTCCAAGAAGGGAAGTGCAAAACCTACAGCTTGATCAGTCGATGACCAATCTCCGGCGGTACAATTACGTCGAGATTTGCGGGCTCCGACGTCGACAGTGCAGCCTCTGCGCGCGCTTCGTTGGCAAGTTCCTGCTTTGATAAGAGGAATTGGACCGGGAGCTGCGATTCCTGGACCTGTCGTATAGTCAATCTCGAAAATGCAAACTCCGAGTTGGCGTCATATTTGTAGTGCTGCAGCACATAAGGATCCATGTCACCAGTGAGACCACATAATTGGGCTGTGGCGTCTTGCAAATTATCCAACGAGCGAGGTAAACCTTGTGTGCCATACAAACTTAGGAACAAATCATCGAACATGGCTTGATCTGGCTGGGGATCGGGATAGTCTAGATTTTCGTGGCTCTGGCTCGGAAACGACGATCTCGCTGCGCTATCGATGGCGGGAGAGATCGCTGGCAGAGCCGTTGGGGGACTCGAGCCCGGCAGGGGGAGGGAGTCATTCCTCGGCGACTTTTTCCGGCGAACACGCGACGTAAATTCACAGGGCTGCCCATGCGCCCGGCATAGACGACACGGAGGGGCTACATCGATCTGGCACGCAGATTTGCGCGATCGACAGCCATCGCACGCGCGTTGGGTCTTGCTCATATATCTCCTGCGGTGTTCCATCGAGATGAAAGAGGTGGAAAGAAAGATGGCATATCGCGATTTCCGTTGGAGTCATGGCTCACGTGATCTCGTTTATACTGCCTTCTAGATTTGGAACTACAGCATATATCACAGCTTGCTCACTTCCCCTAGGGAATCAAGGATGTCTCTGGCTAATTCAACAGCATCCTGTGCCATTCCCATTCCCGCTTGGTACCCCGTTCCACCAGCCCCGTAGTTATGCACTACCGTTCGACCAGGCTGAATATCCTGCCTCTCAACACGCGCGCCCCCTTCACGAGACGGCCGAAACCCCACTGCAACCTTCAATACCTTTGTTTCCCCGTTGGTAAGGACCGGTAATAGATCCCCAGTCCGCTGCAGTATTGACCGTGTCTCGTGCTCCCTGATCCGACTATCTGAATCGCCCTTTTGGAGATATCCACCCAGAATAACCGTTGAATCTGACGAGGGTCTCGGAATAATATATGTCTCGTAGTCTTTGCCGTGGCGCATCATATTCTCCTTTACTGCGGGCGCCTTGACAAGCACAATTTGACCTCGTGTGGGATAGCACTTTGCGTCCTGAACGCCAGCCAGAGTCCTGGCTTTGTTTCCAACGCAGTTGAAGACGATTTTCGTGTTTGAGGAAATGAAGGCATCGTCTATCGAACCTATCTCACGTCGGATAAACTTCACAGACCCGTAGCTTGGCCTCGAAAGAAGAGACATCAAATATTGGCAGTGGGCGGGCGCATTGAGGGTGATGGTAGTAAACCGTAACCCGAACGCAACTCCCTCTGGGAGATCGGTCTTGGGAATGACCTGCACATCTCGCAAATATTCGCTAACACTTCGAATCTTGTTGGGATTCGGCTCATCGTCCCAGTACTCGGTCGATTGTGTCTTTGCGAGATATTTGGCCTCTTCGGCTCCGCGATCGATCAGTTGCATCAGGGCCAGATAACCAGCTTTATCCCATCGCAGCGCGTTCGGATCGTTACCAGAGATTCCGGAGAAGTTTGCGCCCGCCCTAAGGACAGTCAGCCCTGCGACAAGGGATACAATGAACTCAGTGGTCGCTCACCAAGGTGATGTGTAGTCGACATGGATATCTCCCGGCAGGTCCTTTGCAATGACAGTCACATGGCGCCCATAGCCCCGTTTTGAAAGCTCGAGGGCGACATTCAGGCCGATAATGCCCGCTCTGCATTGTCGGTCAGTAGGGAGCAACCAAGTCAGCTATTGAAAATCGATAGTAGAGACTTGCCCAAGAATTACAATGCTATCTCGTGCCATGCTTATTAGTTGTGTTGTGTTGAGTCAGTTGCTGCGCCATCCAAGAGGTGCGTTAACTTTTATATACTGGATCCCTGCATCGGACCCCACAATCCTTACATCACGACAATCGCGAACTGCCCGGCGGACAAGTGGAAAGCGTTTTCCGCCGGGCAACCAGCCATTCTCTGGATCGTCCCATTGGCGGCATTCTCCCTCTGTGGGGCGGAGCTCTGATAACAGCCTCCGATAAGGGGTCTGGACTTTATCCTTCTCCCTGAGCGCAGAGCGGCATCGGCCAGCCTCGAAGCTCAGAAATCGGACCTCTTTGTCCATTACATTGCTCTGGAGACGAGGTTGATAATCACGGGCGGCAGCGGTGCGTTTTCTGTGTCTACCAATCTGCCTAGCTCAGGATACAATTATTCTTATTCTCTCTCTCGTCGTAGTCCCAAGATATATATCGAGGACCGGAGCAGTATATGTGGGCATCGGTAAGAACAGTGGCAACGACGAGGTTGCGGGCATGACCGAACTTGGTTGTACTGAATATTTGTATACCAAGTTGAGAATTTCCATTTGGATATATCATTAACTCATTAACTATCTCACTACACCTTGTTCGGCTCCGCGTCGCAACCCACCAAGTCAAGAGGTACTGGCGCATCAAAAGCCCGACCAAACAGAACATAGAACAAGATTCCGCCTAGACACCCAACGATTGCCAGAGATCCATACATCCACACAAGATATGGGTCTTGAGATACAGGCGCAAGTGCAATGCAGATGGCGGCCGCAATGCCGATTGTGAGCCAGAACAGAGCCGAAACTAGGGAGCGGAGACTTTGACCTCGTTAGAGAGTGATATACAGACGACAAGCCTGGAGAAACCAGGACTTACCTTTCCGGTGCCTTTGTATACGCAATTTCTAACCCGGTAATCACCACAAAAGCTTCGGAGAAGCCGACAAGGAGGTAGATCGGGGCCTGAATCCAGACGTGGATGCTATTCGGCGGAGATTTGTAAATGTAGTGCTGGAGGACACAGGCGTAGACCATGGAGACGGCGGCCATGAAGAAACCGGCAGTTACTTTCAGCTCGGGCCGGAAGTTTATTTTATAACGGCGGAGTAAGGGATAGACAACGACTGCTTTGGTTAATTTATGTTCAAACAAGTTCGGGTGACAGTACTCACAGTCTAACAACGGAATGAAGATAATGAGAGCAATTGGATTCAGGTTCTGCAAGAGATCATTGGGGGTTCCATGGAGCGCCATCTGCCCGGCCTGCGAAATGAGGTTGTTCCAGATCTGCGTCCAGCAGACAAAATACAGCGGAAATAGGAGGAATAACTATGCATCGTTAGAAATGAAGACGAACGAAGAGACGAGGAGAGCCACCTTGCAAGCCGTGATGCCTGTTTTGACTTTCTCCACGCTATAATCCGTATAGCCCGATTTATTGGCAAAGGGATAGTGGTCGAACTTGCCGTTCTCGCGCAGAGCACTTGGCTTGGCTTTCTCGAAGCTGCGTTCTGCAATGGCAATGTGGACAGTCCGAGCAGCATCAACAATCGGAGAGCCCCGGGGGCGGGTCTTGAGGAAGAGCTTGTTGCTGCAGAGGAACAGTGCTGCGATGATGACGATTACTCTTGACCAGACGTTAGATGGTCGGTCAGAAGCAAGAAGCAAAGACCTACATGAGTGGAATCAGGTATGCGAGCCAGAAGGAAACATGTGTCTCGACGTTGACCGTAATCAAAGGTGACAAGGCGCCGATGTTGACTGCCCAGTAAAACCTGGACATGACGAGGTTAGATTGGAGTTTTCGAATATTGACGACGTCACGACACGTACCACAGGAACATCCGCTCAACAGTCAATTCAGGATCAACAATGACCTGCTCACCCGACTTCAACGTCTTCACGTATGCATGCGCCTTTTGATACTGTTCGGCGCAAAAGGGAGTCACGTTGGCCTTGATACCCCCCGTGCCGGCACCAATAATGACCATGGCAGCGACAAGGCCACCAAACGCAGATCCCCCATTGATAGCTGATGGTGTCGCGGTGGTCACTAGGATAGTAAGACCGACCACGTAAATGCCGCACGCGATCAGGATGGCCTTGAATTTGCCAAGGAACTGGTCTGCGACAATGGCGCCCAGGACCGTCGAGGCGTAAGCCCAGAATTTGAAGAAGTTACCCAAAGCCGTCGCGACAGCCTGACCTCTCCCAAGCGCTCCTGGTTGCTCGCCGCCATACGGATTCCTGGACGCGTTAGTGGACCGAGTCACTTCTCGCGTCGCGTGGAACAGCTCACTTGATGTAGTTCTGCAAGGGACCACTTAGTCCGAAGTATGTGAAACGCTCGCCCAGCTCGACAATAATGACGAGCAGAACAACCCATGGGATGCGATCAGGAATCCGTCGAAGACCCGTGTTATCAACAGATACAAGGTCCCCACGGGTGGGTGCCTCTGCTTCGGTTTGCGTAACGGGGATATCTCGTTTCTTGCAATCTCTCGACATAGTTGACATAGTTGCGTCTCGATCTTGAATGGGAATCTGAGCAGCAGAAGGAGAAGGCAAAGGGACAGATATAAACCCCGCGTTCGTATCAATCCATTGATAATGAGGGAGATAGGCAGGATGTGTGGGGTAACGGCTCCGATGCCTATCTCCAACTTCGCCCGATGCCGCCAATCGCGACGGACGCCGGCGATCCACTTCCATGTGGTTGTTGGAGAACTGTACGTAACGACAATCAAGCGAGATTGTAGTCCCGGAATATGCGAGTCAAGGTCCCCTGATAAAGGGTTCGAGTTATCGCAGTTAGTATGATTGGAATACTCCATCCAACATGACGACCATTACCTTAACCCAGGAGACCACCACGTCTCCAAACGCCATCCCAGAGAGATACCTGGCTGGCCTTGATCCAGAATGGCGGAAAATGTGGACGGAGCATGGAAAGGACGTGTCGGGCGCCCATCTGATCACAATTGAGGAGTTTCAGAAATGCCCTTCAAAATACAGCTTCACCTACCCTACATGGACCGGTATGCCCTCAAGATATCCCAAAGGCAGAGCGCTTTCTCATCATACTAGGCCCCGAAGTCCACAATGTCCACGATATACAGATCCCTGTCTCAGATCCGGAAGGCTTCATCACTTGCCGAGCTTATACGCCCTCCGGCACTGGCCCGTTTCCTGTTCATCTCAATTTCCACGGCGGAGGCTGGGTATTGGGAGGGCTTGCCTCTGAAGCGGCCTGGTGCCGCAGTATCTGCAACGAATCTTCCATAGTAGTGATTGACGTGGACTACCGCCTGGCTCCGAAATATCCATTCCCAACAGCTCTGTACGATTGCTGGGCAGCCGTTCAGTGGGTCACCAAAAATGCCTCGTCACTGAATATCAACCCTGCCTCGATCTCGATCGGAGGCCTCTCGTCTGGCGGGCAGATGACCGCCGTTCTCGCCCACTTTGCCCGAGACAGTTCACCTCCGATCAAGCTGAAGTTGCAGCTGATGATTGTACCCGCGACAGACATGCGATACGTTCCACTTTCGATCACGAACGCAAATCCGTTAACCGCCAAAACGTGCCGATACCCAAGTGCGATCTCGCTCGCTGATCTTCCATGGTCCCCGTTGGCAAGAGAGTCGTGGTTCCTGAACTATTACATCGGGACTGACCCAGTGACACGTGAACGAATTCTGTCGGACTGGCGGATGACGCCAGTCCTCGCGCCCTCGTTCAAGAATCTTGCTCCGGCACATATCGTGACTGCGGAATTCGACGTCGAGCGGGACGAGGGAGAATACTATGCGGAACTTCTTCGGGCGGGTGGCAATATCGTGACGACGAAGCGATATCCCGGGGTTCCCCATGCATTCGCACACTACAACCACCCTGAACGGGGTCTAAGCAAGAGTCACGAGTTCTTGCGAGACTCTGCAGAATTGCTGAGAAGGGTTCACTGGGGGACGGGGCAGTGACAGGGCTGAGCAGGCTGGCAAGGATCCAGCCCCCACATCAGCATGTCGATCACCACCAGAGTGCCAATAGATTGAACCCTGAATTCCGAGTTGAGGAGTGTAGATCTCTTTCTATCGACCACCCCGTAAGCCACCGAGCGCCAGCTGACGTCGTGGGCGTATAAGCGCACGATCGCACCGTTTAAGGCCTGCCGTGTAAATTTAGCGGCCAATCGCATTGCTCGGCCATGTCGATCAAAATGTGGCAGCTTTTGAGTTTGCTGAGCATCCCTGCATCAAAAATAAATAAAAGGGGCTCTGTCGTTGTTCAGGATTCTGTCAAACATCATTAATCTTCACGATGCTGCGTCTGTGGGAAAGCGCGACTCTGCTGGTCGGCCTGGCAGCGGCCGTTCAGGGCCTCCTGGTCCGGCATGACCACTCGTTCCAGCCAGATTACATCCTCCGAGTAACCGCAGAGAACTACACTGAAGCATGCATGGACCGATACTCCGTCCTGGTCAACGGCTCACTACCCGGGCCTGAACTGCGCCTCCGAGAAGGTGAAACCAGCTGGATCCGTGTCTATAATGACATGTCAGATGCAAACACGACTATCGTAAGCACTAGCAAACTGCTTACCAAGAAGAGCTCTGCTGATCATATAAACAGCACTGGCACGGACTGACTGCATTCACCGCTCCTTTCTCCGACGGCGCACCGGCCGCCAGCCAGTGGCCCATTCCACCGGGTCATTTCTTCGACTATGAAGTTCGACCGGAGCCAGGGACAGCAGGGACCTACTTTTACCATTCTCATGTTGGATTTCAGGCCATCACCGCAAAGGGTCCGCTGATCGTGGAATCATGCGATCCGCCGCTCTACGACTATGATGAGGAACGAACCATCTTAATATCCGACTACTTTGGCAAGACCGATGCCGAGATCGAAGCAGGACTGACCTCTTCTAACTTTACATGGAGTGGCGAGACAGATGCAGTTCTGGTGAATGGGCACAGTCGACTCGCCACAAACGCCACTGGGTCATGCGAATTGGCGGCCATTGACATTGAGCCTGGAAAGACGTACCGTCTTAGGTTCATCGGTGGGACTGCGCTTTCATTTGTCTCGCTAGCGATTGACAGCCACGAACTTTCCATTATTGAAGCGGATGGGCACGACACGCAACCGCTAACAACGGACTTTCTCCAAATCGCCAGCGGCCAGCGGTACAGTATCCTTCTCAAAGCCAAGAGCGAGGCCGAGCTGAAGGAGAGCAACACGCGCCAGTTCTACATTCAAATCACGACCCTCGTGCGCCCTGAGGTCCTGACCAACTTTGCAGTCCTAAACTACATCTCCGACACACAGCCCGATCTGACCACTGTCCCCTCCCCTCCCCCTCTCCCTGTAGCCGAAACCGTCCAGGGCTGGCTCGACTACGAGTTGGAACCCGCCGTCCCAGACAACGACTTCCCTACCCTCGACGAGGTAACCCGCCGAATCGTCATCGACGTGCACCAAAACGTCAGCGACCACACCATCTGGCTGCAAAACGGGTACGACTGGGTACAATCGTTCCCCAAGTCCCCCTACCTCGTCGACATCTACACGCACAAGCTCAACGTCGAAGAAACGTACCACCGGGCCCTAACGCGCGGCAACGGCTTCGACAATATCACACGAACATTCCCTGCGAAAATAGGCGAGGTGCTTGAAATCGTCTGGCAGAACCGCGGGACAGTCAATAATGGGGGACTCGACGCACACCCTTTCCACGCACACGGAAGACACTACTACGACATCGGCGGCGGCGACGGGCTGTACAACGCGACGGCAAACGAAGAGCGCCTAAAAGACACGCATCCAATTCAACGCGATACATCGGTGCTCTACCGCTACCGCAAGAACACAGAAGTCCTTGCACCATCCGGCTGGCGCGCATGGCGGATCCGCGTCGAGAATGCGGGAGTGTGGATGTACCATTGTCATGTGCTGCAGCATATGGTTATGGGCATGCAGACGGTGTTTACGTTTGGGGACCGCGAGGATGTGATTGAGCAGTCGGGGTCCGTTGATGAGGGGTATTTGGTGTATGGGGGGTCTGCGTATGGGAATGGCGAGAGAGATCCGCTTGTGCAGCATTTTAAGAGTTAGATGTGTTTATAGTAGCTAGGTTCTATGACGCTATTAGAAGGAGGTTACTGTGTTCCAGCGTGCAATTCATTCAAGAAATACGGTAACATTGAATCAGAAATCAACAGTGTCTGGTGTAATGATTTCCTTTCCCGACTTTCCCAGAATAGGAGCCTCAAAATACTGGTAGATCGCCATACTCCTCCTCCAGGAACTCATGCACAGCATCCAGCGCAGCCTTGAGATCCCCCGTCTCCTCGCCGAATCCAAGCCGCACATAGCCCTGGAAATCCTTCCCATCTCCAAAGCATTTACTTCCCGGCACAAGAAGAACACTCTTTCTCTCCAAAAGCCTCGTGCAAAGCTCCACGTCGTCAATTCGTCTGCCGCCCTTCACAAATTTCACAAAACCAATCGGTGCACCAGCAGGCTGGACCCATTGACACGTAGAAGAATGCTGATCAATGAAAGCCTGCACCACCTGGACGTTCCGCTTCGAAAGAGTAGTATTTCTCTCCAACAGATGCTGAACGGTCGGAGGACTGAGCGCAAGGGATGCAAGGTGCTCGTCCACCTGACTCAGGGTAATAAGCGCATACGAGCGGGAATTGACGCAGAGGTCGATAATCGCCGGGTCTCGAGAAGCGATCCATCCGACGCGAAGACCGGCGAGTGAGTACGCTTTGGAAAGAGAGCTCGTTGCTACTACCTTGTCGTAGCCCAGTGAGATGATTGAGGGTGGTACGGGTGAAACAGAGTGGAAGAGCGGATAGTAAACCTCGTCGCTGAGGATGATGATGGAATGTTCTCGAGCGATCTTGATGATTTTTTCGAGCGTGGCTCGAGATAAAGCTGCGCCGGTTGGGTTTACCGGGTTGCTGTGGAGGTGATATGAGTATTGATCGCTTTGCTGGAAGAGAGGGACTCACTTGAGCACAATCATTTTGGTATTCGGTCGTATTAATTGCTTAAGCTCATCGAGATCAAGCCTCCACCCATCCTCCTCGTGCGCCTTCCACAAGCTCACCTCTGCGCCGATGGCCGCAGGAAGCGAGTACAGCTGCTGATACGTCGGATATTGCACGACGACATGATCGCCCGGTCCAAGCAGCGCAAAGAGAACGAGGAAATTCGCCAGCGATGCACCCGGAGTAGTGACAATATTCTCAACAGACAACGGCTCCGCTGAGGGATCCGAGTACAATAGTTCTGCTATCCTCGATCGCAGCGCTGCGGAACCCTTCATGGGCCCGTAACTCATTGGCTGCGCGAGGATCGAGGACCAGACACTGGCGGCTTCATTCTCACTTTCACCAACGCCTGATCTGAGATCGTCAATCGAGATTGCAGAGCAGTATGAGTGGGCGAGGTTATGCTTGACGCCTGCGCTGCGCGTCAGGATCCACTAGAAATGTCAGTTGCATGTCTTCGCGGTTTGCGATAGTCGCTTACATGGTCAACTTCGAAAGGGTCGATCTTCACCATGGTCGCGTGAGTACAGCTCGGTTTATTCAGCTTTCGATGGATGAAGACAGGTTCTCTCTGCTTGATGTCAAGGTCTTTTGTTTGCGGTGCGGGGTAAACTGCCAGCATGTCGTGCGAAGGGCGTCACAACACGAGCCCACCTGGTTTCACCTTTGACGTTGGATCCATCCCTCGATGAGTCATGCCGACACTCGGTCTTTTGCCCGCTAAGATTATTCTCCGTTTTTCTGAGCGCTCCGATGACTTTCTCCGAGTCACGTCTCTCTCCTCCATCAGTCGCAGGCGCCTCACCCATTCCCATTGCACGAGATCGATGGCAGGGTGCACACTGAATAAGCTGAGAACTCTACTTGATCTCCAACAAACCGTGAAATGTATCGAAGCTTGGATCCTGGAGACTGAAACTACAGACCACCTGGAGGGAAGCGGCTGCATCGGGCCTTGTATGGGCTCTTCCTCGCTGGGGCTGCTCTTGCCGGCGCATACCATGAGCCCTTTGTCCAGACTGAACCTGGCCTCTGGTCCGGTTTCCTACAGGGCTACGGAAGCCCACCGGCACAGTCCCAATTGGAACGGCTTTTTGGAGGAGTCTTTACCGGACCGCACCTTTCGTTTTGCTACAGTTTCCCGGCTACATTTCTGAATCCTCCCACCCGAATGAGACGGTGTTTGGGCCATTGGCGGAATTTCTTGTCGCTGCGAGTCGACGACAAGCGCAGAAATCGCCCATCTGTGACGCTGACCCCTCACTCTTCTCTCGGCATTAACCAACCGCAGGCTCAAGTGCTCTTTGCCGAGACAACACAGCTCCTGGCCGCACGTGAATCGCTGCAACGCGTCTTTGAGGACACCAAAGACCCCAAAGCTAGAGATTCCGAAAAATCTGCAACGGTCATACATTTCGGATCCTTTTTCCCTACCACCCTTTTGGCGCCGCGGGCCTACAGCCGAGTCATATGCCCATAGTCATTGCGGCCCAGTCCCGTACATGGGCCCGTTGAATCTCATTCTAGACAATGTATTCTAAGTACCAGCCATGTTCACCGAGTTTGCCTGTGTCTTTGGCATCTCGAATAGTGTACCGGGCGCACAGGATGGGGAAGCCTACTCGCTCTACTGCTCGCATGCAGTGGTTATTGTCTTCCCCAGCAAGGGACACGTGGGGAAGGCACTTCCATTCGCGGAGACACCGCAGTACACAGATGATTTCCCATCTACGACTGAACGCGACGACATGTTTTGGCGATGTCTGGGAGGGCCGACTTGTGTGCGTTCAGGATAGGCATCGAAGAGGGGATGTCTCCGAACTGGGTTGCGAACCGGGCAGCTAATGTTGACGATTCGGCCCACAAGGTATGCTACACTCCTAATTTGCATTTCTTCTTGCCGTTCTACAGTGAAGGTTTCTAGCTAACACGGTGTATCGTAGTTGGTCCCCGCCCACGCAATGGGGGCGAACCAAGCGATTGAATCGTCGGATCGCCAGTCATCGGAGGATTCCCTCTGCCGGAAAAGGGCCAAACCTGTCAGGAAACGCTGCGTCAGTTCCAACGGCAAAGGCGAAGGAGAGCGAGAGAGGGCCAGTCAAGGCAGAGCAACGGGTGGTCAGCCAATTACCAGGTAGCGTAGATCGAGCTCCAACTTCCCAGATAGCTTCTTTTATCGGCGGTCGGACGCCGACAGTCCTGCTCCGTCTGCAGGGCGGAGGTGCCAAGACGGTCTGGGGAAATGGGGCCAGCGGTGCCTGCGGGTGCCTGCTGTGTTGCCTGAAGTAGTGTCAATATTTAATCACCCATGTTGTTGATATCGAGTACAGTTCCTTAATCTCACATCATCTCTCCAATCCATCCTCAAGGCAACGCTATCAACAATCCAAGTAAGCACATCCATCCGTGCCCTAACAACTATGATGTGCTGACAGATATCGCAGAATGCCCCTCTCTGAAAACTCCCTCTTGCGCCTCGGCGCTACCGCATCAGGCACCATCGCCCTGGGCTTCGGCATCAACGCCTTTCTCCGCCCGGAGCACGCGCTCAGTTTCTTCGAGCTCGACTACCCTACCTCCGCCGTCGAACGCTCCGTCGTTGACAATCTGATATACGCCTACGGAGCTCGCGACGTCTTCATGGGTGTGGCTACGTACATCGCAGGCTATTTCGGAAACAACAAGACGCTTGGGTGGACTATCCTTGCGATTGCTGGTGTTGCCTATGCGGATGGAGCAATTTGTTGGGCGAATGGACATGGGCAGTGGAATCACTGGAGCTATGCGCCGCAATTGACTGTTGTCGCAGCGATGTTATTGGGTGTGTTTGATCGGAAGTAGTGGTTATTTGGGCGCATTTGGGGTTCTGTCTTCAACTATGCGTAGCTGCTACTTACCGTTCAGCTCGGCGTCCGGGTCTGGGATCTTAGATTCAGGCAAAAACAAAGATAATAACAAAGTACCTATTGGGGCTGCTGCCCTCCATACTACTACGTCTCTCATCCTCACTCTGCTCCAAATTGCGTCAATAAGGCTCGCAACGCGTCGTCCCAGGCGAGATTGAAAAGCATACCTCGGTCTGCCGCGCTGGGGACTATGGGGGCTCTGCCAAGTCGACACAGACTGTCGGTCGCGGACTCGCGGGAGAAGCTCCGCCGAGCTGCGTCTCGCCGCCACCGATCGGACGCGGCTTTCGGCCCTCCAAAGCCGTGTGAATCGCGATCGCCCAGCTCCTTGCGGGGAGTGCCTCCGCGGGTCCGACAACGCGTTTAAGGACCAGATCCCACCCGCCAGACAGTCCGGTGAATTCTGGTTTGTTTACGTCCTGAAGAACACCATTTTTTCCTACAAGTTGAGTACAAGTAGTATCATTCTTTCATTGTAGACGCGTAAATAGCCTGAAGTCATAGTGGTAGTCATGTTGCCTCGCAATATATATCTGGTGCTTGTTTGCCTTGGGGCTAGCCGGACATTCCAGAGCAAGTGTGCAACATTCTCGTTGATAACCCCAGTTGAGCGCGGTAAGCTCATATCCAGTACATGAAAACAATCTAGAAATTGAACTCTGAACCTAGTAGACAGTCTACAGAAAATTTCAAGAACCTCCGCCCTATTGCCTCGGGCAGGGGCGTAGGGCACAACCAGCACCTCCAGTCTCCCAATGAATTTTAACGGCCAGCAAGGGAGGGCCTCTCACAGAGTGCCAAGCGCATACCAGCGGACTATCTGGCCTTGCGCAAGTTGCTCTACAGATTTTTGCCGACAATAACATTTGATTAAGGTGACTGTTGTGGTTCCGCTGATCGAGGAATGTGGCTCCCGAGCCGCAACTCAACAAACCGAGCGCCCCATCCTACGCACCTGTCTAGACGCTTAGTGCAGCCTTGCAATGGGCCTAGTTCATAGTTGGGGAATGTATGCGGATTTTCAACTGCTGCTACACGAAAAGAACTCAGTACGTCTGGCCGATAGTTGGGTCGAAATAAGTAGTACTAAGTGGTACAGTCATAAGCTGCGCAAGTAGCGATAACAGTCGAACCCTTTCCTATAGATTAGTACATGAAAACACAGTTGTATGGCCAGGAAGTATTGGAGTTGCGGTGGAGATTGAGTATCATACACATACGCACACTATTATTTTGTCTATCACTCTCTCACAGAGGAGGAAGATACATCTTACAGTTAGACTATGGATATATGGATAATGTACAGCGCTTTAAATACTATTGCAATTATGACAAAGGCGCAATCCTGGACTGCCTTAAGGAAGAGCCAGTTTGATACACCTGGATCATCTCATAGATCCAAGATTTGGGCGATCCTCATGCGTCAAGACTGGTCTGGTGATCTGAATTTGCTGGATATTCAATCCATGGTCGTCAGCCGCTGACCCCATATGCCTAAAACAAGAACCATGGTTTTAGAACCAGTACAAACTGGGGGATGCGATCGCATGTAATAAGTAATTTATGACGTCAGGACTTCATGACCCAACTAGACCTAGGCTGACCGTATTTTCAGGTCAATACCTCTCATAGTGTATTATTGTTATGTTTGAACCAGTAGTATTGGGGACAAATCCGTTATAAACCCAGGCAAGTGCAGGTTCTCTACCTCATTCTGTATCGATTGAGGTGGTCAAACTATTCTCTCTCCTCAGTTAGTGCCACACTATCATCGCCAATACGCCATAATGACTCAATCACCTGGGGTCCAGCTTACACAGATCTATCCTTCCACTGCTATAGATACCCAGACAGACGTCGATATCATTGCCGTCCATGGGCTGGATACGAAGTCGCCAGACACATGGATTTGGAAGTCTCAAGTCCCCAATGAACCTAATGTGAACTGGCTCTCTGATTCAAAAATGCTCCCAAGTGAGGTAGGAGCGGCCAGGATCTTTACATGTGACTGGCCAGCCAGGATGCTCCAGCAGGCAGATTCACTACCAAAAGTTCTCAAGGAGTTTGCCCGCCTCTTGCTCGATGGTCTACAAAACATGCAGCGACCTCCAGCGAGCGATAGTCAAACAAGAGGCCGACCTATCCTGTTCATCACGTCATGTCTGGGTGGAATCATTCTTATGGAGGCCCTTCTCATTGCCGATGACCCAAGAAGTACTTATTATCCCCTCAGAAGAGCCACTCGTGGTATTATTTTCCTTAGTACTCCATTCCAAGGAACCTCTTTTCAAGATGTGGCAAACTGGGCTGTCCCGACCCTGAGGACTTGGGCATCCCTCTCAAATCAGAACGTGACAACGCTCCTTGATAGCGTACGGGAGCCTACTTTTGACCTCTCCGAACGTGTCTCGGGGTTCACTCGGCTGAGCCTAAATAGCCAACAGCCTTGCGATGTGTTTACCTTCTATGAGACAGGCGCGATGAATCTTGTTCGAAGTTGGATTCAGCGACTACCCCGTCCTCTACCTTGCTTACTACATTTCATGGTCGTACTATCTGGGGACAAGAAGCCAGTGAGTATTACAAGTATTCACTGTTCCATTCTCTCATTGGCCGTATCAGCTCTATTTTCTGGCCAGGTATACTAACACAGGGTAGCTTGTCGACAGAATTACAGGGACTTTGCAGATCGTCCCCGACCCTCTACCACTTGACGTACCCCATAAATTGACGAACAAATTCTGCAGCAATTCAGACCCAAACTATAATCGCGTCAAAGGAAAGGTTGAAGAGTTTCTTCAAAAGGCTCGCGGAAACGCCTTACTGGATGAAGCAGACTTGTGGATACGTCAGAGAAGCTATACCACGGACAGGCTGAATATAAAACGACTTTCAGGCGAGCTCCTGTCGATGGACCTTTGTTACATCAATCTTGCCATCATGAGGAGGCCCTGCAAAGAGGAAGGTTGCTCAGATGCAGGAGATTTCTTTGAAAACTCTTCTCCCTTTTCCCGTCTCGTTCGTGCTCCGAATGAGTCCCCGAGCATGCATAATCAGGTCGAGCTCCCAGAACTCTTCAAAAGCCGTGAACAGAGCAAATGTCAAGTGATAGCACCACAGAGAATATTCATTCGAGGGCGTGCAGGAGTCGGCAAGACTACTTTGTCCAAGAAGATTGTTTACGACTTTATCCATCACGACCCATGGAAGGCCTTGTTCGACCGCATACTTTGGGTACCCCTACGGCGTCTGAAATCACTGCCCAAGGGATTTCTAGATCTTGAAGGACTATTCCTGACAGAATACTTTCCCGATAATCCAAAAGGGCGGGATCTTGCTCATGGACTCTGGGTTGCGTTGGCGGACGCCAAATATCGTAGAACGCTATTTGTCCTTGATGGCTTGGACGAAGTCTCAGAAGGGCTGGATGAAAGCAACAACATGTACCGTCTTCTCAGGAAGCTTTTGAAAATGCCCCATGCCATCGTCACCTCCCGCCCACATGGGTCACTTCCAAATTGGCTCAAGGGTACTTTCGACCTCGATTTGGAAGCGATCGGGTTTTATCCGGAGCAAGTGAAGGCTTATGCTAGAATGGCCTTCAAGCATGATGAAACAAAGCTTAACAACTTTCGCTCCTTCCTTCGAGACCATTGGCTAATCGAGGGACTTGTGCGGATTCCAATTGTGTTGGATGCACTGTGCTTTACATGGGACAATGCTTGCCGTCATAAGTCTATACTGGAGACAATGACCACCCTCTATCGAGAGATCGAATTGAGGTTATTGCAGAAGGACATTTGCCGTTCACAGCAACTGCCTGAGTACGAATGTCAAACAATGAATCGCCGCCGCGTTGAGAAGAAAATGAATAAGGAGATCCGGCTCCTCGAAGCCCTCGCATTCTCTGGGCTCTGCAACAACGTATTGGAATTTGACCAGAGGGATCGGAAGAAAGTCTATGATGTTTTTGACCTCTCCGTGACAGAATCCTCAATTGAAGGGTCATCTTTCCTGCGAACGTCTGATTCATCCTCAGGCACTCATAACTTGAATTATCACTTCTTGCATCTAACCTTCCAGGAATATTTCGCGGCACGGTATTTTGTACGTCAATGGAACAACAACGAGTATCTCCGATATCCGACCCTTGGATGCCACGAGGACGAGGACGCCAACGTTTCCACACCAGTTGAGTTTCTGGGGCAGCACAAGTACATGACGTCCTACGATATAACATGGCGCTTTGTGGCCGGCTTGTTAGATATTGATGGACCTCAAGGGGCTGTCCGATTTTTCGACGCCATCGAGAAGCAACAGCCAAGTGACCTTACAAGTCCCAGTCACCAGGGGCTGATCACACATTGCCTGAGTGAAGTATCGGCAAACTTTCCGCCTCGTCAGGAGCTGGAACAGCACGTATCCGACTGGCTCTTACAGGAGTGCAAAGCTGGACAGAACGTACGCCTCGTAAGGGAAATGGAATGTCCCGAGCGAGTCCTGAACAGCGCCCTACAAAAGGCGAATGACGATGGAAGGGTAACCATTCTACGCTCGCTAGAGAGACGTCCAAGTATTCCGGTCAGCACTGTTGAGCTCGCGGCTCCTTGGCTCGGACATGGTATAAATAGCCACCTCAAAGTATGCATCTGTAACATGCTGAAGTCTACTGGCGAACACGTCCCAGACGGGCTGAAGGAGGTACCGAAACAGTTAGAAGACAACAACTGGGAAGTGGGAGAGGCCGCCGTTGAAGCTCTTACGAAACAAAGGAGACTGTCTGATGACATCCTCAAAGAAGTGGCAGCACGCTTAGGCCATCAAGACTCAGACGTGAGGAGAGCCGCGACATGCGTTCTGGACCACCAATCAAGTCTGTCGGACAATGTCCTTAAGAAGGTGGTGGACCTTTTAGATCGCAAAAGCTGGGGTGTGAGACGCACTGCTATTGATACTCTTGTCAAACAACCAAGCTTGTCTGACAGGACCCTTAAGGATGTGGCGGCACGGTTAGGTCAGAAAGGCTCGCACAGGAGAAGAGCTGCCATATACGTTTTGGAGCGCCAGTCCTGTTTGTCTAACGATATCATTAAGACTGTAGTGGACCTGCTAGATGAGGAAGCGCTGGATGTGGAACATTCTGCTACCAACGCTCTTCGGAGACAACGGAACCTGTCTGACAGCATGATTAAGGATGTGTTTGCATGGTTAAGCCACACGGACCTAAGACGCAGAGAGGCTGCTATATCCATCCTGGCCTGGCAGTCCACGATTTCTAGTGACGTCCTCGAGATCGTACTGGATTTATTAGATCACGCAGACGACCATGTGAGGGACGCTGCTACTGAAACTTTGATGGAGGCACGACTCTCCGACAAGAGCTTCGAAAAGATGATGGCACATGTATTCGAGAAATTCCCACATCTAAGAGACCCCACTTCGGAAGCGTCTCGCCAACAAACAACCTTCTCTGATAACTTTCTCAAATATGTGGCGGCATGGCCAGATCGCCAAGTCTCGTGTGAGTCACATACTCGGGGAGACCGTGTATTGAGGGTTATCTTGGATACGAGGCTCGAACAGCTAGCTCTTGGTAACTAAAGCTGATTATGAACCTTGCGGGCAATGTCGATCATGGATACCACAGGGCCGGTGGGGAATGAAAGCCATTCATATATTACCTGACGGGAAAAAGTACTTCTTTGGAGTGTTTTGAGACCTAAAATCTGTCCATTGTCCTTTAGATTGAGCACAGTATAGGACCTCTTGCTTCCATCTACACGGAAATAGGAATGCATACGTCTAATCTTGGAAGACACGAAGATGAGATGCCCCTCGCTGGAGGCTTGATCTATAAATTTATTTCAACCACCCTAGCTTCACTACCTCTACTGGTCCCTTGCTTGATTTGTCTCTTTGATACTCATGGTTATCTCCGGTGGCTCTCATAGCTTAAAAGAACAGACGTACACTCCTATGATGCCGCTAATGCTAAGGACAGCTGCTGGGCAAATTACTTTCAACTACCTCCAAAGATAAGTATGAGCAGGCCTCATATAACAAAGTAGAGCAGTGTTGTTAAGGATATAGTTCCAACATTGTTTGTTTGTGGTTTCACTACAGGGAATGGTTAGCAAGGCTATGCACTAGATGGTCTGGTCATACAAAGACGCCGTAAGATAACCCTTAGTACTGGATGACACGGGTGATCACCAAGGTCCCAGCTATTCAGTAACTTGATCCTGCAGATCATCTACAAGTGGGTGGATAATAGGCCGTCTGGAACGCCACAACGGTGTACAGTCGGTGCTCACTGGGACTATCGAGTTAGAAAACTAATGTAATTAAAGAGGCCGTGGCATGCACTACATTCATGAATACCTAGAGCTTGGTATAGACTTGATATAGCTACTATCACTATATATGTAAGAGAGCTACTACTACTTCTATGGCCGTGATATAAGGATACCATAGCCGTTTGAAGTTAGGAGTGTACGCTGAAGTCTATTTCATAAGCTGATTTTCGTTTTTCTAACTCTCTTTCAGGAATGCATATTTCTCTTGGGGTTTTAGTTGGATGCTAACTTCTGATGGAGGTGAATTACAGCCGCATTCAATTAATTGGGAGATGCCCAGCCTTAGCCACACCCCGAAAGTGTCATGAGGATTCATCTCTTCAATCAAGTATGAAAATTCCGTACGAAACTCGCATTGTGGATATGGGCCCCCATTGGGCTTATATGCTTGCATAGGCCGCTGGCGTCTATCACGCCTTTTGGGACGCAGCAGCCACTGCAACTCCCATCTCCTCCTGGGAAGGTTCATCTCGACAACACTTAATTCTCTGCGGAGAAGGAGAGAACTAACATACACTACCAATAGCCCGGGGTGGTGACATAAATAGCGGAGTGCAGATAATGACTGGTACCCCTCCATGATATTCGAAGGTCTTAGGATAGCATTAGCGGTTTATGAGTAGCTACTATGGCCCTAGGCTGTATTTATGAAAGGCTGAATTGGGGCGTCGGTTGATCACTGAGTGGGATTTATCTACTGCTAACCAATGACGGTGGAAACGGGTATCTCGCCGAAAGGGATGTTTATATGGTGTTGGTACTCAAGGTCCGCGAATCAGGACAGCCGTTGATAGATGGTCGCTACACAGGTAGTAGGCATGGTGGTAAGTGTATATGGCGCCCAGTACCAGCAGGCTAGATCCTCTGACAGTGGACGACGCGGTTGGATAGAGGGATGTATATCCACAGGCTGACTATACCTCGGCGCCTACTCTTGATGCACCCCCCTTGGTTCTGACAGCGTCATAGCTCGGTATGCTCCCGGTGCAAGTTTCACAGGGGCAATGCCGCTGCCCTGAGGCTCGTGGACGAGTACCGGGATGCGGGTTGCGTCCGATACACTTATAATGAGATATAGTGTGAATAAAGATAGGCATGTTTAGCTTTCTCCAGGAGGTGAAATGCCGGGGGTACTAGAGAATTCAAGCATCCTTTTGCTGGCTCGATTTGATCAGAAAACCAAGCATCCTCAAGAGACTGAGGCAACAGGAGACGCTAAGATTTATGGCAGCTTTAGGGAAGATTTAGAGTATGTGAGTGGGAAGTAATCATGTCTTTATTAATCGTACAATAGCAGGAGCATGAATTCATGGCATATGACCCCTTGACAATGGCAATAGCTCAGCGAACCGTTTCTTCCTTTTATCCAGCGTTTCACGCATGTTACAGACAAAGATCACCAAGCTAATTACGAATATCAAGAGAACCAAGATGAGGGGACCAAGGATCGAAAATACTGTGAAACCATAGGACGCATTCTGAAAGGTGGTGTTGCTCCTGAGTGTGTCTGTGCCAAGCCCAACCTGCATTGCCGTTAAGACCAAGGCGATGTATATTGTGGTCCCGGCAAGCAGGCCGAAATAATCATGGAACAGCTCTGAATAAGTCTGGTATGGGAACTTATACCCGCGCCATTCGCAAAGGAGAAAAAAGTAAATCTTGTTGAGACGGGACAGTCGCAGTTCACCAAACCAGTATCGTCGATCAATGTTCTTTAGGTTCGTTCGGTCCAGTAGCTCCTCCACCAAGGCGACCCACTCATTCCATTTAATCTCCTCGGGGAGTAGATGGTGCCCCTGCGCAATGTGAAAATCACACTCATATTGTATCAGAGCGGTGTACGAGAGTAAGAAGCCCATTGCACATCTATAAACTTCAAGACGCGGGCAAGTACCTTCCTCCCGGCATTCGGCAAGGCCGTCCTCGCAACAGAGATACTCCTTCCAGAAGGCGTTGCTAAGTAAGTACCGCGGGATTGGTTTGAAGAAGATTCTGCGCGGCTTTTCCCAAACCATATGCATGTCCAGTCTCTCGTCAACCACAATTTGTCGGGAGGTGGCGATTTGATAGTTCAGCGGCCTTGGTGGCATTGGTCTTCCGGCTAGCCAGAGGTAGTTGTGGATTCTGTTGAGCCTTTTGACACTGAGCTCCTGGCGTAGCATGTCAAACAGATTGGTTGTGGGCACTTTAACTATATCGTTATTTTCTCGGTACGAGGCAGGAAGGAGCTGTTTCAATGCTAGCCCTGGATTCCTCCTCATATCTTGGTGTTCACCGTCAGGTTTGAGCGATTTCAAGACATCCTTACCAAACGGAGGATCAAGCGGCGTCTGATTGTATTGGTATTGAGAGACCATTATTCTCCATGCCCAAGTAAAGAACTTACTATGTGATAGTGGCCTGTCATTCCGGAAGCGCAAGACTACCCGCCAAAGCCTTCGAAAAGGAATGAAGTCAATGGATGAAAGTCCCCTCACTCAACTCAAACCGTGCAGTATGTTGGGAACCGGGATTTTGAAGTCCTAGCAACCAAGGAGTGTATTAATGGGTTGGCCAGAGACCTAATCGAATTTGCCGGAGAGGCCACTTTTGTATGTCTACTTCAATGACCCAGTAGGACCATAGTCAACGAGATCAGATGATAAAACAATTATTCAGCTATCATACTAGCTGGTGAAGTGGTGTAGCGTCCACCAGAAGCTGTTGATGACGTTTAGAGAGACCCAGAATGGTAGCAGGTGCTCCGCAACGGCGGTTCCACTGGTCTACCTAGTAGCCGGCTTCGTAGACTGCGAATAGAGTCTGAGTGCACCAGGTAGGTTCATGAACGGAAGCGATACATGACCACAATACGAATAGGTGTCTAAATGCCGTTTCTGTATTCATATAACGATTTCTCCTGTGACCAGTAAAGTACAATATGGTCTAGTACAGCTCACGCATCCGGACAGTTCATGCCACCTGCAGTGCCAACCACGTTCTTGTCATCGATCGCACAGACCCGAATATTACCTTTAGGTAGAACAGCGGTAGGCGAGGGCGCCTACTTGGTAAATGAGAATTCAAAGATCCGTACCTAAGTGGATTACCTCGCCAGATGGCGTTCTTCCTCGCATTTAGATTAGGTAAAAGTATATAAGATAGTGATATCGGAAGCCTCAGCCCGAACCGTTACTATTGATCACCCTATTAAATCCCCACAGGATGCGTATGCGTACCATTTTCGAGATTATGTCTAGACAGGGTAAGTGAGCTAGTACAGCCCTATGCCTGTGCAGAAAGAACATTTGTTCCCATTTCCCTATTAAATCCCAGCGCCAAAAAAAAAATACGAGCAAAATATAAATAAGGACCCAAATAGAAACTGTCTGAATACTTATTAATTTCCCTTGACGCAAAGGGTAATATTAAAGGCCACTGTAGCTATGACGCCGCGAGCAGGGATACAGGTGACTTGCTCCAATCGGTAATGAGATATTCTAAAATATGCAGTTGGTGAAGTGATTAGAACAAACAAAAGAAATGACGTGGTATAAGAGTTACAAGGCTCTTATCTGTTGCCTCGGTGCCCCGCATATAATTGGGTGTAATATATAGATGGTGAGATTAAGGTTCCATGGTACCTCCACGCTGGGGCGTGCTTAACTCACTACTTCCAACCCCCTGATCGTCGCGCCACACCCTTGTTCCATGGAACAGGTGGAATGGAACGTAAACCTATCTTCAGTCCCGCACTCGGATTGAAGCGCATGCTAAGAAACTTGTCAATCTGCCAAGAAAGTCCTCGGTCGGAGTTTAGAAACTCGTTACGATTCAACATAGCAGATCAGGTCAGTTCTTATAATATCTCTTCGGCATGAATGGTCAAGCCTTCGTCAAAATTATCGAAGTGTTCAGAAAAATGTGGAGAATTTCAGATGTATGGATTATGATAGCCAGCCAACCCCTTAACGATGATTTAGTTATTCTGACACTTGCCATGACGTTGAGACGCCATTAGGTTTGTATCAATCATGATATAGTGGCATGATGTTTGCATTGGACGTTTTCGGGACCCAGGCCTCACGCCAATCAATGCGATGAGCGTTCTGAAGCGGTTGGTGACTTCCTGGAACTCTCCATCAGCTCAGCATCTCATCATTATAAGGCTCCTGGCTGGGCCTAGATCGGCAAGGACCCTGGCTGAGGGTCGCAAGCATCAGAGTGATTCCTGGTGAGCCCAGTTTTGCGCACCATTTCCCACTTATTTTACATGACGCTATTTGGACGAAGTACGGGTCGGGTCAGCTTTGTTTAGATCCATGAAGAAGAGCTCTTCAAGGTTTCTGAAAACCTTGAGATCGCAAAATAAACATTTTTTTAAAGTAGGGCAATCCATGGAACCTGCTCCTGACCCGCTCGAAACGTAAAGCTAGCCGAAAGTGGCAGTGCTGACTTTGTTGAGTATTCAGGAGAGATCTATATCGTATGCGGGTAAGTAAGGGCTAGCCTGAGTATTTATTGATAATAGTACTAATGTAGCAGGATCAATGGTTCTCATGGTATGCTAACTCCATCAGAGTTCAATAACTCAATAGTAGAAGATTCCTAGAAAGCTCTGCCCGGTGCGACATCAACAGAGGCTGGGAAACAATCACGAGCAACGGCAGAACCCAGAATATCACTTGTTACAACTCACTCAACCACCAAGCTTCGCCGCACTCTTAGCGAGGTTGTACCCATTAGCATGAAATGGCTGCTCCTAAAACGGCAGGGTACATGCTCCCGATCACCTCTAGGCGCGGCCACAACGACTCCGCAGCCCAGGCATCCCCGACGGGGCCCTGTAGGACAGAAGGAAAGTCCGTATTGCCAAGACAGTACTGCTCATCACTTGACCAACCTCGCTGTCCGAGATATAACACCCAGAGCCTCGGACACCGAATCCGAGTGGAAGAGTACAGACGCAGGACCAATAAAATCCTGTACGTAGTCTCCGATAACCCTTTCGCTGAGCGAGATAGCCGTGACAACGGCCAACCTCCGACCTGCTCAGCTGCACATCATGGATATGATCTATGGCAATGTGTCAAACGCCCATCACGCCGTGGTGATACGGTCTTTGAATGGTGAGGAGAATGCTAATCTATCCCCAACGGTGACAATCGCCGACCTAATGAAACTGGCCAGCACACTGACGGAAGACTCTCCTACGCTTATTTATTGCATTACTTAGCAGATGGCGTGGAGCTATACGGCGAGTGAGGTTTAAGGTTGTCGGTGTCCGGCGATGCATATATGTGCATTTGGATTCCGGTCGCGGTTTGCTCTTGACCTTGTCAGTATAGGATGGGGAGCTAGAAGTGTGCAGCAAGGCACGGGACTCCCTAGAGCGCCTTTACATACAGTTTGTTATAGGGCCTATCTATGGTCAGAATGATGCCGCGATCCTCTATCAACGAACTACCCCCATGTGGAGTGCACGGGGATGTATCACCACTCACTGAGCTTCGATGAATCTTGCGCCCGGCTGTCGAACAATCTACACTATCTACAGTGGTTTGGGAGTTACATATAATTACATATGATTCCTTGGATCAACTAAATCAAACCTCAACGTATCCCCAATGATATGCGTACAGTAAATCGGCCTATTATAAAAGGGCAAACGGGCCCCTGCATCTTGCCAAAGATGACATCGGGAGAACGCGTATACGGAGACGGATGGTGAATCAAGTAGTGATGGATGCACGCATATCGGCAGAATTTTAGTCAGGACTGATTTGTGACGATATATGAGGCAAGCATAGGGTGAGTGCTAGCGGTAGAATTGAAGGACTGAGGCCATGGAACACCCACGTTCCGGTCTCTGTGCAGCTATTTGCGATAGCGAGAGACAACTCTAGGCACAGGTCCTTGATCTTAATGCGAATCTGTCTCACACAGGCCGTAGATGGACTGCGAGTCCCATAACGGCATGGGTAGGCTGGATAGATGCGTTAGGGTGGACCTCTATACTTGTAATGATGGCCCCGTAGGATGCCAGCATCTGTATGTACGGTTCTCTTATTCGAGTAGATCACGCTCATGTTGGTAAGTGGAGATACTAGCGCTGTCGGCATTACAATGTACTGATCGTGAGTTCATAGAGCGATCGTCTAGACTGGCATATATTTCCCGTGATTGAAGTGTTTTTACCTTATGGGCGCCATTGGGAAGACGATCGGACGAGACGTAAGGATTTGGTGGGTCACCGGCTGGACATGGTGTGACCACACGGAGGAAAAATATGGGACTTCGTCTTGCCGACAAGCCGAATAATGAACCCCGGATGACGCGAGACGACATATTGAGGGATGCAAGAGCAGTGGGATATTGCTCCATAGCATCATCTGGGCCCTGCTCGGTAATCAAGCTTACCTCGAAGAGCTCACGTATAATATCCAGTTCCGCTTCGCTTGTTAAAGCGGAATTGATGCGCACAGCGTTACACAAAGGGAGGAGCTCCAGACATGGTGTAGTCCAAGACCTACTTCGTCCTTACCCACCGGTTCTAATGTGGACATCACTTCAGCAGAGTGTCAGCACCGTCCAGAAAGGTGGGTCACTGAGGGGTAGGTTGCTAGCAAAGCCATGTCCCCGTTCACCGCCGCTTATCTCCATTCAAGATATCAGTCGTCCTACCACGGCTTGCAGCGTGTAGACTGTCATCCGAGCGGCCCAGGACACAGATGGGGTTCATTCTGGCGGATGTCCGCAAGGATTTCAACCTCTGACTCTGACATATCCGTGGGTAGAGGCCGCAAGGTGATACCATTGGGAAACGAAACATTGTGAATTATCTTAGAGCCGCACCCGATCAGAATTAAACTAGGAATCACATATATGCGGCAGCTGCTGAGGGAATATCTAGTGGTACTAGCAGGGTAGAAGGGTCTCAAAAAAACGAATCAGAAACGCGTTATGGTCTAGTTGACGATGGTCCATTACCACGGGACCTTCAATGTCTCCACGCCTGAATTCCGCTCTGGTCTGTAAGCGCCACTGCACGAATAGGCGCTTTCCAAATGTAGAAAATGCAGGTGAGCTGAGAGAAGCTGATGGTGTGCGCGGGCCGAGCCTAAAATCCGTCGGTGCGCCCAGAACCTGCGTGTGATTTATCGTTGGCTGCGTCACTATCCCGTGGGGTTCCGTAGAGGCATTAAGGTAGTTCGCTGGCTCCGCAGGAAATGTTTTCAATGGCTGGTCAGAATACTCGAGTATCGACGTCAGTTGTGAGACTCGCTGCCGTGGGGTGGCGCCTTTATCCGGCTTATGCCGCGGTCATTTTGGGCTAGACCGAGTATCTAAAGCAGGAGATTCCCGGTAATCTGTAGGGAAGGTTCCCCTTGCTCATCTTGCGGCTCGGGAGGCCGGTGCCACCAAGCCCACGTCATGCTGAAGTTAATATGCTGGGACATTGTTAACACTAGGCATGGCGCCGGAGGCAGCGACCGTCCAGCAAAATGAAGGCAAGCAGATGAAATCAACGGTGATAATGCAAAGGGGCGGAGTTTGGTGTTCCTGTTTGATAGTTTTCGACCCTGTAGTCAATGGAGGGAAAAGCGGGTAAGCAAGAAGACGTGTGACGAGAGGGGTTAGAGCGGAAGCCGGGTGCACGTGGAAACGCACCTAAGATGCTCACTGGTGCAGATGGATGGGAGGGCCCGATGGGCCAGGGCACGAGAAACTTAGACTCGGCCGGTGGAGAAGGGGCGTGTGAGGTCACGGTGCGGACTTCCTTGAACAGGCCTTCTCATGACGGCCTTGGGCCCAGATCTGCTGTAGAGGCCGTAACTAGGTACCTCTAAATATGGCCAGAGCTGAGAAACTCCGGCTTCATGTCGAAACCGCCTGTTTGTGACATTCTCAGTTTTCGAACTGCTCAACTGGTGCAGACAAGGTATCCTGCTTTCAGTACCGCAACCCTTGTGGTTTGACTCCGACTTTGCAACAGAATAGATTGGAACTCCCACTCCTGAAAGTCGATAAGGACGATGCTATCTTTGTACGGAGGAATGCTGCAAGCTCCGCCCGTACTCGATCGCTACGAGCGCTTGGTCAAAGCTCCGCTTACCCCCCAGCTTCCTGTACGCCCCGACACGAAGCAATGACCATATATCAAAATGCAGCAGCACTCCTACATCATATCGTTCAATTCCTCCCTGGAATTGGGACTATCTAGTTATAGTCTGTCATATCCGTCATTTACCATCTATGGAGCAACGCAGGACCGTCCAACAACAGCATGCCACGATACGTCCCACCGTCTTTCTGGGAAGACAGGCCACACAAACGGCGATGCAGGGTACAAGAAAGCTCCGCGAGAGCTGCATTTCCTGCTCCAGATCCAAGGTCAAGTGCGACAAGCAGAAACCCACCTGCGGTCGATGTGTCTGTCGTGGCCTGCCTTGCGAATTTATGGTCTCCAGACGGACCGGCCGGACACGGGTCATTGGCGTGGAGAAGCCTCCATCAAGTATAGCAAGGGCAGCACTAGATCAGGCCACGACATGTCAACCACCTGCAGGCCTCCTGGCCTCGCCGATTGCTACCAGAAATGGCGCTATCACCTCCGGCCAGGCTCAAGCGCGATGTAGTGCGGACAGCTGCAGCGGCCTGCACCACTACCTGCCTGCCACCATCCCACGTACACCGGCCAACACCGTCAGATCCTCCCCCCACTGCACGCATTTTCTTTCCCTTCCTGACGATACCGACTTGTGGACTTCCATCCTCTCACCCGATGCGACGAACACGTCCCATATATCTTCTCTTTGGTCATTAGGCACAGATATGGCACAGCTTAATGCCCTCTCGCCCTCGCATCTCAATGACCTGGATACTATGGGCTGCGAGCTTCCTTTTCATGGTTCAGAAATGCTGTCTCTCACCGATCCGTTGTTCACTTCGCTCATGGAGGGAATGGAGACATCCGATTCTCTCTTGAATACGGCGCCTCCAATGCAGCCTCGGAGCTGCTGTTTTGTCACTTGCCTGGACCTCTTACGGGGTCTCTTTCCGAACGCCCATGTCGGATGTGAACAGTCAAACAAGGATGGACTGACTAAGGTCTGCACCATCGAGTCGGTCATTGAGGACAACAAGCAAACCCTGGAGACCGTGCAGGCAGTTCTTGAATGCCAATGTGGGAATGATGGGTATGTGATTTCCCTTGTTTGTCTGATCGTTATCAGGGTTCTCGGATGGTACATCGCCGTGGCTCGAGATCCACCAGGATACCCACAAGACAAAGCGTTCAGCAGCACGAGCAGCGAGGGAAGTGATCCAGACAGCCGTCGCCCATCCGTATCGTCCTATGAGGAGCAGATACTAAGTCTGCCTCCGTTCATAGACAGTTGTTTCGTCGATAGCCTCCAACAGAGTCGAATGGCGGCGCAGCTCGTGCTGGGAGAACTGTACCGAGTGCAACAGGTCGTATCCCTCGTCGGATGTCGGTTAGAGAATACACGGCACCAATTCATTGGTAACGACTTTCGTGGGAGTACCAGCCCGCTCTCGAGTAGTCTACCAGATTCTTCAGGCCGACTGCTGCCAATGGCTGGGACGGCGACGCCCTTTTTGTCGCCTTCCACGTTGAACCACCTGGAAGAAGACGTTCGAAATCGACTACGGGCTGTCGCCTCGGGAATAATTGACATTCTTCGGCAAGGATAAGGGCTGTGTACTTCGGCCGTCCGGTTTATGGCCGTTTCCCTAAAAACCTATTGCTCGGGACAGCCGTCCATAGCACTGGGAGCTATATTCTAGTGGCTGGCAGGGAACCCGGAATGAGAAGTTCGCCCTCCGAGCGGTGCCAGTGTCAAAGATGCCCGGCCGACCCTTGCATTTACATGTATACCGATTTCATTGCTTTGCTGGCTGGCCGGAGGATTCCTGCAGCCCGATAGCATGGATCTGTCGAAAGTGCATTCCCAATAAAGCTCATGCACCTCTGGCTCCTGCAGTATCAGGCCATCGCAATGCTACTAATTTTGAACCACGTTGTAGATACCACGACAATATGCAGACGACTGGCATTCCTAAGCTAATAATATTTTACTGACTTACGGAAGAAATAAAGCCCACTTGGCCTTCTTCATGTAGACAGAGAATACCAGCTCGAAAGGTCTATAAAGATAATTACGACTGTAATTTCCGCGACGTCCCCTGCCTCAACTTCGGCGACTGTATCCATCCTTATGCGAGCATTTTCAACCCCATACCCAAGACCACCGGGCACTATAAACTGCGGCAACATACACCACTTGCCCGATAACATCACGGGGGGCAAAGGCCTACACGAATTGCTTAACAAACTTTCTCGCAGTCATTGGCGTAGACGGCCCCGGCTGCCCGTGGAAAGAGGTCAGAGCGTGAAAGAGCCGGGAGATATTACTGGAACTCCAAGGCTTTGAGTTGATTGCTATCCTGTTGCCGTGCACCGATGGTGGTACTTCACTTTCGCAAAGAACCTCTCTGCAAGTCGCATGCTCTCGGCCACCCCAAGACTCGACGAGGTCGAGGTGTATCCCCGGAAAGCATCCTACCGCATCAATGGATGGGCTGAACAGCATCATGGTTTGCCCTCTCGCGAGTACTCGACGACTCTCACAGCTAATAAAGTGCGGTCGAGTCCACTACCTAGGGGTAACCGGGAGCCCGGCCGGTATCCTATCAGAAGTATAAATCCCTCGTCTACGTTCTAATGAACTTCAAATTGCCGTAGATTTCAGCCTGTGTCACCTCCTCGTGTCATTTGGGACAAAGGGTCTGCCCACGCCCGGGCGTCTTGGCGAATTACTGCGTGGCATACATCCCGAGCCTACACTGTACAGGCGAGGACTCCAGCAACGATGACTCCAGAAATGTGCAGTTGCCCATTGATTGCACCAGATATCTCGCCTGGGCATGAGCAGGTCGATGTCATATTGCAGTGTGGGAGATATACTACAAAAAGCTGGAACAAGTGTACATGAAGGAATGGTCATTGGCTATGTTGAATACCGCAGTGACTTCTTCCGCGGCAAGGGAAGAGCCGGTCAGCGAACGTTGTCCCCTGGTAACCTCTGTCCTACTGCTGCAGACCTAGTGGAGAGCACCTCCGTCCACACCGATAATCTCTCCGCTCACCCATTCCGCTGCGTCCGAGGCTAGGAAAGCGACTACACGTGCAACATCGACAGGGTGTCCCAGCCGGTGTGGATGTGATGGCTTTGCGGGAGGCTATACTGTTAGAACTAGAGGTACTCTCTCAAAGTACAGAGAAGGAACGTACTTGATCACCGTCCTGACCGGTCAAAGCATGTCCCTCAGGATCATGCTCCTTTGGCTTGTGCTTCTTGATCTCCCCCGGGGCGACGGCGTTCACCGTAATCTTCTTATCTCCACAGTCTACCGCCAGGGATCGAACGAGGCCATCAACCGCCCCCTTGCAGGCGGAATTCACCGAGTGCTTGTGGTGACCCTTGTGGGAAGCGGTCAGGATGATGCGTCCTTTCTCGCGGAGATGGCAGTAGGCCTCGTGAGCGAGGAAAAACTGCCCGCGGGTGTTTACGTGGAAGGCCGAGTCGAATTCCTACCAATGCGTCAGCGAGACTCCTTCTTAATTGCAATCTCCTTGTGTAAGCAAGTGCCGGGCTACAGACCTCTGGCGTGACATCCTTGAGATGCCCAACAGCATGAAGTTCCACATTACTAGAGACAATATCCAAGTGCCCGAAATGTGCAACGGCCCCCTCCAGTAGCCTCTTCACTGCATGCGGGTCACTAACATCCGCCTTGATCGCTACCGCTTCGCCGCCGTGGTGCTTGATATGGTGCACAACCTTCTGTGCGTCCTCGTGGGAATGGGCGTAGTTGACAATGACCTTTGCCCCACGCTTGGCGAGCTCTATGGCAATTGCGGCTCCGATGCCGCGGCTGCCGCCTGTCACAAGGGCGGCTTTGCCGTGCAGGCGGTAGGGGTCGGAGTGGTGATGGGCTGGTGTGGTCATATTGTTGTGTGGAATGGAGTTAGGCTGGTTGTAGACAGGTAAATGCGGGGGATGTGGGGGTGGTTACTCCAGAATCGAGATATATATATAGCATTGTGCAGAGCATGTGAATCGAGACAGACGTTGGTCCTCCTCGGAGACCGAAAACTCTGGATGCGCTTATGCCTGCTAAGTCGCACTCGCGCATTATCGGTACCTCGATCGAGCTCCTTATATGCCGCGTCAGCTGGACAGAATGACTCAAACTCAGCAACCCTCCTTCGGCCTCGGTACCGTCTCCCACCCCATAATGCAACACTACCAGATATGCCGCGTCGTCATATCAGCTGCCCACATCTACCCGGCATACTGAAAAGGGCACGCCATCAGAAATCATGTATGAATACAACAACAGATTCTGAAACTTATTCACTTTCTGTTAGCATACATTCCATCCATCGGCCGATCTTGGCCCATAGAAACGGCAGTATAGGCACACCTTCGAATTAGCATATCAAATCCGCGATGTGGTTTTTGTAAGGGTGCGTGAATCCTACTGTCTCGTGGGCTATGGTGGTAGCTGTATGTTCTCCTTCATTCTCTGGTTTCGAATGGCACCTGGAAGGCTACAAAAGCTATGAACCCAATCACATTGAAGTCATACGGCGGCAATATCTGCTGCACTGCCATCAGGCTGTAGCACAAGATGGATACCTAACCTTCGAGGCTAAGTAGCGTAGCCCAATAGAAATACATCGACACAACTTGGAAGAAGGTGGATAGTGGGCGAGTGGGGGCTAGAGCAATGAAGGCAGATATTTTGTCGCATTTGTGTCTGATTGATAGTGCTCTGGCTTGATGACTCGGCGTGCTATATCATGTGGTATTTTCTGCTAATGATATCAGGTTGTGATTGGTAGCTGGGAGGTGTCGAACTCAGATATGCCAACCCTGAACCTATCCTACATTCCGTCGCTAGATTGGTTGTTATAAGACGTTTCTGGGGGTTTGGAAAGTTGATAGGAGGTATTTCGCTTGTTCAGCAGAGATTTTCGTCGCCCGTGAGAGACGAATAAGTGGTCATGCATCAGACGATATACAAAAAATAGGACGATCAAGTTGTGTATATCATGGAAGGATGAATTGTAGCGAGGAGCAATGAGGATATAAGTCCTGAAACACCAAACTAAGGTATCAATGTTTCTTCCAACGAATCCGATTCGCAGAGCGCTTGGGCACGAGTGCCACGTCACGCTGCAGGGATGTGCTGAAAGAGCCTCGCAAAACGACCCCAACCCTTCTAGTTCAAGCATCTGGCACCTGCCGGCAGCACTCTTCCAAGAAGACATAGCACCTTCCCAGTATACCTTCCCTGCCACAGAAGGATCCATCATCGCACCTGCCGCCATGCCTGTCGCTTTCGCCCAGCAAGGGACCGTCGACTGGACCTCACTCGGTCGCATGCAGTTCTTCGCATCCATCGCCGTTCTTTCACGTCTGTCGTCCGCTGGCATCGAGTCGCTGACCGTTGCATTCGGCCAAGCCATGTGCACCCGGATTCCTCTTGCCGCCCACGGCGAGGAGTTCTTGATGGAAAGCCTCAATAAGCTCAAGGCGTTTTCGAGTTTTGGCGACCTTGTCTGGTTTGGAGTTGGAGTGCGGCATGTTCTTCGCGATATGGTTCAAACAACCGAAGGGGCGTCGTTGGTCGCTTTGTGTGCAGCCCTCAGCGAAACATACCCCACCCATGTTGCGGCCCTGATACTTTACGAAATGGCCAAAGAGCTCAAAGCCTCCAGTGAGCTATCGCCTTTGCTCGCCCAGTGGGGAGCGCTGGTCACCACGTCTTCTTGCGTTTTCAAGGAGACTGCATTCAGTGTACGGATTGAGAAACTCTTAACGCTGGCGGGATTCTCTGGCTCGTTCTTACCCGGTGACATCAGCGATAGGCGGGTCAACCCCGGACATCCACAAGATATCGCCCGATGCCTCATCGCATTGGGTGAGGTCATGCGAGGGACCGTGGAGCAGGTAGCCATACATGGCGGCCGTGCCGCCTGCTGGCTCGCGACCTATGCGAGCCTCATCCTCGGTTTGAGGGTGCATTTATCCAGCGATGGAAAGCTTCTGTTCACAAACTACGACGAGCGAAAGCTCGACGCCCAGCTATATATTGATGTGGCCCCTGGCGTAGGGTTAGGACAGTCTCTGCAACAAGTCGGGATTACTTTCACCGTGCGCTCAGGGCGAGATTTCATTCAGCAAGTTTTTGTTTTGTCCGATGATAGCAAAACCGCCCGAGAGGCTCTGGGCCAATTTTTCCTGGCTGGGTCAACCCCCTGGAACACTATTATTGTGGACACCTTTGGGGAGAATGGACAGAGCCTTCTTGACCAGCTGACTCCAAGTAACAGCACTACAGCTGCAGACCACTATGATATCTTGCAGCGGGCGCCCTTCCGTGGTTTTTTTGAAGCTAGTGTCATGTCATTCATCTATAACCTGGGCGATGCACATAACTACCACAGCGTCTCCAATTATATGACCACGGTGGTAGACAAACTACCGGAGCTGGGCGTATTCAAACCTGGCAGTCTGCAGGGCGACTGGACTGATTTCTCGGTCAGGACTAACGCGTTCCGGGATGCCTCGGACGCCTTGTGTGCGATGTGTGGATGTTCCCGATGCACGAGGTCTAGTGGAGGCGATGAAAGGAGAATGTGCTTGGTACTCATCGCTGACACTATTGCCTTTCTGGCGCATCTCATGGAGCGGTGCCATCTCCATTCGAACTTGCGACCTAGAAGGTTGGGCGTACACGCCATATACATGGGCATGCAGCACCGGCGTTGGGAAATGGCACAACAGGCATCCCAGTCGTCAAGAGGACCAGACTCGAATATTTTATTTGCTGTTGACACGGAGAAGCTCTTCGATAGCTACGCCGCCTTATTCACTGGCACGGGATCCCGCCAAAATGCTGGCTCTACTGGCGCACCACGGCAATTCGCAACCGTATCCGCTTACTCTGATGGTGGCATATACGGCTTCTTGGAGAGTTTGATAGGCCTTTCTATGAATCACGCCCGTGCTTCAAGGGTCCATGTCGGCAGCGGGGTGATAGAATGCCGCTCCCGCCTGCACCGTTGGGTATTCGATGCGAACGGCAGTATCCCATCGCCCACGACCACGAATTATCCAGCGCAGGAAATCACTTATACCAATGATGTATCTGCCCTGGAGGCTGATTTCTCCTCCCCTTCCTTAAATATGGAAGCAGTCGTCGAAGACACCTTCCACCTAATCTTTTACTATCGCATAAAGTCTCCAGCCGGGAGACGATTGATATCCCCTGCCACCTTTGTTACCCATACCTTAGCTCCTATATCGCGGATTACCGCTCGCGCGGGGTTATTTGGTGTGCCTAATTCCAACGTCGGTGATATGGTGACACACACCACGTACGGCGTGGCCCAGGGAGAGGGGGAGGTCACACCTGCTAAGGCTGCAATTGTGCTTCGACCACATAAGCGCAATCCGCTTGCTCAATATGTCGCTGCTTCTTGGTGTCCGCTGGGAACTGGATACGTGACCAGCAATGAGGAAGCCGAACAGATGCTGCAATGGCTTGCAACGAAGCCGATGGGAGTGGTGTTCAGCAACAGGATGCCATTTTTCATTCTTTCTGGGTAGCGTCGGAAATGGCAACGCTTATCGTGGAATTGGGTCGCGGCACTTACTCTCGGCATCAAGGATTGGACAACCGGTCAGTATATCATATGCCGATGGACTCGAAATCCCCATAGCAAAGCGCGACCAGATTCCCAATACCAGGCTGTCAGCCAAGGTGGTTTAAGGCATGGGGGTTCTGTCAAACACCAAATTGCCACATCGTTGTCGTTGGAAAGCCCTTCTGGTTAGGTTTTGGTCTACATCAGGCTCATATCGATCTGCCAAATTAAACTATAGTGTTACCTACTCATCTGCGACTGTTGCATGGCCGAATCTCGCTGACTGCAGGATCTCGGTCCCGGCTGGAACATACAGTGTGACTTTGTATGCACCATCTTCCATTACCTGGCGTACGCCAGGCCCAAGAAGCCCGGTATCGCAAGTCCCTGGTATTTTGGTACGACGGCATCGGCCGTACCAGTGCAGCAATAAAGCAATCGCTCAAGGCTTGTGTTCACACTAGCGGCGTCCATCGACGAAGATACGTCGAAAAGAGGCACCCCCACCCCCCACCAAACCTGCCCGGTTATACTTAAATTATAGATTGATTACATAGATCAAGGTCTGCCAAGGTTAGTGTTGAATAGAAGTCTAGTACATTATGGTGTTTTCATACACTAGCACAATCAATACTCTTTGCAGCGCTATCCGTCTAATAGCAGGTCCAATGCTGTCGTATCTTAAAGCCGCCGATTTGGTTGCAGCTCCACTCCTTTTGTTGGCACTCTGAGTTGAATGAGCCGTCCCCGTTATATATCTTGATGGCGCCTACTCCACAGTTCTCTTCATAGTAGGTGTATCCGTTTGCAAGCTTGAAGCGAATCCCGCAAGGGTTCTGCTCGGCGGCTGAAATCCCAACGTAGTTGTCGTTGGATTGACATGGGTCTGTGCCCGCGATCCACGCAACTTTTGGCAGATCGTTAGCCTTTTCATCTTATTACATTTGTAGGAGTATCCCGATATCATGGAGGACATACTGTTGAACTTGTTGACTCCTGAGGAGGTGACAAGGGAGCCGAGCGAAATTGTAGCAAGAACTGAAGGGGCAGTCATGGCTAGCCCGAGGACGTAGTGATGGAAGTGCATTGTGGAAGAGAAGACGCCGTTTAGTATACAGATTCACCAGGAAATGTTCGTAAGGGAGGAACACGGGTCTCTTATGTACAACGCTACCGGCACTGACACGGCGGTCATTCGACGCACTGTAATCAAGAATTCTAATCAACAAATGCCATGAAATTGCGGCTACTAATCAATATTGGGCCCTGACAAAATCAGGGGTAAGTACTTATGCTGCGTTTTGCAAATGCTTGGAAACTATTAGAGCCCCTCCTATGTAATCCTTCTTTTTGCTTCCTTCACGGGCTCTCTTATATTCTCCAATGTATCAAACAAATCCTCGCCACTTGTCTCAACAACGCCAAATCTTCAAGCAATGGTGCATCAGGGTGTGACCTTTTATTGAGTGCAATGCCCGTTAACGTAGCTTCAACACCAGGGCCATTATAATCATTCTCTGCGTCAAATTCACGGCTGAGTGGAAGGGCGAGAGCTATCTTGAAAATCAAGTTTTCTCGTAATGTATTAGAAGATGGAGTAGAGATATACTCGACAGTTTAGTGTGAGAGCACATTGTTCGAGTGTACTTGGTTGCCTGGGACAGTGGATGGATGGATGGATGCCTGTATCCACCCTGACCTACCCCACGAAGCAATATGAAGGCTACCTACAACTATATACATATATACATATATTATACATGATTCTATTTCTTATACGTGAGGGTTAGGGGGTAAATATATTAATTTTACAACTTCCTATATAGATATCTCCTTCCTATTTTAGTCGTGCCACTGACCTCATTCTCCTGGTAAGGGGGGGTTGTCTTGGTGGCCCTAGATAGATTAGTCTGCGGTCACGTGGCCCACCGTGGGTTTTCACCTCTGCGGTCCCTCCTCAGCTTAGGAAGGACAACAGAGTTCTTGAGGCTTGTTATAGACAACGCTCTATAATCCAACATAGTCATATCATGATCTACGCCATCCTAGCAACCCCTATACTCTCGCGTCATCAGGTTGCGCCATGGAGACTAGCCCCATGAGACCGAACCCATCGCCATCCCCCGGGAGGAGTGGCTTCGACACTAGTCCGCCCTATACACTCTCCTTCTCAAAGTAAGTATGAACCTGGCGGCTATGGTTGGATGTGTGGGTTCCTATGGCACACAGGGATGCGGAGCTGAGCCCGCTAGCCGACCGCTAGCCTGCGGCTCCCTCGCGGATAACATCGAATTCCCAGCAATCAGGCGCCGCTGGAGGTTTCGCGCGGCCGCAAGACGGGGTCTGTCTGTTGGGTGTGCTCTTGGGCAGGATTGCTGGGGCGGCGTACTGGCGTACTTAATGGCGTTTTGCCCTCGGCGTTCGGACTTGGGCTCTGGTACCAGTTCACGATTTCAACTCTTCAAAACGAACACAGACAAAGCGGAAAATGGCAGACGTTCTTCTAGATAAGGTCAACGCCCTCGAGTCACAGCTACAGAATGTGAAGAGCCTCCTGACCAGTCATACCGCCGAGGCGAACGGTAGCCCAAGCCCAGCTTCGGACAAATTAGCAGCAGCGCGCCTTGAACTCCTCGAACTCGCCAACAACCTCGAATACGCCGCCTTGGGCCCAACTGAATGGCTCAAGGCGAGCTTCGCGGTGGTAAGTCCAAGGCTCTCCTCCATCCCCCAACTAAGGATTTACTAACCTGGTTATCACTGTAGACAAAATACGACCACCTCGCCTATTACACCCTCTCGCAATTCCCCCTCCATCAACACATTCCCCTAACCGGCTCAATTACATACGAGGCCCTCAGCACCGCGAGCGGCATGCCGCTATCCCCGTTGAAGCGCATCCTCCGCCACCTCATGCTCAACCACCTCTTCACCGAACCGAAGCCCGGCCACGTCGCGCACTCCGAGGCATCGCGGCTCTTAGTCACAGAGCCCGGGATGACAAGCTGGATGGGGCATAACTACGACGAGGTGTTTCGGAGTTTCGGGTTCTTTCCCGAGGCGTTGAAGAGAGGTTCGTCGGGGGTTGCCGACAATGGACATCCCGGGAAGACCGCGACTGCGCTTGCGTTTGACCAGCCAGAGGGGTTCTTTGGTGGGTTACTTGCGCAGGAGCCCTGGCGGGCGAAGAGGTTCGCGGAGGCGATGCAGGCGATGACGAGGGGGAGTCATGATCATTCGCATTTGGCGGATGGGTATGATTGGGGACGGTTTGGGGGTGGGCTTGTTGTTGATGTAAGTCTGCGCCTCCCCTTGGCTTTTCTCCCAGGCACGGATTGTCATGCTCATGCTGTTGCTCTATCAAGGTCGGCGGCTCCTCCGGCTTCCAAAGCATTGCAATCGCCACTGCGCACCCTGATATCCGCTTCGTAGTGCAAGACATCGAAGACCTCAGCACAAAGCTCGAAGAGAACATTTCCTCACTCGCGCAGCGCCCAAAGATCACCTTCCAAGTCCACGACTTCTTCAAGCCGAACTCCGAGACCAGTGCAGACGTCTATTTCCTGCGACACATTATCCACGATTGGTCTGATAGCTACGCGAGCAAGATCCTGCGGAATATCGCGAGTGTGATGAAACCATCAGCGCGGATTGTGATTATGGATATAGTTGTACCTGAGAAGGGGGTTTTGCCGTGGCATACAAATCGGATGATTAGGTATGTTGCGCCGCATTTTCTAGTTGGAAGGGGTGAAACAGGGGCCTTGGGCTGACTCAAGTAGCTTTTTGGATTTGCAAATGATGGTCGTGGTGAACGGGAAGGAACGGAACCGGCAGGAGTGGGATGAGCTGCTTGCATTGGCTGATCCGCGGTTGATGATTTTGAGCGTCAAGCAGCCGCACTATAGTGTGGCGAGTATCATAGAGATTGGTTTGGTGGAGTAGAGCGTATGAGAGAATGGGACATACAAGGTAGACTCGACTATAGGAAGACCGAAGGATATTAGAGTTGTTAATGCCAAACTGTTTACACGTCATTCTGGGGCAAATTTATCTCGAAATCAACGTCTATAGATTAAGGACCTCTGCAGATAGCTAGGTTATACCATATAGTTGCCCAGGGGCGGAATGCATAACGATTAGTCAATCAAGGCACGAATGGCGGAACATCCAAATTAAGCGCGTCAGTATTCAGCCACTGCACGGTATCAAATTTTTATTAGCCTAATCCACCACTCCAGCCACCGGGTGAAAGAGCGCTACAGCACGCTCAACAGTCTGGAGGACGGTGTTGATAAATTTATACGGGCACTGCTCTCGAAATCCCCAGGTAGCACACCGAGCCCCAACAGAACAAGTGACCATATGCCTATCTGGCGGCCCATTGCCATTGTTGAGTCTGTATTAACTGAATCTGTAGGTGGCAGTTCAGAAGCGCCACCTGCCTTTACTGCAGCCACGAGGAGGTCCAGGACCACGCCATTGAACATTTGTAGAGAACTCTTTAGCGCACCATCCAAGTCCATTCAACTTGGACCAGCTCCAGTCTTCATTTTTCTTCTTCGTCCTCTAAGTGCACAAGGTATTATATATCGAGCAACACGCCGTGGACTAGCCTTGGATTCAAGAACCCGAAGATGTGGGCATGATTCGCCCTAAGTTCCCGCTTCATATTCTAGTTGAGTCCCGTTTCCAGCACGGAAGAACCCTTGTCAGAATGCCGCGGAGAGAGGCCTTGGCTGATTACCTACGAGGCAAGTGTATGCGGAAGTGAAGGCTGTGTTGATCAACAGCTGCCATTATTGGTACCAGCAAATCGCGCCTGGTTTGAGGGTTTTATCTGACCACTCACTCATCACGCCATCCCCCACGTCCCCACGAACCACGCCACCAGACATTATAGAACCAACGTCGCCATTTACCTCCTAAGAGCAATCGGCTACTATCAACGTTCGCTATATGTTTGAACCTCTGCTTAACTTCTTGAGACGACAATATCGTATCCCTGCTCGTGATCCGACAAACATCGAGTTCACCGGCCGATCGGAAATGCCAAAATACCTTCATTCCTTCGTCCACCGCATACTGAGACCATCGAAACCTGAGGTCCTCGTCGGTGTTCCGGACAACGAAAAGAGTCAGCTTCGCGTCACTAGAAAATCCACCTCTTCCCAGTCCAGCTTTGCAGAACAACCCCGAACAAAGCCCCCAGCCAACCCTACGAGCTGTGCCCCCGCGGAGCCTACTCACCGTCACAGCCTGCGCGTCATTAGACAGACAAAACGAGGAATCGCCCTCCGGGACGACAAGCGATCAAGAAAAGCCACCCTTCGTCCAGCCGTCTCCAGCTGTTCGGAAGCGGATTGGATCGAGTGGACAACAAGCGAGTCCGGCGAGTGGCTCATCAATACCAGCACCAGATCTCCCATCACCCGAAAGTACGGCCAGGTATGCGATATCATCGCCTTCACTTCCCAGTCTGTATTGGCCGTTCTGCACTTTACCCAAGCTGCACCCCACATCGATGCCTACTATGCCTTGAAGGTGTTCCGTCGCGGGCCACCACAAGGTAACGACCACTACGAAAACCGCTTACAATCAGAGTTCCGCATCGCTTCTTCCCTACACCACCAGAACATCATCCGGACGTTTGAGCTTGTCCCGATCGGTACCGACACTCTCGGGGCGTGCATGGAGTACTGCCCAGGCGGGGACTTACATACCCTTATTATCACTTCCGGTCTGCTGCAACAACCGGAGGCGGACTGTTTCTTCAAACAGCTCATACGTGGAACCAGCTATCTCCACGACATGGGCATCGCGCACCGAGACCTCAAGCCCGAGAACCTCCTCCTCACCGCGAGGGGCTGCCTGAAAATCTCAGACTTCGGCAATGCTGAATGCTTTAGACTTCCTGGCGAAGAGGCGATCGACATGTCAAGTGGCCTCTGTGGATCGACCCCGTATATCTCGCCCGAACAGTTCACCGAAGCAGAATTCGACCCGAGGGGTACGGATATCTGGGCTGCGGCGGTAATCTACATGGCGATGAGGCTGGGGAGGAATATGTGGAGGGTCGCGACCCCACTGGACGAGGGTTTTGCGGAGTATATGGAGCAGCGAAAATTCCAAGGCAGGGTTTCCTTTATTGAGGATATGTGCTCGGTATGTTTAAATTCCGAAATACTTCTCCTGGAAGAAACTAACTGAGCCCGCTCCTAGCTTGAGAGTCGGAAAGTGATCTACTCCATGTTAAGTGTCACCCCTGAAGGGCGGCCTGCAGCGGCCGAAGTTCTGTCATCTCGATGGCTGCAGGATGTCGAATGTTGTAATGCTGTCAGTCCCAGTATTTCCTGATTAGAACCATCATACCTTCAATTCGGGTTCCTTTTTCGAGTCTCCTGTATTTTACAGATTGTCCTCGTGGGAGTCTTCCAATTGTGGATCCGGAGAATGGGTTGAACCTATTTAGGAGCAATTGCACTGCAGAATCCTATTTCTGTGTGACTACTCACTGATCATTAAGACGCATCCTGGAGTATTTACTAAAACTCAGAGCTCAAGCAATGTGGGTGATATACATTCTGGTACGAAGACGGCCGGACTCAATAATGTATAATTGAACCGTTGGAGGAATGGGGTCTCCATAGCCAAGTAGCTGTGGACGTTCCTAACAACGACCACACAGCTTTTGCATGAGATCCAGATATTGTCAAACGGCCTCTTCCAAGCGAGATCTCATCTTTATATGTTCAGTTTTCCTGGTCGACATCACAGCCACATTTGCGTCTCTTTGAAGACACTGACCACATTAGTAATCACATCACGTGTGAAAAGGCCAAGCTCCAAAGCTCCCCCTTAATCCAAACATTCTCATCTCTTGCTCCATCATGATTATGGTTCCCGGATATGTTGCACCGGCGCGGAAAGAGACTTATCTACTGATACGGACTGAACTCAAGCTTACATCTCTGGTTCAGCTTCAATGCCGTCCTCTCAGAAAAGCCCTCTTTCGTCGGACTTCGCATCTCCTGCTTCGTCACACGTGTCCGAGTCAGTCATGAACAATATCTGCTACCGGTACTGGACACTTCTAGCGGTCAAGGTCCTCAAACGTATTAGACCTCGTCACGGCAATGTCCTTATGTTGACAGACACGCTATGCGTGAAGTACGGGCGGCGGGTCCACCTGTCCGAAGCATCAACGATGAGGTTCATCTCGCAACATACAACCATCCGGGTTCCGAGGGTTCTGTGTGCATTTGAACATTCTGGGTCGACCTACATTGTGATGGAGCGGATCAAGGGCGACATTATCGGCAATGGATGGGTCAAACGAACCGAAGAGTCAAAGGCTAAACTTCTTTCCCAATTGAAAAGCCTGGTCGCTCAGATGCGTGAGATCCAGCCTCCAGAGGGCATGGGAGTTGCCTCTGTTGATGGCGGATCACTCTATGACTGCCGTGTGCCCGGGTCCTCGTTGCGCTTTGGCCCGTTCAAAACCGTCCAGGGCTTCCATCGACATTTACGACGGGGCATGGAGTTTGATCCTACTCTGGACGCCGAAGTCCGGGATCTCATCACGCAGCAAAACAGGTCTTGGCCCTTGGTCTTTACACATGGCGACTTGAGTAGCCTGAATATTATGGCTCGTGGAGATGAAATCGTTGGTTTAATCGATTGGGAGACGGCTGGCTGGTATCCGTCCTATTGGGAGTACACTGCGGCCCACCAAGTCAACCCACAAAACTCCTTCTGGGTCGATGAGATTGATAAATTCCTTCAACCAATGCCAGAGGAGCTCAAGATGGAACAAACACGGCAAAAATACTTTGGCGATATCTGAGCGGCCCTGTCATGGCACCTTGGCTTATATGACAATCTCCTTCAACTCCATCAAATCAAACGTCGGAACCTTCCTCATATCGAAATTGCCCTGCCCATCGAATCGGTGCTGGTCTTTTTTCTGCTGGCAATATCCCATCGCTTGGTTGCGCACCTTCGCCCAGTCGGTAACATTCGTCCCTAATGCTTTTGGATCGGCCCCGAGCGTTTCTAGAGCCTCCTGCACCCACGAGACACAGTTCCATCCAGGCAGGCCTTGTCGGATAGGCGTGGCCCGGAGTATCTCGACCACGCGACTTCCATCCATAACTTTGCCAATGACGATACGGACAAGGAGCATACTGGTTGGAGCAAGTGGGCACTCGCGCTCCTCGAAGAACCATTCCGACCCTCCTCCCAGCTTTGGTCGCTCCTTTGCGTGGTAACGGACGGCCATTCCGCCCTCGGTTTCGACCTTGGGCCCGATAATTAACGCCCAGTGGTACCTAACCCGGAATTGAAGTTAGTATTCTGGTCGTGGCCTGCGAGATCTTGTCGCATGGCTGCTCACGTGTCTTCTTTGCCTGGCATCGTGGCATTGCCGCCCCGTGCGTACAGAGCGACGTACAGGCGGTCCTTGTTGGATGGCATTGGTAGAAGGGAGCAAGGGTTATTTAAATTGTGTTTTGTTTAATAGATGGTTAGAAGTGGCTGACCTTTTGCATTCTGTCAGGGCGGGCTCTCGCAACATATTTATGCTCATGCCCAAGCTAGACTCCAACACAGTAACCACTGGGCACGTCTCCGCTATCTGATATAATTAGATCAAGTATTTACTGGCAACGAAACATTTACTCGAATGTGCTTTCAGTCCAAGAATAGGACCGGACGACCCGGCGCTTAACTGCCGCGTGTCAGGCAATATGTGGGTGGAGAACCGGTTCTCGTCGACCCTGCGTAGTAAAACTGTGTTTTCAATAGCCGCCGAGCTCGTACTCATCCAATAATATAGTACCTGTAAAAAACATTGGTAGAAGATCCTTTAATCTAGTGTTTCACAGGCTCTGATCCCCTCATGTTGCCTTGTCTTAAGCGACCCTAGCACAAGCCTGCCACACCCCAGCGGGTTTCATCCCAGATCAAAGCGACACCAATCGATGTCGCTGAACCGCATCACTTTCAGGCCTTTCGAATGTTTCGCAGGTTCCGTTGATTGCACCATCTGTCGCGGTTTGAAATGCGTGTCGAGCAAGTAACGCCAGGCCCTCGCGGCATGGCATGGCGCTGCTGGAATAGTCAGAGCCCTGCTCACTAGAAATGATGTAGTAAAACACCCGCACTGTAAGAGTGACCGAAAACCCGTCATATATGCCACGATGGCCAGCCATGAACAAGTCATTCATATCTTATTCAAGGTTCCGGGGACAGAATCCTGACGGAGAGGTAGTGTTAATAGGACTGCTCTGCAGCGGGTAGTGCGCAACAATCGAGGAGTATTGTGAGGACCTTGCTTCATCCCTAGTTTGGCGCGACGGATGATGCTATCAGCGTGGCGTTGTGGGACTCGAAGAACTGGTTAGCAGAATTTCAGCAGGAGATGCAGACGTGGCGTCAAGTAGAGGAATGGATTGGGTGGATGGTGGATCAGTTGAGAGAAAAGGAGGGGAATAAGGGACATGTTGTAACTATCGTCGAAGAGGCGGGCGCGATGGATACTCGATATCTCATGAGACATGGAGTCATTACCAAGCCGCCCTGAAAGACGAGGCAGCTAACTCGCGGTTTACTATCTCCATTGGATGTGGTAATGCAAGGTGAAGGCAGTTACTGCATGCTGGAGAGTAGCCACCTGTCATGGATGGGCATGTTGTTGCTGGGTTTGTGCTGGGCCAGAGTACAGAAGAGGACTCGTGGATTTCTTCGTACCAGCTGGGCATACAGCCAAGGAATCTATCCAGTGATCTTGGACGAGCATGTTAAGAACAATTCGCGAGTTAATCTCCTCTGGCGTCGAAGCTAATGCCCGCAGCTAGAAGGTATCATTCAGCAGGTATGGATAGATAAATCCAGGTCTCATCCCGAGCCTTATCGTATGAACCAGCTCCGCTCCAGCTAGGCCAACTGGAGCTGCCATTGCGATACGGTACTCACTCCCAAAGGCAGCTCCCCGCTTTCCCCTGCTTGATTCCCCGATCCTTTGGACGCGCTAATGGCTTGGATGACGTATCCGTGTGCGCTTTTGAAGAAGGATCGAGTGCCAAGGTTCCAAGCCGCGGGACGTCGGTGTCAGGCGAAATATCACGCTGGCCGGAGTTTTGTTGAATCATCCTATTACAGTGTAAGTTCGAGACAAATCAAGGTGCTAGTTGAAGGGGGCGGCAACTCTGAAGTATGCCGGTTCAGCTGAGCCATAGTAAGTATTTTCCCTTCTTAGTCTCCGCCAGGGAGTGTCTGGCCCGCACAGGAACCCAAAGTATCAGGATCAAACAACGTGACGAGAGGAGAGTTCCAGATTGAATAAAAGCCGGCCCAGATACAGAAGCCGAAGACCAGAGTTTGATGGGCCGGTCTAGGAACTTATGATTTTGGCCTTGTGGAATCGAGAACCGATGGGCCCATGGGGTTGGACAGTGGCCAGCTTGGGAACAGGCTAACAACAGTAACCTTCGCGGAGGAAGGCTCGGCACATCCGCCCCCGCGTGTCAGTAGGTTCTGTGGCGTCCCCAGGGGTTCGTTTGGGAAGCAACTGGTCGTCAAAGTGTCGCCTCGGCTGACTCTGCCAGGTCTGGACTTCTCGTTTAATAATAGCCACAGCGAGACGATCTATGCCCTGGCTTAGATCCTCGTCACATTTTCCTCCTCACCCTTCTCTCTGCTATATCACATATTGTCCCGCACAATCTTGAGTCGCTCCTGCCGCATGTGCGAACATGACGTATGACCCGCCTGTCTGTGCCATCGTTGCCATTGTCGTACTGGCTGTGGCCTGGATTTGCGTGATTCTCCGGCTCTACGTTCGTCTCTATCTCCAGCGCAATCTGGCTGTCGATGATATTCTCTCCGTCGCAGCATCTGTACGTCAGCTAGATCTCCTGGTAGCTCGCTCTAATACCCTCAGGCGATCTTCACTGCTTTGGCATTGCGATACGTTATTGGTCTACTGCGCGACGGACTAGGGAGACATGACGCTGCTCTATCCCGATACACGTACGCTCGAGGAATGCAAGTACGTTGTCGACACCAATAACGAGCAATACCTGTTCCAGACTCACCAGTGACATGACTATAGGTCGGCTTTACCTGTGTCCTCCTCTTCTTCGCAAGCACGTACCTTATGAAACTCTCCTTCATCTATACCCTCTTTCGCGTCGTCCAAAAGGGAAGCTACCGCTACATCCTCTACATTCTCACAGCCACTGGCGGCATCTTAACGATATGTGTCGGATTCTGGACACTCTTCTACTGCGATCCGATCAAACATTTCTGGGAGCGACCGCTGCCGAATGTCGGCCCTGGGCATTGCAAGAGCGTCGCTAGTCTACGGACGGTCTTGCTTGTACACGCGGCTTGGATTTTGACGGCGGATCTTACGCTGGGACTTGTTATACCGAGTCTATTGCTGAATAATTTGCACATCCCGCTCGCGACCAAGGTTTCGGCGTGGATACTGCTGGGTTTGGGATCGATGTATGTCTCCCTATTTCACCTTCCAACTCGTGTCGTTCCCTGACTATGAACAGGGCAAGCGTCGCAACGATCATCCGCATAATATACCTCCCCGGCCTTAGCGACAAAGACGCGCTGTTTGTCAACAACCCCGCAGTCCTCTGGTCCAGCATTGAAGTGGCAACAAATATAATCTGCACGAGCGCGATGACGTGGAAACCTTTGATGGTGAAATGGGGCATCGTGAACAATTCGGTGCCCTCGGGGTCCGGACAGCGATATGCGCAGCGACGAGGTTCAGAGCACCACCACTCGCTTCCGATACAGCCGAGTAATGATAACAAATGGCCCGCGCCGCAGGGCTGGGAGGTGAGGAATGAGCCTAATGCAAGTACGCAGATGATCCTCTATGCGGAGGAACCGAGGACGGGGAGGAGGCCTGATAAAGATGAGCGGATACAGGGTGCGTACCATGTATGATGCAATGAAACTTGATTCTACTCTGCCACACAAGCAGTAATATACTTTGACTATATCCTGGGCAGTGAATCGGGCTTCTACTGCGGCAATATCAAAGTGGTTCCTTTTGGGCAAGGACAACCATCGGCATTTGCCTGCTATTACGCCATCCACTTAAGGGTGAAGGCAATGGGACGTTCTTCTGAGGAATGAAGAAAGGATATACCAATTTAGCGGATTCCTCTGGTAAGCCGAAGCTTACTACTTCACCCGTGGTATGGAGTTGTGGAAAGATCCGGAATTTGCTGTTAAAAGAACGGCGGTAAGTACACACAGTAAGCTGATTTCTTGGATGAAATAATTTGCCCAGTTCGAAAGGCTAAATCTGCCAATAAGTGTAGGATCTATCGTATCTGGTGCTGGCCGCTAACTGTTACCATATCCATAGTCCGTGTGCAAAGAATCGTCAGGCAGGCGGGAAGGTGTAGCATCATGACGTGTCCAATGCGTCCGAGGGTATAGACGTTCTGGTCTGTTGGAGACTGGGGTAGTGGCCCCTACTATTCTTCTAGAATCTCTAGCGCGGCTGTCTGCTCTATCTCCAATGGACTAATCCACGCGACTTGATAGTGTTCATAGTGCCGCCTTTCTTGTGTTCGGACTGGGGTGCCTAAAACCATACTTGCTCTTCCGGCCGCAGATATACCTGAAACGAGGGTTGCGCGCACTGCAGAAAATGCACTCTAGAGGATCCTGTAGTGTCGAAGCACCACCGGCCTGGATAGTAAAACGTCTCATGTGGCCGCATAGGGCCCACCATAACTCATGATTTGCAAGCTGTGGAATGGCCTGTTCAAAAGCCTCCCGGACCTCGGTTCTCCAGCCACCATCCTCGTCCGGCGCAGTTCCTGGGTTCCTTCAAGAGGTTAAGGCATCCGCCAAAGAGATAGTGATATGTAAGAGAAATCCCACTGGCACCTCTCCACAAAGGACTGCATCTTCTCTGGCCAGGCAACCGTGATGATGGTGGCAGCCATATGCTTCACAAAGTCCGCGATAATGAGCGTCGTTGCATTCGGATCTCGTACGAGTTCTAGCATCGCGTCGTCAAAGGTCAAGCTTGGGTTGATGAACGCACTGACCCACGGATGAATTTCTTGAAATGTTCTCAATCAACAACCCACCCTCGGCGTAGTCATGGAGGTGAGGGATGGTTTCCCGTGCGACGATGCGACCCTTCTCAGCATTGGACTCAAGTGAGGGCAGGCGCATCCAGTCTCGATAGTCTGGTGCTCCAAAGACTGGAATAAGTGATGGGATATCTTCAGCGGCCATTCTCACGGCGATAGTTGTAATGGAGTCTTGGCCGAGTGGGGAGGTCCTGGCCTGGAATGTGTTTTGAGAGAACAACAGGTAATGAGGGAGGCCTGGGAGAACCATAAGGTATAAAAAATCTTTACCCGCCAGCCTTGCGCTCGAGCAGTCGAGTTCCCTAGCTGACCAGAGCTTCTCGGTGTGAGAAAATGGTAAATGTTTGCCCAACTTGAGGAGAAACAGCCGATGGTGGCTTAAGCCACGGCGGCGGGTAGCCTCGGGGTGAATATTTCCTCAGCAACAAGACTGGCGAAATGCTTTCTGAACATCAAATCCCAGCGGGAGAAGATCCTGGCCAGAACGAGCGGCGGTTTAGGCGGGGAATCAAGCCTTGGAACACTATTAAACACCCGTGAGCTTGGAATTCGAACAGCCAGATTTAATGTACGAAAGGTCTTCCTCGGGCAATTTGGAGCAGTAAGCTGGACGGAAATAGATCAGCCAGGCCACTGAGGTTACTACAGACACGCACCTGGAGGCAGATTTGCCGAACCCAAAGGGTCTGGGGTATCCGGGGGGCTAATCCAAGTCCGAAGGGAGTCGGCCATTCCCACTGAATAGCCACGCCAGCCCATGCGAGTGCCGCAGAGGCGCAGCTCACGATGGCCGCACCCACGGCATCTTTGACAGACAGAGCCCCGTTCACAATCCTCTCCGCACGCTCGCGGACAATCACTTCCTTACCACAGAATGAGAAACGCATTCGGGTCTCCGACAAAGGTTGAAGTTGCGGTTGTCAGCTTTTTGGGAATGGAGGAGCGCTTCCACAGTACTTTAGGCAACTGGCCTGGCATAGCTTAATTCTAGTTTTACATGGGCTACTACTACTACTACTACTACTACTACTACTACTACTACTACTACTACTACTACTACTGGTAATTCTCGCAGTAAGCGCATTTGTTTTTTGACCCGCTTTTGAGCCTGTCATGTTCATTTGACAGCAAACCAATAGTTTTCAGAATTTGTGCCGCAATTTCTTAACACGCAAGTAACAACTCAGAAGGTGGAGCGAATCTGGACTTTCGGGACGAGGCGTTCTCACTGCAAGCTGTCGCGACGTGCGGACCAGTCCTGTGTCACTATGTCACGCACTACCTCAAAGCTGCATGATGTGGCGGTGGCTTTGCACATGCGAAGGGCTGTGAGCCCACGGCGTACTTGAACCCGCGTTTTCCCAACTCCCACCAGGCAACCATCAGCATAACACTGGAGAAGTGAGAAAATAACATTTAAACTCGAGCTTGAGTGACGAGTTGTATTTTCGCACAAGACGGCCTCATCTAATCACACGGGGAATCACTTTTGACATTCGACTTGCTCCCATGGCGGGCGCCTGGCACCATAACGATGTCTTGCTAGTAAATAGTGGGATATTTACGAGCCAAACACGGGCGCGCTGGTGGAGCCTCGATGGCGCGAGTGCTCAGGATGAAATCCTCGATGACGCTGCACTGAGGGCGAAACTTAAAAAGCTTGTTGGTTTTTCCGACTATATCACAACATGATGATCTGCAGTTACTTATTCATGCGGGAATAGGGCACCTTCTGGCAAGGGAGTGAGGAGAGAAGACGAGGAGGAGCAAAGTTGGACGTGATGTATGGTACCCCTTTGTCCTGTAGGGCATAGCGGGCTGATTCTCGACAGCATGCTTGATGGTGATGCTTCGGCCAAGAATATTCCTCTATCAATCGAGCCAAAGACGTTGCCATGTCTGACCCGGATGGCTGGGCTTGATGAGGCCATGATGAATGACTTCTTGCGTTATAGGCTCCCTCACTTGAAGATTCAGGTGCAGTACAATGAGGAGACGGATAAACCAGAGTTCATAAGTGAGATCAACGATATTCTCTCTACTTTTCTCCGCACTTGAGGCGACTTGAACCTGCCATTAACATAGCCTTGATCTATAGGCATCTTCCTTCGCTGCCCAAGGAACAGCAGATGCGTGATGGGCATTATCAAACTTGAACTGGCGACTAGAAACTGTCTTGCCATCCTCAGTACAGTCCTCGCACAAGACATGCAGGACATCTGGACACAATGCATAGCCAACACCGGATTACTGAAAACCCACCCGCTACATCTTATCGCATTTATCTACGAACAGCGCTTCCAATCGTGGGCCGACTGGACCGGCGGTCTATGGAATCAAGTCGCCGAGATTGAAACGGCAACCAACATGGTCCCCCCGATGTGGAAAATGGAAGTTGCAGCCCCTCGGCTGCAGTCGTTGTCTGTCTCCGGTTCCCTGCTCAAAGAGCTCCACGCGACAAACGTACAGCTGAGTCACTGTGACTTCGTCGTAGCCTCTGGTATGCGGTTCGGGCAGTCGTGCTTGGATCTTGTTAGCCAGGTTGAGCGAATCAGAGAGGAGAAGCTGGGCTTTGATCCGATGCCAGTGCGACATCGTGCTGCACTGGATACGCGAATGCGGTATACATTGGACCAGTGCGGGGCGCTTGCGGGTAAACTCTCCGAGGTGCGGAATCGGCTGGGGGGGCAGATGGAGGTGGTAAGCATTCCTTTTCCCCCGCTCTCTTCCCCTTTCCACAAATCTGCTTTCTGAGCTCCTGGCGCTCATTGGGTGATAGTCGTACAGCCTAGTCGCTCAAAAGAACAGCATGGTGAATCTTGCCGTCGCAGAGCAGCAAGCTAGAGATAGTCGCACCGTCAAGGCAATTGCCGTCTTGACACTGTCGTGTCTTCCATCGACACTGGTTGCGGTATGGATACTCACTCTCTTCCACCTTACTGCGGTCACATTGACATGAAGTAATTAAGCTAATGCAATATGTAGACACTCTGGACTGCAGGACTATTCCATCTGGAAGGCGATAGAAATTGGCAGATCTATCTCGTGGTCTCACTTGTCTTGACGCTTGCCGTTCTTGTCCTGTGGAGGATCTACGTATTTGTTTCTGAAAGGCCGGGGAAGCAGGAGAATAGGAGCCAGAGAGAGTACGACCTAGTATGCTAGTCCGAGTTTGCCAACGTGCCTACTAGCCAATGTGCGACCTACCAAGCCTGTCAAAGGTCACGGCCGCAAGCATCGCGTGGCTTTGGCCAAGACTGCATGGAATTTAATTTTCTTTCAAGCCTACAAAGCATAAAGGCTCAACAAGCTTGACAATCCTGCGTATTATACTCATGAAGCAAATGATACTAAAGCTCCTATCGGGATGCTGATGGCCTCTGCTCTGCGTCTACAAGCCAGAAACAATGATGGTATAACTCTCCGGCTATTCACACGGGGCGCTATATATAGAGGAGCAAACCACCAAGCGGTCGCTAACTAAGCAAGCAGATAAAGCATATAAACAAGTCCGGTTGCTTATATGACTAGAAGTAAGGAATAGGATGAAAACAAGAGGGTAATATATCATGCCTTCTGGAGATATCTTGGCACCCGGTAGAGCTTGCTCAGCCCTCTTGCTCGGTAACTATTATTTATGCAGATTGAACAAAGTAGGATCTTTTATAAGGCTCGCCTAGCATAAATGAGTTGCTAATAGAACTAGTAGATTTCCTTTATACTGTTATTAGCTAAACTACTCGCTTGCTGCCTGTGCCATGGTGTTTGAATAATTAACTTGAAACATTGAAGTTCGCGGGGACGGAAGCTACCTTAGACCTAAGGTATTACCTCAGGATTATAGTGGGGACTTTGATTGGCTAAATTAGAAGGCTAAGCTACACTGAGGAAACTCCATGTTTACCTACTATCAGTGTGGCTTAAGTACGCATGGTGGTTTCCGTCCATAGACAACCGTGACCGGCTGTGAGAGAGGGCGGTCCTCATTCGTTCTTCCTCTCGCAACGTGGCCGAAAGAGGAAAACACGTAGCATCGCAGGACTATGTTGCCGGAGGACCCCACTTTCCCTTTTGGGACATTAGCCGTTAGTGCAGTCAGTTCCTTCATCCTCCTGCAGGGAAAGATGATCGTTTCTTATCAGGACGGTTCAGGCTTGCCAATAGCGTAGGTAAGTTGGTCAACTGTCCCATCGCTAGCCGATGAAGCTACGTTATAAAGCTATCTTGAAAACCCGCGAACACAAGACGAAAAGTACCCATATTATTCCAGAGAAATATTTGCCTGGCCCTTCTGTCTCACGATGAAGCTAGTACTCTATGCGGCCTGCTAGTATGCAGTGCCATCGAGACAGCGGCTTTACCCACCGACGCGACCGAACAAAGCAATAGTACCGGTCCCATCGTTAATACACGGAACGGAAGCTACTCAGGGCTACACAATTCCGTATACAATCAAGACTTGTTTTTGGGAGTTCCATACGCCCAGCCACCCGTGGGGAGCCGTCGTTTCGCCCCTCCTCGAAGTCTAAACGCCACCTGGGCTGGATATCGCGCCGCGACCGAGCTTGGGCCTTCATGCGTCGGTTACGGAGAGGACACGGAGTATGGGCGCATAACTACACGAGCGAGGACTGCCTGTTCGTGAACATCGTGCGTCCAGCGGGAAAGCCGGTGTCGACATTGCCTGTTGCGGTCTTTATACACGGGTAAGGCCCATCTTTGTATGCCCAGTTTGACGCGCGGTGACCCCCTCTTGGGTATCTGAATACTGATAGTGACGAACTTCCCCGAACAGCGGCGGTTGGGGAACAGGAAGCTCTGCGAACGGATGGTACAACATGTCCTTTCTTGTTGAACGATCCGTGCAGTTGGGCCAGCCAATTGTAGGGGTAAGTCTTAATTACCGCCTGGCGGGTTGGGGTTGGCTTTATTCGGCGGAGGTTGTCAAAGAGGGCTCGACAAATGTTGGGCTTCGGGATCAGAGGTAGCTCTTTCCGTCATTCGCCATGGTGGGAAGGGGTCTGTTGGGAGGTATTTGACTAATCAATCTCCCGTATAACAGACTGGCTCTGCACTGGATTCAGGAGAACATAGCTTCATTCGGCGGAGATCCGTCAAGGGTAATTATATTTGGCGAAAGCGCGTCAGTCACCACAAACACCAATCTAGGATTCCTGTTAACTGTATACAGCGGCTCTGTCTCGGTTGGACGCCACATTCTTGCGTATAATGGCCGCAATGATAACCTTTTTCATGGAGCTATTGGGCAGTCCGGCTCGCCCGCAGGTATTGGCGGCTGGAATCCGAACATAGGTCAGTGGACTGACTCTCACACACGAAAGAAAAAAAAGAAATGTTAGCTAAATCAACCCAGAGCAATTGTCAGTTGCAACAGCGAACATCTCTGAATCGGTCTGCCCAGACGCCATTGACAAGCTCGCTTGCCTGCGTGCGGCTGATTTCGAGGCCCTCAATAACGCCATCAACGCGACCTTATCCCTACCGTTTGCCGGTCCCATATATGGCCCTGTTGTGGATGGTGATATCGTGGCTAGAGACCCAGTCAAGCAACTCCTTGATGGCGCGGTAGTCAAGGTTCCCTACATCCTCGGAACCAACAGTGACGAAGCCAGCTATTATGCCGGGTACGGAATAAACACCGACCAGGATCTAAAAGAGGCACTGATGACGAACATGGGCATGAACGAAACGCAAGCACTCGCTCTCATGGCGCGGTACCCGTACTACTCAGACCCCGGGGCAACCTCCGCCTCCCCGGAGGTGTCCAACGAACAGCTCAACACTACGCTCGGCCTTCAGTTCAAGCGGGCTAATACCATTGCCACGGATATCTTCATGGGGGCGCCCACACGCTTCGCGGCGCAACTATGGCACGGCCAAGCCTCAGCAAGCTTTACATCTATAGCGCGAATACAACCATCAGCGCCGGGGCTAGATGGTATGGAGCGGCGCATGGGTTTGAAATCCCCTACACATTTTATAACTTAAATGGCACAGGGTGGGAAGGTGACCGCGTCCCATTCTTTGCTGGCAATCCCTTCATGGGTAGACCACAGCCTTACCGTGACCTTGCGGCCGTGATGAGTGGAATGTGAGTGGGCTTTTTCAACACCGGGATCCCCTACTATAAAAACCGTGAGTTATATATATACATATGTTCCAAACATCCTTTTTCACACACCATACCATGCCTAACGGCAGATTCAGTTGGCTGATACTGCTTTTCCGTATAGAACCAGTTCCCCAGTGGCCCGAGTACAAGGGGGCCAATTCCTCAATCATGATTTTCGATGCTCAGCCAACGTTTTTGAATACTAGGCTCGGGAAAGAGCCGCGTGAGGATAAAAGGGATTTTGTGATTTCGCAAATATTCTGAGTTGAGAACAGGGCCGAGATAACTGCCCCAGACAGGCTCATAAGGAGCGATTAAGGGAACAGAATGACGACAGGGGGAATGCGTCGTGGGGTTCTATGAAGTTCGAACTGGAAGATTGAACCGGAGGAGGGTGTTTTGGACAGCGTCGATTTTTGGGAGAGGACCGTCGATTTGGTACTTATGGAGGGGCTTCTAACAAGGAGAAGATCAGGATAGAAATTCTCGCAGGTGGCCTTTGCCAACGTCCTTTATATAACGCGACCAGATACTTTGCTTTGAGTATTTCAGACCAATTCCAAATATCCAAGGCCAGGATACCAACGTTTGGCTAACGCTGTTGCGCTCATCACAGTACTAGGAATCAACTCAGTTGTTGAGCCTTTTCTTTCGCTAAAAAGTTATAAACCTTCCAAGGCCTTTAGAACTTTGGGAGCCTTCTTTTATGAGCGTCTTGCCCGGAAACGCCGTCTACTACAATTGACTAAGTCTGTGACGTCATGTAAGTGTCTATCAGACGATAAAAGTGTATTCCTTCAAGTAGTCTAGCCTCTTGATTTGGCTGTGGCCTGACGACTTCCCCGCCTAGCGGGCGCCCGCCGCCCTTGCAGAAGCCTAACCCAGCCCCGGCCGATAGTCTATCGCTAATCGACCAACAAGAGCGTTGATCGCCGAAAATGGTCGGATCCCTGGCCACTGCGACGTTTTAGGCGACACTCCATCTCATCCCGCACGCCTGGCCCCCACGCTGCCCCCAGTCTGGGCGAATCAACGAGCTGACGCTGGGGATGATACTAATCCCGACGCAGCCTATCGGGTCGTGTAGAATGCAGTGGACCTGATATTATTGATACCGAGATTAGCTTAGCCAGCAAGCTAAGCCTTCCAGCTGCGACCACTCTATTCAGCTGCTGAGCTGCATTACCGTAGAGTCCCCGAGTATCGGTCGGAATACATATATTTATATGAGATGCCCTCTATGGAGACCGACCACTCTATTCTCCTTCCTCCACCCAGTTCTTCTACCACATCAGCCAAACCTCCAATTATCAACCATGTCCTCCAACACGAAACTCCTCCTCGTCATCCTCCCCGGCGCATTCCACACCCCGGAAAGCTACCGCAGGATTACCGAACCGCTTCTTAGCAAGGGCTACGAAGTCCTCGCCGTCGACTACCTCGTTACTGCAAGGTCCTCCGAACCGGATCCCAACCCCACCCTATCATTCATCGACGACGCCGCCGCCCTACGCGAAAAGCTCATTCCACTTTTCAACGAGGGCCGCGAGGCCGTGCTGATCTCACACAGCTATGGGTCATTGCCCGCTACGCATACGGCGGTGGGACAGACAACCGTTGAGAGAAACGAAAGGGGTGAGAGGGGTGGAGTTGCAGCGGTGATAAATATCGCGGGTTTCGCGTTTCCGGCGAGAGGTAGGAATATTATGGGGGAGGAGAGTGAGACGCCGACTATGCCGTATCAGGTTGTTGAGGTGTGTCCCCTTTATAAAGATATATTGGGCTCTGGAAAACATCTGCGTCTCTGCTATAATAAGGAATGAAACCCCCAGCTAACAAACCCCACCCTAGAACGGCATAACGCACCTCCGACCGACCGCAAAACCCCTCTTCTTCAGCGGTCTCCCGCAAGAAGATGTGGATGCCGAATGGGAGCGTCTGGCCCTTAAACAAACACGCAAAAGCATGACCGACTTCCCGGAGTACATCGAGTCGGAGATCCAGTGCCCGAAAACGTATATCCTATGCGAGGAGGACCAGGCTGTTCCGCCGGCGTTCCAGGAGCATATGGCCGGAGTCGGTGGGTATAAGGTTGTGCGGGTTAAGAGCGGACATTCGCCGTTTTTGAGTATTCCGGGGGAAATTGTGAGGATTGTTGAGGATGTTGTCGGAAAGCTTCCTTGAAGGCCCGTTATAGGGAGTCCTGTGTTCGTATGGTAGTTGGACGGGATATGGTCATGGACTTCGTTCTCCTATCCTAGATCTTAGTTTGATGGACTAGGGTATACCTGCGCTGGCCTGAAATGCGCACAGCCTTCCAACTGCGTGTCATGACACCTTTTCGAGTCGCTTTGATTTACCAAGCACGCCCGAAATCCATGATAACCTGGAGCCTCCCGGGTTAAATGCGTAGGCAAGTATGACTTGCCTCGTCCAACCTTAAAAGAGACTATCGCGACCGTGGGCGGCCGAACGCCGGGACATCCCCCGGGGGATCTGCACAGAGCCAGCGGGGTAGATCCGGCGATTCACGCGGCGGCATAAAGACATATGTATCGGGACCCCCTCCTCGCATCTTTCGATCTGCTTAAGCTCCAAATCATCAGACAGGGAAGTCATGAAGCTATTCGCGATTCTCAGGTCCACCCTATCCCTAGCACTGATCCTCCCCCTCGCACACGCCGCAGCGATGACCGAACCGCCATCCCCACCCCAACTCGCCCCCTTCAAATACACCCCCTTCCCCCTCGGCTCCATAAAAGCAACAGGCTGGCTGCACGACCAACTGACCCTCTCCGCAACCGCCCTCCCAGGCCATTTATTCTCTTTCTACCGGTACGTCGCCGACTCCACCTGGCTCGGCGGGAGCCACGAATACAGCGAGTTGAACGAAGCCGCGCCGTACTGGTTCAACTATATCATTCCGCTTGCTTGGACGCTTGACGATGAGCGGCTCAAGGGGCAGGCGAAGACGTTTCTGGATTATGTCCTCGATCATCAGGACAAGGATGGGTGGTTGGGGCCGGAGACCGCTAGACAGACGCGGGGGATTTGGGGGAGAGCTTTGTTGTTTTTTGGGCTTGTTGTATGTCCCTCGTAGTATCCTTGTGTTATATATTCGCGAAGCGAAACAAACGAGCGACCCGATGTTGACTCGATCCAGCAATACGCCGAAGCCGACCCCTCGGAGACCGATCGCATCGTGACAGCCATGCACAGGTTTACAGCACTCGCACACACCATGCTGCAGAACAACTTCACCGGACTACTCCAAGATAAAGGCCAAGGCGACAACTTTGATCCGTTCGCGTTCGGCGTGTCGAGAACTCACGAGCTGCCAATGGCGTTGCAGTGGCTATACGAGAACCATCCCCGGGGTCAGGAAGAAGTCATCTGGGAGACGATGGAACTGATGTTCGAAGGTGGACGGAAAGGAAACCGAGATTGGACGACGTTTTTCGTTCAAGGTGTGTTTCCGACAGTGGGTACGCCGAACTTTAAGACGAGCGGGTTTACGCATGGGGTAAATCTCGCGCAAGGTATGCTCGCTTGCACGATCGGAATACATGCAGGAACAAATGGAGTGACTGACACGCTTAGGCCTTCGGTATCCCTCTGTGCTCTACCGCATGACGTACGATGCAGCCCTGAAGAACCAGACGGACGATGCGGTCCGCTGGACAGAGCAATACCATGCCACGCGCGCGGGCAGCATTACCGGCGATGAGCACCTGGGTGGGAACAGTCCGCAAAGGGGGTAGGTCGCTGCCACGGTCCATATGAGACACGCCACTGATGATCTAGATCCGAGACATGCATGGCCGTCGAGATGATGTACTCCATGGCGTATCTCTACCGGATGTACGGGTTGAACCACTACGCCGACATGGCAGAGCGTCCCGCATTTAACGCGCTCCCCGCGGCGATAAGCCCTGACTGTGAGTCCACCATCTTTTGATCACCACAGTATCCTTGCGGAGAAGAAAACTGACGGCATGTAGGGTGGTCACATCAATACGTGCAGCAAACCAACCAGCCGTGGTCGAAGAACCTAACAGCGAATCCCTTCTTCAACGTAGTCTCGTACGGCAGCAGCTTTGGACTGGAACCCAACTTCCCCTGCTGCACTGTTAACCATGCGCAAGGATACCCCAAGTACGCTGCGTCTTCGTATGTACGTGAACGGAGCGACCATATCATCCATGCCCTGTTAGGACCGACGACCCTGGAAACCCGGATCCGTGGCAAGAAAGTGAGGATATCCTGCGAGACAAACTATCCATTCGACGGAGGGCTTCGGTATACGATTGCCAGCGAGACCGCGTTTGACTTCTCCGTCCGGATCCCCGCATGGGCAGCGCGCCTTGCCGGGTCCAGGTACCGAGTGGGCGGCCGGGAGTGGCGCGCGGTGGTTCCGAACGAGGACTCTCTCCAAACATTTAAGATCAATCGTGGCAGGACGGCAATGGAGGTAAACCTGCACATGGAGCCACGGGTGTCTGAACCACGAAACGGCTCCGTGGCCATCTACTATGGACCACTACTCTACGCGTTGGACATCGAGTCCGCCAACCCAACATCCCACTCGCCGCTGAACTGGACAGACCGCACCCCGCTCCCAGACGACCAGGTTCTTCCCCAGACCCGCGACTGGGTAATGGAACCAGCTTCAGAATGGCGATACGCAATCGACCCGAAATCAATCACTGTGGAGCACATACAGAAGCCTGGCAGTGACTTGGCGAATCCAATCTGGGCCCGCGAGGTGGCACCCGTGGCTTTGTGGGTGGATGGCTGGGTGATTGACTGGGAGGAGGAGAAGGGCACTGCTGCGCTTCCGCCAGTGAGTCCAGTCGTCACCGGGGAGCCCACGAGAGTGAGGATGATACCGTATGGGGCCGCGAAATTGCATATTGCGGAGTTTCCGGTGGCAAAAACTGTGGAGGGTGCCGTTTGACCGAGGGGATGAGGTCTCGAGTTGTTTTTCATTCCCTCATGGCGCACTTGGAGCGGTAATGTGAAAGAGATGTAGCTGCGAGGTGGGTTGTACATGGCTGGGACAAATGGTACACTGGAGATGGCGGTACTAAGACATGCGCCTGCATTGGGCTTATGAGGAAATTCGTCATGAACGGTGTGGAAATCTGGGGAGCACCAGAATTGCAGACACTGTACATAAAACTCTTATACCTTGCTGTATCCGAATCAACCAAAGCTTTCTTCCATGAACTCCACCTGCGACCTGCCCTGTACCTTCCGACAAGCTGCCCGAACATCATCGCTAAAGCTTCCCGTCCCACATACAAGCACGCCCATCGCCCCAATCTGTCGCTCAGATGCCTTGCTAACAATCAAATCCACATCCGGGCGACCACCGCGAATCTTCACAATGCCAGCAGGCACATCTTCGAGCCATCGAATCTCCTTGATATCGCATGGGCTGGTAACGAAGATCCGCATACTAAGGACTTCCGCACTGCCCGCCGCCTCAAAGATCTTCTCCATCCAATCCCGCACCCAGTCCAAGTGTTCCGGCGACCGAATCACCCAGACCAGCTCCAGCCGGCGAACGGCGGCGATGCCCGTGACATAGCCATGAACCAGGTGTCGGATAAACGGCATCTGGTGCGTGATTCCGATCCCCGCCGCGAAGAGCAGGACGGTTCCATACGACTCCATTGTATTTGTGACCATCCCTTCACCATATGGGCCGTCGACACAGGCTACCATTGTAAGCCGGCAGTCCATGGCCTTGCGCGCACGTTGGAAAAGTTTATCTGTAAAGCCCCTTCGGCGGCGGATCAGTAGGTTGACTGTTTCTGCTCTGCGTGGGAGGGTCATCCCATGATTTTCTTCGTCGTCGCTATCCATGTCGTTGTCTTTGACCTGCCCATCTGTCCAGCAGACGGAAAACGGATGGAAGGTCCACCACCCTATTGAGGGAACACACAGGAATATGTGCTGTCCCGGTGCGGCTGCCCATGGTTGCGGTATCCGCAACGTAACCTTCACTGCGTCACCGGGAATGGCCTCGACTGTTGCGGTAGTTGGGTTCACTCCCCACCCTCGGTAAAGGATCCTTGACAACCGAACGGTCCTCTATCATATACTGCCGGTTAGCAACGGTCGTTCTAGACGATTCCCCCTGGAGCCGGAAGGTCAGGAATATGGAATGTGCACCTACCTCAAACGACCAGATTGTGATCGCTGCGACAAGGTAGGAGTGGGCATGACGGCCTCGGAGATGCATCCATAGGAAAGCGAATGCCACAGCCGCCAGGACGAGATGTATGTGGGCGAATGTTTCGTAGAATGCGTGGCGGATCGGTGAGGGCGAATGTAATAGCAGCGCTGTGAAGAGGCATATAGTCTAATTGGAGTACACTGTTAGCTTGTGCATTCTTGTAACTAAGATGCGGATGGTAACCCACAACAAGACCATTCTTTAAGAAAGTGCTTTCGCGCAGCGCTGTTCCTACACCGTCCCAGCCCACTGTAAAGATCATTTAGCATCAGCGACCGCCTCAACATTCCGCAGTTATCGCATATACATAGGCAACATACCTTCCGCAGCTTTCGGAATGCACCAAGCAAAAACATGCGCAAGACCTTCCAAGACAACTATCCGACCAAGCCACCGATGAAACAGGTTGAACGTGTCGGACGGGATCGCAAGCAGCGGTATCAACGGATTATTCCTGCCGGATAACAGAACAAGCGGAACGAGGTTAGCGACTGCAACGACACCAAACCGGTGTCGCATTCTGCCCGCGAGAGAATCCTTGCTCGCGTCGTCGAAGGGTATCGCCACCACGCACATGACGATATTCATGCTGAGCAGAGCAGCAATGAGGAGGGCTTCGAATCGGGTTGGTAGGGTACCGACATTGACGGCTCGAGAAAGCCGCAGTTCTGCCTTGTGGCGTTTGGAGAAGAGGGGGGCATCGAGCAGGTGGACTCGCAAGCTCGCGAGCAGATGGTGGGGTCGTGCAAAGTAGGACTGCTGCTTGTCATTCAAGGATAGGATGCGGCGAATATACCGCATCAGACGGAAATATGTCGCCCACAGAAAGATGAGGGTGGCTAGGCCGCCCAGGACGAGCATTGTGTACCAAGCAACGTCGTCGTGATGGTTCAAGTCCTGATGATTCCCAGCCCTGCCATGATATTGATGTGCCCGGGTTGCAGACGCAAACCGGAGTTGAGGGGCAAGTGCCATCCCTGCAACAGTCTGGTTCCGAGAAAAGAAACGGCTGGCTATGAACAAGATGGCTATTAGGAGAAAACCCGTGGGAACCACGGCAGTTTTGCTCCTTATGTCTAGCACTAATAGGATGTATCTTATAACCCGGACACGCAAGGACCAGATCAGCGGCAGGCCATGGAAGCCGACAGAAGCATGGATGGATGTCTCGTAGTAATCTATAATCGGTTGCTGTTTCCCCGTTTTCGTCAGGCTCATGCATGTCACTTGTCAGTTGTACTCAGTTGAAGCCGGGGTATGTCCCCTCAGCACCAATTACATGCCCGATCCCACTCTCGCCCGGAGATGCCCAACGTGGGAGAATCTCCATAATCTTCAGGATGCTTCACCGGGGTACTCCACGGGGAAGATAATCAGTGCCATCTGGCGTAATCTCCTGTTGATCGACACCACAAGCCGAAATTAGGTCTGGGGAACTCCGCGACTCCGCGTGGGCGCACTAATTTCTACAGGGGCCGCCCCATCGTCGGAGCTTTGCCGGGGTTGTGATTGGCAATTTCCGTCGCAGTTCATAATCGTCGCATGCAGTTCCTCCCCAGTTCGGAAAATGAGGGCGTGGTAGAATGCCCCGGTATACACCCTCGCATGGAGAACCAAGCGTTGGAGAAGCGTGCATCTGTTGTACCAAGTAGAAGTTGTCCCTGGAACGTCAGATAAAAGCAGGTGACGGGAGCTGAGGATTAATAATTTTGAACCGGCCTTGATTTGCCTCATTAGATGTATGTAGATCAAGACATTCGACGCAATTATCGAGCGGTGGCCGTGAGGCGATCTTCTATACTTACCTCGTCAAGCCGGGTGCACTCTGTCTAGGCCCATGAAACAAGGCAGACAAAGCTTCGACGTCATAATATAGGCTTGCCAGCACCAGCACTTGCCCTTAGAGTGACTTAGTTTCCATACTAGTCAGGAACACTAAAACAGAATTCACTTTCGTCTTGACCAGACATTGCAGAAAATCTTGCCCCGCGATCTCGGCCCGACATAACTGATCGGCTATACAGTCGCTTGGTGATCGCCTGGGGATCAGTGTCACCAGTCGCCTAATACGAAGATATCAACGATTAGAATTGCAGAATCTTGATTCTGTAGGTATCAGGGTTTCTCGAGCGCTGCAGGCTGAAGTAGGATCAATAGGACGTATCTAACAGTTCGGGGTGTCTTGTCTCCGGCTCCTCCTACGATTATGGTTCTGTGCAGGGATCGCAATCCTTTATCGGCTTTTTCGCGCGGAAATTGTGGCCGACTCGTGATAGTTCTTGGAACAAGACTATAATAAGGTGGAGTATAGAGTCGTACGTACTCCGGAGTAGTCCCGCTGGCGGCGCCCTGCATATATTTGACGTTCCAATGTACATCATAGACTTACTCCGTGATTACTACTGTGCAGCTTAGCTGAGTACCGGACATATTGATTCGAATCACTGCTCAATTCTCGGCGCGGGGTTGGGATCGGCTGCTGAAGCTTGGTGCGCGAATTAGGACGCCGACAGAGTTGATCGTAAAGGTGGCATTTATTTACATTCATGTATTGACGTCAAATGCTGGTAGATGACACACTTACAAATTTCTGGCATTAAAATGGTCCTGGAGCAGTGACTAGTATGTCCGAATGAATGCATACTTGTTAGTTCCAGATCGGCTTTGGCGGAGCGAAGTAACACACTAAAATTATAGCTACCATGAAGATGAATCTACAGGGACACAAGGAGTCTTGCAAGTACCCTCTTATAAGAGGAACGAGATATATAGCGGTGCAGGCACCTGCTAGGTAGAGATAGGTATATTTAAGGAGCGACATCTATCGGTGCGAGAAACTTATACGTTATGCAGACAAAGATGCTGCTAGGAGGTCAGGCAGGACATCCTCTATCCTCAATCCACATTTCGTCAATTAGCAGACTGGGCAGGAGCGCGGTTATGCTGCATATGCGCCTTAACCAAGTGTCCTGCAGCCAACGCAGCGCAGAGGGATAACTCGGCGGCGAGGACTCCGGCAGCGATGATTCGTGCAAGCTGTCGCGCGTTCTCGCCAGGATTCTCCAAGTTAGAGCCCCGAACACTGAGCATGTCGAGCATAGCCCTCTGAGGTCCAAGCGTTGTTCCACCTCCGATTGTTCCGACTTCGAGAGATGGCATGGAGACGGAGATTTGGAGGGAGCCGCGGATGCTGTAGTTATTAGCTTTTAGATGAACTAAATGGTTGTGGGACGGGTGGGAGGGCGTACTTCTTCATAACGGTGATACAGTTCGCGCTCTCAACAACCTGCGCCGGATCCTGGCCCGTTGCAATGTACATTGCAGCAACGATATTCGCAGCGTGTGCATTGAATCCCCCGATTGAACCAGCCATGGCCGAGCCGATGAGATTCTTATCCACATTCAGAGCAACCAGCGACTCGACATCAGTCTTGAGGACGGATTTGACGACCTCGGCGGGAATAGTAGCCTGCGCCACGACGCTCTTGCCACGTCCATCGATCCAGTTAATCGCCGCTGGTTTCTTGTCGCTGCAGTAGTTTGCGCTCAGTGAGATAATGTCCATGTCCTCGAAGCCCTTGCTTCGCATAGTCTCAAGAGCATGCTCAACGCCTTTCGAGATCATGTTCATACCCATCGCATCGCCCGTGCTAGCTTTAAACCGGATATACAAATTCGTCCCAGCCATGACACACTTCATTGACTGTAGGCGTCCATATTTGGTGGTTGAATTGAACGCCGCCTTCATGGCACTCTGGCCATCAATCGAATCAAGCCACTGTTTTGCCTCTGCAGTTCGTTCCAGAGATTCAAACGTGACACAGGGACCACGGGTCATACCATCCGCAGTCAGCACCGTGCTTACACCTCCACCGGAGTTGATCGCTTTACTCCCGCGCATGACACCAGCAACAAGGACTCCCTCTGTCGTCGCCATTGGTAGGAAATAGGTCTTGCCATCAATGAGTAACGGACCGGCCATACCAACTGGAACAGGCATGTATCCGACAACATTTTCACAGCAGACGCCGAAGACGCGGGACCAGTCGTATTGCTCGTATGGGAGCTCAGACCTTTCGAGGGACCTGGTAAGACTGGAGGTGGCGATTGTCTGGGAGATGATGGCGCGACGGAGTTTCACAGCGCGGGTGAAGTCTCTTACCGTTTTCTCGAGTGCGTGGAGAGGGAGCTTGCCGTTTAAGGAGAGGCTGATGAGTTCATTGTCTGTGAGTACAGCGCCTTTGCCGTCACGAATGAGGCGTTGACAGTCCTCTTGGGAGCGCGTTCCATTCAGCGTAGATGTCAGTGCAAGCTCAAGAGCGCTTTCAAGCTGATTCTGTTGCTCTACCTCCTGTTTCTTCTCAGATAGGTGCGGCTGCTCCTGTCTCGGCTGAGTCGTTACACTGGAAGTGTCCGGGCGAGTACCGACGGATGAGTTGGAGTCTTTCGATCCGTTCCGGGCCGCAGAGAAGAGGCGACCGTTCAGCGCGACACTGATAACCAAAGCTGTGATGATGCACTTCGAGAGGATCGGGTCCTCCATCGTCTTCAGAAGGCTACCCATGGCATAGCGCGAGATGCCATCCGCGGTGTTGCCGCCTACCCCGGACTGCATGGATTCAAGTTCAAACCGGATCGGAGGCACAACGGTCAGAAGTGTCCGTTGGCCATTCTGAATCGCCTGGTGCAAGACGGTATCTAGACCGGTCTGGAAGAGTGTGTTGGAAGGTGAGGGATGCGCTTGCGCACTATGCGATGTCGCAAAGCTCGGACGGCCAGACACGCTGCGCAGAGGCAAGACGACCATGTTCATGACGTTTAGGAGGATGAAGGCGCTAATCATCCCGAGCTTGAACTTGCGCACCCGGCAGGGCGAGATCCAGTGGCCGAACAGGGTTGTCTGGCTCAAATTCTTGCCATTGGGCACCTCTGTTCTACCACTCTGCAGTCGGACAATCTCGAGCTTGATGCACAGAATGGCAGTGTAAAACGAGAAGAGCAAAACGCAGTCGAAGAAGAGGATCCACGCTGCAAGGAAGCAGAAGTGTCGAAGCGCATTGTCAACGCTGAAGAGGGATCCGGCAAGTAGGACGGCAATCTCAACAGCATAGTGCTTAATGATTCCGGGGGCTTCCTGCTGGATCGAGGTCTCAATCGCGCGGGGAATCACGCTCATCCAAGTGCCGCGATCAACATGGGGAATTTTCTCCGCCGGAGCGCGACCGTGGGACAAGACCGCTTGGGTAAGCTTGATGGGATTCTCGAAGCCCACTGTAATGACCAGGAATGGCAAACCCTCTGATAGCATACCGACATGGCCCGGGAATCCAAGCCTGCGAGTCGCAAACAGAGCGAAGAGAAACGCAAAGGTTGAAGATATGAGAATGCTTGTCGCAAGCCAGAAGCGGGAACCCATACGATACATGCTAAGGAAGAGCGAAGCAAAGGTCAAGTGCATGGCGATATAGGCGGATGCCATGACGGCGACATCGAGAGGGCTGGCGATCTTGAAGCGGTGGACGAGCTCGTTGAATTCGTCGCGGAAGAGGCGTCTAAGACTCATCTGGGGCTGACTTTGGGGCTTCATCACCCAGGTGCGTTCCTCTCCTGGAATTTTCATTCCGCGGATGAACGATAGCACGTCGTGTAGTTTGCCATGCGGAACCAACAACGATTGCGTATTATCACTGGAGAGCGTAGCGACCGACAGTGACTCGACATCCAGATGATCCGGTAGCGAAGCGAACGGCACTTCCTCAGAGGCATCACTAAACTCCAAGTTCACAATCGCACGATGATCAACATCCTGACCGAGCTGATCGCTGAAGCGAGCATTATGCCACTTCCATTCTGTGTCCGGGCCAGCATACAGGTGCTTCGCGTTTCCGAATGAAGGGGCTGCACGAGCGTATCCCTTGTCCCGAGAATCGAGGAGCGAATTTTCCAACAGAGACACATACACTGAGCTGACGAGGAGAGACACGAGGACGACCGTATGGACTGGATGCGCAGATGCAAGCCATGACAGTTTTTGAGGTATTGAAGCAATCCTTTCGATCCAATTGCTTTTTGTAATTGGTGGCGCGCTGGCCGATTTGGAACGCATCGAGTTTACGGGCAACCGAATTGGTCACGTAGAGTCTGGAAGATGGAGGTTGAAAGTCCAAACACTCACTTTTGACGCGACCAAAGAAGGAGCGCGCTGGGGACACATCACGTGCAGCTAGGCACCCAGGATTCGGGCGGATCCACAGCTCCCTCGAGAATACAAAAATGATTCGTTGGCTCGGCTTTGTGGCAGGGGGGCTGTGCACTTCCTTTGGCCTCCGGAGGACAGGGCAAGCTTCGATCCAAGGGATGGAATGCAGACACAACGCCTTTTACAACGAGCAGCAGTCCCCACCACAAATCCTAAAAGATATTTATCCCTAAGCATCCATCAAATATCCGCCCAGCTGTTCTCGATACTGCACCAATATTCTATATGTCCCCTTCCTGACCCGCTCCTGCGCTTCACGCATGGGCCCCAAATGTTGGAGCTTCTTAGGAAGCCGCTTGGGTCCAGCTAGGTAGTCATCTATGTAGGAAATGGCCTCACTAACCACCTCCTTTGCAGGAGCCAACTCAAGAAGCCGTCGTACTAACCTCTCATCTTGAGTGGTGGCCGCTATGGAAAGGATTGTTCTGCCCTGGAAGTCCCTCCGCCAGAGATCGGTCGCATCTGACAGCTCAAGAAGAAGATCGCAGATATCTTGGCGAGCGTGCCCAACAGCCGCCATCAGCGGCGTTCTGCCGCTGGAATCGAGCGATAGCAAGTGCACGTCGTGGCAGGCGAGGATCAGCTTCACTACCTCTGGTGTTTGATCGCAAGCAGCGTGCAGAGGAGTCGCTTCGTCGAGGCGAGCAGCTGCATGCACATTAATATCCACCCCTGGCTGTTCTAGCACCATTCGGACTTTTTCGCAGTTACCGGAATATATGGCGTGATGGAGTACCGTTGCTCCTGCGGCGCTGCGGTAGGTCATGGGCGTTTTCTGCAACGAGAGGAGATGTCGAAGCTGCTCGGGGGTTCCCCATTCGGCGACTGCGATCAGGGTCTCCTCCTGCTCTAGGATTCTCGGAAAGGTCTCGATCACAGGGTCAAGCCTTTGCGAGCGCAGCGCGAACCGGAAGAGGGCAGCTGCCTCCGTGGTGGTTTCCTTCCCTGGGTCTTCACTGGGTGTGCTGAGGATCTCGCCGTTCCTTGTCTTCTTGTTTTTCTTCTTCACCTTTTTCTCTCCCTTCATCGCCTGTTTATTTCTCTCCTTTGGATCCCCATCTCGCCATTCCAGCAACTCCCTCGCTGCCGCCGTCTGCCCACTAGCCAGCGCCCATATGAGCGGCGTATGCCCGTGATTATCCACAGCCTCCACCGCGTCCTCCCACTCCCTGAGGACGAACCGAACGAGCTTGACGTGCCCACCCAGAGCAGCGAAATGCAGGACATTCTCTCCGCCACAGCTATCCCGCGGGTCCAAAGGACCAAAATCCGGGGTATTGTTTCCTCCCCTAATTCCATTCCGAGCCTCCAGACTAACTCCCTCCCTCACAAGCAACTTGACTGTATTGAAGTACCCACCCAGCCCTGCACTCATGAGCGGCGGGAAGATCCAGTCATCCTCGGGCGTAGAGGCCGGGTCTACTCCGTGTAACTGCAGTAAAGCCTTGAGCTCGGGTACTCGGCCCAGGTACGCAGTGACCATGAGTGCCAGACGTACCCATACGTGCGGCCCGGGCATCTCCCGCGCTCGGTGCTGGAATGTGCCCCAGTCGGCAAGCAGCTCGATGATTCGATCTGCGCCGTGGGCGCCTAGGATCGAGACTATCGCATCGAGATAGATTGCTCGCAGGGTTTCTTTCGATTCCTGAGTATCAATTTGAGCAGGACCGGCGGTTTCGCTCGTATTTGCGCTCTGCCCACCTTCGTCAACGACAGAGGCGGTCCCCAATGCCATGAAGAACGAAACCATCTCGTCGATTGCCTCGACGATTATCTTCGCGAGGGCGTAGTAGTGGGCATTGCTTACTTGGAAACCGGGCGATTCGCTAGTTACGGATAGGACAGTTCTCAGAATGCGTCGGCCCATGGCTATTGCTCCGTCCGTGGGGGGACACGATTGCCGGTGATGCCAGTACATCTCGTCATCCCCCGGCGCCAATACCCTTGCAAGGAACTTTGGGAAGATTATCGAATTGAAGCAGCCTGTTGAGTCCTGTTAGCCGCAAAAGCAAAACATACATGTACTCGAAGAAACGAGGCTAGAAAAACAACTTGGCCATACGATTCACAAGCCGGAGATCCAGATACCACCTCAACCCGGGGGCAGCAAGTATACACCGTGCGTCGCTCTCCAGGAACAGGTGCCAGTCCCAGCATGAGCTGAACGTGTCGAGAATGCTGTATAGGAGTTCTTGCGGGAGTATAGGTGGTGAAGTGGCGTGGTGATCCACTTTTAGAGGACGTGGAGCGGTGGTCATAACAGGGGATTCCGGTGGACTCTTTGATAGAGAGGGGGTGCGATCCATGGCACTTTGACTAAACGGCGTAGGACTATTTAGGGGTATTTGATACTTATACGAGCAGTCATCATGACTACCAGGGACTCCACTAGTCCAAGTTTGAGTAGAAGCTCGTGTTCGGGCGAGTTCGAAGCGACCACTCAGTGAGTCCACCAATCAACTGAGATCCGAGAACCAGAGTAGTTATATTTTCGGATAGACTGCGTCTGTCGAGTATTGGATCTCTCTTGTGGCTGTTAAGGTATATTAGATTTGGGCGGAATATCGTTTCTTCGTCACACCTTTCTACCATAAACCTGCTCCAATTCCATAGCTTCACATAACTACATTTCATTGAGCTCTAGTGTTGTATATACTGTTCCAGTGTCTGATCGCCATATCTCTACTCCTGTCGAGGCTTCACAGGGGCAGGGTGAGGCGGCGCATCGATCAGCGCAGACGCCTTTGTCAACCAGACGTCCGCAGCAGTATTGGAAGATTTGTATCCGTCGCGAAAGATAAAGTTCATGGGGAACCCGACGTCGAACTCGGCGGCGCCGTCAATCTCATCGAGGTCCTCGGCCGTGAGCGCGATGCCGAGAGCCTCGACGTTTGCGCGCAGGTGCTCGACCTTGCGCTGGCCGATAATAGGGAAGACGTTGGGGGTTTTGTGCATGACGTATGCGAGGGCCTGTCATGCATGTTAGTACATGTTTCTACCGCTCGACAGGCGATTCCTGTCATGGCCAGAGCAAGACGGGAGGTGGTTCGGCACTCACAATAGCATGCAGCGTCGTCCCCTTCCTCTTCGCAACCGCCTCCAGCGCATCCGACACCTTGATATCATGCTCACTCAACTCCGCCGCCCGCCCACTCCCCTTCTCCTCGCTCTCCCTCGTCGCCTTGGACTTGAACTTGCCCTGCCCTAGAGGCGCCCACGGCGCAATCGCCATCCCCTGATCCCGACACATGGGGATAATCTCCCTCTCCATATCCCTAAACCCGGCATTCCACCGGCCCTGATACACACTAAACGGCCGTAACCCATTCGCGCGCGCGTAGTCATTTGCCTTGACCACAATCCACGCGGGGGTATCCGAGACACCTAGGTAGAGGACTTTTCCGGCCGTGACGAGGTTGTTGAGGCCGTGCATGACTTCTTCGACCGAGGTGGTAAAGTCCCACCAGTGCAGGTAGAGGAGGTCGATGTAGTCTGTTTGGAGCTTGCGCAGGCTGCGGTCAACGGAGATGCGCATGGACTTTACGGAGTTGCCGACGAAATTGGATTGCAGGGGTTCGGTAGAGCGGTGCGAGGTGCGGAAGCCGGTTGTGTATTTTGTTGCGATGCTACTCGCGGCGAAGAAGTGTTAGACATGCTTCCGGTGAAGGCATCTGGGTAGGGAGGATGAACTGTGGGGAGTGAACTTGTACGTACACCATCTGGTCGCGGTTCCCGCGCTCCTTCATCCACTCGCCGATCCATTGTTCGGATTCTTCCTGCTGGTAGTTGTTTGCGCTATCCCATTGTCAATAATTTAGGATCATTGAGCGAGATCAAGGTAGAGGGATGTCACATACGTGTCGATAAAGTTACCACCGAGCTTGAAGAACTCATCGAGCAGGGCAAATGACTGCTTCTTGTCACATTCACCCATAAAGTCCTTCCTGCAATGACAAACGTATTAGCGTTCCCCTACAGCGTAGGAATCCTAGAGCCATACCACTGATCTCCGAAATTCATAGCACCAAGGCATAGCGGCGAGACCTTGACGCCAGCCGCAGGGGCCAGGACACGGTGGTAGCCGAGGAGGCTTTGGGGCTTTGGGGCAGGAGCGAAAAGAGACATGGCGACGGCAGTATGTTAGGTGGACGATAGGTATTTGTTGACTTGGTATTCAATGTGTAGGATGAAGTTCTATATAGTCGTGGGTTGATTAGAGTGCTGACGGCAATAAATGTTATCTCCGGTCAGCCTGCTCCACCGAGGCCCTCTGATGTCATGTTTTGGTGGCTGATCGACTGCAATTGATGGCAATTGTATGTGATTCGCGGAGCCAGAGATGAATGTGAAGGAGTACCCACCTTGGCTGGGAACATTGATGGCGGCGAGGTCAGTGTCAACACATTCGCTTACTCCGGATTCCGAAGTAGATAGAGGGATGTGAGAAGTCAAATCGTGCTTCGTGGGTCCGACGAGTCCTGATGTTGCAAGGATTCGTGCAGACGAATTATACTTTGCTTGCGTCGAGCATTGCCTGTGGTGGGCCTAAGCTGTATGTCTAGACTGCCGAGGTATGCAACTGCATTATTTATGCCTGGTTACTTTCTGCTAGGCCATATCGAGGCAGACTACCAGTATGAGATCAATAAAAAGCATGATAAGCGTCTAGAGCCCAGCCAGTGCAGCTTCCACACAGACTGATCAGTAGTGGCGGCCGTACGTCATATTGAGCAACAGGCCCGAACCACGGATATATAAATCTTCCCCATTTTAGATTGCCATATGGATTCAGATGTTAGCAAGGAGGATGGGATCTGGGGAAGAGCTCCCATTAAGATCAAAGGTTCATGGAGGTCGTAGGCGCAGGCGGCCCGGGGCCCACTGCTCCTGCGCTCAGGACGGACTCTAGAGGAAGCTCGGCTTTGATACTCGCAAGTAAGGCGTGACAAAGCTTAAATCCCACTCGGGGTAATCATTTAGTGCCATTTGTTCTGTGGCTGCAGCTGGCTGACTGTTAGTGGGAGACAGTCATAAGAGTCAATAGATATTAGGGCAGCGCATAATCCTGCCTCTCTGAATTGGATTTCCTGCAGTGGCCATGCTAAAATAACGGAATAGCCAGTCATGGAGCCAGCCTCGCCTTGCAGAGGCCCACAGTCATCCAGCTGCATGAAGCTTACTCCGTTCAACGTGGCGGATCCACTCATCGGCATTCATTGGTAGACCGTCCCATGGACTCGGGGACCTCCGGCGTAGACGGTAGCAGTAGGCTATCAGTAGGCTATATGCTGCTCCGACGGGAGATCTCGAGTCTCATTCCTAGGTGACAAATGCCAGTACGGCGCCCGCATAGAGGGGCTCGTACCACGGTCGGTATGTGGAATATGAGCTGCGACAGGCAAACTTGAAGCGTGAGTAGACTTGGCTATGAGCCTAGTACAGCTGGCGGCGCTCCCTCAAGGGGTATTCCCGATATGAGCACATACCATCTCAACCAGGACGAAGGGCTAGAACATTTGATCGACTGATATATTTCGAGTATATAGAGTATGATTCGGCTTCAAGTTTGCAGTATAAGGTATAAATTACATGAGTCTCGCAGCGCAGCGCTAGCGGCCGATCGGCCGAGCAGAGCGGGACTGGCAATTGCGTATAGTGCCGTGAACCATGTGGTATGTCTATAGCCTAAAGCCTGCATGCCAAATGTAACGACGGGAACCCTATAAATGAGCTTGACAGATGCTGATACCAAGACGCCGTACTAGCGGGCGCACATGCGGCTCGGAGTTCCGAGATGTGCCGGGGTATATAAGCGGCCCAGACCTCTCTTAAAACTCCCCAAGCCAACCGCCAAAATGGTCAAGATCTCAATCATCGGCACGCTCATAGCAGCAGCAATGTCGGTAACAGCATATACACCACCGTGGACAACCCTCCCACCAACCCCCGAACTCCCACATGCCTACCACGAGGCCCACGCGCCAATCAACAACATCTCCCTCTGGTACGGCCTCTACGGCCCCCGCATTGGCAAAGCCGGCAGCCCCGTCGTCGTCCTTCACGGCGGAAAGATCTCCTCGCGCTGGTGGGGCCATCTGATCAAATCGCTCGAATGCGACTTTAGCGTCATCGCCATCGATACCCGCGCGCACGGCCGGTCAACAGATGATCTCTCCGTCAAACTATCGTACGAACAATTCGCCGCCGACGCAGTTGCCCTCCTCGACCACCTGAAGATCCCGAAAGCAAGCTTCGTCGGGTGGAGCGACGGCGCCGTAACATCGCTCACCATCGCGATGAACTACCCTGCGCGGGCAGACCGGATCATCGCCTTTGGCGCAAACTACCGCCCAGACCAAGCGAACGCAACCGGTCTGGCTGGTGTAACATTCGGCGAGGATCTGTATAATCGGCAGAAAACGCAGTATCTGCAACGGAACCCCGATCCGCATCCGGATTTTGAGCGCTTCTATGAGCGTGTGGTGGCGATGCAGGAGGTTGAGCCGTTCTGGGACGCGAAGGATTTCGCCAAGATTCCGGTTTTCGGGGAGGATAAAGATGCCCCGTTTGTGCTTGTTGCCACGGGGGATTACGAGGAGGCGATTATAAGGACTGTGCCGGGGGAGATTCATGGGATGGTGAGTTGCAGACCCGTACAGTATATCCTTCAAGCAACTGACGTGGGTAGATTCCGAACTCGCAGCTTACTATTCTTCCTGGCGTCAGTCATTTTGCGTGAGTGTCCCTGCTGCACATTGCGCTTCGCCTCCTGCTAATAGTGCCTAGACCATTGCAGGATCCAGAAACTTTTGCGGTGTCCGTCAAAGCGTTTCTGAGCAAAGCCAAATAGACTACGGAGTTGAACGTGTCAGCTGGAATCTGCGCTGTATTACAACATCGGTCACTAGACTGGTGTCATGGCACCTTGTTAGTCGACCGGTGAAGTTGTTAGAACGGTAGGTCATGGGATGAGATCTGGAACATGCCATATGGTCCCATGGCTAATAGAGAAAAGGAGAATATCTTTTAGAGCTTGATAGTTTTGTGATGAGGGAGCAGCAACGCTAGGGCTCTATTAAGCGGAAGTCAACCTTCATACATAGCTCTTGGCTTTGATATCCACTTGAGATCAACTGATAGACGATATCATGGTGGTATCCCCGCCACTAATTAGCTTAAAACGGGCTGGGCCATAGTCAACTGGCAATCGCGCCTTCCAGGCCGTATAGTTGGTTTTTCCTGGATTGCCTCGTTGGAAGGTTTCGATACCCGGCTCCCAAACCCTGTCGAGGATAGCTGCAGCGGGGTAGGCGATGGTGACGGTAGGAGAGGTAGCCCTCTTGTCAACGGTGGGTGGGCAGATAACGCCGGCAGGGACTGCAAAGCCCAGAAAGGCCGCGAGGAGCTTCATACGGGCAAAAGGCTATGTGCCACTTTTGCGGTGGGTATCGGCCGACTCGAACGAGAACAATCTCCCTGCTTCTACATACGTTCATTTACCCAGGCTCTTCTCCGATCTTCCCTGGATCTTCCCCTGTCCAGAAAGTTCATGTCCCCCGGCGCGTGCTGTTTGAGATATTAAGAATCGACGAGAACAATGGGGTTACCGAAACAGCATTTCCATTCAATTGGACCAACTGGTACAGGGATCAAGGCTTCAACTGCATGATCGGGGGAAAGTAACTAACGATTGCCTTGGCGGAGTGCGAAGAACAGCAGACGCCCTGTGAATACTGTTGGTTATAAGATTGATAACGTGGGGAATGCATGTCTGGCCATCTGGGGTTTACACGGGCGCCTCGGCTGTATCTGTGACACCACTCGCTAATTCTATTGCTGCAAGCTTCCACGGAGAGAAAAATTGGGCGCATACAATCACAGCTTGGCTCTCAATGAGTGATACTGTATTCAAAGGATTCTGGAGACAACGCTACCAGGACGGCTCGGTTCGAAGACAGCCACCTGCATGGATAGATGGCTATCGGTGGATAATCTTGCGATTCGTCATGCGAATAAACCTTTGCAGCACCCATGGACCGATCGAAAGGTTTGTCCTTCCTTACCACTCAACCATGTTGGACGAGGTCCATGCTTCACTTTTCTTCCCGTGGAGGAGCATTTCGAAATCTATGCGTACATTTCTCCCTATACCACTCGGGCAGCTCCCCCACAACCAGCAACCTTGCCATATACGGGTCCCCCTTACAAACCGGTTTCCCAGGACACCCGCCATGATTCCAATAATCCCAGTGATACACCTCCCCATCCCCCGTAACCATCGTATGGACAATCATCTCCCATATAGACCCCTCCTCCTTACTGCAGTGCACCCTGCGCAACGAAAACGCCGTGGCATCCGGCGAGCCCCAGGGGAGACTAACCACGACGTTAACATCGTACTCGACGTCGCCGTTGCCATCGCGGGGCATGTCATCGAGGACCCGCCAGTCGTTATTCTGGTCCCAGTCGCTTGCTGTCCAGCGGACGAGTGCGCCCGTGTAGTGGCGCACGCCCGCCCAGCGGTCAATGCCGCATTCCTGCCTGTTTTGGGCTTCGGCAAGGGAGGCCATCACGTCGCCGATTAGAAGCGGGCCGTGGTTTGAGGATATGAGATACCACCTGCATAGGCCAATTAGCGTGAGGATGGTAAAGGGAGATGGGATGGCACGCACATGGTCTCGTCACTGGAGTAATCCCCATAGCACTCGATTAGTATGCGCTGCATCGGTGGGCTCGTGGCCAGCATTGTGGTCCATGAACCTGGTTTATCATAGATTCGGTTCTCGAGACTAAAGTCGGCGCGCTCCTGGATCCCGCCTTGGGCATATACCTTATCTTTTGCAATTGACAAGCCGAGTCGGCTAAATGCGGGGTTGAGGATCCATGGTTGCGTTTCGTCGGCATGTTCCGAAGGCGGTTGACGGCTTGGTTGGTACCAGCAGGCGGCCTGAAGAGCGGGGGAGGTTTGGATGAGATCGTGCCAGGATTTGCAGACGCGCTGGGCGCGGATTATCTGGATTGGATCGTGGAGATGGAGGATGATTTTCTCAGCAAGTTCGTAGATGCCGAGTGTTCTCTCCGTGGCAGATGGCATTTTCCGAGAAGCCAAACAAAGACGGATGTGGGGTGGATGTAGATGGCATTCATTGAGAATCATCAGGGGTTCAGGTAGCGCTTATCCTTGTAGAAGGCGGGGTTAGTATGAGTCATCAGCCTGATAGGACCGATTCTAGACTGCGCCTACCGGGTCTACTATGAGGGGTCAGCGACAATCTACTCTTACAGACGAGCCTGGATGCTTTCTTATTCTGTCCTTTCTTCTAGGAGATTCATAACGTGGTTTTATTTATTATTGGTCGAGGTCAGACCAAGTTTTGCTCTTCAGTGTTTTGCATCTCATCGTCAACACGTATTCATAACATTTCTTGTCCTCATTCCTCAACTTGCTCTTCGCATGGTGTGTGGGCGTCGGTGGGGATGGGGCTCGATAAGGTTGGGAAACGAGCATAAAGGAATTCGAGCTCACCAAATGATCGAGCATATTTTTTGCTTCTTTGAGGTCCATGATCCGCTTGGGTGGTTTTAATCTCGTCCTTGTCAATTTATTTTTGTATTCCCCTGACACCCCAGGGGTTGCCTATCAACACGCTTGTTTTCCTGACTGATACACCACAACTACAACAATCGCCTGGCTGATTCCCTGACTTTTGACATGTGTAGCCTTTGTTTCTCTCGTGTCACACCGCTGATAGATTGTTTCATGCATGGTATACCTACTGTCTTGCACACGATCGTCAACTCGCATCTCAATCTATATTCGAGCGAATAGATCAAGCGAGCCAACTGAGAATTCTGTCGAGGGCTCTCACTGTATCATTCCGCATCAAAATCCAACATTGTCCAGCTCTGGCGACGGGGTTGGAATGTGGCGGCCAAGGCGACCAAAAGTACGCACTGCCGACAAGGCACAAGTCAAAAATACCTAGTGTTAACCCAGGGCTTTCTTGTTGTGTCTCCTATGCCCCGTGCTACCTAAAAACATAAACAACCTCTTCCGTCACAGCCCCGCCCCGGGTTTCCTGCTCCTAGTCGCATTCAAAGCCTTCTGGGTCGTTAACATTGCTACACTTGACACCCGCTGCCTCCTCAAGTTCGTCTCCCAGATTATTCATAAAGTTTACATTCTCCATGGTGATACCATCACATCCGCCCTGCGACCTACTGCATTGGAACTCCGCCTTCCAACTCGAGCGGACCGTGCCTTGTAAGTTTGAAAAGTGCACGTCCGAGATGTCAAAAGTTGACGTGCTGCAGTTGGCCTTGCTGACGTTTGTATAGCACTGGTTAATAACAAGGGGTGTTTTGTTGCCGTCCTCGATCGTGATATCTTTGTAGGTTATGTTTCGTGCATCTAGACGGACAAGATATTAGGATGAGGAGAAAGGGACTAAAAAGAGGAATTGCATAACCAGCCTAGCTAGCAAGCAGGAAAACAAAACAAGAAAGACTTACATCCAATCCCACCCCCACCCCCATTCGGAGGCCACTCATTCTGCTCCCCCGTCCAGGTCTTGATCCGACCAACATAGTTAGAGCCGTACTGCGTAACATTGCGCACGAGCACATTCTCCACAATCTCAAACCGGTCAGCGTACTGGCCGATGCTGCCAATAGCGACACCTTGGCCGTCGCGGAAGATGCAGTCCTCAATGAGGATGTTTGTCGAGTTTGCCTTGGCGGCGATACTGTCATCCCCGTTCTCTATATCCCATCGCCGAAAGACGATGTTGTCAGAGAAGAGAGTGTTAGCTCCGTCGGTGTTGCGCGCTGGTTTAGAGTTTGTGCTTTTGGCTTTTACATAGATGTCTTCAAGGACTACGTTTTTGGAGCCGACGATTGTTACGGTCCTGTCATGCGATTGTTAGATAGGGAACGGACAGGGCAGGGAAAGTAAATAGCCAAGAGAAGCCTATAGAGCCGGGTCCTACTTACCACATTTGCGGCTGGACAAAGCGAAGGCCATGGAAGTACGAGTCTTCCGCAGTAATAACAAGCATATGGGGCCGATCTAAAGACATTACGTAAGTTCGCAAGAAAGTTTAAGCTGTGGGAGGAAAAAAAAAAAAAAAAAAAAAAAAAAAAAGAGCCCATCTGCTTACTGGGATAGTTTGACTCGCCATTGACAAAGTCATACCACACCTGACCGTTCCCATCAAAGGTTCCATAACCATGCCCTTCAACCTCGAGTCTCTTCCCGCTGAGGATCAGAGCCGTGGTCTGGTTCTGGTACGCCGCTGGAGGATAGCTGTTCTGGTCTTTTCCAGGACCAATGGGTAAAGAGTTTTTCAGCCAGTAGTCGATATCCGTGCTCCACTGTGCCAGATAAGCTCATGTATGTCTATGTCTATGCCATCAATGGAGAAGTGGGGAGGTGTGCTGCGAATGAGCGTACATACCTCCAAACGACCCTGAATATCAATGCGGACGTTGTCGAGGTCTTTGAGATTCATGGCAGTACCGATGTTGTACGTTGTATTCTGAAAGATGATCGTCGAGTCCCTTTTACATCTCTTAAAGGCCTTGATGATAGCCGGTGCGTCATCGGACCCGTCCTCGGTGGCAGGGACTGTGCAGGTTTTGGCGAGCACAGAGGGCAGGGCCAACAGTACAAGGAGGAGGGATCGCATCATGATATTGACTGTAAAGAACTCCCTAAGATCAGATAAACATTGTTCGGTTCTGCTGCTGCCATCGTGTCCCCCTTTTATAGATAGATTGTCAGTATCTACTATTTACCCGATCGTATAAATTAAGCGTATCCCCCCAGAGATTATATTCCACCAATCAGCATGCTACTTCAAAGCCCGCTGGCAAGGCATACCCCAGATTTCTACCCCATACATATGCCGAGAGCACACTGTCGGCTTTTGAAGATGCACACGGGCGGCTACTTGTTGAGAGATAGCTAGGGTAAAAGCTGATGATAGCTTGATGCGGGGATATCCAACGCCAAGCCAAGCCTGGATCGGCTAATCTGGGGACACCAAAGTCCACCTGTCTGTCGCCTTTCCCAGGCCATAGTTCTTCCGTACGACCAGTTTCCCGAGATGGGCTTCTCAAAGCTGTGAAAAAAAAAAAAAAAAAAAAAAAAAGTCAAGTGTACTCTTGCGGACTCGACGTGGGGTTTGGGGGACAACCCGGGAATAAAGTTCTGACTTCTAAGTATACTTTTGTACCCGCCTAGAAAGCAGTGTCAACCATGGAAGAATTCGAGTCAGTCACCGAGTGATCGGTCTCGTGGCATGTGTGTGGGGTCAGCCACCTACCGGTACATCGCTGGCTGCGAAGTGTTAGCTCTGATGCGCCGAGCTTAGAGTGGTAAAAGTCATAGAAAATATGAAGAATTAACTAGTATAGAATTAAGAACTTACTATAGACGCTCTCTATTGTAGCACTATTTTAACTAAGAGTAGTAATCACAGGCACGTAGTACTCGCAAGCGACTCTCGCTAGCCAAGTCACTATTAATAATCATAGGACTATCTTCTATCTTTTATATCTTAACATTTTAAATTTCTAACTTAATGGCGCGGTCTAGGCCGGGGAAGAAGCTAGCTTAAGACTAGAGGAGACTCGAGGATACAGGGGCTTTAACTACCATTAGCCTAGCGCTAGGAGGCTAGTGGCCTGAGGCTAACCCCGCGACCAGCTAAAAATCCTAGAGGCGGCCGCAACTCCGTGACCAGGACACTCGAGGCCCCGATACTCGAGGAACTAGCTAATCAATCGAATACGTTGATAGGGCCGATTTTCCGAAGCTCGATCCGAATCGTACAACACTGCACATCTCCTCCCTCCCCTGTACCTCCTTCGGTGAAGGCCTGGATACATCAACCGAGTACGAGGAGCGCTGCGCGCAGTACGGCGAGACCCTAAGCACCGGTGCGAAAGCTGCCGTGGGCGTTGTGGTCCCGATTGCCCTTCTTGGGATATTCTTGGCGATTTTGGTGTGTCACAAGAGGAGGGTTAGACGGGGGGATAAGGCTGTTGGGAGGTTGTGGGGGATGTGGAGATGGCTGATTTGCCAAGTGCAAGGAGGAGTGGGAATGGTGGGGAGGCTGGGAATGGCGATGGGGATATTGAGCGTGGGAGGATTCCGGTTACGCAGCCGGGGAGGATGGAGAGGGAGAGGAGTCCGACACCGCTGTCACCGTATGAGGCGGCAAGGGGGTAGGGGACACTTGAGACTGCTGAGAGCGGTAGACTTGTCGTTTATGAGTAGATGCATCGCTATGTTGTTGTGGATTATCATGATACTACAATACAAGTGAGCTATGGAGGCATGCACTACCACGTCACGCTGTAACTGCTGGAAATAGACTACTGCTGGAAGATGAGTGTGTACCGAAATCGTAATTCATTACTAGCAAAGCACTTGCTACTTCATTTGGCAGGAAAACAGCTCACAGCTTACTGCGAGGACCGCCATTCTGCTTCAGATCAAACCGATCGAGATTCATAACCTTCTCCCACGCACTGATAAAGTCATTGACAAGCTTCGCCTCGCCGTCCGAGGAACCATAAACCTCCGAAACTGCACGGAGCTCAGCATGAGATCCGAGAATCAGATCCACGCGCGACGCCTTCCATCTTGGCTGGCCGCTCTTGCGGTCGGAACCGATAAAGAGCTCGTTGCTTGTGTCGGTGGCCTTCCACTCCGTGTTCATGTCGAGCAGGTTCACGAAAAAGTCGTTTGTCAGCTGGCCGGGTCGGCTGGTGAGGACGCCGAGAGGGGAGCCGTCGTAGTTGGCGTTGAGAGCACGCAGTCCACCGACGAGGACAATCATCTCGGGAGCAGACAGGGTAAGCAGCTGCGCTTTGTCAACGAGGAAGTCCTCTGCCCGGACACGTGGCGTCGAGTGGCCGTAGCTGCGGAAGCCGTCGGCGATTGGCTCCATGTTGTTGAAAGAGTCGACATCGGTCTGCTCTTGAGATGCGTCGGTGCGGCCAGGTGTAAAGGGGACGACGACGTCGTGCCCTGCGTCCCGGGCGGCCTTTTCAATGGCAGCAGAGCCGGCGAGGACGATCAGATCGGCAATCGAGACGCGCTTGTCGGACGACTGGGCCTCGTTGAATTGCTTCTGGATCTTTTCGAGAGCGGCCAGAGATTCATGAAGCCAGGGCTGGTTGTTGACCTTCCAGGTGGCCTGCGGGTTCAGGCGAATACGGGCGCCATTGGCACCACCACGCTTGTCGCCGCCACGGAAGGTCGAAGCAGATGCCCAGGCAGTTTGTACGAACTTGGTGGGCTCGACACCGCTGCCGAGGATGGCCTTTTTCAGCGCGGCAATGTCGTCGTTGTCGACAACGGGATGGTTGAGCTCGGGAACCGGGTCTTGCCAGATCAAAACCTCGGAGGGGACTTCCGGGCCGTGGTAGAGGATGCGCGGGCCCATGTCACGGTGGGTGAGCTTGAACCAGGCGCGGGCAAAGGCATCGGCGAACTGGTCGGGGTGCTCGAGGAAGCGGCGCGAGATCTTCTCATACTCTGGGTCGTAGCGCAGCGACAGATCGGTGGTGAGCATCCTGGGCGGGTGCTTGACGTTGGGGTCGAAAGCATCCGGGATGAACTTGTCGGTGGTCTTTGCGACCCACTGGTTGGCACCGGCGGGCGACTTCTCCAGCTCCCACTCGTACTTGAAGAGGTAGGTGAAAAAGTCGTTGTTCCACTTGGTCGGCGACTTGGTCCAGATGACCTCGAGACCGCTGGTGGTGGTGTGCGGACCAGAGCCGGTGTTGAAGGTGCTCTTCCAGCCGAGACCCTGCTGCTCGATGCCAGCGCCGTGAGGTTCCGTACCGACATGGCTGTTTGGAGCGGCACCGTGAGTCTTGCCAAAGGTGTGGCCACCGGCGATGAGAGCGACAGTCTCCTCGTCGTTCATGGCCATGCGACCGAATGTAACGCGGATATCTTTCGCAGCGAGGACGGGGTCAGGGTTCTTGTTAGGACCCTCGGGGTTGACATAGATCAAACCCATGTGTGCAGCAGCAAGGGGGTTGTCCAGCTCGCCATTGACATAGCGAGCATCATTACCCAGCCACTCCTTTTCGCCTCCCCAAAAGACCGACTCGTCTGCCTCCCAAGTATCAGGACGACCACCGGCGAAGCCAAAGGTCTTGAAGCCCATGGACTCGAGCGCGACATTGCCGGTGAGGATAAGCAGGTCGGACCATGAAATCTTGCTGCCGTACTTTTGCTTGATGGGCCAGAGCAGGCGACGGGCCTTGTCCAGACTGACATTGTCGGGCCAGCTGTTCAGTGGTGCAAAGCGCTGCTGGCCTTGACCACCGCCGCCGCGACCGTCATAGACACGGTATGTGCCGGCGCTGTGCCAGGCCATGCGGATGAAGAGACCGCCATAGTGTCCGAAGTCGGCAGGCCACCAGTCCTGCGAGTCGGTCATCAAGGCCTCGAGGTCTTTCTTGAGGGCAAAGTAGTCGAGGCTTTCAAAGGCGGCGGCATAGTCGAACTCTTTGTCGTGGGGGTTGGTGACTTGGGTGTGCTGGCGGAGGATGTTGAGCTTCAGGTCGTCGGGCCACCAGTCGCGGTTGCTGGTGCCCCCGCCGCCAATGTTGGCCTTTTTGCTGTTGTGCACGGGGCACTCGCTGGGTGCCATGGTGAGCGATGATGTGAGATGGAAAGAGTTGATGGAATTGATGAGAGGGAGATGAAGTCGATGAAGAAGGGAGGGAGACAGGGGGAGGTCCGGGAGGAAAGAGGGGAAATTGTGGAAGGGGCGATTGGTATCATGGATCTCCCCGCATTTATATCGCACCACGACCCCGCAGCTGTGCTCACCACCGAAGCGAGGGGAAAGCTACATGTGACGAATTGCGTGTCCTTCCATTGGCCTGCGATGGAGCCAGATACCAGATATACTCCGCGAGTCCGGATTGCACTCCAGCCGGAGTTCTGGAGTGGGGCGCTGATCTGGGGTAATTGGCCAATCCACCCTTTGCTGCGTAATGCCTCCTCACTTGGGCCGATTCGCTCTCCTCGCGTCAGTCACTGACTAATGGATCCGGTCCAGACTTCTTGTGCCACTTTGATCCCTGATGACGGAGCAAGAGTCCAGACAGGTACGGCGTCGCTGAAGCGGTCGAGGTGGGGCCGATATTCTCAGCAGATATTCTAATTCTTATCAAATCCTACAGCTTGTGTTTCAGCTGCAAATGGACAAACACGTAATACTGGAGTATCACGGGGATTGCCGAAATCACCTCTGGCGACATCCGTAGGTGCCGAGAGAGTGCTGATACATTTTGTTTCACCTATTGACAATGATATGCCGCCATTTACTGCCGACGCAACGTCGCGGTACATATCCCCCGACTATTATCAATTAGCCAAGTCTGGTGGTACAAAATCCTTCACCTCGCTTCTAACTCCTAATAGTGAAACGAATAAGGACAAGAGGGAGCAGGCGGTCCATATTTCTTTTAAGATATGTTCATAGGTATGCGGTGCGCAAGTTTTGATTTATATTTTTTTTCGTCGAGGGATCGAACTGCTTTTCTGTTGGCAGTCTATGCCACAATCGAGCGGAACGAGAAGGCAAGGACCGACAAACTAGCGAGAGTTGAGATGATCGTGGCTTTTCATATCTGACCAGTACGATTTCGTCCTGCGCCACGACTAGACCTATCCACATCCCTTTCTCAAGCCACACTCTAATCATTTCGCCAAGATCTATGTTCACCCAAGCGATGCTCCGTGGAACGTAGCGCAATCCAAGATCGAGAGCCTATTCTATAGCCACCGGCAGGCGATGACGGAGTATTATGTAAAGGTCCCAATATTTTTTTTTATTCGTCTCGTATGTCTAGCAGTATATCCAAGTCCCTCGGGGCATGTCCTCCCAGAAATATATATTAGCGAGGTTCGCAGGTGCGATCTTTACCGGCAGGCCTGGTACGAAGTCGCAGTACGCTGAATCTAAGTACTGCTTGATATAAGAAATTCATTCTGCGATCCTCATAATGAACAAGGAGCGGTTGTCCTGTGGAATTTGGAGTTCAACTGGCCATCCGCCAGTGGAGGGAAAGAAAGGAGCCTAGAAGTATCATGGAATTTTTGAGCACCACCGCGACTTGCTATCGTCTCCAATGTAGTCCTCAAGCGCTGAGACTCCAATTGATGCCTCGGCTCAACATCCGGTGAATGTGCAGATGGATTCTCCAGAGTCCTGAATGACTCTCACAGACCGGATCAGTATCCGGCGATGCCAGCCAGATATACCGGGCCGGGGAAAGATCACGTGAGACGCTAGTCCCAGGATAGCCTAGCACCACACAAGTCCTCCCCCTCCAAAAACACAGCTTCCTCCGTCATCGAGTCGACTTCACCCCGCACCACCAATTCCCCCAAATCAACAACCAAAACAAACAATTGAAAATGCCCTCTCTGCAGAATAGCAAACTCGCCTTCATTGGCGGCGGCAACATGGCCTCAGCCATCATCGGCGGCCTGCTGAACCAGGGCATCCCCGCGCAAAACATCACCGTCTCGGAACCGTGGGATGTGAACCGGAACAAAATCGCCGATCTCGGCGTGCGCACGACGACAGATAACATTACTGCGGGCGGCGACGCCGATGTCGTGATCATTGCTGTCAAGCCGCAAGTCACAAAGGCCGTCTGCGAGGAGCTTGCGGGCGCGTGGGAGAAGCGCGAGACCCTTCCTGTCGTCGTGAGTATCGCGGCTGGGATTACGTTGGGGAGCTTGAGCGGGTGGTTACAGGGGAAGGATGGACGGAATGTTCATCTTGTGCGTGTTATGCCGAATACGCCGGCGCTTGTGGGTGAGGGGGCGTCGGGGCTGTTTGCGAGTGAGGATGTGACGGAGGACGAGAAGGAGCTTGTCGCTGCGCTTTTAGGGAGCGTGAGCAAGGCGACCGAGTGGGTGGAGCGCGAGGCGCTTATCGATGTTGTTACGGGGCTTTCTGGTATGTCCCATTTTCTCTCTTGCTGGGTTGATGGCTTTTACTGATTCTTATTGCAGGCTCCGGGCCGGCATACTTCTTCGCCATGGTCGAGCACCTCATCGCCAGCGCCAAAGCCCTCGGTCTCCCAGAGGAGCAAGCTACTCGCCTCGCGGCACAGACCTGTCTTGGCGCTGGAAAGATGCTGACTACGTCCTCCGACAGCCCGACCCAGCTGCGCAAGAACGTGACCAGTCCCAATGGAACGACCCACGCCGCTCTCGAGACGTTCAACGCGCTGGGATTCAACGAGACGGTGGACAAGGCCGTCAAGGCTGCGACGGACCGCGCTGCGGAACTGGGAAACACGCTGGGAAAACCATAGATTTTCACTTTCACTGTATGCAATAGATGTATGTAACGCGCTCGAGACTTAAGTTCGAGGCAGCGCCGTCCCTGATTAAAGTGGATGGAATGCAATTGCGAAAAAGCATCTCCGGTATCTCCGAGCTATGGCCCACCGTGGTCGCTCCTTCCGTGTTTGCCAGCTCTGGTACCTTCCTCATTAAGTATCGTTGCTACGGAGACCCTTGAAATCATAAATACGGCACGAGCAAGGCAGCCCTGGGAGCAGTCAGCGTTCGCAGTTGCCCAAGCAGAACTGATTTATAGATCTGTCGTCCACCGTTCCTGGTAGATACATCGACTACCAGTTCATTGAAGTAGACAAGGCCATCACCGCACATCCTTCTCTCCAGTAACATACTGTACACTCGCCTTCACAATGGTCATCACAGTCCGTATCTCCTCTTCAGTCCGCGGCGCATAGACGAGGATATACTCAAGCGGAATAGTAGGAAGACGCCCGAACGTCAGATTCCTAAACAAGCTCGTCCCTGCAAGCGGGAACCGCTGGCCCCAGCCCGACTCGATGACTCGTTTGCCTGTGCGACCCAGATTAGCCTTTCCTATACTTGGACTCGGGGTGTGGTTCCGGTGGGATTGGTGGATAACTAGGCTGGATGCTTACAATCCGCCGGCGCCAACGTAACATGAACAGAATGATCGCTCGTCCCATGGACATGGCAGATCTCGCGCTTCATCTGTGCCGCGACGGGGGTGAGGTCGATATCGTGGCAGACGTGCGCGGCGTCGGTGTATTTCTCTAGGATTGAAGGGACGCGATCGATAATGTGTTTGTTGCGGGTGAGGAAGGCGCCGTATTCGGCCATTAATTTCTGTCCCTCATCAGTATACCAAGCACTGCTGAAGGGAGTGAGTGAAAAGCATGGCGCGAGTGCATACGTCTTTGATCTCCTGGCTCGGAACCTGATCAACCTGCCTCTGCGGGACCGCAAAACTCCCCATTCTCGGGCGGTCGCCCTCTCTTCTCGGTAGATCCTTAAGGAATCCCGTCCGCTCACCCAGTGCAATCTTCCGATCATAAATCTCCGTCCCGAACATGTCGCGCTTGAACGGGTTGAAGACCAGCTTCACGCCTAGCCAGCCGAGGACATTATACGGGGGTCCCCCGGGGCCCAGGGCTAGATATGACTGGTAGTCGCGGTATGCTGAGGGGATTAGCAGGGCGATCACGGCCGCGGGGAGGGCGGCGAGGATGTAGCGTGCCCGAGGGTGCGATACAAGGAGAGCGCGGGATTCGAGGAGGGCATCGCGCGATTTGGTTAGGAGGGTTGTGAGTTGGGACATTTTGATAACCTTGAACAAAGCGGTCCTGGGCAGATTGTGGATTCAAAGCCTTTATAAATGGGGTGCGGGTCTCAACTCCGATGCCGAAAACCGCCCCCATCCGTGGATGTTGGCCGGGGTTGGATTGGGAGTGGGCTGATCTTGTTACATCATTGCCCGGGGTTGGCGGATTGAAACCCCCGGGTTTGGCATGGGCCAAGCATTTTTGGCAGGCGCGAGGTTCCATGGCGCGCCTTGACGATTCTCAAGAATGGATAAAGTTCGGATATCGCGCCAGAATAAATCGGACCACGACACCAGCCACTGGGCCGCAGAGGCGATGCTCATGTTTGGGATTTGATGCATGTCGATTCGGGAGGGCGGGCAGTCCAATGGCCCACAGTCAATTGCGAACAATATGCGACGAAAAATGCGGTCCATTCGGTGAAGATCAAATGCTCACAGCGATACTAACGAGTTGCATGACCTCAGCCCCGCACTCAGACCCATCGCCGCGGGGAGCTGAACGCCATCGCCAGTACTTGCCTGGTTTGCAGAAGCTGTACACTTGCTGCAATTAGTTTGGCCCGGGAGGATCGACACTTTAAATGGCTGGCTGTGCTGCCCCTGATATATCAGCAGTGGTTCTTTGACTAGTTATTCTTCGAGTCGTTGTGGAGCAATTTCGTATTCGAAGAAAACGTGGCTGTCTGTGGGTGGTGGCGGAGGTTCGTCGCTCCCGCAAGGACAGCTGAGCAACGAGCATCTAGACCGTCCAACGGATGTTCGTGGCAACTGAAGAATGATCCTGCAGGATCACCTGCAGAAATAAAAAGATGCACAAGTACGTGGACCTTTTTCTATTCAGAGTGTATGAAAGCTCCCCTCTCGCTCTCGTCCACCCAACCTCCAAGAATTCTGCATTCACACCCCCAGGCAAATTAAACATGCGCTTCGAAATCCACCAAGTCAATCCCGAAAGTCCCGAGTTCGGAGACCTGGTCGCCTGCGAGGTAACCAGTTTCGACAAACCCTTCCAATCCATCTTCCGCTTCTTCTACCCGATCTTCGGCGCCGAATCCGAGTCGGAAAAGAAGACCGCACTTGCAAATCTCATCGAGCTCCAGCGGCAATGGGCGCGCGATGATCCGGATAGTATCTGGCTCAAGGTCATCGATAAAGAGGAAGGGGATAAGATTGTCGGGGGCTTATTGATTAAAGTTCACAAGGAGAATCCGTTTAGCAGAGACAAGGGGAAGGACGAGTCGGCGGTCTGGTATCCGCCTGGTGGACAGCGGGAGTATATCGATGCGGCGCTGGGGATTTTCAATGAGCCGCGCGAGAGGTTTATGCAGAGGGCGCATCTTTGTACGTCCCCCCAATTTCCATACGCCAACCACATGTTCGAACTGACCATTGTAGATTCCTATATCGGGTTCGTGCTCCCCGAGTACCGGCAACAAGGCATAGCCGACATGCTCCTGGTAGAAGAATGCCGACGCGCCGACGAACTCGGTCTCGAGGCGTACATGGAAGCCGTGACAGCGATGGGGGTGCCAATCTTTATGCGGCATGGTTTTATTCCATTCAAGAAGGTGACCGTCGAGCCCAAGCATGACAATCCGGACGCCGAGTGGTTGGATATGGAGCGGAAAATGCAGCCGCTTAGGTTCTGGCCCATGTGGAGGCCGGCGTATGGGAAGATCACGCCGGGCGTCACGGTCCCGCCGTGGAATGAGTTTATGAGTGGGATGCTTAGCAAACTGTAGGAACTGGAGTAGCGCCAACGCTTTGCTGAGCATCGTTCCATTGTCCCTGATCTGCTTGACAGAGGCGGCTATGAATAGGACGCTGGAAGGGGAATCGGCGGACTTGAGATTCTTTTTCTCTACGAAGATCTTTGAATCCTTGTACATACATATCAACAGTGATATCTTGCCGCTTTGCTCCTAGTCTCGCATGCTCATTCCAAAGCTCCTCCAATAACAACCCGGATGAGACCAGTGGATGCACACCCTAGTTCTTGCCTTGTCCGCCAATAGAGCATTGGAAGAAAGTAGACAATATATGCACAGGAGCTCTAAGCCTTTGGATGGAGTGGAGAACCAATCATCTCTCTGTGGTAATGTCTCCTGTAGCTACTTCCAGCTGAGGCATTAAGACCACGTATACCTGTCTATACGTGGGCAGCTTTCAGGATTTAGTTGTGTAGGCTCAAGTGTGGTTGAATGTGCCATGGATCCTGATCAGAGTCAGCACACGTTTGCAAACACTGGAAGTGCATACACATTCATATTCCCAGAAACATTCACTATAGCTCTTCTAGTCCTTTCCTAATAGGCTTTTGGTGATGTTGTAGTCGCCTAATCACATCTTACTATAAGAGCTTAAGGCTAACTGGGTATATCAGGATCAGGAAACAGCCGTTGTAGTTGGATACCTATAGCAAAGGGCGCTCGCCATAATAGCCTAATAAATGTGGATTCTACCCGCTAAATGAAGCTGCTCGCGTGGGGGATATTAAGAGCGTTAAAACATTGCTTGAATATGGAGCAGTAGTTGACGCTGTGGAGTTCAGGAACGAAGACCGTAATACGCCTCTTTTACTAGCTTTAAGTGCAGGGCATGTGGATGTCGTTGCACTCCTACTAGAAAATGGAGCTAATGCTTGTCACGTTAATGCTTGTGACGAAACTACGCTGCAACTAGCCAAGGAGTCTGGGAACGAAAAAGTAGTAAGACTTCTAAGAGAATGGAAATGTCCATGGGTTTGTTGCCCGGGCATTCAGGGTGCTCTTAGTTCTCTCCATTTCCGGGTCTCTCCCCAAATATCCACAAAGAGGACTGCCCAAGCGGGTGGGGAAAACAAGCCGTGGAGCTTCCTTTACGAAGAAAAATGCTATGTCTACGTTATAGACCCTGAACTACTTCAGGCGTCTAGTGTCGTATGCTGTTCTACCCCAGATATTATTAATGAACTTGGAATAACGACATACTCCTTGGGTAACAAGGACGGTGCGCAATACCTTATCCCAAGTTACTATATTTGCCATCTATATATTCCCGCCGAAACTATAACCATGAGAATGCGCTTAGACGTATTCTTTTTGTTCCTTGAAAAGACCAGAATCATAGGCTATACGACTTCAAAAGCTGAACTCTATTGGATACCTTCTACACCAAGAAGCGTTCAGTCCAAGACTTCCTTGGCTTTGCTGAAAGTCACAACCACGCTTCTACTAGCTATACGGTGAAACTTGGGCCCGTCAAGAATACTTTTCCTTCCTCTCGGGAGACCAACTCTGATTCTATCGAAATTCTAGCCACAGAGACGTTAGCTGCTCAAGTATAGTCACCATTCGATAATTATAAACGCATAGGGAAGTTCACAGGTGCAGCAATTCATTTTGTCGGAGCCTTGACAAACAAGTAACTACGGAATGTTCTGATTCTTTCTGTAATCCTTTGCACAACGCATGACGGGAAAAAAGAAACGTAGCTTCACAACTTGTAACCAATGCTCAGTTGAGACTTTCTGTTCATACTGTAAACGAACTGGCCTAGTGTAGGTATTGGTAGCTGAAGCAAGAGTAGGAAGTAAACCAACTTTGTGAATAACCACATGAAGACTCCTGAGCTGTTTTAATCAATGTTAGATAAACACAATTCCCGAGCAAACACAGCTCCACTGACCTTTTTAAGCCTAGAAAGCTCATGATTGCAAGCCCACCCCTGGAGGGTTGAGAAGTTACCGCTGGAATGCATGACAACCGTCTTCACATCTGGTGCTGCAGCCAAGATCGTGTCGCTACTGATATCGAGCCTTTGCCAATCCCAGTGCAGGATATTGTACTGTCTCGTCAGCTCCACGATGCATTTATCAGTATGGGCGGGTCCGACGAGATCATTAACGGTGATCTGAAAGATCTTGTTGACGCCTTTCTTCTAGAGGAACTTGAAGATTGGCCGGTAGGTATCCAGAGAATCCATATCTACCACAGCCCCTTGGACTTCTGATCTTTGATGTTTGCGCGGTGGCAAGCGGACGTAGCTCAGGCAGCTCTCGAAGGGGAACTCGTCGAAGCGTTCTGCGATAATGGCATTCACGTATTTCGTCCCAATGGTCCGGTTCAGCCCGAGGTCGAGGTCGATCTTGCGATCTGGTGGAAAGGGACGTTGGTTTCATGTGTGCAGGCACCAGTGGGGGGCATACCAATGGGACTTTCGCTAAGCCCTGATGGATAGAGAAACTGAAGCTTCCGTATTATGCCGGCCAGGTATCACCAATGCAAGCTTCTCTCAGAGTCTTCTGTCGGAGCCTTTTACCATAGGACCCGCAGAGTCCTTTTGTTAACCGCCAAACACGATGCGATACTGCATGACCGTATTTGATTAATAATTATCTAGGAATTGAAATTCCAACTAGACTATAAGGAGCTGTGAAATTAGTGCTAATAATAACAACTACTAAGGCTATAAATAGGAAGGCGCCTTAGGCGCCTATGGATGCCCAGTCAACAACCCCTCAGCTCATCCTCATTCTGACTACCTCACCCATCCCAATTCATCAACTATCATTTTAAATGACACCACACAGTGCTTCAAAGGATGCTCCGGGGGCGTCCAAAACTGAAAGTGATGCCCTTCCAGAGGGCGTGACTGGGCCGATGCCAGCACTGTTCAAGGAGGTCCAGAACATGACTGCAGTTCTTAACGCGATAAGATCTGAACTTGCAAGCCAGAGTGAGCAGCTGCATCAACTTCATCAAAACTCGACCAAGAACCCGCTTCCTGAATTTCCGCCTCGCCAAACAGATTGGGATAGGCGTGCGCTTCACGCATGGTATCAGTCGTTGGTACCAGACGAGGCGAGACTGCAAAGGATGTGCGAGCTTTTTTGCACGATCTTCAAAAGTGCGCCTTGGCATAATGATACTGTTAGGATGGTAATGCCTGAGGGATATTCTCCCAAAGAACCTATTCCTGTTAATAGTCTGCCTCAAGTAATACGATGCAAACCTGATGCAGGCATTGACCGGCTAAAGCAGGCATGGCCAACTGAACTGACGACCGACGTTCCAGAGTCAGAAGATCGCTCTGCCCCTGACAAGGAATCCAAATTGTTATACTTTCAATGGCTCTGTCCGTGGTTGATATGGTTTTATATAGGCATTGAAAGCCTGGAAGTGCAATATGACCCGCAAGGATACCCTGAAGTCCGAAATGCCAGATCCAAGGTATATCCCATTACTAAGAATCAGCCACTGGGCCAGAAGTACTGGATGGTAGGTGCTGATTTCGTCTTCTAGGACTTTAAATCGCTGCTTGAGTCTATCGCCAATAACCAGCTACGTACTCAAGTCGAGAATCCATGGTTGGACCAATTATATGGTCGCATCATGTACGTGTCCTAGCCACACAAGTGTTAAGGGTTATAGTTCATCACCACTAATTCAGTGATGGAGAATAGACGTATGGAAATGGCCAAAGCAGATGTGCTTCCTGTTCAGGCAATTGCATTTATCCTATGGCAGCTCCATCATCCGGATGTGAATAGCTCCGTGGCGGACACCGATTCCGAGATGAGAGAGATAATGGAAAAATCAGGAGCCCACTTGCTTCTCAGCTTTGCGGGCTATTGGGGACGCATGGATACTTTCTCCTGCTCGCGAGCCTACCGACAAGGGGAGCTGTTATTCGTATTTCAAGCTCGCTAGATCCACATGGGTGAGATTTCTGAAGACATGGAAGCTAACGATGGTAAGCATGCCAAAGAGCCTAGTTTCGTCTTGGAACGGGGCCGGGGGTCGATTCCATATACGAGGAACAAGGCTATCGACGTGCCATACCACTTGGTTGAAATGCGGCACGCCCTTGCCGCGCGCACAACTACCTCCACGAGGCTTCCACATTATACGATCGTCACCCTATATGATGATCGCTCCAGCTATTCGGAGGTGGGGCGTGACGCTGAGTTCGCCTCAAAGAGTCGAACTAAAAAACTACGATTTTCCCGTTGCGGCTCTTTAACAGGAGTCGCGGTTTTTCTAGCTGAGGTTTCCTTGTGTCTGGAGATAATTGCCAGAAGTTGGTCGCGTGGCTTGGATACTCTTGATAAGTTCTTTTCCATGTCTGTAAGTTTAGTCATGCACTACTCACTGGGTTGTCTTTACCAGCTAACAAGCGCAAAGCTAGAACAGCTCACACCATATAAAACCCAGGACCTTATGTTTGATGGTGATGATTTCTTCAAGTCAGAACAATATTTCACGATCCTCCAGGCCCTGCGTCTATGTAGGAACTATGTCAATGATACCATAAGGGACGTGAGGAACATACCAAATATAATCCACGACGAACTAGATCCCACGTTGGAAGGCCTGGCAGAAAATGATTTGGCTGAAAAATTGCTAGAGCTGCAACGTCTGGACACAATCCTGTCTCGTCTCGTCAGCGACTGCGAGGCTCTCTTCGAGCCCTTGTTGGATCGAATTGAGAGAATCAATGAGGAGATGAAAAGTCTTCGGGATGGTGTAAGTTTTCTCCTCCTGTTTGCCTCTTTTACGGATCTCAATAGCGGCTGGAGTATGATTATTCACATGCACATGGCTGCAGCTATTCAATGCCACGTCTGTTCGAGAAGCATCCAAGGGAACCAGTTTGGCCGAGAATAGTGCTCTGCAGAACCGCTATATTCTCGTATTCACTATAGCTACCATTTTCTATCTCCCCATGGGCTTTGTCACTGTACGTTCTCAACCAATTTAGCTCTCCTTGCCTGCCCCCCTCTCGAGTGGATCGCTAACACATGAAACACCAAAGTCCTTTTATGGGATGCATCTATTCGACCCGGATGATGTCTCATCTAAATCTCGGATTCCCTTTATAATCACCTTCGTTTTGATATCAGTGGGAACATACGTCTGCGCAGCAGGTGGCCTTTGGCTGGTTCGATACCGGGAGGTGGCCAAGAAGCTATTCAGTGGTTGGAGAGATCGTTCAGACTCGGCTGTCTAGTCGTTTTTTTTTCTTTGTTTGTTCTTGTTGAGGGGAGTGCTATATCTACAATCACGAAACAATCAGGACGAATGCTTGCGTCTCTTCCTACTTGGCCCTAAATCCCCTCGTCAAGAAAACATGGACAACTCCTGCCCCTCCAAATAAAACCCAATCTACCTCCATAGCGTCTTATCAACAACAAACCGCTTATTCAACTGGCTGACCATCGTCAGATGACGTGCGAGCGCATGCCGCTGGACTCCAACGCAGGCAAAACATTCTTCTTCATTCCATCTTGCGCCCTCCTGATCCACACCTTCATCATCCTCCAGCACGTCTCCAGGCCAGCCACGAGGAAGATCATGCTCCGGATCCTGTTGTATCTCAGAGAATTTTTACGTGAGATATAGAGTGATGTCGTGCTTGGTCATATTATCATCCACTTTATGCAGGAGAGTATGTGGATAGTGCCTCTGTCCAATTTGTTCAAAACTGATGCCAATAGGCTGCTCTGGCCGGCTTGTTAAGCAGAATCGGATTACTGTACCCGTTGCTGTGACGACCTTGGCTGAGTAAGGATCGTCTTCAATTCTTCCTTCGGTTCGCACTCGTAGAGAGCAACGATGACAACCAGAGTGGAAGAGATAGCTTCATCCCGACCCACCGCAAGCAGTGGCTGCAAGACAAGCTTCTTGAACTGCTTTTCAAGCGACTTTCCCCATGCTTGTGATAGACCATATACCTGTCTCCTAGCGGTATAGGCCATTGTATTAAGGCTATAATCGTTATAGAGGGTGGCTTATAGGAGATTCCTGCTGGAAGTCACGTTTCCGCCACGGAAGGAATTCAAACGCCGGATGCGTAGTCAACTATAGTTATGGTAGTAGGTATGGGGTATGATCCATATATCTTGCTTGGCAGACAAGACCTCCATACATTCACTTACGCGCCTTGATCTAGAAAGAAGAAAACAGAGATTCACTGGAGCACTAACGGCTCGGATGGTATTGTGCATTCCTCGCTGAAGGTGGGGCTTGATACCATCAAAGGTCCAGACACGATGCAAACATCTCGCGCAAGGGGCTCCACCCGTCGGCAGGTTCCTGTTTTTCGGCCAAGGGGCACACATATGCAGTTCAGGAGGGACATTTCAGACAGGGTGCGGCTGTCTGGGGAGAGTCTTGTTCAAGTCCGATATAGGAATCCTTGCAGCTACCTGCGGCTGGGGTGGACCACGGAGGAAAAATTCTGCAAATGCACACACACTTACTTGTGATTGGCTGGAAATATCTGGACTGCCTATAGCAGCTCTGTTTGGACCTGGGCGTAGCTAGCGGCACCCTATACGAGCAATGGCTATAATTCAGCTTGCCACGTATTGTGGCGTCGGGCTGAAGGATTAAACCCAGGATGGCGTAGCTGAGCTCGAACTACTCCACTGAGAAAACATTAGCAGGAAGGGTTTTTCCTATTGACGTGTCAATTGTTACAAAGCTACCGATGCCGTCTCAAATGGCAGCTGGCCGTCAACGTCCATAAATATGGACAATCCCAGTTCTAGGCGTCGACGGGAGATATGCTTGCGGGGTAGCATCAGATAAAGCACACCACGATGTTCGACACTTTCCTCAGGAGTATCAGCCTGTTGTTTTCCGCGGGTGGTTGCGAGGAACCGATCGAAGAGAAATATGCGCCAGTCGTCGAAGAGCTAAGGATGTGGGTTGGTGCGGATAAGAGGCGGCGAAAAGACTTCGAGGCAGCGATCCACACAGCGCGGGCACATGACACGCTGGAAGTGCGTGCCATACACTCGTTGGAGGATTATTACAACTTCCTCAACGAGCAACTGTTCTGGGTCCCAAGCGAAGCTTTTCGACCTAAAGACCTGCTCTTCCGACTGCGAGCAACCTGGTTCGTGCTGGATCAGCCTTCGATAATCGGGTATCAGAGTCCAGTCCTACCATCAATGGGAAGTGAGCAACTAATCGACAGTGGTCTGACCTGGCTATCGGCCTGGATGGTACGATATAGCAACGAGATCGGAAAATTCATGGACATGCCCGAATCCGCACCCGCACTGCATACATTCAGGACGAGCCCATCATATCATATTGAGGACTATATCGAGCCTCGCTGTGGCTGGCGAACGTTTAACGCGTTCTTCGCTCGCCATGTCAAGCCTGGTCGGAGGCCTATTGCCTCCATCGGAGATAACTCTGTCGTGACAAGTCCTGCGGATTTCCAGTTCAGAGAGGCTCACCATATCACGCCAGAGTCCACTGTCTTGACGAAGGGGCTGGTGTGGCCGCTTGCGCAGATGTTTGCAGGTTCGCCATATAAGGATCGCTTCGCGAACGGAGTATGGCTGCATGGCTTCTTGAACGTGGACGATTACCACCGAGTGCATACACCCCTTGCTGGAAAGGTCCTCGAAGCACGCATCATCACTGGGCAGAACTATATGCTAGTAGAAGCGGATTCCGCACGGGGTGGGGACGGGGTCAACGAGCTATGTATACCGAATGAGACCGGATACCAATTCTGCCAATCCAGAGGTCTCGTCATACTCGACACCGGCGCCGGACTAGTTGCCGTGCTCCCGGTGGGCATGGCAATTGTATCGTCTGTGGTCCTGACGGCGGAGGTTGGAGCGGAGCTGCATAAAGGGGAGGAACTCGGGTACTTTCAGTTTGGGGGCTCCGATGTTGTTCTTGTCTTTGAGGAGAGACTCGGGTTTGAGATACACATGGAGAGAGGAAGGCATTATCGGATGGGTAGGGAGATCGGGCGGGTAGATGTTGACTCGAGTTTTTATAAACCAGCTTCGAACGCAGGCGAGAATAAGTAAGAGATGCAATTCAACCACGTATTTATAACCCACCGCCTATTGCGAGTATCCAGTATCCAGTATCCGCATCCTCAAGCCCAAACCGACGTACTATGGTGCATAACGTATCTCCGGCGGAGATAAGATGAACTTAAACAGGAAAGCGCGACCATAGCTCGCTCCTTCCCTATATAGGTCATAATGTGGGCGCCTTCCTGGCAGGAAGGTACTTGTCATAGGGCAGATGCGATGAACCCACGCGACTCCTCCTGCGGCGATTGCTCGTCAAACGGTGCATAACCCCCGGGGCCCCTATACTAGACAAATCCGTCATGCTACTCTGTACAGTCTGTCCGTACTCAGAAAGCAGCCTTCTCGCCCATCAGTTCCCTCTATAGAAACCATCTCAGAACCACAGCATACCCTAACAACTCCACGTCTGCCGAAACGTAACACTCCCACTGACACAGCTCCAGCTCTTCTGCTTGCACTGCGAATTGAACGAGCCGTCGCCATTGCGAATCACAATGGCGCTCACGCCGCAGTTCTCTTCGTAGTACGTGTACCCGTTGGTGAGCGTGAAGCGAATCCCGCAGGGGTTCTGGCCAGAGGCGGAGATCTGGGTTATGTACTCGCTGCGGATGCAGGGATTGTTGCCTTCGATCCAGGCGACTATATTATTATTTTTGTTAGCGGGGATTCGTACGGCGGGCTTGAGAGGGTGGGTAGAGTGTACTGTTTAGTAGAGGTTTGTTCTTCTGGAGTTCGAGGGAGCCGAGGGCTATCGTTGCGAGGACGGTGTTGGTCACGATCGCGAAGAGGATGATGAGCTTTTTGAGGAGGTACATTGTACTAGTTGGAAAGGGTGATGGGTACGGCTATGTGAATATCAAGGGAGTACGATGGGGAGAGATTCTTGGGTGATAAACATCACCATCCAGGTTCCAGCGCAGGTGTCTCCTCTTATAGAGCCTAGATAGAAACGACAGTCTGAATACCAAATAGTAATCGGACTTCGGCGGTGTAACTGTCGCTATTTGATGAATACTAATCAGCGACTGCCACTCTCTGGAGGTTGGCGAATGAGCAACTGCCCCTTTGCTTTTGTGCTCACTAATCTATAGTGGATAGGGGCTTTCTACTAGAAGTTTAGAGATGCTGTTCGATATAGAGAGACAAATCTAGCCCTCGATCTTCTTAAAAGACCAGGATGAGTATTCAATATAGTCCGCCAAGGGGTTATTGATCCTTACTACGTACCACGAAACCTCACGATCCTCGGAGCCGGTCTTCTTCTCCCTGCATACCAGAGCCCTGGGGTTAATTCTTAGAATTCAAAGCCAATGGGCGTAGTCTTGGTGCTTTTCACCGTTGATATATATCTTCAAGGCAGGTTAGTTTGAAACATTCCGCGAGGGTTCTGCGGGGATATATATCAGTTTCCGATGGGACACTCAACTCATCAGGTCTCATGCAGGGGAGTAACCGCAACCGTACAATTCTGTCTTGGGGTAGACTTGCCCCACACCACCTCAAAGAGCCTTATAAGACCGGAAACATGATCCAGACTGTGCTACAGCTGAGATGCATCAACTTGCGCATCGAGAGATAACGGAACGGAAAAGCACACGCGCCGAGAGATGCCTTGGAGAGCAAGTGGGCCCGCCAAACCACGCTGCTCATTGGTCGACTGGCCAGCCACAGTGAGTCAGCATCAGTCAGCACGAGCTGGAGTGCGGCGGAGGAGAAACACCACGTTGAGGTTGGGGATGGGCAAGAGCAGGTTGGACAGAACTCGCTCTACGGTAGGGAGCCTTGGGCGCTGAACCTGGTTTAGATCAACTCCTGATGCACTACGGACGGCCAAATCTCGGCAAGCATGCACCGCGGCCATGTTCATCCACTACACAGGGCCGACCTCTGAGAAGCAGGCTGGCGTGCGTGGCGCCATCAACGCCGCGGTGGCAGCGAATGCGAGTTTGAAGCGCCGACGCCGCAGGCACGACGCGCAGAGCACAGACGAGAAACGAGGCCCCGGCGACGCTGGGGATGCTCTGGGCTGGTTGAACGACCGGCCGCTAATCGTCCTCCAGCCCCAGAGGCAGGAGGGGGCTGCGGGGGTCCAGGAGGAACTAATCGCGGATGCTACGGAGGAAGACTCCAGTGAGAGCACTCTGCCCACCACCCAGCTGCAGGAGGTCTTGGACGAGGAGTTTTATTTGTGGGATGGAACCATCCAGCGGTATCTTGGGGATGGGGTGACCTATCCGACGCCCAAGCAGCCGTACTATCCGGCGTTGTTGTTCCAGCGTTAGTGATTCCAAGACTCATCATCCTAGCGAGTTTACCTCTCGATTGGGGCGGAGGATCCCTGTTTCTGACTGCATATTCTGCAGGCCAGAACCTATTCCTACTCGTGGCGCACCAGTACCCCAGAACATTCGCGCACAGCATCTACAACACCTGGACGCAGATGGTCTTGTCAGACGCCTGTCTGTTTCACGCAACACTCTTTGCAACATCCTCCTTGATGGACTTTGTGCAGCAGAAACGCGACAACCCCGTCACCCTCCGCCACAAGGGCGCAACAATCCGCCTGATCAACAAGGCCGTCTCGCAGGCGGCAACGCATGGCCTCCAGGACGAAGTCATTGCAGTAACGACGTATCTGGTGTATTTTGCGGTATCTGTCCCCATCTGTCCCCATCTGCTAGCATCGAGAGCATTCCCATCCTGACTGTTTGCGTAGAAACTGCTCGGCGACTTCCAAGACGCGGAGCACCACGATGCCGGCATAACCGCCATGCTCGAATTCAAGGGGGGTACCCCGCCCCCGACGCATACGTACACGAGTTACTTGCTCAGACTGTATGTCAAGAGCCAACCCTTGACCAAGTACGTACCAAGTCACTGCTAACTCGTGGAAAATAGTCGCGATGTGTGGAACAGCATCGTGTACCGGGTCGACACACTCTGCCCATCTGTGGCAGGGCCCCGAGCGAGCTCGGGCTGCTACACCAGCCTACTGGCGATCGCGATCCAGAAGCAGCTGGAGCGCCCGCTAGAGCAGAGACTGCCCGTCCCGCTGCTGCACTTTCTCATCACATTCAACAACCAGTGCATGAGCGCTGTAGGGTACGCGTTGCCCGATCACAGCACAGGCCCCCCTGAAACAACAACCGCCGACCTGGAGCCCCAAATCCACAACGCCATGCAATGCATCTCCATCACGGCCAGCATCTACTGGACGGCGGTGACTCGCGACTTGAACAACAGTTGCACTTACAACATAACAGACAACGCAGGGGAAATTGAAAAACTCAAAGCCGCACTGCTGCACGTAGACAACCTCTTCTGGCTGCGTTCCGGACCCGAGGTGCTGCGCTGGATCCTCATGACGGGCGCCGCGGGGGCAACCTGTCTGGCCGACCAGGCGTTCTTCATCCTGCGGTCTTATATGATTACCTCGATTATCGAGCCCGAGGAGATGGATGCGTTTTTGGTTGGGGTTGATCACTTATTGTGGATTTTTAATCGAAAGGATGAGCAGGTGGCAGAGGGCGAGGATCGGATCCTGGATTTTGCTTGGGCTGAGGATGTTTTCCGACAGTTAATGTGATTAGAATTGGTTGTTTCACCCCCTCTGGCCTCCCCTGAACTCGTTTCCTTGGTTTTGTAGGCGACAGATGGCACGGCCCAAGCAGAGCGTCGGCGTGGTAATCATGGGTATGCTACTCACCAATAATGTGCCCGAAAACACTTACTGATTTATCATCCGGCCCCGGGACCCCAAAGAGGAAGTCGTAGCGCCTGATCGGTAAAAGCGCAAGTGGCTAAGCCTGCTGAGAAAACGCCCTGACCCATAGAGGTGCCGTGGACAATTAAAGGCTCCGTCTCAATCGCGATTGCCCTGAACTCGGTAGAAACAGCTTCTGCGACAGTTTTGGCTTCGTCGACTGCAGTACTTGGACAGTCTACTGCACTCATAGCGCCTCTTATGGGATTGCCTCAGCGCGTTTCCTGTCCTGGGGACAAGCAGGGATGGACAGTACCCTAGTATCTCCCCTACCATGCCTCTGTTCTCTCCGGGGACGCTGGGCTGACATCCATACGGGGAATTCCTACCGGATTACCAACCCAATAATCTACTCGTTTTCCCTGGCCGATCTGACATGTTCCGCGGGTTGTACATGTCCGCGGACAATGGATGAATGATCAAGAAATGCAGGAAACTGGAGGTGATTAGTGAGCGTGTCCGTACCAACCTCTCCCCAGCAAAAAGCAGAGGAAAAAGAAAGCATGTATAAAGAGGTACCTTGCGAGCAATACAGGGTCCCCGAAAGTCAAGCAGAAACGTCCAGACCAGTGCCACCCCTTCACAATGCGCCTCCTCCTCCCCTCCATCCTCGCCCTCCTGGCAACGTCGTCTCCGCTCGTCCTCGCAAAATGCACGACCTGCCCCTGCCGCCCAGACTCCCATCCCATCGCCGAAAAGGATGACCTCCAGATCTACACCTACCACGCCTCCCCCGTCCCGCTCACCTACCAAAACTCAACGGACCTCTCCTTCTCCCCAACAACATTCACCCTCATCGCAACAGACTCCGAAGCCGTCCTCGTCGACGCGCCCATCACACCGGAGCGTGGAAATGAACTCGCAGACTGGATCGAGGAAACCGTCCCGGGCCGAACAATCACGGCCGTCTACATCACGCACGGACACGGCGATCACTTTTTTGCCATCCCCACAATCCAGCAACGCTTCCCCGGCGTGAAGATCCTTGCGACGCAGCAGGTGTATGATCACATGGAGCAGCAGATTGAACCGGAGTTCTTTGCGAGTTTTTGGGCGGCTCTGTTTCCGGACCTTGTTGCGCCGGTTCTTGAAGATATCACTATCCTCGAAGAAACATACCCGAGTCTATCCTTCTACCTAAACAGCAACACTGGCCACGCCCACCACAAGAAACAGTACGAGCTCCGCGCGGTGGAAGTCGGCGAGGGCGACACGGTCAACTCGACCGTCCTGTACGTCCCCGACCTCCGCGCCGTCATCACCGGCGACGTCGTCTACGGGCACTGCTACCAGTATCTCGCCGAGAACCCTACGGCTGAACTCCGTGCTCAGTGGCTGGCGAGTATCGACAAGGTTGCTGCGCTGAGGCCGAAGTACGTGATCCCGTCGCATGCGTTGCCTTCGGAGAAGTATGGGGTTGAGCATTTGAGAGAGACGAAGGAGTATATCCAGTTTTTTGAGAGGTTGTTGGAGACGACTGAGTCGTGGGAGGAGCTGGAGGAGGAGCTTGTGAGGAGGTTTGGGGATCGCGAGGGGAGTTTTATCCTGAGGTATTCGGCGCAGAGTTTCTTTAATGCGGCGTTTTAAGGTGGGGATGTGATGCCAGGAAGGGGGTTGTGATGGGGTAGAGTTGTTAGCAAGCGTTGCTTAGCTGGTACATTGTACATATATACTCCAGTAGTGCATAGTCTATAGATCCTTGTTTTGCTGAATTGATTCGGTTCATGGTCTTTGTACAAAGCGACACTGCTGTGTATACCCAAGGCGAATGCACGGCATTAATTGTAGTCACTCCTGTCTAAGCAAGGGCAACCCTTGGAGCTACGCGCTTATGGGATAGTAAAGAAGCAGAACCATGGAAGGAACCAACTCAATACGAGGTCTGATAAGTTGAAAAAAAGACTCAAAACATCAAGGGTCGTTGAATGACAAAGGTAAATGAGCAAGAAGAGCTGCATAGCAAGGCAATGCAGAGATCAAGTAGGTAGAACAGCGTTGAGCGAGGTAAGTGGTAACTATCAACCAGTCGCCGTATCAACACACAAATGAAATCCATCCAGTGCTGTTGAATATTTCCATGTCCCGCGTGAGGGACTACGATTCCTTTTTCTTGTCAAAAGTTACTTTTGGTCCAAATCCTCCGTTCAAAGGTCGTTCTGGTCAACCAGTGTTTCGGGTGAAGAGGCTCTCTCAGCGGCGATGGTATTGATCCAGACTGCCAGGCGCACGGCCGCTCTGCAAATTTGTTCCTCCACAATAGGCACGGCCTTGTCATAATACTCATCCCCAAGGTTATGATCCTCCACCCATGAAACGCCGTTTTTAAGCACGAACTTACAGTTCACCCGATTTGTTTCCGCCGCCCATTGCATGATGCATTCCAATGGATTCCGAATGTCGGAACACTCTTCCACATGTAAGGCCAGTTCGCCCATGGTCTGATACAGGCTCTCGCCCACTCAGCAGAAGCCTTCCTCTCATCGTTATGCCTGAGGTTATGCTTTATGCTGTTGATTTTATGTGGTATGGCAGTGTCCCAGACTGAATGGAGATTCTGTCCGCTGCAACGACGGTCGAAACAAACCGCGATGTCATTTCCACCTCTGCCTGTAGCTTCAACGTGCAGGGGCTGATGGAGGTCTCCGAAGAAGTGCATCAGGTACATCAGGGCTTCCTTTTGCTCAGGTGTACCGGTGCGTGGGTCTCTAAGTTGATGTGTCTGTGCGCAGCGAATAAGTTAGGTCGGTCTGGTAGCTAGATGGAATCGTGTGCATGAGGACTTGAGCGGTCCAAGACAGACCATATTCTCCATGGCTGATACAATGCATCCCGCATCATCGCAATCATCCTGATAAGAGACTGAACAGGAAGTCGGAGGACGATCCTCTGCATCTAAAAACGAACATGTGAGTCTCTCATATAGTAAACTTGCTCCGGCAAGTACAAACCGATATAGTGCCAAGGCCGTGTGTAAGGACGCTTTCGCTTGACGGTATCAGCCCAGACTGAGGCATCTGAAATGTCGAAATCTTGATTATTCGTAAGGAGGTCGTTGGCGAGTTGAGCGCCTTGCTCAGTGAAGAATCTCTCTGCTAGGTAGGCGACTGTACGGTGCCCGACGTCTCCCCAGCTGGCGACTGGCTGGTAGACTGAGAGGAACAAGAAACCGACGGACAGAATTGGCGCGCGCATTATGTAGTGCAGATAGATACCAGAAGTTGTTCCTAATAATTACGAGATAGACGTGAGTGATAGTCTACCAGCTTTTGTACAGTGCTAGGTTGCCCAGTCTGGAGGAGTCTCCGCAAAAAGAAACTCAGTTAATCGAGGTGTGCTGAGAATATTGATCCACGGAAGGTATTACACGAGGAGCCGTGTTATCAATGACCGGCTGTCTGGACATCTCAGTCGCAACTCATGTTGTCATCGTAAACTCGCTACTCTGCTGATGAGCTCGCCGTAAACCCTTGGGTCTACATCAGGACTATGTGATGAGGCCGCTGTCTCTAATTCCTTGTCCCAGCTGATGAAGTAATAGTTGTGTGCTTCAAATCAAACTTAAATCGAAAGAGCAGGCCAGATAAGGTTCGCCGTACTACAGTGCTCGTTGGGATAGACTCAGTTGATAATCTCCGCAACCGGGACACAGAAAGGTCTAGCCACATGTCCAAACTCCAAAGAAAGAATAAAAAAAAGCGGTGACCCATTTCGTAAATATCACCCCACCCCCGCAGTGGCTACCACGGTGCAAGTGCTCTCGAAATCTCGGAGCGCAGCAAGGCCGGCCATGACGCCACCGGATCCAAAGATCCGAGCGGCGACTTATGGAACCTGAGAATCCCAACATATCTGGATCCTTTCTGCTCCATTATCATGTAGAATACCATTCTCGTATCTCTCCATCCCAAGTCTAGAAGATTCTTTAAGCAACGTTGTAGTTGCTGGTCCTACTAGAAGAGACCGAGGCAGACATAGTAGTATGTCCCTTGGAAGCGCTAGGATAAATAGCTCCGTAAGAGTCAGCTACTCCATAGTCCCATAGATGTTATGAGTCCAACAATAATTCGTGGAATCGGTTGACAGTCGCCAGTGGGTTTCATGGCACTAAAGTAGTGTTAGGGGAGGCATTGAAGGACCGCTGGTTACGCTTAAGAAAAACCTCCATCTCGCGTTGAACCTCTGCAAACCGGGACATCATCCTGCTATTCATCTATATCGTTACGGGGATAGCTCGGTTCGATGTCATTTGATCCGATTTATTCAGACTAATTCATCAATACCGAGATAATAGCAATACAGACGCTAGCATTGGGAATATCGATTGTAGCTTGTCATTCTGGCCATAAAAGGCGCGCACAGATAACACACTACTGCCGGATTACTTCCTGGCTCAAGGACGCTTTTTGAGCTGGGTATGAAACTTTTGAAGTTAGGTTACAGGGAGCTTCCTGTAAGGGTTATCTCAAACCGAAGCCACTGCTGCGTTGGCTGGGGCGAATTTCAAAAATTCCTCCCAAGCCGTAGCTGTTGCCAATGGACTCTTCTCTGGGCCAAGTTTGTTGAAATACTTTCCATTCTCCAGGAACCTTTTTGAACTGTCGATCACGGATCCGGTCATCGTCGTTTGCCAATTAATTGAGAGTTCTCGGGAAGTCAATGAGATACCCATCCTTATAGTAGAGCGTACGGATCAAGTTACTCTGTATCTTATCAGACCTCATGCCAGTTCAGTCAGTTCATATGTCGCTTACCTGACCCACCTCCGCTTCCTCCAGTGCATGATGGCTGATAATCCTGCCACTTTGGCCCTCCTCGCTTTGTCCTCACGGATCACCTTTGTCTGGCATGTTAATTTGCATTCCTTTTATATGGAGTTATATAGCTCTATATACTCTATTTCCGGCGTTGGCTTCAAATGATACCTAAATAGGTACCTATCAAGCGCCAAACGCCTACTTCTTTGGCCTACTCGTGTTCCGTGGCTAAACACGCATTTTTAAACAAACTCGCCACAATGTCTCAGTGGTCATAAATTCTTCATGGTAGGTTGATCGCCAAGTACTAGAGGAGTTCAAAATAGTCGCAATAAGATTGGGTCAATATAGTACTTTTTAGGCCCAGTTAGCTAGCACACTTTTCGCACCTACAGCCAACACAAGTCAAATAACAGATAAGAACGAGTCAATAAAAACAAAACCAATACACCCAATAGCACAGGACCGTATGTTGATTTTCATCACCCATTACTTTCCTTGTTAACCTCGCAAACTAAAATTCGCATGTAGAAACTGCTGATCTTCAATTTCTCTCGCATCCAGTGGGCGCAAACTTTTTGTGGGCTCTTTCCATTAAATCAACACATCCGCGGCAGTCGAACTCCGTGATAGTTAGTTTTGATTTCCTCATTGTCATACCTTTGGTCAACCCCTCCGAGGACTACTTTGAGGATAGTCCTCGCAGACAGTTCTCCCGGCTCTTTATCCCATGTAACCGTGTCGACAATATCTCGGACTCCAAATTTTTCAGGAAGTAAATTATCTAGATAATTGAGGAACTCTGTGACTTCAATATCATCGCCAACCTGAAAGAATTGGATCCCGATTTGGTAAGGCTTCGCTTTCAGTTCGTCCAGCTTCTTTGCCGTGTATACGAGTGTGGCAACAAGATCATTCTCTAGGTCATCAGTCGGCTTTCCGTCGGTAATAACAATAATATTGATAGGTCGAACATCCGAAACAAAGTCCATATTTTCTCTTGCGTTTCGTAGCGACTCCTCGAGATGATCCAGGTATGGTTCCAGGATATCTTTCAGTCTGGCCCCAATTGGAGTGTCACCGTGCGGATAGACAGACTCGAAGATTTTTTCCACGCTTTGAGGTGTTGTGATGTTGAGGTAAGCTCCGGATTGGGGTTCCTTGGGATTGCGATTTTTGAGAAACCATATGTCAACGCCATCTGGATCGTGCGTAGTGCAGATTGGTGACACGTTAGCTACAGCTTGAAGGGTCTCTTTCCAGTTCTGACCCCTCATGCTGCAGCTATCGTCGATTAGAAATATAGTGTCGAATCGAGCAAGGAGTGCGTAATCGGTCTCAGACGCCCTCTTGCTCTTTGTGGAAGTAAGGCCATGAACCCAATCGCGAGAAGGCATTGCAGCTGAGATGGGTGACAAGTTGAAATATGTATAGTGACAGTAGTCTCGTAGATTTCATAAACTTGGTTTTTAAGGATGTTTTCCAACTCGACGTTAAGAATGAAATCAAGGGTTAGATATAGCCGGGAGCAGTTTATCTAGAGGTTTAGATTAATAAAATGTACTTGTAATATGTGCATCATTTAATAGATATATTCCATCGGATCTGCCTTCATCCTGCCTAGATCCTCAATTCTAGACCGAATCTATAGCTGCGTCATGATTGTGGGTTCCATTTATGATGAGATTCTTCTCTCTTGGCATTAAACTCGACCTTTGTTGGATCCAAAGGTGTAGAAATAGTTGCGTGATACCACGTCACGGAGACCAATGGGCAATTAATGCTATCATGTAAGATATAAGCTTATCTAAGTGACAGCTATGCACAAAGTTACTGGATGTAGAGGCATTTCAAATAACATGGCGTGATTGCCTCCAGGGGGCAGCTGTAATCTTAAAATTACAGTTCATTGGATCCTTGACTAACAGAAGAAGTGCCAAAGGAACAGACAACTAAGAGGTATAATGATATTATAGCCCTACTATTTCCATTTTCCTAATAAACTACACACCATCGAATGTATATCCTCCGACTGTGTTGTTCATTTAATCTACGAATTTACTTTTTGCCAGGAATCCTTTGCGAATAAGGGGTCTGCAGTACGTAGAATACCTGATACCAAGTCATTTCGGTGATATCGTAAACCAAAAGCCTGAGGGCCCTGTCTAACTATTGAAACTATATCCAGTCTATGACGCATAGTAGGCTGATCCGTTAGGATAATGCCTTAACTACTTTTATGCAAGCGTGGGGTGATACCTGTTAAAGCACTATTAGTCCACTACTACCATAGGCTCCAGGCAAACTGTTTCAACGCCCCCCAATCCGCGAAGAAATGTTTGGGCCAGTCCATCCAGAACACCACGGGCTACGGGTCAGCTAAACTTGGCCCGAGATCCGATGCTAGGATCTGCAGACCTAAACATATTAGGTTATTTGGGTCGGATTAAATTATTTGGTAGGAACCGTTAGGATCACGCGCGCGGGTCGGTTGAGCCGACAAACCGGTCCCAAGCCACGGTGTAACACGTGCCATTTTAGGTAAACCTATATTCGAGTCAATGACTCTGATCCATGGCCTGCCGCCCAACCACAAACCACGATCTACAAAGAACTTCCAATATTCGTATAGGATTATTTTACACCCGGTGGAAGCATTGGAGGTAGTGTCGTCACCAAAGGCGGTTATGAAAAGGCAGTTCCCAATGTAAAGACGAATGAAGAAGAGCGTCGCAATAACGCTACGAGATCACTCGCCGCCATATTCAACCGTTTTAGATAGAAACAGTCGCAAATAGATATAGTAAGTACAACCTGTTTACGTCGCCGATGCTGGTTGAGAAGGTTGCCGTCCGGCCCGTTTCGACGGTCGATGAAACGTCAATATGGCCGGTGTTGACCTGGGTGTCTGAGACCTTGTAGGAGGCGCCGATGATCTCGTATGAGTCGCCGTCTCTGTTTGTGTTGAACGTCATGAGCGAGGAAGGATGAAAAACTATAGTGCGCAGTAGGAAATAACATACTGGGTAACGGTATCGTAGTCACGCTTGGCGGCCTCGCGCTTGCCGGCGGTGGTGCTCCCGTTGGTGGGAAGGAGCCTGGCCTGGTCGGGGTCACAGTCACCGCAGCAATAGCTGAAGCTCACTGAGCTCGTAATAGCCAGTCTGTAGATATTGTTAGGCAACTCTTAGAAGCCGCCAGGTAGTCTACTCACCGACTTCACACCGCATTGCTATATCTGCAGAACAGTTAGCGTTGTGGGCCTAAATTAGAAGTGAACTACAACTGGATATGCGGCCTTGGCTCATGGTTGCTGTGGCTTGGGGCGAATCTAGATAATATTGGCCGCACCCTTGAAGTGCCTACTTTCAAGAACATAGACACAATCTCGGCCACTTCTAGAGATGTTTCTTTACGTTGGGGACCAATAACGATTATTGAAATGACTGCATTTCACAAGATAAAGATCAACCAGGAGTTGTTCCTTTCTTAAATCCATCTGACTTGTCAGTGCAGAGGTAAGCCCGTCCCCGTGGGGAAAGGCTATTGTCTAATCATCGCATTTCTTGATATAATTTTATTATTCCAAGCTGGATTGAACAGACTATGTTGGAATCAACACAAAGAATCCACACGCATTTATCTGGGCTGACGAGCTAGACCCCTCGGAGCAAACATCGTGGGAAGTTGGAGAAGTAGTGGTCAAAGTCATTGCAGCGCGTAGTACGCGGGCTGGTACTTCCCTCCGTCGAGCACCAAGTTTGATGCTCCGCCGGCAAGGTTTATGTACCAGACAGAAGGAGTATACTTCCAGTTTTACCTAGTCTTCTCCCATTCCCCTCCTGCAGTCTCAAACCCCCTTCCGTAACCCATGCCCTTGATAGACCAGTCTTCGCAGATCCTTTCCCCGCGCATTATCCACACCGTCGAAGGCCGGGTGCTGCGTTGCTATGCATAGTTTCGATGCACTAGCTTCCATGGCCGAGGTTAGATAATCTGGTGTACGAATAGCCTATTGCAGCAAGGGCAGGCCGTCATGTGGGACTTACATTCGTCTTCTAGTACAAATTTTAAACATAAAGGGCGCCCATTTGGCCCCCAGAAGCCGATCCACCCCGGAGATCGTCACTGGGGCTGTGCGGATTTGACGCAGATCACGCTTACTCCGGAGAAGAACGGTGCCAATGACGGGCCGATCAGCACGTCGAATTGTCGGCTTTAGCAGGGATGTTGCGGGCACAGCCCTGCCATCTTATTATAGAAATTCGTCCGATTGGGGTAGTATCATGCGCTCTTCCTCTTCCACCATGCGGAGTGACGACACCGGGTGAACGGGGCGAAATGAGATATAAGCTCTTTGCGTTCCATCCTATCCCCAGGGAAAACAATAAAGTCAACTTGTGTATTTACTGGTCTTTCTAGGCATACCTTTGAGAACCATGCGACCCCAGCACCCCGTCTTTCTCACCCTCCTACAATTCACCCCCTACACTCTCGCACAACCATCCCGGGTGCTAGATATCAACTTCCCGGACCCAGCTGTAATCCAAACATCGCAGGGATACTATGCCTTCGGCACGCAATCCAACGGCGTGCGCGTCCCCGTCGCGCGCTCAGACGATTTCACTTCGTGGACTCTCCTCGAGGAAACGGATGCTCTGCCCGAGCCGTACCCCCAATGGATAAACGAGAGTAATCCGCAGGTTTGGGCGCCGGACGTTGTAGAGCTGGTATGGTCCCCTTTTTCTCCTAAGACAGGTGGTGATCTGCTAATTTGGGCGCTGGATAGGATGACGGATCGTTCGTAATGTACTTTAGCGCAATCGCAACGTCCTCCGGAAAACACTGCATCGGGACGGCAAAATCGACCTCGGTCACGGGTTCCTACACGGGCCAAGAAACCCCTCTCGCGTGTCACACAGATGAAGGCGGCGCCATCGACGCGTCAGGGTTCCAGGACACAGACGGCACGCGGTATGTTGTGTACAAGGTTGACGGTAACAGTCTGAACGGGGACGGGACGACGCATCCCACGCCCATCATGCTGCAGCGGCTCGCATCGGACGGCGTCACAGCCGAGGGAGACCCGGTGCAGATCCTCGACCGCGACGAGGCGGATGGTCCCCTTGTGGAAGCACCCAGCCTCCTGCACGTCGATGGAACATATTACCTCTCCTTCTCGTCAAACTGGTACAACAGTCTAAACTACGATGTGAGCTACGCGACTGCGTCGGCTGTTACGGGACCGTATACCAAGGTTCAGGCCCCTGATGCGCCGCTGCTTGTTAGTGGAGATGGGAGTGATGTTGGGCCGTTGGGCGGACCTGGGGGTGCGGACTTTTTGGATGTGAATAGGATGGTTTTTCATGCGTTTAATGATGGGGAGAGTATTGGGAGTGGACGGGGGGTGTGGATTGCGGAGATTGAGGTAGAGGATGGGAGGATCCGAATCCAGTAGATTAGTGGGTACTATGACTATGAGGAAGGGTAGGGTATCTTGGCTGAATGAAAGGAGTGACCTGTGCTCTATCAGATGTCGAGCGTACGGTAGTTACCCCTTCCTTCGACTACAATCCACGACGAGTAGACGGCGTGCCTTTCTTTCTCGGAGAACAGCAGGGACCGAAGGAACAACGCTGGTGCTGCGCACAGATGGAATGCATCTTGGGCTCGCTGTGTTATCTATATACTCCGTGTCTATTCCGTCTCCTGATTCCGTATCTTCTCGAGCATAATCCCCCTCGCATCCTCGATATGCCCCTCAACATCCAAATCCCACAGCCAATGTAACCTTTCCTGCATCGCCGCCTTGATCTTCTCCCCATCATCCCCAACACCATCTAACCGTAAGCACAAAAGATACCCGTTCTCCGCACTGCTCATCACAGCTCTCTGGCTCCGTGGCCGCCGTACGGCATCGTACGCCTCGAACGCCGCGACGACATGGTCTGCCGTGATGACGTGTTGGTCGCCGAGGAGCTCGGCCAGGACGAGTGCGTCTTCGATTGCTTGTCCGGCCCCGGCGCCTTGGTGGGGGGTTGAGGCGTGTGCGGCGTCACCAAGTATTGCGGCGCGAGAGCGAGTGTAGGTTGAGATGTGTGGGTGTTCGAAGATGGCCCATTGGGAGGGGTCGGGCATGTGCTGCAACAGGATTAATGATCCCATCCACTCATCTCGCATTAAACCCAGATATGCAAGGAGGAAGGGAACACACCTCGACTAGCTTTTGGATTTGCGGGCCCATCCCTCCCAGATCGCTCTTCATATCCTCTCTTCTCGCCGCCCTGACCCACCCTTCGCCTGTCCATTTCCCTCCCTCTTTCAGCGGAAAAATGCCCACATTCGCCTTCTTCGCTCGCATAATCGGATACGTAATCCCATACGCCCCGTGTCCAATATACATCGTCGCGACGCGCGCGCGATGCTCCCCGACAGCTTCAACCATCGTCTCCATATCGAGGACGGCGCGGTACCCGTACATTCCGCTGTATCGGGGTTGCTTTTCGAGGTATTCAGGTTCCGGGAGGATGAATTGCTTCACGCGCGAGTGGATTCCGTCACAGCCGATGACGATGTCGGCGGTTTCCGTGGTGCCGTTATCAAAGGTCATCATCATCCCGCCATTTTCATTGCCTGGTTCAGTCTCGATGAGGTCCGCAAGTCTCATTCCGAATTTTGCTACATCGGGTGGAATGAGCCGCACAAGCGCATCGAGAAAATCCGCCCTTCGCACCGTCGTCTGCCCACTCGGTAGCGCCTTCAGATCAAAGAGTACCTCCCCACTCCTAGGATCATCATCCCCCGTCGCCCAAACAACCTCAAACCACGTCTGTTTGAAACGCTCAAAGCCCGGACTATCCGCGTGCGTTGTAATAAGCTCATCGTAGATATTTCGAATCGCCGGGTCGAGGAGTGGCATTGCACGGTGGGCAGCTGGACCGATAGTTAGGCCGAGCCCGATCTCTTTGAAGGACGCGGCGGCTTCGTAGATTGTTACGGGGACGCGCCGGCGGAGGAGCGCGGCTGCTAGTGAGAGGCCGCCGATTCCGCCGCCGATTATGGCGACGGTGAATTGTTTGGACATTTTGAGAATAGTTGAAGATGGGTTGGTTGTCGGACAGACGTGAGATGGACATACCCCGCTTATAACGGACGATGGGATGTGGGTACGAGCGAGAGGAGGGGAAGTGTTAAGCAACGCCCCGAGCGCAGCTTCCAGCCAGTGAGAATAGCGCCGGTATCGCGTACCTTTTCCATTGAGATAAGGGGCATGGTTGGGAGGGGTAATGTGGGGCGATGATCTCCCCCTGTTTATGGCGCATCGAGGAGGACCGAGTATTTGCCATTACACGGGAGGGCCAGTCAGGTAGTCCTCCCCATCTAAGTCATGCAAGAATCAGGAAGCAGATAGTTCGTTAGGCTCATGGACAAAGTCTGGGTGGTGAGCCCCGTCCAAACGCTCACTGGGTGCGTTCTCAGGTGCTGGAGCAGGAAGGACAGCTCGGTCAAAAAAAGCCATTGCACCTCAATTTGAAGCCGTATTTACTCAAAAGCTCGGCTGATAATGAAATGTCCGGCTAATCTTCATCGGTGGCTCATATGAGCCTTCCTCATGCCATCCTGTCTCGCAGCCCTCCGGGTTATCCTCCAGTGTCTCTCCGCAGCATTCGAATTCGTAGCAGTGCGGGTATCGTCTTCGCAGGTCGGGTGTATCCTCGGCGCCGAATTCATTGTCCACCCACAGGTCGTCGCCCGTCGGCTCGCAGTCGACTATATAAGGTGAGTATGAGTGCGCCCTGGAGTGAGGCAGGGTAGGAGGACTCACGACGATGGTACGTACAGGCGTCACTTCTATTCTCCGTGACGTCGAATTCCTCCTTGCAGTTCTCGCAGAATGCGTATCTCGGAACGAATCTCTTTGGGCGTGGTGGCTCAGGAACAGCCGATACAGCTCCACTTGAGCTTCCTGGAGCGCCTTCCGTTTGCGTAGTAGTGGTACTCCCCAGGTACTCAACCTCCGAGTCCTCCGCACCCTCAGATCCACTATCAGGGAAATCAGTCTCCGCCTCAGAGTTGTCCTCCAAATTGGTGTCCCCCGCTTCTCGCTTCTTACTCGCGTCGACGAGTAATTCCTCAGCAGCTATTCGTTGAGCGTCCGGGGAGACTTTGCACAGCAGACGAAGGACGTCACGGACTCGTTCTTCGGTTGCGAGGTCAATCGCCTTCAAGAGGGTGGTCGCTTGAGACTCGGAAATATCCATAGTGGAAGTCGCGCGTGCTGTTTAGGGCCTAAGTTGGCGTGCTTCAGACCGTCTGCGAGTGTGATCGGATACTTGGGTGGGGTTGTTCGAGCTTCAGGACGCGTCGACGCGACTCGGGGGACCGACGCGAGGGGCGTTACGGATCGGGCCGAGTCTCCACAAAAGCAATTATGCGCGAGAGATGGAGTTGGTTTACCTTGTAAAGAGCAAATCTCACCAGAGGAATAGGGCGTAAGTTGTAAAGAAATTTCGAGTATCGGGAGCAAACTTTCTGTTTGTCGCTGCCCGAACCTTTTATCACTTGTCACTAAACAAAAAGAGCTATACCAGCTATCAGATGGTTTGCCTCTTCCGGTTCAAGCAGTATCGCTGTTGCTGCGCGCTCAGAATATCAAAAGACGTATTAGCTCTGTTAATATCTACTAATTATTTTATCTAAGTGGGAGGATGGCTCCAATATCCATACATGCCTCGGTTGACCCGCCAAGAACGTGCATAAAGTGATTGGTCCATTGTCCTCTACTCTGGATAGAATTTGCTCATGCAGAGGCCCGGTTGTCTAATGGAAATCCTGTCGTATAATAGTGATATCAGCATATCTGCAGGAAGTCTGCAATCGATGCTCACGGGCGTCTGCTTCCTGTTTCGCGTATTTCGTTCTTCGTGATTCTTCGGCTCTCATATGTCCAACTCAGCCACTCACTCCGATATTTATGGGATTAGGCTTGAGCCATCTCCATTCCAGCTCCCTTCCACTGGAGCTCGGTCATCATTCCCCTCTGCTAGCGCTCATGACGCCTTGTTCCTCTTCGTGGGCAATGGGAAAGCGTCCTCTACGTGCCAACTATCACACATCCATCCGGAGTATCCGCCAAGTTCTCACCACAGCATTCAAAGATGAACAAATGCGGGAATTCCCCCTGCATTTCCGGCGTGTCAACTTCCGTCTCCAGCTCTTGCTCAGGTTGCTCGGGGACTGCGATAACGTCAGTAAAGCCCAGTATGGTGGCGTACTGCTGCTCGGTTCAACTCACCCGTGTGCTATCTGCAGCTCTTACTTGGGTTCTCCGTGGCGCCGAATTCCTCCCTACAGCTCGAGCAAAAGGCGTATCGCGGGACGAGTCTCTTCACTCTTGGAAGAGGGCCTTCTGCCGTGCTGCCCAGGGACTCAAGCTCGGAAGCATCTGTAGAACTAGCCTCGAACTCACTATCCGTAGTATCAGTCGAGGTGGCCCCCTCGGAAGCCGTCTCCAAGTCCGTGTCCCCTGCTTGTGGCGTCTTTCTTGCGTCGACAAGCAGTTTCTCGGTGGTTATTCGTCCAGCATCCTTGGAACCCATGCACGCCAACTGAAGTATATCCTGAAGGCGGTCCTTGTCTGATTGTACGATCGCCCTTCTGAGCTGCTCTGGGATCTAGATGCGTGAGAGGGCCGGGGTGGCGGCGGGCCCGTCCGAGAGATGGGAATTGTCCCAGATTCGAGGGCGTATTCGAGGGCTGGCAAAATTTCGAAAATTCGGCTTGGTCCGTCCGAAGCTGGGCGTTCCACGCTCTGGGCGCCCCCGGAGGCACGGGGCGGCCTTCCAGGCTGTGGAACAATTTGGCATGTTCGTCTAGGTTCGCCCGAACCCGGGCTTGCCAATGGCACGCTCTGGCGTCGGCGGATGGTTCTAGAGGAGACATCTTAGATTAAAGAAAAAAAAATGTCTGAGAGGAATCTGAATTCCCACTCCCAGCCACGATTGAAAAGGTCAATTCGGCTGTTTATGAACTCTTTTAGAAGATCCGGACGCGTCACGTCAGTCCCGTTGGCATCTAACAGGTCACCTTTTGACGCGGGCGGGCTAAACATGAGCCCCACGCAGGACGTGAATCTGCCGCCCTATTCTTACGATTGAGTGACGGGCTCGCTTATTGAATGATGCGGTGAGATTGGCACTCCGTAGAGAGGATAGCACACGCCTGGTAAGTGCTGCCAGTCGCGAGCCGCCAGTTGCAGGGTATTGTGCATGCTTTCCCACTTCCATGCTCGCCCAAACAGGAATTGAGAGATTCAACTATAACATAATCTCTGAATGCAAGCCTTCGTGGACCATTTGTAATATGCCGATAGTCATGTTCTACCTCAATACTTGCACAGTGCCGCGCCGGAGATTCACAGCAAAATGCTTAGTTTTCCATCGCTAGACGCGAGACCTCTGCTTCTTAAGCGACGGAGACTCAGCCCGATGGCAATCCGTGATACAACCCCTCGGATTCTCCTCGAAGGTTTTCTGGCAGCAATGAAACAGGAAGCGATCAGGAAAATCCCGTCGCATCTCCGGTGAGTCAATCTCGAAGAGCTCGTCCCCTTCATAGATGTCTTCGTACATCTCTTCGGTAGGTTCAGCGTCCTCTGGACAAGCATTAGATACATAATTAAATGGAACTGGTCGTCATCAAGGTTGTGATGACGAAGCGGACTTACCAGGGTGGTAGATGCAGCCCTGGCTCGTGTTCGTCGTGACATCAAATTCTATCTCGCAGTTCTCGCACGGAGCGTATCTTGATATCGGGCGCTTTAGATTCCGAGTTGCGGGACCGGACTCTGCTTGCGACACATCTTCCCTTTGTGCTTCGTTTCCATCGTATTTCTCTTTTTCCCCATCGCCCTCAGTTCCTTCGCCAATCTCGCTGGTATCAACTAGAAGCCTCTCAGTCGCTAACCGTCGTGTCTCAGACGACATCTCGCACAGCGACTTGAAGAGATTCCGGAGTCTTGATTCGGATACAGTGTCGATGGCGATATCCAGTGGTGTCGAGGAATCGACCTGGAGTTTCATTATGCGAAACAGCTCGGTCTGAAGGCTGGGAATTTGTTCTGCCTGATATTGGAGGTCCGGAATTGAGAATGCCTTGGATGACTGGGGGCTGTCCAAGGTCAACTCTGGGTTGGAGCAGGACGCGTCGACGCGTGACGGCGGGGTTCGCACCGGGCGGGGCGGGCGGCCCCGCGCAAGGGAGCGTCCCAGCAAACCTCACGCCCCTCCATCAGTTCATCCTTTCCTCCAATCTGGTTCTTCAGTTGAAATTCCCGTCACCAATCAGCTCGCACTTGTCTGGCTCGGCTCGAGGGATTCGGAAACCAGCTTCAGCCTTGTGTTTCTACTATTGCGGCGGCTGAGCTGGGTTTGCACCACCCCTCGCGTCGCCCCCGACCGTCACTTTTCCATCCAAACATCGTCGAAATGAACATCCACCTGCCATCCGAAATATGGCTACACATTGGAGAAGAAATAACGCAACAACGTCAGCATACACTCCGCAGCCTAGCGGAAACATGTCGCTCTTTCCACGCCATCTTCACCCCGCTGTTCCTCGCCTCCCTCCGCTTCACTAAATTCGAGAGGATTTCCTCCCCGGAGTTCGGCAAGTGCGCCCCACTACGCAGCCTTCTGCATGTGAGGACGCTGAAGATCTACGCGGGATGCACCTATGCCGAAGCGTTTGAGCCGGAGGAGGAAGCGGTGCTTTATGCGCGGTTTCATCGGAATCTGATCCGTTGCTTGGAGAATATGCCGAATCTTGCCTCGTTTACGTATGGTTGAATCTTTATTCGCACGTCACGAAGCTAACAGTACCAGGGTTGGACTGCCGGGTCCGTGGAAGACGACTCAGGAAGACGACGATGGGGTCTCCTTCCTGCCATTGTTCTCCAACCTTCTCCAGACTCTGCAATCGTCCTGTACGAGGCTTCAAACATTAGTCCTCTCCGTTGGCGACCTTCCGGCGCTGGATAGTTCCCAGTGGCTGCTATTCGCGTCGCAGTCGGACATGCATCGCCTGGTCGCGTTTCAAAACCTCGCATCCCTCTCTGTCGCCGGCGGGTTTCTCCTTCCGGACAGCACGGATGCTGTGGTCTCGACTCTGCTCGCATCCCCTGGGCTCAGAGACCTGAGCTTGGAACAATACAGCGTGCCGCTGCTCAACGTATGCACCCAGTACGCCGACGCCGGTGGTAAACCGCTGGCCCTCAGGCGGCTAAAATACCGAACAATGCATCTGCGCGAGCTGGATGCCTGGCCGCACCTGCATAGATTGACGGACCTTGGTCGGCTAGAAACAATGGAGCTGGAGACAGGCCGTGACAGTACAAGCATGGCCGGTATCCCCTTCACCCCTCCCAGGACGATACATGTGGCCCTTACAGATCCAGATCAGTTCAGGTCGCTGCGGCGGCTTGCAGTGGACTTTCTCGACGACGCATTGATAGCGGCCCTTCGCAGAGTCGGCCAACGTCTGCACTTCCCGCCCTGGTTTCTCAGCGAGCTCTTCTTCGAGACGTACGACTCCCACGGGGCCATCAAGGACGGGTTCCTCTTCCATCCTGAGAAGGTCAAGTACTGGCCAACTTGCTTTGTCCTGGGATCGAACGTCGGAAAGGCGAACACGGCGGTCTTTCGGCAGCGTCTTGCGCTTGAGGTGAGCCACTGGAAGGCCCTACGACTGCTGCATCTGCAATTGGATATGAAGGCGGAAAAGGTATGACCCAAGTCTCCATCTAATCCATCGATAAATCACCCAGGGACAATTATTCAGTCACCCTTGCGCACACGGTCGCTAACATCAATGCTGTAAAAGTCCCGCCTCCTCGCCCTCACCAACTCGCTGAACACGAATCTCCGCGAGCTATACATTTCAGACGACATCAGAGCACACAAGCACTATCCCTTTGCTGAGGATCTCAACTATGGATCCGATTTTGACTTTGCGATGAAGTTGTGCGTCAACTCCAAGATAGCGTATCTGGTGCTGTTCGATTCTTACTTTCGAGTGGTGCGCGGAGGCGGCAATGATGCCCAGTCCGTTCAGTTGGAGTATGTTGATTTACGCTCGTCGGAGGCTGAGGAGGCGGAGATCTTCATGTTGTATCGGGAGAGGACGGAGGTCTGATGCAAGTCAATGAATGGAGGCGAAGGGGGTGGCGCATTGTTTACTCAACCGGCTGAGAAGGGAGAGCCGCATAGAAGGCAGGAGCGCTTGAGGGCTGGGCAGTTCTGGTCGTACCTGCCGATCTGCGTTTTTCGAGTCCGGGTCTGGAAGCGAGCGGTGGACTCCTTCCGCTGGGCAGTTGCACCATCGGTCTGTCTACTTTGTCAATTGCCTCGTGCGTTTTCTTCATGCCCTTTGCGAGTCATCAAGACATGCTGGACAGCCCTCAGGCCACCGTCGTGATCCATTTCAAGAGACAAACAAGAGAGAAAACTGGCCAATCTCCCCATCCTTCCAATCTTCCTTTTCCCGAGATTCCCACCAACCTTCGTATCCAAAAACACGCAGCCCACCCAAGAGAGTTCAATACTGCGAGCCCATTCCAAACCAAGTAGTCGTCGCGCAGCTCCTTTCCAGGAAGCCAATCCCGAGACCTAGAAGTCGTCACCAAACCGCCCAGACTTTGTGCGGCTGAGCAGTCACGAGCTAGGCGACGCGCCAAAATAGGGAGCCGCAGCTTGGCTCGGTCTTGGGGGCGAAGGACGATGAAAAGGAAGATGAAAAGATTCGTCATTCGTGTGCGTTGGCTGATCCCTTAGGCCGTGAGGAGTCGGGACCCGTATATGACTGGGTCGCGATACGAAGATTGGCGTCGGATACGAGAGGTCATTCCATGCGGCTGGACGAGCAGGGTGGAGGAGTTCCACACCTCATTTTAGGATACGAGCCGCATGGTTAAGCTTGTGGACTCTGCTCGATAGGGTGTGAAAAGTCTGAAGCGGAGGGTGAAGTGTTGATGCGATATAAATGTGAAATGGAAGGCTGAGGTTTTGCTTTTGGTAACCGCCTTTCTTTCTCAACTCTCGTTGTCGCCTCTCCCTTCTGGGTATCTTTTCAGCTTTCTTCTCTTCTCGTCTTTCCTTGATCATACACACTTTCACTATCAACATGGCCGCTCCTCTCGATGCACCCGCCGCGGCGACGCCCGGTCGCAACTGGATGCACTCATTCTGGGAGTTCTGGACTCCAATCGACACCTGTATGTACTCACTCGCAAAAAAAAACCTCTCTCTGTCTCGACTGTACACTAACAAACACAGGCCTCATGGGCTGGTGCTGCCCCTGCATCCTCTTCGGCAAGACCCAATCCCGTCTCGAAGACCCCAGCTTGACAAATTACAGCCCTATCAACGATAACGTGCGTTCCTCTCCGACCTGCCCCCCCTCATAATCCTCTCTATCCTCTCGCAACCTCCCACTAACCCTTTTATTGTGTATAGTGCCTGATCTGGTGCGGCCTCAACTGCTGCGGCGCCAGCTTCCTCATCCGCACAAAGAAACGCGACGACCTGCGAAAACGGTACAACATCACAGAAACACATCTCGAGCGCGTGCTCAAGATGGAGCCGGGCTCTATCAAGGCGAAGCATGGGGTTGAGGGGAGTATGGTTGAAGATTGCCTCGGGTCGTTCTTCTGCCCGTGTTGCGGCGTTGTGCAGGAGGAGAAGGAGGTTGTTCGACTGCTGCAGGAGGGGACGCAGGTTGCCGAGGGGTATCGGAAGCCGGATGGGATGGCGTATCCTTAGGTTTTTGTGAGGGGGTTGGGATGAGCAGATGTGGGGTTTGATTTTTGATATCCATTGGATCGGGTCGTTTCATTGTCTAGGGTAATACTAATTACGTTGTTCGTCTTTTAGTTGTGTGTTGGCGATCGTAAGGAAAATGGTTCTAGTGCTCAATGCGATACGTGGCAAGAGCGCGGGTAGGAGTCTGATATCACTGCATCCCGAGGACAAGTAGGTCGACGAGTAGGTGCAGTGAGATGTGATCCAGGGAATCAAGTGAGGCATGAGAGAATCGTAGAGATGCTACGGCCCAGAGTAAGCGAGTGTATGCTTCATCGCAAGTTGGGCAAAAAGAAACTCGGCCAATCCCTGACGTAGACAAGGTAGAAGGATGTATTGGTATATGTACTCTAGTGATAAAGCTTATTCACAGAAGCGTTGAAGTACGAATGTCAGCGATATGCAGCACAAAAGCAGTCGACGGTAGCGATCACCCGACGAAGTCTAAACAACTGTCGCAGTCGTGTTGACAACCTCGAAGAAAGGCCAGTTTGCAGCCTATCAAGTCATCAGCACAACCGTCCAAAACCCATCACCGGTCGGGAAAGAGCAATAGAGAAAGAGGAACATACCCCAACGAGAGCCGCATGCGCAACACCAACGACAGCAGACCCCTTGGCAAGGTCCGCGGGAACAGTCACCGTAAAGTTCTGATACGGCAGGCCACTCAACTCGTGGTATTCGGGCTTGAACGGACCGTTGTAGAGCACTGTGCCGAGGGTCGATTCGGCCGGGAGGCAGCGGCCGTTGTTGCATGGATAGACGCCGATTGCGACGGCGATTTCGCGGGAGCCGGTGAGGGAGTTCTTCATTGCGTTAGTAAATGGTTAGGAGCGACGATAGAAAGGGCGTCATGGACTATGTACAGGACGGGTGACTTGGATTATGGCTTCGCTGCCGGCTGCGAGCGTGGGGCCTTTTGGGAGGTTGACAAAGACGTTCTGGGCGAGCGCAGTGGCTGCGAGGGAGGTGAGGATTGCAAAGGTCTTCATGTTGAATGGGTTGACGAATTAAACGAGTGGAAAGTCGAAGGTGCTGTTGATAAGTTGGATGAAAGAGAATATCGAGTCAAAATCTGCAGCGAACCGGCAGTTTTATACCCCAGGTCGACGGTGAGGCCAAAGTGAGACATGGGCAGGCGATGATCTCATGAGAGATGGGGTCATTCGCCGCGAATCTCAACCCGTTGGTTCCGCGCTGCGATCCTGCACGGCCCGCCCAATGAGCGGCTGCACCGGCATCTGGAGAGGATGCTAGCGGCGGTGATCACCCACGCTTTTCTTCGGCCATTCGCCTTGGGCTTTGCGAGGGATGGCCTGGCTGAGACATGTCTGATGCTTTGGAGCCAGTCGGCGGGTTGTTTTGTTAGGCTGCGCTCGTAAAAATTGCGCAGGGCAACGTCAGGATGGTAAGACTCGACGGTCTTTAAATAGTAGCACATATGAGAAATAATAAGAAATTGGACTTGAGCTTGTAGAATGCAATCTAACGCTACAATATTTATCACCTCTTGTTCTATCTTGGCTACATCGCCGCTTCGGGTCTGTCGGCACCGGACACCGAGTATTCATCATCAACACTTGCAAATATCCTCCGAGCATCCACAGACGGATGAAATGTCGCATGCTTGCTCGATAGGCTATGCAAAAGACGTAATCCTCCACAGCCTCAAACCTGTCGCTCTCCAGAGTTCCTTGGGGTAATAAGTACAAAAACAGTCCCGCTGATCGAATGATAAGGCCGCCCACACCGTCGCCACCATCAGTCCGTTGTCAAGGACAGTGTTCGTCGCACCTGACTCACATGAGGCCTTGCGTCGTATATCCCGCATTATCGACATACTTGGCCCACGCGGAGCGGAAGGGTGTCTCCTTGGACGACAATCACCCAATTACTCGGGTAAGCAGGCAGCGAAATTCATCGACAGAAAGACGCGCCCACTCAGACACCAAGCGGAGTCACATACCACAGTTTCTTCTCGATTTCGAGTTCAGGCTCATATTCGCGGCCGAATGTGCGCCACCATATAGAGGTCATCACGCCAGGGCTGGCCAGGCCACTGCCGTACATAGCCTTCGTGAATTCCCAATACTCAGGTCGAAAGCCGGCAGACTCCCAGTCCACAATAGCGCTCAGCCGACCATTCTCAACAAGAATGTTTGTTGGGTGTAAGTCAGAGTGGGTAAAGTAGAAATTTGAATGTTCGCGCGGGGTGAACCCTCTCCATTTGGCTACCTCGGCGAATGAGCCACGTAGATGACTGACAAGGTGGTTATTGAAATCCGCTTCGGTCTTGAATGGCCCTCCCCGACCGCTGTCTGGAATGCGATGGTCAACAATCCCCTTACCTAGCGCATCGCAGATCAAGTATGGCGTAGTGTTTGGGATTCTGCGTAGCTGAGCAATACAATCTCTCATATCATCAGCAAAGCGATCGCGCTCTGCATAGGACATCAGGTGGCATACGTCCCCGACTCGCACGCCACAAACGCGTGTCATCAAGAGATGCGAAACACCATTATGCTCCCATGTGTCAATTAACCTCGGGGCAGGGATGGTGGTGTAGTTCTCAACAAGCTTAAGAACATGTGCCTCATTTCTTGGAGCCCTACATTGTTTCATGTATAGACCAAAGGGCAGCCGCTGAGTCCAGACACTTGTCTCGAGGGGATACATCTTGCGGCCGACTTTTCCCAGAAGTGTGTAGCATAGTACTCTGAAACACTGGGGCAGGCACAGCCATACTGATTTGAAAAAGGATGAAACAGGCGCGGGAAGGGAAAAGTCTAGAGATAGGTTAGTGAATAATATCACAAACCAGGTAATCTAGACTTACTCCATTGTGGACGTGGACACGGCCACCCGCGATTGACTTCATCTTGTATGTGGAATAGATGCAATGCAGCCGCGAATCGGTAATGAACGTTGATTAGAAGGTCACTAGGGAGACAGAGCCCCTTAGGGTCAGAAGTTAAGAGCTCAAACATGTGAAGTAAGCCATCATATGGAGTACCATCCCCAAAAAAACAGGCCAGATGGTTGTTCCAGGTGTTGTGTACCCATGGCATACTGCCAGGTTTTCGTCAGCAATAGACCCTTAGACAGTAAGAAAGAATCATACTTTCTCACGATATCCGTCCCCACAGCCGGGCATAGGACGACGAAGTATCTCAGACTGTGTACGGATATGTACAAACCCCTCCCGAAAGGCTCGATGAAAGCTGGGTGGCAGCAACAGCACATTTTCAAGAGAAAGTGCGGGATCTTTGGATTCACTGACAGACAAATCCCTGAGACGGTCAACAGTGGCGCTAGAAAGGAACGCCTCTAACACGTTGGGTAAGGAGCTCTAGCCTCTGGTCAGAACATGGTCAAGTAAGCCATAGGAGTGCAACTCACATGCTCAGCAGACCCCAGATCGCCATACAATGAAGGCGGGATAACGTAGGCCGGCTCTATAGTAGAGCCCGGTGCATGTATTGGAAACAATCTGAGTGTAAAGTCCTCCCCGTCTCTTTGCAGAGCAAGATCGCGAAGTCGAGGTGGAATCGGGTCCAAGGCCGTTACTGGTATGCTCAGCCAGCGTGAAACAATAACAAGATTCCATAAATTTACTTCGGCTCACAAGGCTTCTCCATTCTTCCAGAAACTGGCGCAACGAGCTCTCGACATTGCCTACTGGCGCCTGGTTTCTTGACTGGAGGTACTGAGCGGCTGCTTCTGGCTCGTCGGCCGATTCAACAAAGTGCTCGAGAATCAAGTGTTCGGTTGGTGAAAGGTCAGATGCACGGATTAGTTCCAGGGCCGCTTGAACGCTCGCCATCATTCAGAGTAGCTCAGTAGGTCACAGAGAAGAAATATCGACTTTTCTTATCGCTGTCGTCACTGTCAAATGTGTTGTGTTGTTGTTGAGCGCGCGGGAAAGGAGCGCTGGTCTTCACTAATTTGCACTCCTTGCTTTATTCTAGACTCCACAGCCAAGGTGCTAGCTAGAAGATTAATTACAAGTCGCAGGTCTCCCTGAGGCTGAAAGCAAGAACCAGATCAAGTGGTACCGGAGGTGGTATGTTCCGACGTCCGCTATCACGTGCTATAGACGTCCCCTCCCCCCTTTTATCCCTTTGACTTCTAGCAATATGTTGTTGTTGGCTTAAGCAGTGATTAACTTAGCCATTATGGCGAACCAACCTTTACTCTCTGTTATCAACTTAAGTTGTCATAGCAATGTTGCAAATGCTTTAAGGTCCAGCCTCCACCGATGCGGCGCATTCATTTTTGCCATTGATGACGGCGTCGAAGCGCATTTTGGCAAATTGTCTCAGGAGGCAAGCAGTACCTTTTATTACTATTTTATTAATATTAAATTTCTATTCCTTACAGTTAGCGATAGGCACATGGATTCTTCCAACAGCCACTACACAAAAAGATGGAAACCACTGGATACTCGCCACAGGGTGAAGAGCGCGTTCGCGGCAACATAATGAATAAACAAAGCTTGTATATTGGTCGACAGAGTGCGAAACAGAGGCAGGGCACAGGCCCTCCTCAAGGTCTTCAACTAGCCGTCGCGGACCTGATGAAGGTGGGTGAAATTCACCCTGCAAAGGCCCTGCTTTAACATTTTCCCCTCAGCAAATGGAACGTCCAAGACGCCAGTTACTCAGCGAGTTATATAAAACTCTGCAACCAGGTCAATCGATTACCAAAGACAGGGATCCTGACTATGTCTCGATTGGTATTCATTATTATGACCCTGAGAACATTCATGGCGCTGGGGGTTATTTCAGCCCTCCTCATAAAGATGACGGCGTACTAACCATCTTACTCCGCACAATGATGGATGAGCACGGCTCAAAGATTGGAAATGTGGATGAAGACGGCTTAGAGGTTGCTGACCTGGCAAGCCTTGAAAACATCCACGAACGGCACAGTGGCACAATTGGGAAAATTGCCCGGTTTGTATCTGTACCGTCTCATCCTCGACACGCTGTTGCCTGGATCGGAACTGCATTCGAGGTTGGGCAGTTTTGTGGTTGCGTGCACAAGGTGTGCGTTCCTGGAAGCCGAGACAAGAATCACAAAAGACTAAGTGTCGCGATGTTCTGTGGTGCTGCCCAATCCTGACACCATTTGAATTCATAGTACTATACCTATCATTCTTTGATTATGCTGTAGCGATATCCGAATTTCGGCGAAAAAAAAGTTCAAAGGTGTCGAGATAGCTAAATTTTCTATTCACAGGAAAGGGTGTTGACATTCGATCATTTGTTTCTAGATCCTCAAATGGGCCCATATAAATAAATTGATCATCAGGTTCTCCCTTCGCAATCTCCAGCCGTCTTTCCGCAGCCCTCCACAATTCCTCCATTTGAGCTCGAAACTGTTTCAAAACACGGTTCTCCTCTGTGTATGTGGCGCTGGAAGCTGCCTTCGGGCTACCAGCAGGTGCCCATTCGCATGCCCCCCCTTGTTCCTGCTCTGCGTCCTCGGTGAAGCCAATGCTGTGTCCCGTTCTCAGTGGCCCTGGCACTTGTCTAACGATTCTTATAACGTTTTGCCAGCTCGACCAGCTCCCTGAATCAGAGAGCTTTATCTCGGCCGAGTGGCTCGAACCGGCACCTGTGGCAGCACCGAAAAGGGCGAACGCACTACTCTTTTAGCTGTTTCCAGTGTACGTGGATGACAAACCTACAGGCATTGTGACGCCATTAGAAATGAAAACTGTGGTACTTTTTGGCCAACATATATTATTAGGGAAGATTTGTCGGTACTAAGGGAACCTCAATGATTCTCTAAAGCATTTAAAGTTGGTAAGATATATTGCTAGTAGCTACTAAGGACTTACTTTCCCTGAAGATGAAAAGGATTTAATGTGTAGTTTTGCTGATACCTTTCTTGAGCTGGATAACCCAATCAGGGCCGAGTAGTGTCTTCGCTTGCACATTAATCATCATGGAACAAGCCAGGCGGGCATCTTTATTGCGCTTGTCGAGGCCCTTTTTGCACAGAAGCGGTTCAATGAAGCGGAGCAGTTTTGCCTCAAGGCTCGAACGCTCCAAACTTCCTCCGCCATTGAGGGGGTTCGCCTATTTATTGCCCAGGCCAAGATATGCCATGTCAATTTTCAGGTTGATCAAGCATTTATTTACTAGACAGGTGCTCTGCGTGTTGTTCGCGAGTTTCCTTTAGCAGACGGTCATGCAACGCGCATTATTCTTCATTCTCAAAGTGATGTTTTACGTCGGCAGGGGCGATTTGGTGTCCAGAAGCAAACTATAGCTCAGTTTCAGGCTGTCGTTGATGCAGGATTGAAAGGGTCTACTTTCTGGATTCCTGGTCTACGCCGATGGCTGGATAATCTCCAAGGATGACCGCCGCGAGTGAGCGAGCTGCCAGAGCCATAGCGAGGTTCATCCTGGAGCTGCCTTTTTATCTTCCATGAAGCTTGTGCCCCCAATCAACTGCCCGAAACACTGGTGGTCTCTGTACGATGCCAAGAACCGCCTGACCCAGAGAAACCAGTGGGAACCTTCCCTTACCCTATCTAATTGACTTCAATTCCTCCTGAATAAAATTTAATTTTCGTTTAATCACCTGGCATATATCGTTTATAGTCTCTAGGCGCTCATGCGAGTGCCTCAAACCCCGAACGGGGTTGAATACCACAGCTGCTGCTCGACTTCAAGCTCAGATTCATATTGACGACCGAATGCTCGCCACCAGATGTCTCTCATGATACCCGGACCCGTCGTGCCATACATCGCCTTTGTGAATTCCCGATACTCGGGCCGAAATCCAGCCGATTCCCAGTCAACAATGCCACTCAGTTGTCCATTCTCCACAAGAAGGTTGGAATGATGCAGATCTGAATGCGTAAAAAGGAACCGTGTATGTTTCCGTACAGGCAGGTTCTTGCGCTCAACAAATTCTGAAAATGCTTCACCAAGATGACTCGTGAGGTAGTTATTAAAGTCGTCTTCAGTTTTAAATGGACCGCCTTTGTTGCCAGGGAGGCGGTGGTCAGCAATCTGTCCCCCGAGCGAGTCGCAAATCAAGTATGGTGCAGAGTTGGGTATTTTGCGCAGCTGCTCAACGCAGGCTCGGACGTCATCAGCGAAGCGGTCACGCTCCTGGTAGGACATTAAATGGCGTACATCGCCAATGGGCACGCCTGGCAGGCGTGTCATTAGAATGTGAGTGACTCCCTCATTCTCGTTCTCCCAGGTGTCGACCAGTCGCGGCGCTGGGATGGTGGTGCGCTCCTCAATTAGTTTGAGAACGTTCGGCTCGTTCTTAGGGGCTCTAATGCATTTTTTCATGTATAGCCCAAAAGGTAGGCGTTGAGACCACACATTTACTTCAAGCGGATATAACGTTCGCCCTATTTTCGCCAGTAGGTTGTAGCACGATACTCGAAGCCATTGGGGCAAACAAAGCCATAACGACCTGAACGCGTGCGAAACGGGTCCAAAGAGGGGAAGGCCTGGAGAATATCAGCGGCTGCTACACAGCAAATGAGTTGTGAGCGGCTCACCTATTGACGGCCGAGCCCATCCTCGATTCACTTTATCCTCGATAGAGAAGAGGTGTAAAGCGGTCGCAAATCGGCAATGCACATCGATCAAGAAATTGCTTGGGAGGGGAAGACCTTTGACGTTTGATGTGGACAGGTCAAATGGTTGCAATGTGTTTCGGAACGGGGTGTGGTCGCCTAGGAACAGTCCAGTGGGTTCTTCGGGGTATTGCTTCCACATTTCGTACTGTTTTCTCCGTCAGCCCTGACTTCAAACATTGGGACGACTCTGGTCATACTCCGCATCTATCGAGATACTCATCCTGCCAAGCGGATGACCAATCAGTGGGCCGCACAGACCGCAGACTGATATCCACATGCCCAGCTCGAAAGGCATTGTGAATGCTTGGTGGTAGTAGTAGCACATTGCGAAGGGATGTTGCATCGTCTTGGGTTTCGTTTTCAAGCAGCGTGTGGAGGTAGTTAACGCGACTGCTAGTCAAAAAGGCGTCTAGTATGTTAAGCAAAGAGCCCTATCCATTGTTAGAAGCTTGTCGCGAAAAGCATTGCCTAACACTGCCTCTCACATCTTTGGCGGGATCTAAGTCCATGATCATAGAGGGCGGAATCACGTAGGCCGGCTCTACGTTAGAGCCTGGGACATGGGTAGGGTGGACCCTGAATGCGAAATCACGGCCATCTCGTTCAAAGGCCAAATCCTGGACATGCTGCGGTATCCGGTCGAGTACCATTACTGGGCCTTGTCAGTTAGAAGAACGATGACTAAGAGCAGATCATACATTTGGATGCAAGTTGTCTCCATTGTCGTTTGAAATTCCCCAACGGATTTTCCACAGAGTCAGCCGTGTCCCGAGTTCTCGACAACAGATACTGAGCTGCGGTTTCAGGATCCACCGCTGATTCAATGAAGTGCTTCAGAATCAAATGCTCGGTGGGTGAAAGGTCGGCACTGGTAATAGTCTCAAGCGCCAACTCAGCGTTCGTCATTTTGGATCGAGCTCAAGCAAAATAGCATTCCAGAACGTTGTTGTTTGATGAATCGTCTGCGGTGTTGACACTGGCTGGTGTCGCATCCAGTGCTGATCACACGAGCCAACCACGGAACAACCTTCCTCCGTCGCGCCCTGCCAGGCACCTTCCTAAACGAGCGAAAGACAGTGAATGACTTTTCCTTGAGCGCATTCACTGGTGTGAGGATTATCATTGTGTGGGGTTCGTGCGCCTGCTTTGGCGCATGGGTGGGTAGATTGCTGCGGCGCAGCATTTGTGCTGTCCACAGACACCCATCATTCGCAGTCTCAAGATGCAGGCGCTTATGGGCGCGAAAGAGCACTTTGATGTGTTACTCCGTTTTCTTCCTGTGTCGTCGAGTCTCCCTCCCCAGAGCCCCAACCCATTTTTGCTTCTTCTCTCTTCATCTCTTATCCTCCTTCAAACGCAAGCTACCCTTTCCCTTCCCTTGGAAATAGCAGCCATGCCCAGCGACAAGCTCTACTTCGACCCCAACGGGCTCTACATCCTCCTCACGGATATGGGAGCGCCCGACCAGTTCCACTGGGGCTTTTATCTCGCAGAATCCGAGGACCACGGCCGCGTCTACCACCTCATCAACAACAAGGACACCAATTACGGGTGGGAATACGACTCGCACTGGACCGACGGCGTTCCCAAGTCCAAAGCACTGCTCCTTGCCCACAAGATTGCCGTGATGGATCCCGGTCTGCACAAGCCTATGGGTGCCCTGCTGGAGGCAGTCTCGGCCGATCTCCCCGTTACCTGCCGCGTCTGGCTTAAGAGAGCGTTGCACGATCTAGATGATGCGGGCTTCATTGCGCTTACTTCCCCGAGGCAGTGGGTGACATCGAGCGCGAGGTGGAGAGGCAGGCTGCTCACAACAAGCTACGTGACCGTCGGACTATCCAATCCTGCCCCTGGAGTAAGGCTTAGGGTATAGTAAAACGCACCTGCTCATGCTTCACCTGGCTAGCCCGTCTGCCAGGATCTGGACCGTTCTGCCCGGAGTCCCCGATTGAGTTGCTCTTGAGGCAAAGTTCACTGCACCTTCGCTTGCGTCACTTTGCACCTTCGCTTGCGTCACTTAACTTACCTACCTGTTAGTACCCACTCGATTCGATCCCAGTCCACCGAGAGACAACAAACGTCCGCGAGATCAGATGTTACAATAGAGCTGAGGGCATTTAGGCCAGGAAGAACTTTGAGAAGATGATACAGGAGACTTGGGATTTGGGCGTTTCTTTTGGATGAGCTACGAAGATATGAGTTGGCCGGACTGCGCAGCGACTGGTTTGCTGATCTAGAAGAAGACTTGGTAACATTTCTCTGCTGTACATTATCCAATTGAACTAATTTCTATCGTGCCCCCTCCGTCCTAGGTTGAATCGCATCGGTTCCATATATCCAGTGGGAAAAGAGGAACGAACCTATTGGCCTCCTAAGTCATGTCGCGCGAAGCGATACCCATCAGGCCCCAGTAAACAATGGCGAGTCACTCCCCGATGAACCCTGAGGCGCATGCTTCCCAGTCCCACGCCTCGCCATCTCCTCCAACTCGTTTTCATCAAGGTACTTAACCTTCACCCTCCGAAAACAGAAGCCGAACGTCAACTTTGCCAAAATCTTCTCTCCCACCGACCTCTGATCTTGTACCTCCACCCCCTCAACCTCCGTCCTCCCGTCCTTACTCAGATAGGCCCGATAGCTGCGCGGCAAGAACCTCCCCGGACTCCACGCATTCCACAGCAGCGAGTTCAGCAGCATGAGGGTGGCCTCAAAAACGTAAAAGAACCACTCGTACCGTAAAACCGGGGTCAGTGCGCGGAGGGCGTCAATGTTATCAATCTCAACAGTCGTAGACCCCATATGTTCGACGAGGCGATATATACACCGAATAAAAATAAGCCCCATACTCGCGTACAGCGTCCGTAGCGGAACGAGCACAGCACGAGCCTTGACCCCATTCTTCGCGCACCGGTGATGAAATAGCCCCGCGAGGAGCACAAAAATGATTATAACCGCGAGTTGGAGGGCCAGCGCCGCTATCGTCAAGTGGCTTCCGAGGTCCTGTGTGCTGTGTGACCCGGAGGGGTTCGAGGCGAGGGAGACACCGAGGGCGTTGAGGGTTTCGACGAGGAGCATTAGGGCGCCGAATGTTGAGAGGACGCGAGGGGCAGGGAGGGGGGCGTTGTGAGGGGCGTAGTAGAAGAGGCGGCCAAGGATGTGGTAGTTTGCTAGTTCGAGGAGGGGGCTAGATGGACAATTCACATCAGTGGGATTCAAGGGGGCGGAAAGCCAGTGTAGCGTACGGGCAAATGTAGATGAAGACTTGGCTCAGGACAAAGAGGATAAGCACGGTTTTGTCTTCTTCTTCGTAGAGGTAGTTGAAGGAGCCGTATTCGCGGAGGGCGTAGCCGAGTGTGAAGAGGATACCGCAGAGGGGGTGAAGCCCGAGGAGTCGAAAACACTTGTACAGACTATTCAACATATCATTAGAGATACTCTCAAATGGTACCGATTGTGTACACGTACTAGCATTGCCAAAGATGGCCGGCAGTCGATAGTCCGTATAAGACGGCAAAGACGACAGGCGCTACCTTGTTCGGAGCATACACGTAGAGGCTCCATAGGACTTTATGTGTCAGCAGAGTATAAATTCATTTGGATCAAGTGGCATACCGGGCTCTCCATCCACCATGATTTGAGTTGAGAGATATGTGCTGGTTGGGTCACAAGTGTCAGTTCGAGAAGATTTTCTTGGTACCGTAAGAAGGTCAGTAGCACCCTATATATATTGTTGATGCGCCCCTGACGACAGCAGGCTCCAACGAAAGAGAGATACTTCAGCTAGCATTACGAGTGCCGAGCAAACAAGCCTCATATCGAACACGAATAGAAATCTCCCAAAATCTTCTTGATCTAGATTCTATCTCGACTTTAGGACCGATGCTCTCAACACACGCGTCAGACTGGTCAGAGGACTAACCAATCAGCGCCGAGTGCCTGGAGCAAAGTGCTCGGGCCAAGCCGAACACGCGTGTTAGCTAAGCAGCCCATTGATCTTTCGATGTGCGCCAAGATTTACATCCCGGGTTGATGGAGAAGTGTTTTTTTGTCTCTCCTGAAATGACCTAAGAAAAGGAAGATACAACGTACAAAAGCGGGCTACTGCCACAGGCTGAAGGGTTATGTACAGGTGACGAAAGGTATCGACAAAATAGACACTCGGCAAAACGAAGCAATGGATCGGATCTCGCTCATGATGGCTGCCCGTCCCTCCTCGCTTGCTCTGTGATCGAATTCAGAGCTGCCTGCTGCTCCAGATTTCCTCTAACCAGACCGACCGTCCCCGTCATGATCGTTTCGCACGAGCGTATAAGCTCGTTGACTGCAGTCTGCGTCGGGACCGGCAAACTCTGTACATCAGCCATCAGCTCCTTGAGCATCGAGACCTGATGCTCCAGCTGACGGAACCGAAACGCCGATTCGGACTCTAGATTGCCCCTTACACCCGGCATTGCTGGCACGGGTACGGGAATAGGCATTGGAGCCTGAGACATAGGAGGAGGTATGGGAAAGGGGTAGGCCGGTTGACCCGCCGAGGCGGTAGCGATTCTCTGGACGGTTGAGTTTCGTAAGATTGATGGTTCCTCAGTTCCTAAAAGTGTGCCCTGGAAGTTCGCTTGCCGCTGTGGCTTTGGATAGACGGTCCTCAGCTCCGGCCGCCGGTTGAATAACGCCGTGATCCATTGCTCGCCAAATGTAATCACCTGTTCCGGTGGATTTTCTCTTCGCAGCATGATCGTCTTCGTCATCTTCATAATGTCTCCCCGAGACGGGCGCGCGGTCTCTTGAGCGGTGGTGATAACCCATTCGACAAGCTCGTTTTCTTCCTCCAAGTTGAGTTTATTGCCATGCGGCCGGCATTCAACTTTACTGACGACGCCGTGGACTCTATTGTAGAGCGTATTGTAGGGAACAACAAATTGGCGGGCGGCGCCGCGTATTGATTTGACCCTTTTTTTGTGGACAGCTCTGACGGCCGCGACAATTCGGGTTTCCTGGTTCGGCTGTCGTCGTGTTGGCGGCATGGTGGCTGTGATTTTGTTGACGAGCGTTGTGGTGAATGCGAGGTGGATCCCAATCATGGATGGCTTCCGGGTCAGACGCCGCATGCCAAGACTAAAGAAGCCACGTGACTCAGTCCTGCTCGAATACGCGTGTTACCTAACCCCCCCTCCTCTGTCAACACCACTGCATTCAATTCGCAATTTCACTTATTTGCCGTGGAAAGTAGCTATTCCCGGTTGCTTGACGTAATACGCGTGTATCCTCTACCCAGACTATAGAATCAGATCGTTCCGGATATGCTCCGTCGTAGCCACAAGAAATCCCGCGGAGGATGCATCCCATGGTTAGTCTCTAGGTTCTCCGCCGCTTGCCGCTATACTAACACCTGATAGTAAACGGCGACACGTCAAGGTAATGGGTTGTTTTTTTGTCGAGCACTCACACTAAACCTGCCGATAGTGCGATGAACGCCGTCCGACATGCCTGCTCTGTACCATGTCCAACCGGGACTGCAGTTTTGCATCCGACGCCAAAGGCTCTACACAGACTTCAAGCCCAGCCGAACCCACTACTACCTTTAGCCCTCCTTCTTCCTCAGAGAATGCCTTGGAAGAGATTAACCTCAAGCACATGGAACTCCTCATTCACCTAACCACAACGAACGGAATGTTCAACCTCGGTGACGACATCGGCCCGTATCCGACGGGGATTGCATTCGCTTTGAAGCGCGGCCTCGACTCACCGTACCTTCTATATGCGTCTCTTGCTTTCTCGGCCCGGCATCTGGCATACCTGCATCCCGAGCGCTCTGCGGAGTTTATTCACCAAGCTGTGACGCTGCAAACTCGCGCTCTGGCGCTGTTCAATGTGGATAAAATCCAGGTCGACAAGTCAAATTGCGTCGCTATTCTGCTCTTCTCGGCGGTAGTTGGACATCACCTCCTCGCGGATACTCTTATGGAAGGGAGTCAGGATGGGTTGTCCGGGTTCCTAAAGCGGTATGTGCATTGCGCTAGGACGCACCGCGGTCTATACAGCATCATGATGACGGCGCAACCGCTGCTTATGGAGACTGAACTCGAACCAGTGCTATCGCGAAGTATCAGCTTTACCTCGCAGGACCCGAAAGGTATGCATTGCCAAACGTTCCGCGACTGGATTATGCAGACGTACAGCACCACGCAGGAGGAACGAGAAGCTTGCCTGTGCGCAATTAGATACCTGCAGCTGGGTTTCGATGCGCTCTCGCCCTCCTCCAGACACCACAGCATGCAGTACCAGATGCTGTTTTTATGGAGTGTTCTCGTTCCACCAGAGTTCATAGCCATGCTTACCATAAAACAACCTTTCGCTCTCGTCGTTCTCGCTTACTATGCACTCCTATTGCATCATGGTCGACATATGTGGCAGGTCGGAGGTGCGGGCGAGTATCTATTTGGTATGATTGAGGGGTATCTCGGCTCGCCGTTCGTCGACTGGTTGGAGTATCCAAGGGCGGCCATCCGTGGCTCTCGGCACTGATTCCTCGCTCGGCCCCTTCAACAGAACGATCGAGACCTTTACGAATCGGATACCGATAGGTGTCTCCAACTCAGCCTCAGGATATGGTTCGCTGAAGCCAATCATATTCCTGCCCTGATCCACTTTAAGCCGTGCGGGGTGATGGCGACATGACTAATCCAGGCACCAGAGCATCGAACACAGCCCCAGCGACATTTATCAGGTTCTGAACTTTGATGAATCTTCACTCCCCACATCGCCCTCCACACTCACAACACCCCCAATCCTAATTTGGCTTTCAATCTTGAAAATGAACTTCAACATCGAACTCGCCGTCCCCAGCGATGCTGCGCGCATAACCGAGATCTATTTCTCCGCATTCACAAACGAACTCAGTCACCGCATCATGCCGCGCACCGACGATGTGCGCGAGTACCAACTCGCGAGGTTCAAAAAACTCGCTGAGACGGCGCCCACAGATAGCAAGACGCACTTCCTGAAGATTGTCGGCAGCGGGTCGGAATCGGACCCGACTCCGGTAATCGCAGGGTTCGCGATCTGGCGGTTCTTCGAGGGCGACAGCGCATCTGACGAGAAACATTCGAAGAGCACCGTGCAATGGCCAGCAAGCAGCGACGCCGAATTATGCAATTCGTTCTTTTCCCGGGTGGACCAGGAGAGGAAGAATGCAATTGGAGAACAACCGCATTATTGTACGTTTCCTCCTTTCCCCAAAACAATCCCGTAGATCCATCCCTAACATGTACAGACCTCGACATGCTCGCCGTAGACCCCGCCTTCGGGCGCCGTGGCTTGGGCGCGCGACTGCTAAAATGGGGCCTTGATCGCGCGGACGGCGAGCGGGTCGTCACGTTCATTTCGTCGTCGCCGACGGGGCGCGGGCTGTATGAGAAGCATGGATGCCGGGCGCTGAATAACTATCAGGTTATTCCTGGGTATCGCGAAACGTCCATGGTGAGGCCTGTTAGTGGGCTTTCGAGGGGTTAGTTGGCTAGCGGGCTGGGATTTGGACTTGTGCCGGAGCAACGGTCAGTATGCGTTTAGGTATACTAGGGTCCAGAAACGGAAGAAGCGGTCGTGCCCTGTCATCACCGTCCATCGCGCCTGACTTGTGTGAGACGTCTGCCGATTTAGGAAAGCACGGAGCGTCGTGGGAGAACGAGGCAAGCGCGACCCTGGGTCAGGGGCTCCGTCGCACTTTCCTTCTTTATGGTTTCAAGCTCGCCGCGCCTTTCTGTGATAGTAGTACTTCTTGTACGTTTAGATGCATTATCACTTTCAGACAAGATTTGCCTCCCTAGTACTAGTATGAACTCTCTATTCTGCCCAGGACAACGTCGAATAGTGATACAACTCCACAGGCCATAGTAACCGCATTGCTAGACCACCAGTAGAAGAAGGTTGCATTCACCAAGCCTCACTTCAGCCTAATACATCTATCTGCAACCCATCATGAATCACATCGGGAACAGACGCCCACCGTCACCTACCTCTCAACCTCTGCCGATCAACAGTTGTCATACAATCTCCGAATAGCGCCGCGCTGATCTGTGGGGTAGCAATGATATCGAATCGACGAGTAGCGAAAGCGCCGGCCACATGAAGCTGAAGGGATAGCCGGTAACTGGCGGGCGGCGATCAGTATGCCTCAAATGGCGCCTGCTGCCCTCATGAAAGACATCAATGGTGGCCCCGAGGACCGAATGAGGGCAGTAGGGGCACATTCTAATAAAGTTAGATTTCGCCGTGAGGGAAAATGGTCTGGGCCCCAGAGAAGAGATAATGGTAACGAGCCGTGGAATTCTGGAGTGTGTCGATAGGAACGAGCTTAGAGGCATCGCGCAGTCAGAAGACGTTTCAAAGATGATTCTATTATCGCAGCTCGTGAACAAATGGGACAACTCGCGACAATCTGCTTTTGCTATCCAGTACTTCCAAGTTCGCCAAAATCAAACAAAATTGCCCAGCGGCGGTATCTGGGGCCAAAATAAACGCGTCAAGATCATGCGGTCGTGAATGATACTTCGTCCCACCCATAAATCCTCTTCAGACGGCTGGCAAAGTAAATCAACTTATATCCCTCAATGCGTGAATGGTGAGGGCGATGGATCGTAAAGGACCTAGGAGGAGAGAAGTCCTTCGGCGGGACAAAGGTGAAGATTGAACCGAATCGAGGTATCACAGAGAACTTGAGATCCGTCATGGCTGACTGGAATGCTGCCCAGGTTACCGAGCCTTGCGATTCTGTCTTTGAGAATAGTGTAGAGAAAACGTCGAATGTGGCCTGCTTCACCTTGTGGACGGGAATCGGGTCTGAGCTTTCTGTTTCTGTTGGAGGCGCTTCCGTGGGAACGATGCTGTAGACTGAGGAGTGGGCCGGTCGGGTCTTGGCTTTTTCACGGCGTTGCTCGACCATAAATGCAGTGCTCTGTGGCTCCGTAAGTGACAGCTTTGCGTCCAGCTCTTTCTCGAGCGCTTGTTCGGTCTCTGTGCTTTGCGCCTGAACGGATGTCATGACTTCTTCGGCAAGGCCGTCGTAGAGAAACCCCAAGCCAACGCCCGCCTTTTCCACGACGAAGTTGTCGAGTGTGGCTAGCGCTTCTCTCGCAATACCAGGTTCGAGCAGGTTGTCGATTGGAACAACATACTCGCTTAGGTCGACGTCATCAGAAAGATCTTCCACCTCGCTGATGAGAGCCTTGATCTTGGGAAGGTAGGCCTGGCCCTTCTTGCTGTTTGCCGGGGGCAAGGGAAGGGAGGTGGCTAGAGCCTGGATGAAAGCTGCTGTAACAGACAGATCTGCGAGCGCTTCGGACTCCGATTCTGTGAGTTCGCTCGCCAATGTCGGATGTGTGCGAGGGAGATCGTCGAGTTTCTGGATCCATGGAATCGCTTTGAGCGCATCGGTCTTCGTGTCCGTGAGTGTCAGGACACATTGTAACAGAGGGTTCTCTTGTGCCAATGGCTCCGGCTTGACTGTCATGACAACACGCGTTGCTGCCTTGTTGCCGCCAGCGGAGGATCGTCTGAAGTATTTAGGCGCGGAGCAGGTGTGGACGTAGCGTTTGAAGAGCTTCTGCGCTCTGCTATATTCGAACTGACAGACGTTGGAAAGCTCCTGAAGAACGATTCCGCGGTAGGTCTTGTCACCAGGCTTGTCAACCACCCCCTGAAGAAGTCGGCAGACATACTCCCAAACAGCAACCTCAACAACGGCTGAATGGAGAACTTCAAAGAACGCAACACTCTTGTACTTATCGGTATAGAGAGGGAGACGCCGTCCTTTTTCATCCGGCAGCAGTTCCGGGCGGCTCATAAACCACATGTTGACAATCGGAGTAAGAAACGCAGGCTCGGTGCGGCACAAGGTGAGGTAATCCTCGGCAGCAGATTTCTGGTCCTGAGCGCGAAGAAGCAGCTCTGACACCGGCAGTTTCTCTGGTTTCGCCGGCCCGGCTTGCGACTGAGATGGCTTCTTGCGAGAATGTTTCTTCGGAGCGCTGGTGTCGCGAGATGTGGAGCCGAGATCGAGGATGTCTTCGACGAGAATATTGAAGGACTGCAGGGCGTATAGCTGGCGTTGCATAACCAACTCCGCGGTCGCTCGGGGAGCAATGGCACCAGCGTCGATGGCATAAGATAGGTCGGATACCGTCTTTTGGTACGTCGCGGCATCCCGGACTTTGAATGATTCGCCGTATTCAAGATCGTCCATGAGGCGGGTCAACTCGTAGGGATATACCTTTGAATGGCGGAGTCCCTGGAGCATGCTGGAGCGAATGACCTGTCCATCCCCCGGCTCACCATCCGGACCTTGCAGATACTGTTGGTGGACTGTGTGGGTAGCTCTGTGCCGCAAGCGCGAGAGGAAGAAATCAGGATCCGGACCTGCAAGCTGCTGAAGGTTAATCTCAGGGATTATCATACAGACGTTGCCCATAGACGTGTCTGAGGAATGCCGGAGGACTTCGCCATTTGCAGCGCCCGCTCTCAACGCTTCCGCCCGCTTGGTGGGACCCCAGGAACGCCATATCTCCTCGATGCGGGTGCCGTGGACCTGGTACTTGCGACTCAGATCCTGTTGGAGCTGTTTGAGAAGCGCCGGCTGCGTGTAGTTCTGCATTGAGGGCAAGTTTGAAGCAGATGTGAGGAGGAGGTGGAGTTGTGAAATGACGACTGTGGGGTAAGTTTGGAGCTCTCCCTTGCATTTGTGATGATCTAACCCGAATTGGTCACGGCAGACTTCGCAAGCTAGTACGGTTACGGGAGTCACGTGCGGTTGTATAGAGAAGCAACAGTGGGAACTAGGCACCTCCTCTTTCCACCTGATCTGTCTAATCCCATGTCCTGGGAGCCCTCGCCATGGGCTCTGTTTCCTCTACACTACTAGCTGACGTCCTCCGTCTGTTGGGATCCGAATCGACAGAGTCCCCGAGCACTATCGACCCGGTTGTCTCCACGAACCCCCCGGCGGGCGAACGCAATCATACCCTGGATAAAGTCGAGAGCCTCTGTCCTCTGCAAGCCAACGGCCCCAACCTTGTCCCAAAATGCACTCTTGGAGATATGGAGAAACTTCCACTGGAGCTCCTCACAATGATATTCACCGTACTTGATCCGCATTCGCTGATGGTCTATCGGAGCGTCAACAGACTCGCTTTTCTCTCAGTTCAATCAGTTCCTCAGCTCAGAAAGATTGCCAAATACGCACCCACTGTACTTCGAAGTGCTAACAGCATTGGCCCGGGCCAGTCGTTTTCTTAACAAGATCTTCACGACAAACTTTACACAACCGCTTGTGAAACCTGCGGTGACTATGGTGGATATCTCTACCTCATTACCTGTCGCCGAGTCTGCTTTCTCTGTCTTGCAAAAGAGCAGAGCTACCTCCCTCTCCTACAAGTAGACGCCATCCGGAAATTCGCTTTGCGGCCCGAACATGTAGCAAGCCTCTCCAAGATAAAGTCCATTCCAGGCCGCTATTCCAAAGGCGCGTACATTATGAGCAAGCGGTACACAATATTTGACCACGATGCTGCAAGGGAGGCCGGACTAGCTTTGCACGGCAGTGAGAATGCAATGGCGCAACGCGCCGCCGCGATATTATCCGAAAAGATGGACCGTTATGAATCAAGAATCTCGCAAAAAAAGGCTGGAACTAGGACTACAACTCCCAGAAAGCCTCGAAACAGTAACGATCTTGATAAGGGGCCCGTTAACCCCAAACGCTTTATGGCAATTGTGCGCGCACCTTCAATGGATCGAACAGGAGCTCTTGAGTGGGGATTCCATTGCCCGGCCTGTTGGGGGCGCAACCATGGGATTGAGCGAGAGTTCGACCGAAACAGAAAGTATACAGTGAGAACCTTCGAAAGCCACATTCTGGAGTGCGGTGAGAGTATCAATGGCTTGCATGTTGATGATGACTTCTGGTGACTTGGGGCGAGAATCCGCTGACACATTATGGAAGGGCCATAATGTGATACCAGACAAGTGCTATGGAATAATACAGGTCTTTCGGGGCATGGAAGCTCTGCACAGACGTTAGGCTTTTCTGCCCTTTTAGTAGTTCCGCCACCTAGTTCTTACTAATAAATTACGTTTAATGTTTGATCCAGGACTCTCCTTAGTACAGTAGGTAGTATTGCGTGCCTCGTACTTAAAATAATGGTTACTAGCACTGGTTACCAGGTTACCTAACAAGCACACACCTGTGTCAGTTGCGCGGTAGACAAATTTGGGCTATCCTGTACCTGCACTCAGCGAGTTCACTACCCGCCAAATCAAGCATGGAAGCTATTAAAGAAGAGGACTCTTTTCTTAAGTTGTTACTTTCTTATCACTTTTTTATCACTTTTTTATCACCACTTTTTATCACTTTTTTATCAATTTTTTATTACTTTTTATTACTTTTTATTACTTTCTTATTACTTTCTTACTATTTTCTTATTCCTTTCCTATTACTTTCCTATTACTTTCTTGTCAATTTGTTGTTAACTTCTGTCTGTTGAAATGGTACATAACTGAATCTAACTGCTTGCTCTTCATCCCAGGACCATCCCACATCGACCATGGGGACTAACACAAACGTCGAACTTCTCAAAGCTGAGGTCAATCAGGACGAGGAGAGCTTCTTTAGCAACCCCGTTCATGGCAAATTCACCAAATACATTACTATTGAGCCTGATTTGTATTCGGCAGACATCTGCTTCGAACTGACTTTCCGCACCGTTCTCCCCGATCTTCCGGAACGACGGGCTCGTGGCGAGGAATGAGGATACTGGAAAGCCGCATTTTGCGCATACCATTCGAACCGAGTTCTTGTCTGTGAAAAGCTGCTGGCACGACGTATAGGTTGACTACGGTGACAATGCTGTCGGAGAGTTTCTGAGAGGAGGAATCTACGAGGCCCCCTGCCCACGATTCGACACAGTCGTCGTGGCCAAGTTTGCTCGGCAGGAGTGGGAAATCCAGTACATGGAGAACGAGACAAGGGCATACGACTCGATTGATGGCCAAGGGATTGGCCCGATATTTCTCGGCCACTTGACCGAAGGTGATCGGGTCCTTGGGTCTCTGTTGGAGCGGATGACCAATGCTCGGCATGTCGATTCGAGTGATCTTGCAGCCTGCGAGCTGAGCCTAGGGCGGCTTCACCAGCTGGGAAACATGGCGATACTCATCCATTCAACTTCCTTATAAAAGGGCCGGATGTTTTACTGCTCATCTTTGACACGGCGCGGAAACGTGATGACGCGGATGTTCTGCGCAGGGAAGTCGAGGCTTTGTCGGCTGCTCACAGAGCGGCTTATCCTCGCACGCAAATGCATAAGCGGCAAGCGCATCCAGATCAGCCGCATGCACGCCTCATAGAAGGGCCCTTCGTCATGGTCCTCTGCGACCGGATCATAATCCATGTATAGGATATTGATGTATCCCATTGGCGCCTCCGTGGGTTCTTTGTACGGGTCGGGAGATGCAACAATTGACCGCAGGCATTGCTCGTCAATCATGAGGCAATACCTAAATCTTAGGTTCGAGTACCTGCTAAGGCCATGGGACTCGAACTAGTTTCGATGACGCACGAGGACAGTCTCGACGCTTGCGCTGTCAAGCGTATCCTTATCATTGATAATGACATTTCGAAATCCGTCCGCTATCAATTTCCCGGCTGCACTTTCATACTTGATCCTGCAGACCATTGAATCAAACCGCCGCTTTAGCTTGGTGACTCCCGAGGTCCAGTCCTCATCGGATGCGTATGTTGTCCGGTAGATGAAATATCCCCAAGGGCGGGAGCGGTCGACACGCATGCCTCTTGAGGAATTTGATTGGAATTACGCGTGGCCCACCAGGCTTTCTGTCCGAACCTTCTCTCGCGGGTGGAGAGTGACTCCCTTGGTGGGAACTTGGGTGATGTCCAAGGTTCTTCCTATGTTTCGTGGTAAAATAAGGATCCGTTGGCAACCGGCAATAAGGTGCGGCCGAGAATAGTGTGATCTTCAAGCATGTCGTTAGCTCGCTGCTTGGAGGTAATACAGCTATGCTCAAGTCGAGAAATGCGACCCGGTATATAAGTCCCGGGGCCAAGGACACGTAGTTATAAGCTACGTATCTCCCTGGGTACATTGGATTATTCTTCACGTGAATGGATGATGTCCGCAGCGAAGCATAGTGAGAGTAATAGTGATGCAGCATTACACTAAACGTTGATCATAGGCACTCTAACAAGCTCACCCATCTGTTCCAACACCCACGCCAAACTTTCAGTGATCTGTTGAGTCCTCGGATGATCACGGCCGAGCCGCTGCTTACTCCAATCATAACAGAACTCGAGCAGTGGTCGAGCCTCCTCAAACCGACCGTCTATGGCATAAGCCACGCCCAGATTATTCTTTAGTCCAACTGTCAGCGGAGTATCCTCCTGATTACGCCCCTGGAGCGACTCAAGAGCTCGCTCCAAAAGAGATATCGACCGAGCCGTACCCTCATCTGTGTCCAGTTTTCCATATGTATCCGCGAGATTGATCACGCAGCGGATGGTTGTTTCATGCGTCTCGCCTAGGGTTGACCGTGCTTTCTCAACGGCGCTCTCTTGAAGCTCAATTGCTCGGTCAATCTGGCCAAGGGAGCGGCGGTCGATTGCCAGCAGGTCTTGCGATACGATTGTTAAGGGGTCGTCGGGTCCAAAGAGACGTGCCCGGATTTCGAACACTTTCTCATGCAGCTCCGCCGCCTCTTCATAGCGCTCCTGATTCGAGAAACTATTCGCCAGATTGCTCATGCTCGTTAAGGTCGGGATCGCCTCTTCACCCTCCACTTCGAGCATGATTTCCAGGGCCTTTTTCTCCAGTTCAAGTCCCTCCGCGTAGCGTCCCTGGCCCTTGAGGTCCAAAGCAAGGTTGCCCAGGCTTTTCGCGGTTTTGACATGATCATCACCGAGTATCCGCTGCCGCCTAGAAAGGACTTCTCTGTCGAGCTTTTCAGATTCCTGGTATCTTCCCTGCGCGCGGTAGCTGAACGCGAGAGCAGTCTGGACGGTGTGGGTCTCAGCGCGGTTCGGACCGTAGTGGTTGTCGCAGAGCCGGAGTGCTTCGAGGAGGAGTGCGACTGACTCGTTCCATTGCCCTGAATCCTCGAGCTCTGCTGACTCGTCGAGCAGAGACTTAATCTGTTGCTGTGGGCTGCCGTCGGCCATATCGGGGCAAATTGAGGAGTGGTAGCTTTTGTGGGGATGGGGAGGGGTGTGCCTCGTATTTAAAGTGCGCCTCGTTCTCGTCCTGAGTGAGTCTGCTCAGCCTCAATCTCGAATCGGTCTAGCGTGATCGTGTACTGTTAGGGAAGGAGCAAAGGATCGCCCGTTGATCCCCATAAGAGCCGTTTCTACCTCTCAACCTCACCAACTCTCATTGCCCTTCTTATCCTCGGGTGTATAACTACGGGATAGTTTTTATCGATTGTAATTCATTACTGCCTTTGTAGCTTTCTCTATACAGTAGAAGGTAAGCCACCGGGACTACTACCGGGGATGCGCTAAAGTCTAGGCTCCTTGCACGGAGGATAGTCCATTCTACAACGCATATTTCATCCCTCTCTGGATGAAATATAGCACCAATCATGAGATGAGCATTATCATCAAGAATCTATTCACTTTTAGCTCATTTTGGGCGCTGGGCGTCCAAAGAGGATGAAAGGCAAGAAAGGGGAGCCGAAAAAAAGGGGGGGTCAGCGCCAGGAATGAACTCCAGCCGGGTATCCCATCAGGCATCAAGGCCCTACAAGCTGGGATACGGGTGTCATGTGTTAAGGTTGGAGTCCCCCTGCGCTACTACCCGACTACTGGACCCCCCGGGGTACAATATAATTCTGGGGGTCATATATATAGAACAGTCTATAGTCTACTCTGAGGTGTTGGCTGGAGTTCTCTACTACATTGGCTACGTGCTCTAACTTCATTTATAAGCTCACTGAAGGTGGGTCGATCCTTCCTAATGCAGTTAAAAGTTCGATATATGGTGTGTGGCCTGTGACAGGACTGTTCTGGGCGCATCTGGCCGTACCGTATGAAAACACAGGAGTACAGATGCAACATGATACTAGCACAGGAAGGTGTTAAGAACATTCTTAGTTACGTGAGGCTAGTTGTGGCAGTTCCTGGCGCTTGAAGATCTTTCAGAATAGGAGTGATGTAACGCACCCCCTTCTTTCCTCCCCTCCTGCAGGCAACGGCCCGGATATTGAGTCCCTTCCTTAGGCTTCCGCTTCGAAAGCCATCATGGATAACACTCCCTTCTTCCACCACTCTGTAAACTGGCCTCTCTTCTTCATCCGCTTCAACGCGGTGCTTCTGAGCATATCTTGCCTGCCTCACTCTGCAATATATGTTGAGATGAGCTATACCCCCAGATCCTCCCGTCATAAGCCTAATGCCGTTTACCCCAACCCAGCGAGCGAGTATCTTCCCATGGCCGACGCTTCAAGGAAAGGTCAGAAAAGCCCCATGCAATTTATGTATTGCATGATCTTCAGATTAGATGTGCACCCGTTCCAGCTGCGGCTGCGTAGACGCTGAACAGATCGAACCATGCGAAGCTCTCAGGGGGAGTTATTTCAAAAGGCTTTTGGGAGCCTGCACCCCATAAGTGTTTCGACCACCTGACGCATGACGCAAATGACCCGACAAGCGAAGAAAAACACGGACGAACCGGATAATTGATGGGGCGGCATGTGGCTTGCACTGGGCTCCTACGAGAAACATAGTGGTTGGAAAACTGTTGAGAGCGCTTGTTGTACGACGAGGAAGTGAGAGTGGTGGATGCCAGCTGGCAACTGACAATACTGTCTCTGACTGCTGCACAATGTACGGCTATTCGTGGTTTTTCCGACGGAGGGATTGAATGATTGGGGCGCTCGCCTTGTATGCTGTATAGGTTACCTACCTTGTACGATGTTCTCCTCGAGACCGCCACTCAACCAAACTCGCTTCCCTAAATTCCATCCAATCTGTCCGTGATGTGCTCTTCCTGCTAACCTCTGCTTTGCTGGCGCATGGGACGCCACCCACGCGTAGTTGATTCAGCAGGGTACTTGCCAAGATATCTGCTAGAACACGCTTGAAGTGTCCATTGAACCGAATCAGTTTTCTTCATTCTTTTTTCCTTTGGAAAGCTCTATATGTATGCTATAGGTCACGAGCGCGTCACGTGATAACTATCACCAAGTCCCTCGCGTCGAGGCAACCACCTGCAACTCCCCAGGTCGTCGACGCGCCATCTGCAATTCACGACAACATGAAAAGAACAACATGCAATATTATATATTCAGCTTTGAGATATCGCGGCTTTTTTATTCGACACCGCCATCACTTTCGAGAAGCGGGGTTTTCGACGCACGCCGTTCATACGGCACACCCTCCTGTGTTGTTGCAGCAGAGAGAGGATGGGTCTGGTAAGGAAGCCTTTTCGCGCTTATTAGATGCGAATACTATCGCTAATTCAGGCCCAGTTACTCAAGTGCCAGAGGAGACCTTCTTCCGGTATACCAGGAAGCGATGGCTGTGTGTCTCACTCGGAACAACATTTGGAAGAAGCACCTACTGACATCTCCAGAGTAAATGATTACGAGGAAAGATCTAAGAGGTATCGGAAGTTTGATATTGGAGAGCTCATTGCTGCCGCTGCGCGATCGGCTGGAGGGATGCCGAAACAATGTACTGGCCCCTCGATCCATCCATGCAACCTCCCTGACTCGCTGACTCGTCAAGGCACGCAGATCATGAAATTTCCAGAAGGGCAATACAACAAAGCATTTCTCTTGACATTCGACGACAAGTCTGAGGTAGTCGCCAAACTGCCAAACCCAAACGCCGGACCACCCATTTTGACCACCGCTAGTGAGGTCGCGACGATGGAGTTTGTAAGTCACTGAGCCCGTTATGCAGTCCGCAAATTGACAATGACAGGTACATCGTATTATCGGTATACCGGTTCCGCGGGTTCTTGATTGGAGTTGCGACCAATTCAATTCCGCCGGGTGCGAATATATCATCATGGAAAAAGCAAGGGGTGTTCCGCTTGCCAATTCGTGGTATCAACTTCCTTCCTCAAGCAAGCACAACTTTATAGGGCAGGTTGTTGAGATGGAGGCGAAACTAACCTCGGTTTCGTTTCCCGCGCACGGATGCATATACCACAAGCGGGACCTGCCATCGGAACATTCGCAGAATCAAATTCCGTTCGGTGAAAGCAACCTACACGAGTTCTGCATTGGCCCTGTTATAGATCCAGTGATTTGGTCGGATCGCCGTTCCGAATTGCAGTTATATCGAGGTCCTTGTGAGTCTTTCTTTGCCGACAATAGGATCGTTGGTTGACTCCAGTTTCTGATACAGGGCGCGATATTTCACATTATGCGAGGAGCTTAGGAGAAAATGAGAAGTACTGGACCGATCAATATGCTCAATCACGCATGAACTATTACAAGAGTAACACCGATCCCGAGAACCCGAGCGAATACCTTGCGCTGGTTGAGAAATACCTGCTTGTTGCTCCCTTCATTACGCAATCGCAAGCGGATTCCCAGGATATCCTGCAGCCTACCCTCTGGCATTCTGACCTCCACTTAAACAACATATATGTCGACCTCGATACTGAAACCATCACAGACATCATAGATTGGCAGAACACAACGACGGCTCCGCTAATCTTCCAAGCCAAGATACCACGAATGGCTCGACATATAAGCCCACTCCCACTGGGCTGGCATATGCCTGAGAAGCCGGACAACTACAACGACTTGTCCCAGGATGCCAAGTCACAAGCGGACGACCTATATCAGAGCGCCCTATGCCACAAGTACTATGAAGTGATTACCGCGAAGAAGAACCCACGGCATTATGCCGCGTTGACCCATAATGACGAATGGAAAGCGCCTCTTATTCGACCTATCAAAGCGATTGGCGGCGCTTGGTCATCGAGGGAAGTTTTCGGCCTCCGCTCATCCCTCCTGGAGGTTGTGGATCATTGGACCGAATGGGACACGCAAAGCAAATGTCCTATATCTTTCACGGCGGAAGAAACAGCCTTGCACCATGAGGAGCTGGAAAATCGCGAATACGTTGAACAGCTGATGGAGCAGTTTCAGAACGCGGGACTCTTGCCAATCGACGGAGTCGTCCATCCTGAAGACTACGAAACCCTACAGCGCACAAATGACACGCTGAAGACACGCTTCTTGTCCCTAGCTGAAAGCGAGGAAGAAACAGCGTGGATGGAGAAGATCTGGCCGTACCAAGACCCTCCGAAATATTCCTGACGCAGTCGTCGTCCTTTCTTGCCGTTATCGAAGAGTGCTTTCACAGGGATGCTCAGGGGATTTGCAGCTTGCAGAATCACCAAGCCAGTCTTTGAGCTTGATACTGAATTACTGGGGTCCAAACAGCCGTTCCAACACGAGCGGCAAATGGTGATTAATTGGATTGTGTGACCCGAAGGGCGCCGTCAGTGACATTCCGTTGCGCCTCAATATTGCAACCCGGATGTTGACCAGCCAGATCAGCACGCTGGAGAGCTGTCATTCGGCATGTCATCGTCCAGTTGCACAAACCGTCCAAGGGTTTGCCCAGTACCTCTCACACGATATCGAATGTAAATGAGCGACACCTCGTATCGACGCTTGGCCTGCTCCGTGTTGTTGAGGCTGAATCTCTTGGGCAGCGCGATCATCATGCCGCCTATTGGAGTTTCCCACTCCCCGATTCCTGAGCCACGACATAAATGTTCCCATAATTTGCCGTCTGAATCCGTGCCATAGACCCCACAACCAGAATGCCTCTCACAAACGGCGAAGTGCGCGTTGCGCTCAACAACCCGGACGACGGCTTCACGCCTGGCGAAGACGGCGTAGATACTGTGGCAGGTGTGGCCAACTCTCATCGCCAGAGCCTCCGATCAATATTGGTAAGCGAATATTGGTACGCGAGATTCTTGGACAAGTACGATTGACATCTAACATATCTAGACTTCTCGCACTTGCAGACCGATCGGACGAACTTCCTCATATGACGCTTTCATCATGCAGTACTACCCAAACGCCTTTTACTACCTGAACTCTCGGGCACCCCTGGCAAACTCCTTGCACCAATTGCCGCTACATTAAACCCGCATCCCCTCAAACCATTTATGCATCATCGCCTGCTTTGTGCGGAACCGCTTCGCCGGGTCAAACTCCAACAACCCTCTAAGCAAATCCTTTGTCGTCTCCAATTCGTCAGAGGAAAAGCTCTCACCAACCAAATCATCTAGTAACTCCTCCAACGTCAACACCACCGGGGACCCATTCCCGTCTATATCACGATCTCGGCTGCGGGGGTGGTGATTTATACGTTCCCCACTTGCGGTGAAATAGTTCCGCCACCCCGGCCACTGACGATCTCGGAGACGTTCATCGGACGGAAACCCGAGGACATTGTACATGTCGACGAAGTGGAGGTCATCTATCAGTTCGAAGACGGAGATATCGCAGAGATCAAAGAGGGCTATTCCCGTGATGAATTCGAAAATCAGACAGCCAAAGCTCCACATATCTTGTGCAGATGTTACGGAGCGCTCAAAAAGGGTTTCGGGAGCGCGGAGCGAGAATGGTGGTGCGGGGGTGTGTGGAGGGTTAGTTGTGAGGAAGGCTGATGGTTGATGTTAGGTTTTCCTACAATATGGATCGGCCAGGGGGACGTACATCCACCAAGGTCGGAAACCTTGACTTTGAACGGCCGGGAGATATCGAGGTACCGCATCAGCGAGTCCGCTGGGACGATATACTTTGGAAGCTTCACTCCATCAATCTCCGCCTTTGACACCGGCGTGAGCGGGATATCCTTATCCTGCTGCAACTCTGCTACCGACCGAGACCCCAAATCCTCCAACGTGAAGAGGAGATTCCGTGGCTGCACATCACCATGTACGATAGCATTCTCCAGCATATAGTCCAACCCCAGCAGCGTCTGCCACATAATCGATTTCGCCGTCCACAGCGGGAACGGACTATCTGGGAACAGCGTATCTTTTACCTCTGCCACACTAGCGCCCATGGGTTCATACACTAGTGCTTGATGGACGCCATTAGGCCCAGTAACGCGGAAATGGTCGAGCAGCGGTAGATACTGCTCACGACCCGGATGGCTAACGAGCTTGGAGGACGCAAGCCGCTCATAGATGCCAATCTCACCGGTCGGTTCACTCTCCGCTTGGCCAATTTTTAGCGCGATATAGCGATCGAGTCTAAGCTAGTTAGCTTCGCCCAGTCCAAACTTAGATGCAAGCGAGCTTGATTGTACGAGGTACGGGGTATAGGCAAATGACGTGCTGTGCCTCTGGCACTGCTGTGTGACGTACCGGTTATCTCGCGCCAACCAAACAGTGGAGAAAGATCCATATCCCAGCTTCCGGATGATGCTATACCGAGTCTCCTGGAATGTATCGTGCAGGTGTACCGGGTGGAATCGTCGCTTGGAGTAGTATTCCAGCGGCTCAATAATCCGTGCGGGGAGGAGGCTTTTTGCGCTGGACGATGTGCTCAGCGTGCGCGTGCGGGTCTGCCCGCTTCCGCTGGAGGAAGTTGTCTCGCGCGAGGATCGAGAGCCCATCTCGCTTTATTGACTTGGCGTGTTATCTCGATTTCGAAGGCCCGGTGCGTCAAGAAGAAGGCCCTTGGCACGAAAGGAAAGAGCACTCGACTCAAAAAAATGGCTGGCAGAGCAGTGGCGGGGTGACTTAAGTTTTGAACTTAGATAAGCCGTCGTGGGAGCTACTGGGCGCTCGTCAACTGCGCTTGGATGAAAATTCGTGCATGAGGATACAGCAGTATTTCCTACTATTGGTTGGGGCGTTGGGCGTGCATATCCGCTCAGGCATTATTTAGTTCTGCTATTACCTAACCTGCCCTTGCCCAGCGGACGTGGCAGTGGGGCGATCCAAGTCGGATCGGCCCGTCTCCATCATTTGGCAAGTTCATGCTCTCGGGGCTGATGCTTTCCTCCAAAGCTAGTAAGTGCTTCCACGGTGAGGCAATGGAAGAGGCTAATTGCTGATACACAAACTAGGAGACAGCACGAAAGTTTCATCCACAGGACCATCTCCACCTAGCTCACGATGAACTAGTAGCAGCCTCCCTTGCAGCAACAAACGCCTCAAAGAACTCCTCCCAATCCCCCGCTCCCTCAAACCTGACCTCCCCGCCAATAACAAAACATGGCACCCCATTGACCCCTTGCAACTTGAGTCTTTCCCTAGCCGCCTTCGCCTCGTATTCAACCTCCTCGACACCCCCGCTCCCCGCTAGGAAAGCCCTAATGCCACCCTCGTCGATCCCCCCCTCAACAGCCACTTTGACAACAACACTAGGATCGCTAATATCCCTCTCCAGTTCGAACTGGTATTTGAACAAAGCCTCTGCGACGCGGCACTGCAGTTCGCCTCCTCCGATCTGTGTAGCGAGGAAAAGGACTCGGTGCGCGAGGCGCGAGGACCCGATATACCCGCCGAAGGAGAAGTTGATTCCGAGGGGTTTCCCGGTCCGGACGAGGCGAGTTTGCGCGGCGATTATTTGCGACTCAGTCATGCGGCGGGCCATCCGGTCTGCTCAATCAATCAATCAATCAATCAAGCCATCCTGGTTAGCACCTGCCAAAGATTGCAGTCCCGCCCCCTATACCCTGTTGAGGACTTTGTTCAAATCCGAGCGAGGGGAATAGAGTCTGTGGTAGGGGTAGCGGACCCGTACCATGAATCAAGACACTTGCTTCAGGCTCAACCTCGTCAATGAAATACGGTCTCCAGGATATCTCGAATGTATCCTTTGATCCGCCCGGGTATGTCTTTTGGTAGAGGGTGATCGTGCGCTGCAGGGTGCGGTACCCGATATAGCACTTTCCACTCATAACTCATGCGATTAGCCATTTTTACTTTTTCTTTTTTTGTTGAGGGGTGAAAAAAGCACGTGGGTGGCGGGAGCATACCCAGGGACAGATAGGGTCGGATATGATTTCAATTGGAATGATTGGCATCGTGCAGTGCGCGTTGTTTCTGGAGAGAAATAACGAAAAGGATGGTTATGAGACATGGGATATTGTGAGGTTTTTTATAGTGAGGAGGAGCCAGGGGCTCACCTCTGGTGCCCTGGGCGGAATTCCGCACTGCGGCGCAGATCGACCTCGCATGAGGCGGTGGTTTGATTTCCCATGCTCCTGGTACGGAGGTAGACGAAGGAGCGGCTACTATCAAGTGGCGGTTCAAATTATCTAGTTGTAGACAACCCAAGCAAGAAAGTACACTATACCTCTTGGAAAGTAGGCTGACGACTCGTTATATATGCAATCCTCGAGAATATGCAGCCTCAAATCTTAGATTGTATCATGACTTTTCGCTGACGCCTAGCAGGAGGTTCCGCGGCAGAATGGGTCTATCGTCCCTGTTCGGAAGTGGAGCATTCTGTCCATCTGCGCAAAGGCAATAAATTAATGGCATATTGGTCCAGACCTATTTTCTGGATTTGGGACCTAATATTAGGTCATAGGGCCTGTTGTAATTAGTAGTATGCATGTATAGAGTAGTCGGCCTAGTGGAGAATTTGGCGCACTTTTCTTGGCGTCCTCTTATATTTTCTGCTTCGGGTTAGTGTGTAACACCGTCCGAAGACCAGCCAGTGGACCCGCTTTCACTAGAAGATGGCTAGATTGATGACCGCTTGAGATATGGAAAGTCTGAGATTCAGCGTCAATATGAATCGTCTCTACTACAGAGGCGGCCTTAGGTGTCTTGTGGTCCCGGTAGTGATGGCGATGGTACAGAATATGTGCTGACGAGGAATGGCAGGTTTCTAAAGCTAAAACCAGGGGGCTCTGATCCGCATTGGCCAAGGAGAGCGATTGCTCGTCTGCATGGCAGACAAGGTTACCCTCTATTTGGAAAGATGAGCGAACTACCGATACAAATGAGTCTTTTGGTGTGTTGTATGCTTCAGATGTCGTCATGAGCAAAGTATGCTGAATCAGTTCCCCCCACGCAGTGCCAGTTGGGCTGGTACGCACCTAGAACATGCTATTTCTGGCTAAGCCAACAATGCACATTGGCTATTTCGAACCATTTCGTTTGCAATGTAAGATTCTGACTGGTCTTGTGAGCCGTCCTAGTAGATTATCCTAGAAGGGTAATCACAGGCAATGCCCCTTCGAGCCAAGCCTATGATAATTAAAGTTGCCTCTTCTTCTCCCCTTCGCCTCTTTCTTAAAAGACACTGCTCCATCCTAATCAGCCATTCTCAAGAGCAAACTGTTTTTCCTTACTTTTCCTTTCGTCGAAGTCCATGCACGCAGCACCCCGAAAGCAAGTCAGGCTTCATACAGAGGCAGACTATGCCTGGTCTCGCCCGTATGGCTTGGTGGAGAAACCCGGATACTACCCCTATGAACCTGAGGCGTGGGTTTATTGTGACAGATTTTCTTACGAAGAAGGCGAAACTGTGTCACTGAAAACACACACCACCGCTAAATCGTACGATATCGAGATCATTCGGGATGGATTTCGTCCTAAAACTGTCTTCCTTAAGACCGGGCTCCCAGGTCGTAAGTGTGATACTCCACCAGACGCTTATGCAAAGGGTTGCAGATGGCCAGAGGCGCTTCGAATCCATCTAGAGGAGGGGAAGTGGGAGTCGGCCTTCTATCTCGTGATCATCCGCATCAAAGAGTTCCATGGCCGGATCCACGAGCGAGAAGGATTCTTCATCGTAAAAGACCGACAGCGCAAAAGTGCCCATGTTTCCACGGGTGACTTCGTTTTGGTTCACGCTACCTCGACACTCTTGGCGTATAACGACTGGGGGGGTGCAAACCACTATCGCGGCATTCCAGACGGTTATCAAGACGATGAACCCTCGCCGTTGTCGAGCACTCAACGTCCCATCGCGCGAGGAATGCTCAGGATTCCCCAGAACGCTCCTCGCGAGGCCAACGGACCGATGAAGGTGCGCATGGGCGACACCCCTCGATTCCCGAGTCTCGAATATGCCTGGTATTTTCGCTATTCAAGACACTATGCAGATGCCGGGTGGGCAACGTATGAGAGACCGTTTGTTGTTTGGGCAGAGAAGAACGGCTACCGTGTCCATCATCTGACACAATCAGATTTGCATTCAGAGCCTGATTGCCTCACAGGATACAAGGTCGTTGTGTGCGTTGGACATGATGAATATTGGTCATGGGAACAGCGCGATACCATGGACGCTTTTGTCGACAGGGGCGGCAAGCTGGCACGTTTTGGAGGCAACTATATCTGGCAAGTTCGATTTGACAAGACCCTCCAGACACAGTACTGTTATCGCGTGCCCCAGGCTGACCCGGCAACGGAGCTTAATCCCACACGAGTCACTACCTTCTGGGATTGCCCGTTAATTGGGAGACCTGGCGCGCAGACTGTCGGTCTCACGGGAATCATGGGTTTTTACACAAGGTATGGAATGGCCGCGCCACGATCCTCGGGGGGGTTCCAAGTTTACCGACCGGAACATTGGGCGTTGGTTGGGACATCATTGCAGTACGGGGATAGCTTCGGCACTGATCCAATCAATATCGCTGCATTTGAGGTCGATGGCGTGGATTACGAATTCCGCAAAAGCCTGCCCTATCCAACTGGAAACGACGGAGCCCCAATGAATTTAGAGATTATAGCAATGTGTCCGGCAACTTTTGGAGAGAGGGATATCTCAGGCGGACAAGAGCCTATCGGAGGGCCCCTACGTGAGGTGTAAGTGCACCGTGAATTGAATTGTTGGGCAAGGGACTTCTCTGAGCGGCCCTGCTGACAATCGAAACAGAGCAGAAGTTATTGGGCTTGCATTCGAGGGTTTTGAGCTTCCTGAATACCTCCGAGACCGTGAATATGGCTCTGGAATGGTCGCAAGCTTTGAGAAGGGAAAAGGCGAAGTCTTTTGTGCTGGAACGTGTGAGTGGGTGGCGGGCCTAAATCCGTAGAGACGACTTCACGGAACTCATCACGAAGAACGTGCTCGACAGATTTACTGGGAAAGAAAAGTAGTCTGTACATTTTGTTTCATGTTACCATAGTCCAATCTCAACTGCCCGACTCTGCAGGGTACGATATGCGATCTCATGACCACATTTATCGCGCTCTGTCCAGAACTGTTTCATCAGTGACCTCAGGCTTCCTTGTGGACGTCTCCACCCCTCGCCAGATTGCTCGAATAAATGCGCGAGGATAGTATCTACTAGAGCCATTCCGCCTTGAGCATTGTCTTGGATGTGAATCCCGAGCTCGAATGCCGGCCAGCCCAGGGAACGAAGGTTGTCTTCTCCGGTTGAGGATGATATAAAGACACGCAGAAGCTTCAGCAGTTGCGGCGTCACATTGCCGACACCGCACGGCCTCAGATTGCCCTCTATGCAAAGAAGGGCTGTGACAGTAAAGCAACGCCAGAGGCTCTCCGCCGACGTCGGCATATGCGGCAATGTCGCGATAAACTGCCTCAGCTCGGACGCGACGTCTTCTTTTCGAGAGACACGGGCAATCAAGTCTAGCAAAGGGCGGGGGAGTCCTGTAATCGGCTCAATGCCCTCTCGACCCATGCACCAGGTTGCCCAAATGTGCAGTGGCTCTGTCTGCCTCCCTACGATCCAGACATCCATATCAAGGCCACCTAAGCCTTCCAGAATGTGGTTGGCGTCACTTGTACAAGCAATGCTATCATCTCTCCACAGACGAGACTCAATTTCGAGTATCTGTGAGATCTGGTGGGTCCAGCTATACCCTGCCCTCATCTGCATGCAGCGGGTTCCGCTCTTAAGTTAGCGTATCCTATTAGAAATGGATGCTTCGTCGTTGTTTTCATACGGTCACGTACAGCAACTTGAGACAAAAGGACCATACAAGTAGTCAGGGCTTCGTTGTCAGGATGTAGGTCTGCATTGAAGAATTCCTTGGCCTCATCAATCGCTCGGTCAATTCTGGTGAGGTGGAGAGGTTGCAGCATTCGCTACATAACGACATCAGCGCCTCCACACTATATCGGATGGCAGCATGCTGTTGGCATAATTGCATGATGTCACCGACCAGGTTACTCTGGGGGAGACCTCTCCAATGTAAAACACGGCTGCCATCCGTAGAGACTGATAATTTAGCAAGGGCATTTAGAGATGGCTAGTGCAGGAAAGTTTGTTGGGGCACTACTTACATAGATCTAATAATTGTCTCCCGTTAAGCCTGTTAGTGCATTCACAGAATGCGGAGGGACTCCTTGGTATCAGTGCCTTAGAGGACTCCGCGTTTTTGATAGGGTTGTATGGTTTCCACTGGAAGCGCGGGGAGTAGTCGCAAGCGAAACCCAAGCGCTCACATCTCTGGCATACTGGGCGAGTTTCCTCGCATTTGCGGCTGACTCGCACGCACTGCGGACAGCCCGTTCGAGAGCGTGTGCGCCGGCCCAAAGACATTCGCGGAGGCCCTAAGTGGTTTGATGAGAGGCAGAACAGTTTTGGAAGCACGAGAATGTTATGGAGTAATGCTTTTCCTGCCGCACTTCACGGGACCGGAATCTTGGCACGTGCCGCACGCTAACCCCATCAAGGAAATTTCAACAGGACAAGGTTATCAGTGGCGAAGGCGCCTGAGCCCGCACTGGGGTTGATATCCGAGGAAGAACACTGTTGATCGATTTCTCCAAAACGGAAAATGACCGCAGATGACAAGCGATAAGGCCCGAAGAGGAATTTCGAGGAGAACGAAACGGCCAAATGGTGTTCAGAACAAGACTAGGTCGTCGAGTACGTGCTGCGCTCAGTTTTGCCCATTATGTGGCGTTACTGCTCGCGACTCTTTTGCTCTTATCGCCCCAAGGAGAAGGGATAATGATCAGGAACATGCCTCAACTATATAACTTACTTGAGATCCCTCCTCTCAGCTGAACGTCATCTATGAAATATTGTCCAACGGCATGGAAAATCCTACGAGCCAACCGAATCTCAGCCACGATCCAGCCCTGTGTCCGGGCACCGTCCGCCTGGTTCAACAGCGTCTGTCTCTCCCTACTTGTCGCTGTCGGCTCTGCAGAGAGAAAAAGAGTAAACTGACATGGAATGCCTCATGCAGAGTGGGCGAATAATTACGGTGAACAAACGCGTGACGGAACTATTATTTTGATGCCGCAGCCGGCGAAGACGGTCAACGATCCGCTGGTTAGTACCTGAGTCTCTTGTATCCTTCCCCCCTGCTATTAAGCTAACCTCTTCTGGTTTCAGAACTGGCCCCGATGGCAGAAGGCCTGGCATTACGCCATCCACCTTGTCTGGATCTTTTTGGCAAACGCAAGGTATGCGTTGATGACTCCCCGTAACGTGGGCGCAACCTGACCTGGATTTGAGTATCGCATGGACGTCTCCAGCCTGGACTGTCTGGACAATCGATCTCAACACAAGCTACACAATCCTTACTTATGGGCAAGCTGCGCTCGTCGTCATGTGTGGAATCGGTGTGCTCTTCTTCCAACCATGGGCGACAAAATTCGGAAGACGTCTGCCGTATATATTTGGCTCTGCTTTGATCACTTGCGGGTTGTTGTGCGGTCGTTTCATGACCGATAGCCGACTTTACCTTGCTTATCAGATTATTGCTGGTTTTGGTTCTGCTCCGGCCTACTCAACAATCATCATGTCATTGTTGGATGTCTCTTTCTTGCACCAACGCGGCCGTGTCCTGGCACTTTTCGGGCTTGTTCTCGTCGCAGGAAACTTTCTTCCGCCCATTGCTGCAGGGTATATCGTGGATCAACAAGGATGGGAGTGGTGTTTTAACTACCTGCTCATTTTCTTTGTAATAACATCCACCACCCTTGCTTTCACGGGCGAAGAGTCCTTGTTCTCCAGGGAGACATTCGAGGTCAGAGCTGATTGCCATGGCGACGTGATACCGGCGCACAAAACCTGTGAGCAACTCTGTCCTGTGGGCTCTAAGTGCGATGAAAAACAAGATACTACTTTGGCTGTCTCTGTCAACCTCGAACGCACGTGCGCTCATGTTGAGACGTTCGATACCAACAGACTTCCCTACGGACAGAGAATGACGCTATACCGAAAGAACAAACTTACCAAAGCAGGTTATTGGTTCTTGGCATTCTCCATTTTTCGTGTTTTCCTGCTACCGGCTGCCATCTGGATGAGTATAATGCTCAGTCTGGGTTCATTTGTGGTGGGTGTGATACTTACAACATTGGCGTCTTTCTTTTCCCCGCCTCCCTACAATTTCAGTGCGGCAACCATGGGTCTGATGTACCTTCCTCTCGTTATTGGGGCCTTACTGGGATCCGTGTGGGGTGGACCTTGCACTGACTGGCTGTTGTTGCGTCTTGCTCGGCGCAATGAGGGTATCTACGAGCCGGAACACCGCTTGTGGACTTATTTGCCGATTCCTGTCATTGGGGCCGCGGGGATTCTGCTTTATGGAGTGGGCGCTGCTCAAGGTGTACACTGGGCTGTTCCTTGCTTGGGGCTTGTCTTCGTTGGTTTCTATCTGGACGCATCAACCCCAGTCGCTATGGGGTTTGCCTTGGATTGTTACCCAGATCTAGAAGACCAAGTTGTCCAACTCTCCAACTTCTTGCGCAACGTGCTTGGTGGCGCGTTCACGTTTGGTCTCCAGCCGTGGATCAATTACAGTGGTGTTCAAACTACGATCATCATTATTGCAGCAGTCGTTTTCGCGCTGAATGCCACGTGCGTGTGTTTTCTGCTCGGGGGCCGGCGTGTGCGATTTTGGTCTGCCAAGAGGTATTTGGCAGTACGGGATCACGCTCTCTTCCATGGCTAGCGGATTGTTAAGTGATGTGAAGATGTCGCCACATACCCCCAGGCACCATTCTAGCGCGAAAAGGAGGTGCAAATACCTCTTCCCCCATACTGTAGTATCGGCTCCACTTGCACTGTCGCTCGATGTTTGGATAGTACTACTCAGTTACTAGAAGTAGAAGGGCAGGTGTCGTGGTTCTCGTAGATTCTTGCTGGGTCGAGAGGCCTGGCTAAAGGTGAAGTCCATCACAGCCACACAGCATCTCAGTTGGCAAACACCATCGGAGATCAAAGGACTGTGGTAGTACTATGTCAGTTGCCTAAATACCGGTTAAATATATTCCGCCTATATGGATTTGAGACGGTGGAGTCGTTTGTCTTATATTATTAGGAAGATCCCGTGCCTTCTTAAGCTAAAATACGGAGTACGGTCTCTGCATAGACTCGCCCCATGGCTATCCCACGACTTGGGATTTGGGATAATAAACGCAATTTTAAAAAAATAATACCATCAATCGATGTTCTTCATAAACTCATCCTTAAGGCTTTTCCGTCTATAATGTATTACTTTAGTTAATAATTTAACCTTTTTACAAAAGACCCTTTTCTGATTATCCGCGGCCTAGACTAAAGCATATAATTTATTGCTAGATAAAGAGACGACTGCGATGTCTGTCAAACCGAGAAGCATGGTGCTGCTTTTAGGATCCACGCGGGCCTAGGTATGGTTCTCAAAGCTTAGTGTGCTCGTATCAGTCATTGAAAAGAGAGCCACCGCAACATAATGAGATCCCAACCCAGGTTATGTTTGCAGTAGGATCAGTGTTAATAGAATGGTCAGAAGCATCTAGGTTGACGGCTCTATAACTGTAGGGTTGCTGTTGTATGTATAACTTGAAGTTTGAGGGCCATTGTTTGACACTTATGATCTATGGAATATCTGAAGTACGTATCTGAATGTATAACAATGCATGACCATGCGAAGCTGGCCTCCAAAGTAGTGCAATGGCTCCGAAGAACACCCATCTCCGAGGAACAGGAACCTGCCTGAACACATGTAGAGGGGTTCACCAGCATGCATACCCGGGTTTCTTTATTCTGCAATATTCATAGCACTCACCACTAGCTTATAGTCAGTCCAGATGGTTATTATGCACGTTATTAATCCCTGTCTTATTGCGTGTTGTGCTAGTGTTGGTTACGATAAGTTAGGTTATATCTCGCTTTTCGTTAACGGGAGTCTTCCCTGCATTGCCCTAGTTGTTTCTACATCTACCTACAGGAACGCATGGTCCTTGCTGGTCATGGGTTGGGGCAGCAGGTGCAGGAGCCTGCTACTAGTGGCTCCTAGTGTTAATACCCGAGCAAAGCAAGTCGGCCGAAGGCAAGGGGGGCATGAAAATGGCGGCACGACAAGTATGTCTAGGAGAGTCGGGCAGTGCCCGTGAAATGAAGGCTAGTTGCTCGGTGGTACTTCCTGCTAGAACGGCTAGGGAAAAGGCAGGCAAGAGCACACCTGGAAGACCTCTTCCGCAGTGTGTTCATTTGCCTTCCTTGCCTGCGGCCGAGGCCCCATAAGAAACCTGGATATAAAGCGCCATCACCGCCACTATCGCTATCAACATTACTTATCTTATCATAGTCGTTTTCGAGCCTGGTGATCGCATCTGGGTGAGATAAGATTACTGATAAGCACGAACCTGAGGTAGCAAGATGCGGTGTACTGTACGAACCTTCACTGGGTGGACAGATAACGCTGTCTTTGTAAGGCCTGCTGAGCACCCCAACAGAAGATGCACCTGTGTGATTGTGCGAAGAGTGTCTTTCCCAATCATTATTTATAGGAACGAGTTTGCCATGGCTAATGTGCTGCGCTGCCGTGTCGCGTAGTATGGTTGTAGGCTTGCGGGCAGGAGTGTAGACATGGAAGTACATAGAAATAGGAGGTTTAGGGGTAGTAGAGGGTTTATTAGGATTAATAGGCGTGAAGCCTGGAGAGTGCAGGGCAAAGAAGAGGAAGATAAATGGCTATTATAAGAACTTAGTAATCCATCCTAGAAGATAGGTAAAATAGGAAGTAGACTATAGTATTAAAGAAACTAGTAAAGGTGCCTATATTACTTTTAATTTAAGGCGCGAGAGGGTATTTATAATCTATAGATCTAAGTGACTGGTCCTGATACTCTAATAAAAAGTAGAATACTCTAGAAAGCTAAACTAAGGTGGGTATAATTAATCCTGGACTCTCTACTTATATATACGCCTTAGGCCTTAAAATAGCATGCTATATAGTGCAAAGGGGCTATTCTAAGGAAGTAATTAGGTATTATCTAGAAAGAGTAAATGCTAGAGGAATAGCGCAGATTTATCGGGCTACATGCTCCCCTTAGAGCTCGATGATATTCCATAGGCAACACTGCAACAGTAAATAGCCATACTTTCACTATTATGCTTTAGACGTTTATCATGGGGTGCAACAGGCCGGATGATCAAGCACCAATCGGCCACGAATTGGGCGAAAAGAGACTCCACAAGAATGTGGTCGACGGCAACAACAGGCAACCACAGCCAGTGGAGCTATATAAGGCATTTAGACTATTTTGTGCAGTTAATCGATCTCTTTCCTTTTTCGCCCTTAGTTCCCAGTTCCCCAGTCCTTGCGGCAGTCGTAGGAAAACTGTAGACAGCAGAGAGTCTCGCTAATAAGACACGACGGCACAAGCACCACCCGGCCCTCGACAAGGATGCTGTACCAGAAGCAACCAATGCGAATATGCGTGACGGAGATAGTAGTCGAGCACTCAAAGTCGCTTGAGGCCCGAGCTATCGATCTTGACTGCACCCGCACCGAAACTGCTGAAAGTCAACGGTTGTAATCTAAGATGGCACGCAAAAGAGCATATCGCGAAGATCTTTGAAAGCGCTGGAAACAAAGCCGCTTGCATGCCAAACGAGGCGCTCTACCAGGTGACAGATAACTATCATTGACCTGACTAGGCAGCTGTGATATCCTATCCGGAATTCCGCGATCCAGCGTCCCAGCGGAAACTTGATAAAGCGCAGCTCCATCCTCGCGAGTAGCCCGGGCAATGGGGTAGGTATATAAAGCCCCCTCGACTGCGGTGCATTGATCAGTCATAAGAGCTCGGGCTGAGTGTGGTTCAGGCGTTTTTATGGAGTATCCTCTTCGGGCATATCTTTGAACAGTTTCGCTGCGCCGCGGGAAACGCCACCAGGCCGAGGATCAGTGTCGCTTGGTGAGACCAGGTATGCGGCTCCTCTCTTCCTATTGTCAACTGACGGTGCTCAAACGGTCAAGACCCAAAGGTAAAGCACCGTCCAACTTCGACGAATAACGCGGAACTCAAACCTGGCTTGCAAACATCCGTGCTTCAGTATACCTATAGAGCCGAGACCTGCACGGTGAACAACGGCCCGGTCACTTCTCTCGGGTTTGCTCCCTCGCAGATGGCTCCTGTCTCGCGAAGCCTTTCCTAAACTTTCTTGCAGCACAGGGAGTAAATACCCATCAGTCAGGGTAAGGAAGGACCCCTAGCCGACCTCGACACGAAACCTGACCTCCCGCTCGCAACATATCCTCAGCAAGCATCCTCCTTCCGACGTTGTATCGATTGCGGCAACAGTTCCTCAATATCATTCATCTTTTTTTTTTTTCGAATCTTCAAGATATTTGTACACTGCCTACAGGACGGCCTCGGGCATTCAGGCTGTTCGATGTTCGATGTTCGCCCTGCAGACTACCTTTGTATCTAATGAGAGCAATTTTGTCACGAAGAGGACATGACTTGTCACTGTCATTGGCTATCGTTGCTTTTTCCAAGGCGCATTGTAATGGCATTTCACCTGGCTGCGCCTCACAGGGTGCAGTGCGCCGACCAATGGATGAGATCTTAGCTGTGGTGTTGAGGCTGACCATGCAGTACACAGCCCTAGCGCAGTGCTTACGCAGAGCGACAGAGGAGCGTCTCCGAGACTGCAAGGCTCTGACGAAGAAAGAATAAAGGCCGCTACTCAACCTGGCAGCCCCTCGAAAACAGAAACCGTCGCTTCCCTACGACTCTTTGCTTTGCGCCACCTTCCTCTAGCTTCGTGATCTAGCCACCGGCAGCCCTTATCCGATGAACTCGTCAGTAGAATGTCCAGATACCTCCGCTCTCACCCCAGGATCCTCGGGCGAGATACTCGGCCCCACAGTGCTTTTCTGGATGGTTTGCTTCGCAATCAACTCGATGACCCAGCCCACGGGCCGGGTGCTGGGAATTCCGTACGATCACCCCTCCATACTTCGAAGCTCACCAATCATTTGTGCTTTTGACGCTATTGAGGTACTCGCTGAGTGGGCGTCCCTCGCCTTCAACCCCTCGAGCCCCATGACATTGGGCGTGGCCGCGTTCCATCTCGTACACCACCGCACCCGCGATGCGCCCAGCGCTCATGATGCGGTGCAGGCGATAAAACGGATCAAAGAACAAACCCAATTCCGCTGGGCGACGTTCTTAATCGGCACTGTTCCTCAGTACATCAAGCTATTTGCTAGCAGAGGGACTCCATTCTCGACCGCTTTTGGCACTATGTACCTCGCCTCGTGGTTGCTGTTCGAGGCCCTGTTTTGGGCCGCGCCAATAGACAGTTTATCCGTCTATGCTGTTCCTGCTATTCCGCAGTTTAAGCGGGATTGTGTAAGACGCATTTGGGCTCGCACGGCTACCGTCTGCAGTGCCATTGTTTACTATGCACCATACGTATTCCTGGTATTTGTCTTGAATCACAGGCCAGACGAGTACCTGGAACCCAGCGGCTGGGAGGATTTTCGAGTTGGGCCAGTGATGGGCGCAACAAGCTTCATCTTTCCCTGTGGCGGGTTGGGATTCTGGAGCTGCTTCTGGTGGGAAGAGACCTGGACCGCACTTCGAACGCGCCAACTATCTAGGCGAGAAGTCTTCCTGTGGGGAGCTTTCATCTTGGTTTCGGTGTCTACGACGTCTTTGACTGTGTATGCGGTCTTTGTGGACCTGGATAAATTCGCCGAGGTCCCGAGCATGATTCGAATGATCACGTTTCTGTCCGTTGGCGGCCTGGGGTCCCTGCTCGCTGGTATTGCCTTTGTTACCCGGAGGGAACTGTGGGGTATGGACTCGTTCGACATCATGAGACTCGCTGCTATGATTCACCTGCCGGTGTTGTATTACTGTCTTTTTTATGATCCCGCAGATACCCATCAGCCGTCCTGGCTGCAGTGGCTTGGATAGCCTTGAAACCTAAACACGGAGAGGGTTGGAACGGAAGAAATACGCATTCTACGAAGGACATTCCCACCAAGGTCATCTTATGAAATATTAGATATGTGAGATTAATGTATATCTATCCAAGCCACGTCTATGAATATTCAAACAAGCGCCCGGAACCAGAACATGATAGTCCTCGAGAACAATGCAAAATTAGGGTACAGCAGTGATACAAACACAGGGTATGTAGATGGAAATCAGATAAAAGGAAGAGGAAAATAGAAAAATGAAGGATCGTCCGCCCAGTAGATAGTATACAAGGGCACGTCGTATACGCATATACGCATCAATAACAAGCGAAGCCTTAATTAAGGCTTCGAGAGCTGTTCCTTGCGGAAGAAGAGGAGGAAGCCGGCACTACACGTCCATCAATCAGTAAACAATTCCACACAGGAAAAAAAAAAAAAAAGGAGAGACCAGGGAAACTGACCAAACAAGCAACTGGCACCCCAACGCAACCCAGAACCACCCGTTGGCCAGGGCATCCGCGCCCTTGGTAATATCCGGAGAAATGGGGCCGGGCCCCGTATTATTCGGCGCGAAGCCACGCGCGCAAATCGTTGCAATGGATCCAATGACCTGAGACACGATGAGCGTGAAACACATGTGCATCCGCGTCAGCGTCTGCAGGAGGATGATTCCGAATCCGAGGCCCTGGATGCTATCCAGCACGCCGAGCCACAGCCACAGACTACGCGACACCAGGGCGCCAGAGGTGTAGCTGCCGCCGGCGGCCCAGGGGAGGTAGTATCCGATGCCGGAAACACCCCACCAGATCTGGATGAATCTCGGCGCACCTAGGCCACAGGCGAGGACGGGGAGGAACCAGGAGTGCTGTTTGGAGAACTGGGAGACGAGGTAGAGGAACAGGCACCAGATGACGCCGAAGAAGACGACGCAGAGGATGAGGATCTGCCATTTGGTGGCGTGGGCGGTTGTCCAGAGGAAGCTCCAGTTGCGGCCGTAGGGGGCGCTCATGAAGAAGTTTTGCAGGATGACGGCGACAAAGTTCCACAGGACGATTTTGCGGCGGAAGACGGAGCGGTAGAACGAGGGGACTTTGCCGGGGACCTGGCGGTAGTAGTTGGGGAGGCCGAAGATGAGGAGGAGGCCAACGGCCCAGAGGAACATGGCGATGGGGTAGCAGATGGCCCTGCAGGGGAGTGTTAGTACTTTTCAGAGGGATACAGAGAGGGAAAGGGAGGACGCACGTCATCTTCCAGGTGTTGGAAATCTGATTATCAGCCGTGAGCAGCCCCTGACTTGCAACCTGCGCAAGCGTCGAACCCCAATACCACAGCGCAATGACATACACCTGCTGAATGCCTTGAATGATACAAGCACGGAAGATCCACTTCTTCACCGGCGCACCACCCTCATCACCAAAGTTGAGCGCGAAGAAAATCGACCCACTGCTCGAGGCAGCCGCATAGAACCCGGATCCAACATTCTGGATCCAACCCCGGTTGAAGGAGTCAGACTCCCAGTGCGCAGAACCGATGAGTAGGAAGGCGATGCCGTACAGGAACCAGGGGACGCTGAGGCAGACGACGGACTTGAAGTAGCGGAAGACGAGCCACCACAGCGCCGAGGTGATGGCGTAGGTCGTGGCGATGCCGTACAGTTTCTCGGCGGTCTGACCGACTTCGCCGGTGAGCAGGGTGATTTGGTACGAGTTGGCCGCGATGATTTGGCCGAGGGCCAGCACGAGCGTGTACACGGGCCAGTCGCCAATCTTGATCTGCATCCACTTCTTCAAGCCGGTGGGGGGGACATAGTCCTTGCCCAGGAGGAACTCGTCATCATCAGAAACATAAGAGTCGTTGAACGCATGCTGGCCATTGCGCGAGTCGTTGTCATCAAGAGGAAGCGACTCATTGGACGAGCCACCACCGTGCTTATCGCGGAAGATGGACGGCGTCGGCGTAGCCTTGGACCGACCGAGTCTCGCATCGCGGAACTTGTCGAACCACTGGCGCTCAGACTTGATGAGGAACTCCTCGATGCACAGCTGCGACTCGGAGTTGGACCCGTTGAGCTTCTCGAGTTTCTGCTCGAAATTCTTGTAGTACTCGCCGTTGGAATCGGTGAAGAACGGATCGACCTTTTGCAGCTTGAAGTCCGTCTTGCCGCTGACGACCGAGTTGAGGGACAAGGCAGAGGCGCTGCTGTAGCGGTTGTGGTTGGCCTCGGCAAAGGGTTTGGGCGGGGGCAGGAGGCTGCGGTCGCCTGTGAACGGCGAGCCGGGGGTGGTCGGGCTGTGCATGGCGCCGGGGGTCATGGGGAGTCGCAGTGAGTCCTGGCTGTTGCGGCGGCTGTACGAGACAACACGGCTACCAGACTGACGAGCAGCTTGTGCCTGGCGGATCTGCTCGATCTGGTCCGGGGTGACATGGTACTCGTCGTCGGCATAGTAGCTCAAAATCGACTCGTTGTCGCTGGAGCTCTCGTTCTCCTCTTCCTCGGGGATGTTCTCACCGGGCTTGCGGACACGGCTGCGACCACGACGAGACCGGTGACCAGGACCAGAGCGCACACCAAGAGACAGCGAACGCTGAAGACCGGCCGGCTGTTCCGTGTCGCTGGTGCTTGGCTCGGGGGTATACACGTTCTTGTTGGTGGTGCCAAAGTCGCTGAGGCGGTTGAGGTTCGAGTAGCTGCTGTCGCGGGACGGAGGCATAAGATGCATACCAGGCCCCATGAGCGGACTGGTCGGACGGGCAGAGGGGGTCATTACCCCAGTTGGCGTCGAGAGACCAGACGTCGTCAGCGGTTTCCCGTGCCCCTTGGCCAGCTCCTTGTTGTGCACCTGGATGGCAGTCGTCTGCAGGATCTCCAGATCCTCCACCCACTGCGCAACGGGGAACCGCTGCTTGGCCGAGCGAGCGCGCATCATGGCACGGGTCTCGGTTTTCGAGTTCAAAGCCGCGTTGATGGCAAGCTTGAACTGCTGCAGCAAGTGGGAGGTCGAGACGGATTCAACAGTGTACCACCAACCGGGCATTTGACCGAGTCCACCAACGCGAGCACCGATTCCGAGCGCACCCTTGCGACCAAACTCGACGGCGACAAGACCAAAGGGCTCGTCACGCGAGGGGATGAGGGCGAATTCGGCACCAGAGAAGATATACGGAGGTAGGGCCGTGAATTCAGGACGGGAAAAGACGCGACCAGGGTAGATCTTCATCATGTGGTCGAGTTTCAACGCGGCGAAGCGACCGTACAGATCAATGACGGGCCCAACGCAAATGAGTTGCACGTTGGGGCGCGCCTCGAGAACTGCAGGCATGACGTCTGCAATGAGATCGACACCCTTTTGCATGGACCACCGACCGACGAACACGAGGAGATCGGCGTCAGGGTTCTGCTCAAGACCTGCCCATTCCTGCGCTTGTCTCTTCAATTCACCGCGCTTGGCTTCAAACTCGGGATCAACGGTGATGTCGGCTGCTGCACCGCCCTGCTCGCCCTTGGTCCACTCACCGACATCAGACGGGTCAGGGTTCGGCAGGTTACCAACCTTGCGCAGACCCCAGAAGATCGGGTACCGTGCGTACGAGCGCTTGCCGTACTTTTTCGACACACCGACGGCACCAAAGCCCTGCTGGTGGACACGCAGGTACGAAGCTCCCGCGTGCAGGAGGTTAAACACCTCACCAAACTGCACGTACGCGCGCGCAGTCTCGATATCCAGGTTGAACACGGAACAGACTTCCTCCTTCTCCTTTTGCGTGCGCATCGGCCACAGACCCTGGAACTCGGCGTTGTGCAGAGACAGGGCGGCGGGGATGGTTTCGGGGAGGAGATAGAGTGGTGCGAGGGAGCCGTGGTAGTCGTTGATGTGGTAGATGTCGGGCTGGAAGCGCTTGATCGTCGCGGCGATACACTGGTTCCACGCGGAATAATACACGGCACTGTCGAGGTCGTCCATGCGGGCTGGGTACGGCTCGGATTTGGACTGTTGGCGGAAGACGGGCGCGTCGAGGAGGACGTAGGTGATGTTGTTGAGGACGTGGTATTGCACCTGCACCTGGTACGGGTTGCCCAGGATGACGACCGTCATGGGTTCCGCGGGGGTATCCTCGGGGTAATCGACGCCGCCAACGCAGGGGACGACCCAGATGAGGTCCTGGTGGCCGAGCGTCTTGCCCATGAGCTGCGCCATGACACCGAGACCACCAATTTTGATCTTGATGGCCCAGTCTTCAATGTCGTATTCCATGGTCGCGATCAGGACGGTGCGGCGCTTCCCATCGGCAGCAGCCGCTCCAAGAGCAGTCGTGCTCTGCATGAACTTGGACTTGCCAGCGAGACGCATGAGCCCGCTGGGCGGACCGCCGGCTCTGCCTTCGCGGACCTGCTTGAGCTTTCTCCGGAGGACGAGGGGGATCATTCCGTGCGACTCGCTCACACCGACCTGGTTGAACTTGACCTGGTAGAAGGACTTCATGAAGATGTACACGCAGGCGGCACCGGTGAGGACAGGGATGATCCAGAACAGAACGTACATGGCGATCTGGGAGCTCTGGTTTCCAACGGGGATAAGGTCGTAGCGCATCGTCGCATCATTGATGTAGAACTTCCACGCGAGATACGGCGAGGGCGGGGCGTCACTGATATTCACCAGTGTGGCTGACAGAGAAGAAGGCGGCATGCGGTCGAGGACCTTGTCACCATCGACATCACCCAGGACATAACTCTGATCGGGCTCGCCGTCGGGGTTCATGCCCCAGACATTCAGTTGACCGACGGCCGGCCACTCGGAGGTGAAGTGATACTGCCAGTACCCATTGTCGGTATTCAGCTCGACCTCGTTGCTCAGACCCCCGTCGTATCCATACTGGTTGAAGGGCCCGTTGAAGAACAGATGCGGCCAGCGGCGCTGCACCTTGTGGTTCCAGCCGACATCGCCCTCCTGCACGTAGTCGCTGCTGCCGGTCAGACTGCTCCAGTACTCGACGCGGACGTGGTGGCCGCTCCACTTTTGCTTGTGGGTGCCGGACCACTCGAGGGCGTCGATGGTGTCGTTTCCTCCGGTGTATTTCCTCCAGCTGGAGTAGGACGAGCCCCAGTTGGTGGAGTAGCGATATTTCGTGGCGCCGGCGGCGTGGTGCTGGATGAACAAGGTGCCGTTCTCCGACTCGTGCAGCAGACTGGACGAGTAGTTGGCCGTCGTAAACACCATGGGGTTGTCGATCTGCCCGATGCGGAAGAGGAAGTGGTCGACGGCGTTGGTGTAGTCGTCGCCGTCCTTGTTGGTCGCGTTGGTCACGGTGACTCTGTGGATTCCGTTGTAGACACGATTCAGGTTGGCGGCCCACTGCCACTTGCCGGGGATGTGGCCCGTGTAGTTTCGGGCCAGGTAATCGATCGTCTCGTCGATGGTTGCGCAGGAAACGGACTTTTCATCAATCTGCGGGGTCTGGTTTGCTTCGGTGGACGAGTCAAAGCTGATCGACTTGGTCACCGAATCGCAGTCCATCTCTTCGGAAAACTGCAGCTTGATGGGAACCGTCTCGGGCGCATCAGGCGCAACCGTGGACCGCAGCGGCGAATCATGCCCGGCAGCGTCATCGTCCCCAGGCTGGAACTTGGTGATCATGGGCATGGGCCCCTTCCAGCGGGACTCGGGGACATAGGCGCGGTACTCGTAGCGATCGAGGGTCATTTCGGACAGACACCCCTGCCAGTCTTCACCCTTGGCGTATTTCTCCAGGGTCTGCGTATCATACGGATAGAACAGATTGCGGACCTTGGTCCCCGCGGCAAACGGCGCAATGAGCGCAGTCTCGTTGTCCGAGCAGTCGAACTTCCAGTCCATGGTGCGGTTGACGTTCTGGTAGACGAGCCAGACGGTCTGGTTCTTATTGTTCTTCTGCACCTCGGTGTTCATGTCGCGTTGCACCGACCACACGCCCGTTTCGGTCGCGGTGCCGTTGGAACCGGGGTACTGGGTCTGGTTGGTGTTGTTGGAGAGTGCGTAGAGCATATACCCGTCGTTCAGAGCCGGGTACAGGTCGCGCAGCTGGAACATGCGCTTGTAGATGTTTCGCACGGGATGCGCGGGGTTGCGGTGGTCGTACGTCACCGTCTCGTCGTAGCAGCCGGTGCTTGCATTCGTGATGGGCCACTTGTAGTACTGCGAGGATTCGAGCGCGAAGCACCCGTGGGTCTTCCACGCCGTTGCGGGGGACATGGCCTGCCGACCGTAGATGTAGTTGGAGGCGGTAGCATCCAGGACGTAAAACGCCTGTTCCTCGCCCCAGAGCATCAACGGGATTCCAGGCAGCATAATCGTCGTGATAAAGGATCCAAGCATCTGGCGCTCAACTCCCCATTGGACAGCAGGCCATCTGAACACATCCTGATTGGTCACGCCGTACATGTGCCGGGGATCAAACTCGCCAGTATTCGCATTAATCAGATCATTCGTGCTGGTCATGTTATTCCACGCATTGACAAAGTTGACAGGGACATCGAATCCCGCCGCCAACTGCCCATCCATACCCAGGAACCGGGTGAGAGCACGGTACGTCGAGTAATGGAACGCGGCGCCGTCAATCGCCTCATGGCCCGCCTCGCGCAGGAAATGCTGCGGGTCCGACTCGTTGGTCAACTTCATCGCATCCAACGGGTCCGGGATATACTGGTTGGGCTGGCGCCCGCGACCCAAATAGATGGACCCGAACTGGTTTCCGCCGGTGATTTCGCCGGCGATGAAAAAGTTCTTCTTGCCCACCTTGCGCGCGCATTCGCGGTATTCCATGGACATTTCAGCCAGGGCGTCGACAGTCGCCTGCGTGGCTTTATCGTACCGGAACCCGTCGATGTCAAACGACTGGATAATCATGCAACTATGCCGGATCAGCCGCTCACGCACAGAAGGGTTCCACTCGCGCAGACGATCTTGGACGGAGGCGAACTTGGCCAGCTGACGCTGCCAATCGGGGAACACGCCAAAGGCTTCGATGTCGCCGTACTGGTCAAAATCGCTGTTGTAGCAGCCGACCAGGCCGGACGTCCAGGTCTCGTTGACGGGGTACCCGTCCTCGTACCAGAAGCGTGGGTAGTCGCAGGTGGCGTTGTAGTCGTTGCCAATGTCGAAGTCGACGTAGCGCCGGTCGGACTTCCAGAGGGCTTTGTGCTCTTTTTCGCTAAAGGGCGTTGTGGTGTTGAGGTGGCCTTCGAAGCCGATGAGGTCGCCCATGCTAGTTTCCTGTCAGCATTCGATTCCATAGAGTAGATCGTTGGGGACTGGTGGGAATGGGCAACTCACGTAGCAATCGTATTATCAAAAACAACATACATCCCGCGCTTGTGAATCTCCGTAATCGCATTGCGCCACTCCTGGATCTTGCCAAAATGCTGATCGAGCAACGTCGTATCCAGCGCAGAATACCCATCCGAGCCCCAGGGCTGATTCATGAGGATCGTACCGGCAAGATAAATGCCCTTGATGCCCATCCCCTGGAGATAGTCGAGGGTATCGATGAGCCCCGCGACATCACCGCCGTGCCGCATCTGGTTGGAGTTCAAATCGTGCTCAAACGCAGTCCCGTTGATGTTGTCGTTTTCGGGGTCCCCGTTGACGAACCGGTCCATGAAGAGCGTGTAGAAGGGGAAGCGCCAGTTGTCGGGGGAGGGGAAGTAGTCGCCCTCGTGGTCCGGCCATGTGCCCGAGTATTCGGCGGGGTTTGTGGCGTCTTTGTTGGTGTTGACGTTGTAGTCCACGAGGGACTCGTCGTAGGGCCAGGCGACGACGGCGCTGCGCAAGAGCAGGGCCGCGAGGCCGAGAGAGAGGCCTGGTCGCCACATCCTGTATATGTGTATGTGGATGGGATTATACCTGGCGGTATGTTGAGGGCAAAGTGACTAGCACTCTGGTGGTTTGACCAGCTGGCCAGCTGTGTGGAGGATGAATTAGGTAGAAAGACACATAGAACCGCTCAATGCTAGACAGATGGATGCAGACGCAGATGCTCAATCAACGAAACAAGAACCACAACGGTAGCGACTGTGTGTAACCAGAGAACGAGAGACTGGGGGTTTGGAGATGGTAGGGATGAGAGCTGGAGAGGGAGGATGAAAGTTGGAGAAAGTGAGATGCCCCGTTGACCCTGAAAGCGAATGTCGAGTTGAGGCGGGGGAGGAGGGAATCAGCCACGTCGATGCAAAGCGAGTGAAAGGCAGACTGGCTGGCCTGGAAGTGATTGAAACGATAGCTCAACGTGCGCAAAAGATAAAGAATAACAAAAGTGCACGCTAGCAAGGCGTGAGAAAGCCAGCAAGAGTAATAAAGGCCCAGGCAAATTGCATCAGCCAGCTCGTGGAGCAAATTGGGAAAAAGTAAAAAGGCCCGTTGCTAATAATACCAGCAGCTGCATACAAAATCCACCGTGCTAACTCTGCTAAGGTGTTTAGGCAGTTCGGGGACACGAGACTAAAGGCTGAAGCATCAGTCTGTCCGTGCGGTGAATATTAATCCTGACTGTGGCCACTTTGATAATCCAGAATCCAGATAGTTACACTGGGCTGGGACAGCTCTCTCGGACTTTTCCGCCCTATGGGCCTACTCCGTTTCGCAGAGTAAAAATATCTCGATGATCCGCTACAAAGGCGAGGAACATGTAAATCTCTGCGCGGAGCCTCGATCACGATCAGGCTGGCAGTGATACGGAGAAACGGTCAGAACGTGTAAAGCAGGAGATGCCCTATCGCCAGAGTGGACCCGATGGGGCGATGGCGGATGCAGTGGCTCTCGTCACCGAGATGGGAATAGTCAAGCGATGGATGGCGACCGAGGCTCAATCCTGAAAATCCTTGCTGTTTGACAGCGGAAATCCAGGGACCTGGTCACTTAGGGCTGATCGTGCCCGTTTACCCTCCGAATCGTGCAGCGTGCATCGTGCATCTTGTGTATACTTCCCTGCGCAGGCGACATGACATTTCGGCGCTGCAGACAAATATCCCGAAATAACCGTCCAATGTCTCAGGCCCAAACACGACACGACACCAGCTTGTCTCGGAGCCAAGTGGAATTCTCTGCTCCGACCAGGCGAGTACGAGATGGATCACTGAACCCAAGTTCGGGCTTCGCAGGGTTTGCAAGACATGGCCAATCGCGGCCATCGGTAGGCTATCGCAGCGGGTCATTGGATGCTGTGGCCCTCGTCTGGTTGGCTTGGTCAAGCATTGTCAAGCAAGCCGGGAGCCAGTGGGTCGGGAAAAGATTCCAGCGTACGGCCGAATTACAAGACGTGATTCGGCCCGACCGTCGGGGCGGGTAACAGTCTGGTACGGTAATTGCGAGTATATATAGTAATCAATGGTCATGGATCCACCCTGATACAGCCACCGTCACAAATTAATCAACATTGATTGCCATGACTGTGGTGTGACATCTCGTGCCCTAATTGCTTTTCTTGAGCTATCAGCACTTCAAGATTCAGATGATTATGGTCAAACTCTAGATAGGATAAATGGTGATTTGAAGCGGGAAGAATTCGGCATTGCCAGGACCATGGAACCAATTTGAGCTATTGAACTGGATTACTCAAGTATTGGGTGAGACAACCAAGTTTTTATTACCCTGCCAGATGCGAGTGTCCAGTCCTCACCGATGAGACTCCCAAAACAGGAGTATCTCCACGTTACCTAGAGCCTCGTCAACTTGAGTGTAATACTCACCCTGTATCGTACGATTCTTTCATGGCAAGTCTTTTCAAGACATCTCCACTTGTGCATGACGTTCTTATCGCTCCAGTATTCTAATCATTACGGCGTGACGGCTAAATTACCCCTCGTCTGCCAGTGCGTTCCAACTCCAACGGTCAACCATGTGTGCCTTGAACTTGTGGGACAGTACAAGCATGAACTGTTCTTAGACCACGAACAGTTCATGCTCCTGCTCATCAGCCCCATGTTCCTTGTTTGATTATTGACGATCTGCTCCATCATCCCCAGCTTTCGAACGAACAAGACTTGGACACCTCGAGGCAATTTCGATTAATCATATTCGATCCTCGCCACCTCATGCTGGTGAGACATTCTTGACTAGTCGCCGGCGTCCACCGTCAAGGAAAGATAGCAATTGCCTTGGCAGGCAGTGTGTCCGGCAATCCTCGGAAGCGGAGTCTGTCTCAAGACGATTTCCTCCCTCGGCTGGGTCGCCGGCCTTTTATAGCAATTGGCAGCTTTCAATCTATGGATTCTGGCCCAAGACTCCAGTGCAGACTCCAGTCTCCTCCGTACAAACTCCAGTGTCCCACATTCTTCCCGTGCAGACATTGACGCAGGAACGAACTCAACGGCGTGGTTGTAGAGAGTAAGCTCGAGTCTATACTCTGATTCTCACGTCGGAAAGGCCTTGTGAACAAGGCTATAGCGGGAACATCCTTGCTTTATCCAAGGATAATAATCAAGTGGCCTATCGTAGTGCAGCATCCCCTTTCCTCCCAGTGTAGATAGATGGCATGTGACCGAGTTGATCCCCCGCTGTAACCCTCCATCCTGGCCTGGTCAGTGGTCACGGTACCCGCGTCCCAAAGTTGGCCCTGCTGGGCAGCGTTGATTCCCCCCGACGATCCCTCCAACCCAGTTCCAGGATTCTTCTGTTGTTGTGTGCGGTCTTTACCCCTGGCGTTCCTTCCTCGCGTGATCTTCACTCCTTTGCTACAACGAGTCACTCTTTTACTATCGCGGCTATCGCCCAAGTCACTCGTTCTCATACACCACGACTCGGCTCTCGACGGTCTAGCACGCATTGCTCTCACTCATACGCTCTTTTCGCAGTGACATGCTATCATGACCAGCGCAGGAAAGCCCTGCAACTTCAACCTCCGATAACCCGACACGACACGACAAATCAACTATACCCCGGTGTGTACCCCTCGTGTCAGAACTCAAAACTCCGCCACGATGTCCGCTCTTTCATCATCGATAATATGCCGCCTGGCACTCCTAACGACCTTATTCTCACTCCTCTGCACACACGCCCACGCGGCAAACCTCGCAGCATGGAAATCCCGCACCATCTACCAAACAATGACCGACCGCTTCGCGCGCACGGACGGGTCAACCACGCACGCCTGCAACACGACCGCCGGCCTCTACTGCGGCGGCACCTGGCTGGGCACGCTCAGCCACCTCGACTACATCCAGGGAATGGGCTTCGACGCCGTCATGATCTCGCCGATTGTCGAGAATGTCCCGGACCGCGTCTCCTACGGCGAGTCGTACCACGGATACTGGCCCGTCGATCTGTATTCGCTGAATGGGCGCTTCGGGACCAAGGAGGATTTGCTCAAGCTTAGCGAGGGCCTGCATGCGCGCGGGATGTACCTGATGATGGACGTCGTCATTAATAATATGGCATTTGTCCTCAAGGACGGCGAGAGTCCAGCCAAGGATATCGAGTATTCGAAACTGAGCCCGTTTAACAAGGAAGAGTACTATCATCCGTACTGCAAGATCACAGACTGGAACAACTATACGAACGCGCAGAACTGCCAGACGGGTGATTTGGAGGTCGTCCTGCCGGATCTATACACGGAGCACGAGGAGGTGCAGACTATCCTCGAGAAATGGACGCACGATATGATCAAGACGTATTCGATTGATGGGCTTCGTGTCGATGCAGCCAAACACGTTGACTCGGGGTTCCTGACGAAATTCGTCGACTCGGTTAAAGCTGATACGTTTGTTACGGGAGAGGTCCTCGAGCGCGAGGTCGATATCGTCTGCCACTATGCGGACAATTACATTGCGAGCATGCCCAACTATCCGATCTACTTTGCCATGCTGGATGCACTTACGAATGCGACGACGGTTAACCTGTTCAAGGAAGTCGAGATGATGAAGAGCGCCTGCAACGACGTGACGTCGCTCGTCTCCTTCTCCGAGAACCACGACCAGGAGCGAATCCCCGCAAAGAATGACGATATCGCCGTACGCATAGCCCTCATCCCTTAGAAATAACCACCGCTGACCAGCTGCTAGATCGCCAAAAACGTGCTAACATTCACGCTCCTCTTCGACGGCATCCCCATGATCTACCAAGGCCAAGAACAGCACCTCGCCGGCGGGGGCACGCCCGAAAACCGCGAGGCCATCTGGCTCTCGAAGTACGACACCACCGCGCCGCTGTACAAACACATTTCGCAACTCAACGCGCTCCGCAAACACGTCACGGCCCTCGGGGCCGACTACCTCGATTCACCCACGGTCCCCCTGCACCGCGACGACGGCGCCATCGGCTTCAAAAAGGGCGTCGAGGGCCGGCACGTCGTGATGCTGCTTTCCACGCAGGGATCGACGCAGGCGAAGCCGTATACGATCCCGCTCAAGGTTGCGTATAACGCGGGGACGGATGTGGTCGAGGTGCTGGGGTGTACGAATTACACGGTTGATAATGCTGGGCAGATGGTTGTTACGATGGACAAGGGGGCGCCGAGGGTGTTTTTTCCGACGGAGCTGATGGAGGGGAGTGGGCTTTGTGGGTTTGAGAAGGGGAATGTTACGCTTGCGGAGCTTGTGGCGGGGGTCGCGGAGAGGAAGAGTAGTGATGTTTCTGGTGGGAGTAGGCGGGTTGTGTTCGGTAATGTGGTGTTGTTTGTAGTGGTGTTTGTGACGTGTTTGATGTTTGGATACTAAAGTCCCGATGTACCCCCGTGTGCTCATGTTGTTGCGAGTGTTTGCGATACCCCCGTGCTCTAATTCCATTCTTTTTCGAGAGCGAATCATCTTCTCCGGCGTGGCTAGCGAATTGGAACAGGAGAAGCGTTTCGACTATAGCATGACATGACTGCTTCCTGCTCCTGTGAAAGCACACCACATGGCACTACACATCCACGGTGAGACCCGATAGATTGTCCACTGTCTGGAGTACAGTGTCAATAAAGAGTGGGTCATGTCTTGCTCTGCTCAAAACGCAGCCAATCAACTCGCCATTGCTAATTTTCCGACCACAACCAAGCAAATTCAATATGATGCATGCCGCGCAACTACCGCGCGAATCAACACTGCAGAAACAGCCCCACAGTGGCCCAGACCCAGACAATGTCTTCAATCCGACCCAGTCGTCTGTCTCAGTCTCATCTCGAATTTTCGCCAGCGGCGATCCAGAAATAGCTTCGAGTCAACAACGGGCGCCTTTCTGGAAGCGGGAAGAGGGCGAGGGCGATTGCTTTTTTTTTACGAAACGGGATCCAATTGGATGGGGATTGTCTTACTTCGAGAATCTTTCTTGTTCGATCACAGTGCGTAGGGGTGGATAATTTATTTATGCTGAGCTCTATACATACGGAGGAGCGGCTCGAATTAACCGTCAAGACGTCATCGCTCTCAACGCTCCACGATCAGGACCAAAGCGAAGACGACCAATATGCCATCGTTGCTATCGCTCTTGCGATTCTTCTCGCCGAAGAAGCGGAGAGAGGCGAAGCGGTGGAAGGAGATTGAAGGTGCGCATACTTCTTCTTTGCTCCTCAATCCAGTATACTAAACCCAGTCCAGCCTCAGCCGCGCAACTCCAATCCCTCCCCTCATGGACCTCCTCAACCGAAAACACCCTGTTATTCCAAGCCTTCGAGTGGCACGTACCCGCTGATGGACACCACTGGGTGCGTCTGCGCCATGCCCTCCCCGGGTTAAAAGCCATCGGCATCGATCAGATCTGGCTCCCGCCGGGATGCAAGGGGATGGACCGGGACGGCAACGGGTACGATATTTACGATTTGTATGACCTCGGGGAGTTTGAACAGAAGGGGAGCGTGCGGACGAAGTTTGGGTCGCGGGAGGAGTTGCAGGTTCTTGTTGAGGAGGCGCAACGTCTGGGCGTCAGGGTTATTTGGGATGCCGTGCTGAATCACAAGGCCGGGGCGGATCGTGTTGAGAGGTGTATGGCTGTCAAGGTTGATGAGAATCGTGAGGTTCCCATCCCTATACTGGCTGCAAGTCAGTAGTAAGTTCAATGCTGACCATCGCAGGCCGAGACAAGGAAATCTCCGCTCCGAGTGAGATCGACGCATGGGTTGGATTCGACTTCGAGGGCCGAGGCGACCAACATAGCACGATGAAGTACAACCAGTCGCACTTTTCCGGCGTTGACTGGGACCAAAGCGCTCAAGAGAACGCCATCTACCGCCTCATCGGTCCGCGCAAGGGCTGGGCCAGCGATGTGTCGCGCGAGAAGGGCAACTACGACTATCTGATGTTTGCGAATCTCGACCTTTCGCACCCCGAAGTCCGGCAAGATCTATTCAACTGGGGCGCGTGGATTACGAAAGAGTTATCCCTCGGCGGGATGAGGCTCGATGCAGCAAAGCATATGTCGGTGGCCTTTCAGAAGGCGTTTGCCGCGCATGTTCGCGCGACGACAGGGAATCCGGATTTGTTCTTTATCGGAGAGTATTGGACGGAGAATCTGCGCGAGCTGATGAAGTATCTGGAGGATGTGCAGTATACGCTGGCGGCGTATGATGTGCCTCTGGTCAACAATTTCTCGCGCATTTCAAGGAGCAGGGCCGCGGATTTGAGGAAGATCTTTGATGGCACATTGGTCCGGCATAAGCCTGAGAGCGCCGTGGTAAGATATCCCCATCCCTTCATGCATTGGAAGAGCAAAGCTGACCTCGATAAAGACCATCGTCACGAACCATGATACAGTACGCAGATCCCATCCCCATCCAGCAACACGCACGCCTCACCTGCGACTAACCAAAAGCACAGCAACCAGGCCAAATGATGGACGTACGTCTCCTCCTCTCCCAGCCTATCCCCAACCCAGCCCAACACCACAAAACTAACAAAAATACAGACCCCAATATCCCCCTCCTTCAAACCCCTCGCCTACGCCCTAACCCTCCTCCGCAAAGAAGGCAACCCCTCTCTCTTCTACGGCGACCTCTACGGAATCAACAGTCGTACCTCCAACGGCAAACCAGCTATCCCGGGCACGCCCAAGCGATCCTCATTCTCTGATAAGCTGCCCATTCTAACCCGCGCACGCAAACACTTCGCCTACGGCGAGCAGCAGGATTATTTCGATAAGCCGAATTGTGTTGGTATGTGTGTGCTATGTCCCTGGGCCCCTACCCCCTGCGTCACGCTACGTATGTATGCGATGTGACGTGATTCCTCGTATCGAATTTTGATCCTCAACTCAATATTCGTGTTCGGCCTCGTGCTGACTCTTGTGTCACCGATAAGGCTTCGTCCGCTACGGAAACGCCCGACACCCCTCCGGCCTGGTCTGCGTACTCAGCAACGCGGGCGCAGCGACGAAACGCATGTACGTTGGCCCCGGGCACGCAAACGAGACATGGACGGATATCCTACGCCCGCAGGGTCAGACACAAAAACAAAAAGTCACCATCGACGCCCGCGGCTACGGCGAGTTCGCCGTCGAAGCATGCAGTGTGAGCGTGTGGGTCGAGGAGTCGGCCGCCGCTAGGTTTGAGCTGCGGTTTGAGGAGAAGTTGTGCGTCTCACCCTGCCTCCCTTGAACCTTGTTCTCTTTTTGGTTTTTGGCTTTTGGCTCTTTTAGCCGGTTGGTTTATTGCGTGTGAGTGCAAAGTGCTAACGCGATGATCTCGCTGCAACTACTAGTGATTTCGATATCTATGGCTGATGGCACACGGATCCTGAATCTGATTGATCAATGCATTGCGACGGTTGTGATTGAACGATAGCGGAAATTAGTGTCTCACCCGTCGAACCCTCTATCTATCGATAGCAGAGTGATAATGTTTAATGTACCTGAATCCACGATACGGTAGATAGGCTCCAAGTTCCAACCTTGAAAAATAACCGGGACCGGAAACACCGGCCGACCAAACCATCATCAGGAACTCGAGTAGCCGACCCAAGAGAAGATTTCCAAGATTTCTAAGATTTCCAAGACGTCACAGCATTCTTACGATATGATAACGTAAATCACCCGAGACCCTGTGGATCACGATTCACACCGTTCAGGGAACCAAGAGCGAGGGAGAATCTAAGAAAAGGGAAGCCTTGGACAAGAACGTTCAAGCCCCAGGGCCCAGGCACTGGGCAACGTACCTTGGTGTTCCGTGGAACGGCCGTAAAATTTCTTCTCTGCTCTGGCCGCAGCGGCCCACACCCCTTTCCTCCCAGTAAAGTGCTTACATACCAGAATACGAGATTCGCCTAGGCGTACTAGTGTCCTGGTGGCGGTACTGGCGCGCGTCAGAATGTCTGGTAAGATATGGTAATTACTAGCGCCCTGCTCGTACTGTAAGACCGGTGCAAAGTGTGGATCCCGTATGATGTGCACGACGAATCGGGCGTGGCGGTTGGAGCCGCTTACACACTAGGTCGAGAGCCTAGTTTCCTTCGGGAGTCGGGATATCGAGAAGGATTTGGGAGATCGGCCGGCAACGTGGCGTGGGTTTGGGCTTATGCCGGTTATTTGGATTTCGATGGGAGGTTCACAGAGTTCATGACTTTGAGAAGAGGGGCCCTGAAAAAAATGGGACGATGGGATGATACTTCAGTCTTGATGGTGGAGGATCAGAGTTGTCTCGGATTGTGTGGAATTGACGCGGGAAGAGAGAGAGATATATATATAGCCAAGACCTCAAATCCGGGACCGGATTCCCGCATGTGGCTAGTATTCCTAGGGGTCTCCCGGTGTTTACTTCCAATGCAACAGTGTATTCTAGAGATTAAATAGCAGATATTGTGATACAATCGTCTATGTTTAGTTGTAAAGTTAAAGATTCCAAGCCACTCCAAACAACAAGCAGCTACCAGACTGTCGCCGATCTAGTAGTAAAACAGAACAGTAAACATGAATATCACATATTATCGCATATTATCGCGTACTGCGCCCGATTCGATATTCTCAACTTCGTAGTTGATACGAGCCGGCCGATGGTCGAACCCACACGATTCGCCGCTCACTCCCGATGCGCTTCAACCAATCTACAGGCTGAAAAGCAGCGCACCACCGATAGCACCAGCGGCAACAACAAGGGGAGCGCTCATAGCACCAGCGCCGTTCTCATCATCAAAGACATCGCTAGCGTTCGCATCGGCGGCACCGGAGGTGGTGGAGGCAGCAGCGGAGGAAGATCCAGCGGAGGAGGCTGAGGTGGTGGAAGCACCAGTGGTCAGCGAAGTGCTCGAAGTAGAGGAGGAAGACTCGGAGTCGGTCTCCGTGCTGGTGGTGGAGGTACCAGTAGTAGTGGAAGTGGAAGAGGTCGAAGTGGAGGTGGTGGTGGGTGTGGCGGAGGACGACGAGGAGCTGCTGTCGTCGGAGCCGGTCACGTTGAATTGCTGAGACTGGGCGAGGATGCCGGTGTTGTGCTCTTCGTTGGAGAAGAGGTTGATCTGGTAGCCGGGGCTGTTTCATCTTTTATTAGCTATTTGTGATGCTGTAGGGAACAGTGGTGGCATACCCATCAGCAAGACCGGAGATGCTGTCAACGGTGTAGGAGCCATCGGAGGTGTCGACGTCAGTAGCGATCTTCTTGTCGACGGGGGGGTAGACGGCGTTGTTGACGAGGTAGAGATCGAAGGAAGAGGGGTCGGTGCTGGATTCGTTAGATGGCTGTAATTCATGAGGTTGCGCTGTACATACCTGACGGAATCCCACTTCACGGTGAAGGAGGACGAGGGGTCAATCTCGACATTCTTCTTGGGCTCGGTAACCTGGAGGGCTGCATTCACGAGGATCAGATGAAGGCTTCTTCTGCTATACGAAAAGGCCGCGCTTACCACCGGCAGTGACTGCAAGAAGCAGAGCAGAGGAAACGATGGTGGAACGCATTTTGCGAGTATAAACGAGTGTCGTAGTGATGATACTAACGAAGGAATATGATATGGTTTGATTGAAGAGTCGCGAATTGAATAACAAAGATTAGAAGACAAGAACCCTCGGCTGTTTAAATCAAATCCAATCCAGCTGTCCTAATTAAGGCTTGTGCCCAAGAAGATTTCTGCTTTTCTACTGTTTACTGTCCAGGCCCCAGTATGACCAGTGGTCTGCACGGCGCACGCCATAAAAATAGCAAAAGACATGTGGATAACCAGTCAACCAAGGTCTCACATGGCGAGGGTTAGACATGTCTTAGACTGTTGTTTGTATATAATTTGTTTTCCGTTTTTGGGTTTCCTCCAAGTCTCGATAAGGATCCATCCAGACGAGCAGGCTTGGGAGTTCAGGCACCCCCGGTGAAGGCCCGCCATACTGGACCCGTGAAAATTTCAAAACTTGGCAGCACCGTTGAGTCGGCCCATCGATTCCGAGATTACTGGTCGAATTTTTGAGCGTCTCAAACAAGGTCAAACATTCATTGTAAAGTTCAGCCTGATTAGAAAATAAAAAATGACCGTCTGTGGTGGCGGATTACTCATCTGTGGTTGTCTCGGTTATATTTGCTCCGAACGGGGCTCTTAGGTGTCCGTTTTCAAGGGCAATTGAAACATTCAACCTCATAATATACTATATATAACCGGGAGAATCCATATTGTCTTGAATGCTGCGTGGGAATAAGTTCGATTGACACTCGCGGATCCAAAAACGCAGCTCGGGTGCAACTGCCCGAGAAGGGAAGCAACAACGCCTCAGAATCCTTCAAATTCAGTAGGAGCAAAACACGATAAGAACATCAAGCCAACGAGTGACGACATGACTCCATATTCGGCTGGACACGAGGTATTGACTTTGAGCTCCAGCCTTTGGGCTTCAGCTGCCAGCACGCCCGAACGCCATGACAGAGCCTCCATCGACGAGTTAGTAAGCTTAGTAAAGGTGGCCATGAATGCAGAGCTCCAGGAGTGACAACTGAAGAGGCTGCTAAGAATCGCACGTATCGGCATCTCGCCTGCTCATTGGCCCCCTTCACACCTCCAGCAATCTCCCAGAGACAAACCAGGATTCGGTATAGCCAAGCGAGAGGACATAATCCAGTGCCAGCGCCTGCTCCAAACTTCCAAAGTTTGAACAGCTCGTTCTGTGTAACCCAGCGGAGTCGCATGATACCGCATGCCGATGGCACGCTGGACGGTCGCGAGATATGTGACCCGACCGAGAGAGCTGAACATGATCCTGGCTTTCTGCAGCCTCGTCGCTCTAACTAGATTCTTTCCTCTACGCAGTCAGAAGCATTCCTTATTCATGCATTGAACATTCTCCATCCCCCTTCTGACATGATGTAACCAGCCGCGCTATGCAGCATATATGTATCACACCTACGGGAGGCAGTCAAGCAGCCAGGCATGAAATCGTATCCGCTCTGAAGAGTTCAGCAGTGTTTTCGCACTCTTGCAGTCGACGACCGGAACGTAATCCCCAACAACACCATTGAGAGGTTATTTTGCACCTTGTTGCCTTCGTCCCGAGTGTTGTCCGACCCCCTCGTAGTTCTATATAGCCCCCGTATGCCTTTTCACGAAGCTTGACCCGTGTCTTGATGCCTCTTGGCCAAGTGCTAGGCTCGTCGGTTTCTTTTGGGTATTCTACAAGGCCACGATGTAGTAGCGATCCAGATTCATCTCTTACGTAGGTCCTGTCCGATCAGACTGCCAGGACCTCTGTCACTCGTTTTATGGGTAGCACCCCACGTAGTCCTTGCTCGACAGACCTTATCGCTCCTAGTTATTTTATCGCATCTTTCATCTGTCCAGATAGATGGAAGCATATATTATCAATCGAATGCGCTTCCATCCATTCCATCCCACTCATATCATGATATAACCAGTGTAAGTAGGCACGATATATTTCACCTACGCGACGCAGTCGAGCATCCAGATATGGAATTCCACCCCCGCTTCGGAGCTCTGACTCCAGTGTCTCTTGTTTCTCGAGCCTGCACACTCATAGTCGATGACTTGCAAGTGGCATGTGATTGTCCAGCACGCCCTCGAGAAGTGATTCCGCTTTTTTTTGTTGCTTTGGCGCCCCATGGCATCCAGTTATCGACGACGATATATATACCTACCTACCTTGATCTAATATATGTAAACGCACAGCAGCTCCCACTGCGCATCACGGCACGTCAGTGCACCTCTTTTGGCCCTACTGAAACAGTCATTCCCCAGCTCCCTCGTAGTGTGATGGATGCCGTCAAGACACCTGGATCGTCTCTCGCGGCCTCGAGGCCGGGTGGTAGACTCAATTCCCATGCAGGTCTTGCCTGATGGCACATTTGATCAACTATCTTGTAGCGGCGTTCGCCGTCGACGGTGGCTTCGATTCAATTCTCACGCAGGGTTACTTTGTTGCACATAAGATATCGGTGACATGCTGAGAATAGATAATAATCATCTGCCTTGGTCGTCACTATCCATCTCAGGTTGCAGGCGGATGTAGACAATCTACCTCGAAGAAAAACTGGCCTCCAAGATGCCCCTGGGTCTTGAACATCAACGACAATTGGCGCTGCTAGATTTGACGTTTCTTATTCCAGATACCTCTCACATCGCATTTTTAGTCGTCTTAGAGTAAGCCTCAACATCCAGCCGCGGTGCCCTCCTCCTAAACAGCGCCCCGAACCTCCTCAACCCCTTTGCCAACCCTCTGTACGAACCCACAAACGCCGCGCAACAAACCCAACGACAGCCGCAAACCGCTCATCTGGAAAACCCCTCACAACAACACCCCAGGGTAGACTGAACAGCACAATAAGGACTAAAACCACCCACTACCCGCCATCTAACCCATCAGGATCAATCCCAAACGCACGCCAACCAACAAAGATGATGGCAACCTGTAGCCCGATCATAACGGCATTAATGGCGATGAAGAATCAATTCCGATGGATGCCCACGCAAACGTTGAAGTTGTTGTCGAAGCGCCGGCAGTTGAGCTCGTTGAAGATTTGCATCCAGACGAAGGTGTTGAAGATTATGGTGTCGAGGTGGAGTTTCTGCGAGGGGATGGTGGTGTCGTAGTGGAGGATGCTGTCGCCCGCGAAGTAGAGGACGAGGATCACGGTTAGTTGGAAGATGGACTGGCCGATTATCATTTTCCACACCTTGAAATTTTGTTAGAGTTGGCTCGAGGCTCATCTCTCTGGAGTCATTGTGGACTTACATTCATGGTGATTAGCGGTACGGACTTTGGCTGGGGGGCCCTGTCGAAGATGGAGTCTGTTGGGGGAATCGGTGGCGAGAGCGAGGGCGGCCATGGTGTCCATGATCAGGTTGATCTATCGAACAGCGTCAGTGTCGGAAAGATTTTGGTCGAATAGGGTGGGCATACCCAGAGCAGCTGCACAGCTTTCAGTACAGGCTCCATATCGGCGTTGGCCATGGACATAACGAACGACAGTATGACCGCTGTGATGTTGACCGTAATCTAGAACTATAGGAGGATCAGCAATGACTCCAGTCTCTATATCCCAAAGATCACCCACCTGCAGAAGCCTCTGCACAGCATTATTAACAGCCCTCCCCCACTTCAGCGCCGTGACAATCGACGTAAAGTTATCGTCCATGAGAATGATCTCGGATGCCTCTTTGGCAACCTCAGTCCCCGACTTGCCCATCAAGAACCCAATATCCACTGCCTTAAGTGCTGCTGCATTGTTTGTTCTGTCACTGGTGACTGCGATAGTTTCCCCAGGAGCCTTGAGGCGCGTAACCAGTATGCCTTTATCCTCTGGAGACGAGCGGGCGAGGACCTGGAGGCGCGGAATGACGTTATCGAGCTCCAGCTCTGACAATCGACGGAACTCGGGTCCTTCGAGGATGATTCCATCGGTGAAGATGCCGCATTTTGTGGCGATTGACCGCTCTGTGATGACATTGTCGCCTGTGACCATTCGTGTCGTGACGCCTGCACGCCTCGCGCTCCTTACGGCGATGGATACACCCGGGTGAACCGGGTCCTGGATACCCACGACGCCTAGGAGAGTTAGGTCATGTAGGTTCTCAAGGCGACGAGCAGATTCAAAGTCCTTGTATACGATCCCAATGTGCGGAGCGACTTGCGTTCAAACGCAGTGATGGCTTCTTCCGTAGCCTGACGGTCAAGAGGTTCAACCTCATCAGTCCTGGCATTCACCTGCCACGAGCAGAATCCAAGAACAAGCTCCGAGGCACCCTTCAGCAGCAGCCTGTAACCCAATGGTACTTTGATAACGGCCGTCGTGTACTTCTTCGCGCAGTCAAAAAGCTCAAGTAGGACAATCTGTTCGTTTGCCCGGGTTTCGGATACGGATTGCATGGCCAAGTCGTCTGTGGCAAACTGGAGTAATGCGGTCTCTGTTTTTGAGCCGATGAATGTAGTCATCCCGTCCTGGTCTCTTTCAAGACGGTTGAATTTATGGCGACAGATTTCGTTACAAGGTTCTTTGTGTCGGGTGGCAGGGTTGGGGTCCACGAGGGAGTATCAGAGGTGAAGATGGAGGCACCAAGCAGCCGCCGACAACAGTCATTTTGTGCGTGGTGTACTTATTAGCCGCATTCCTGATGGATTTGTCTGGCCGAAATACCAGAGTCCCCGTCTTATCCGAACAGATACACGTTGCATTGCGCATGGTCTCGCATGCCCTCAGCACTCGGACGAGATTATTCTCCTTGAGCAGTCGCGTTGTGGCAAAAGCAAGCACAAGCGTCACAGCAAGCGGTAAACCCTCTGAGACAGCAACGGCAATGAACGCTATCGCCACAACGAGGAGGCCAACAAACGTCGATTCCTTTTCCTCCGGCGGTCTAGTATCCCCAGGTAGAGAGGCGCAGAACCAGAAGAGGAGAATAAAGAACATAAACAAGGAGGCACCACTGCCGAGCTTTGCTATGGCCACGGCTAAGCCTTCCAACTTTTTCTTCAGAGGCGTCGATTCGGTGTCTGTTCGGACGGACATCATGATCTTGCCGACGCTGCTGTGTACCCCAACTGAGGCGCATAGACTACACCCTCTCAACGTCATCCGCAGCAACAACCCCGGAAAGGCTTACACGGATCATAAACCTCCAACTCGACTACCTCTTTACCATGATAAACATCCACACCCTAGTCCGTAAATGCGGCGACCTAACCCGGAACCCCCCGACGGCCTGCACAGCGTCGTGCACTCAAGCACCGACCTCTCCATCGAAGCAAGCCGCTCTATCTTCCGGTTCCTCGACACAGTCGTCGACTTCTGGCGTGAGGACTCCGTCTGGGTCGGCGCGCCCTACGCGCCCATGGCTGCAATGCCGCTGTTCCTGGATATCATTATTCATCCTGTCGGGAATCCGGCTGATAGTGATTTGCGGATCCTCTCGTCGACTGGGGATATCGCGCACAGGATCCCGGGTGGAGGGGTCGGGGGTTGGGGAGATTTAGCATGTGCAGGAGATTGGCAAGGTTATTCTGCAGCTTGTGAGGTTGAGTCATGGTGCGGCGTGGAAGGCGAAGAAGGGGGAGAGGGAGCTGGATCTGGATATTATTCATAGGTAGGTGAAGATGGGATTGTAACAAGAGTCGTTATGTCATGGAACATGGTTGGCCTTAGTAGTTAGTCACTAGCAGAGCAAGCTGAATGTCATTCGTAGCCTGATACCGATGCTATACCAAGTCCCCATCACCAACCCCCTCAAATATAGTCTGACACTACCGATACTATTCGGATGGAGCGGAGCGTGCGCAGGCGCGAGGGGGCAATATTCCGCGGGAGGAGGTAAGTCTTTGCGATCGTCGGGGAAGAAGAGCGTGTTGCCTTGGTACAGGATTGGAATGTTTTCTACGTGCCTGGATGTAGGTAGTCAGTACCCACGGACGGGGAGCCCAGAATTTCCCGTGGAATTGTGAGGGCTGGGGTGACATCCACCCTCCGACAACACGCGCACAGCCCAAATACCGTCCAATCCAAGTTCCTCGGGAGTCGCTTTCCCAAAGGGCCCTCGATGACTCGCTGGGATCCCCTCGAGTGCCTTGACGATTCCCCTGTCGATCCGATCCGCACGCTACGTAGCTGGAGCGTCCCCTCGCGATGGGAGATGTTAAATGGGACGGGGATGGGGAGGACCTCGCCGTAGACGACAAGTGTTTGAGAACTTTTTGGTGCTACCACCTTGCCAGCAAGCGAGGGCTGCTATATGCCAGATGTTGTACGATAGCATCCACGATGTGATTGCAGGCTAGGCCACATCATACTTGATACTTATTGTGCACGAGGATGAATTGCCCGGCCATCGCAACGATCAGCCAAGTCGACATAGGGCTAGCAAAGCCAGTGACCCTGGAGGCAGTCTCACAGGCACAGTTTTCGCTGGTATCCATGCAACATCCCATATGGCCCAATACACTCGGCCCCCATGGGTCTAGCAGACTGCTAGGCTTGAAACGGGCGGGGCTATCTGGCTTGGGATTACACAACTCCAGCGGGCCGAGATACCAGCATCGAGATGGAAACCATAACCTGCAACCCGCTGGCTGTCATATATTGCATTCCTCCCTCCATCTCAATTGGTTCTTTCATTTCAAGCCCTGACTAATACCCCTCCCCCCTAAGCCAGGATAATACTTCTACCCAACACCCCGTCTTTGCTATATCATCTCTACTCCACAATCACGAAGCTAACAACGCCTCAATCCACCCATCAACATCCCACCCCGTACTCGCCATGTCGAGCCCATTGGTATGCGCCCCGAAAAGGCCACTCTGAAACGCCTCGACCTCAGCAAGCATTTGCCCATGCCCTTTGGACCCCAAATTCCCAGCAGCAATCATCTCATTCAATAACCCCTTGGCAGTGTCGTACGTATTTCTGTCGTCAGGCTTTTCGGCAAAGGTATGCGGCCATCGGGTGTTGACGGATGTTGCCAATGATAATATCATTAATGCGGAGAAGAGGTGGAGGCTTTCCCAGAAGCCAAAGCGGGCTGTGAGGATCAGGTGAGCTGTTAGTGGTTTGGGAAGTAGTGGAGGGGGAATAGGAAGGGAGGAGGTAGCGGCGTACTCATTCTGTCGCAGCTCCGGAGGTCAATGATGATTTTGAGATTCGTCCTCGCTGCGCGGAGACACGTGTTTGTGAGGAATCTCAGGTCTTCCTGATACGCTTTTATCGTGTCACCCGCAAGGAGGTAACTGATCTGTTTCAAGAATAAAGGGCGCAGCAGCAGAACAAAGCACTGTGCCACCAGTCAGCCTCGATTCCCATTATCACGCTCAGAGACAGGTGCAAGCAGACCTGATGATACCGCTGATAAAGCGACGCCAACGACCGATCCGGCATCCCTTTCATAGCAGGGGGCATTCCATCCTCCACATCAAACGACATATGCACGGGCAGTCCTGCGCGCACCTCCTCCAGCCGTTGTAGAATCGGCCTCGTGAGATCCCCAACATCCACATCCATCGTATCGCCCTTCCGAATACTCTTCATATTCTCACAAATATCCGCGTGTATAAACGCAAGCTGCACCTGCGTCGTGTGCGTCTCGGCATCGTAGAATTCTGCGCGGTCGGAGGGGTGCAGGAGGGCCGAGTCGTCTGGGTAGGTTTGTTCGACGCGGTTAACTTGGAGGGCAGGCGGAAGGCCCAATTCTGTGCTAGTCATGCGGTCGATGCAGTACGTTGTCCACCAAATGCGTTTACGGTGTTCAGCTTCGAGGGCGGGGGTGCTGGGTAAGCTGGGTTTGTGGAGTTTGAGGATACTAGCCATCCGGAAGCTGAGGCCCGCGTACATGTACGCGGCTTTCTTGCGGTTGAGGCTGTAGGAGTAGAAGGCCTACCAACTTGACGTCAATTAATGGACAGGGCGCTCTCGTGGGAAAGTCTTACTGCAAGATTCAACGCCTCGACCTGATCAATCGACGGATCCTCGTGCCTTACCTGCAACAGCGTCAAAGCTTGCTCGAAGAACTCCGTGCCAGGCACGCTCCTGCCAATCCCCTCTCCCTCATCCGATCCCGTATCCGCACCCCCATGCGTATTCTCGTCCCCAGGGCCAAGCCTAACCTCCGGAGCAGACTCGGAATTATACGACTCGCCCAACGCAAAAACGATCAGCAGTCGACAGAGCCAGATGCGGTCCTTGAGCTCTTTCGCGCGGGGATCCTTGTATGTGAGATCTAGTCGATGGCGGAATGTCTGTTTCCGGAACCAGTGCCAGTCGTGGCCGACGAAGATGGCGAAGCGCTCGTAGAGGAGGAGGGCGTAGGGGTAGGGTGGGAGTTTGAAGGAGCAGGGAGTGCCTAGTCGATCAGTAATAGAAGGTGAACGGGTGAGGGGGCGTACTTGATGTATCGTGATCTAACTGGTAGTAATCATACGCCTGCCTCTGTACCTGCAGACCCTCAAGTACAGGACTTGATGCGATTGCGATTTGATTCGAGAAGTCGGCCACCCCCAGTAACGTAGTCGGGGAACGAAGCCGCTTAAGTCCTGAAACAAACACCTCCGAGGTCGGATCCTCGACTAATGGATCTGAAAGCTGCACACCGACACTCTGAGCGGGAACGTCCGTTCGCGACTCAAGGCTCCCCTCGACAGGCGTCAATGGCGGAGGCGGATGCGGATGCGGGGCCTGCTGCTCGACAGTTCTACCCTGCGCGACACGGGCCTCAAGACTGCGGAGATAACTCTCCGAGACGGTAACATTTCGGTCCCGGACTGGATACTGACAGTCGCGATTCACGAGGCGACAGCTGCGGCATGGTTTTTCTGGCTCGTGTGTTAGTGAAGAGGGCCCGGTGAAACCTGGAGTGGGGATGCTGGGGGATGAATGAACCTCGAGAACATTTTACTTTGCGCTTGTAGCATCTGTAGCAGGCGGTGCTACTGCGTGGGGTTTCTGGTTGCATTGTTGAGATGGTTCAGTGAGACAAGAGTTGGAAAGTAGGAAAGTCGGGGCGAGCGGTTGGAGATGAGAGAACGACTCCAAGAATGCGGGGAATCCCCACCGTTTTAGCGGCAGATAAGGTTGGAGACACCAGGCTGGGAGAGATAAGCGATGCCAGATTGATTATCATTCCACTGTCCTCGAGAGGTAATACTGTAAGAGAGAGATATCGAAGCAACGGAGGGCACAATTTAGCCCAAACAGGTTCTGGGCGAGAGGTGACATTCTTTCGCTCCTTCCCTAACAATACTTTACCTGGTTGGCTCTTACTAGTATCGTTCCCATAATGGCCGGTCGGTATATACAGAGCCTAACTCAAGTCGCATATCTAAACAAAGGACTCAAATCCCCCATCTCCGACAACTCCTCCTCGGTATACTTTGCCCGAATCTCAGTCTCATCCATCGCCGCTCTCTTCGCATTGATGCGCTTCAGGATAAAATAATAAATGACAGGCCAGATACACCCAAAGACAGCCAGCATCCCCAGACTGATACCAAACCCGACGGGATACGTTGGTGCCTGGCTGGAGATGTAGATGTTCGATCCGACGATCTGCGTCGGTTAGCAGAGGCAAATCTGGAAATAGGAAAAGTACGTACTCCGCCGAGTTGCGAGAAGCTGATCATTGCAGCGATACCAACTGCTCGCTTCATTGTTCCCGCGCAATTGAGTGAGATCCAGGCTGTCACCGCGGGTGAAATGGGGTACAGGCCTCCTGTCGTAAGAAATACCCCAAAGAGTGTAACGCCAGGTACGCCCGGGTACCTCACGCTAACCATCATGATAATGAAGCCCGCGAGCGCCATCAGATTCGGTAGAAGAACGGAAAGCATCCGCTGCTGGTACCTATCCGCTGCCCAACCCGAGAACGCAGTCACCAGACACGCAAACGCATAGGGAGGGACAGTCATGGCCTGGGCTTCGGCTGCGTCATAGCCAAGGTTTTTGATAATTGTCGGTAGGACAAACGAGTAGCCGTATACTGTGACGCACAGTGTGAACTCGATGAGTACGACAGCGTAGATGTGGATCGATTTGAATGCCATCGCGGCCTGTTTCCAGGAGAACTCGGATTTTTCTGCCACGCCAGTCTCGCCGCCAGCCGAATATTTGTGGCGAAGAAGAAGGAACTGCCTTTCCTCTTGTGTGAGCCACTTACCTACCTTGGCCGGTGTATCATGGACAAACCAGAAGGCGCTGATGGCAAGAAGGACGGTGAACAGTCCTAAAGTTGTCAATACTGTTGGGGTGAAATAAAGTTAGAAATTGATAAACCAACCTTCAATGCAGTAGATGAACCTCCATCCCCTATACCCCCAGGTGTAGTCCAGCTGCCCGATACCAAAAGCCAACAACCCAGAGAAGGCTCCAGCGGCAGAAGCTCCAGAATAGAAGATCGCCATTCTCGAGTGAACTTCCCTCGGAGAGTACCACGAGGTGAGAACAAACGAGCATCCAGGGAACACTCCTGCTTCAAAGACACCGAGCAAAACACGAAACGCCGCCCACCCACCAAAGTTGACTTGCAAGGACGTGAAGACTAAAATGAGCGCTACCGACAGAAGAAGCGCTGGCAACCAGATCTTCGGACCGAACCGTTTCAGCGCGATATTCGAGGGGACTCCGCCGAGTGCATAGGTGACGAAGAAGATGGACAGACAGGTGTTCCACTGTTGACCGCTGAGGTTCAGGTCCGATTCGACGCCGAAGAGCCTGGCATTCCCTACACACGAATGTCAAAACCTGCTGTATTCTTGGAAAGTCAAGTCTACACGTACCAACGTTTGTGCGGTCGATATACGACATGAGATAAATCAGGATCAATTGTGGAAGAACATGCCAACTAACGAGTCAGCGATGTAACAAAGACGGTAGGCAATACTCACTCAACCTTCCGGATCAGCTTCTGAAGCCGCTCACCAGAGAATTGCTCATTGAGCTCCAGGAACTCGAGGTATTCAGAATTAGAGTTCTCCGCCGGTACAGCTTGCATCGACGAAGGCCTCGAATGGTTGGTCATCTTCTCCTCACGAACGGGATCGGAATCGCCCTTGATATCCATTGTGGAGCGGCACAATAATCTCCAATATTAGATGTCTATCAGAGTAGGCGCAATGTCACTCAACCCCGGAAAGAACCCAGGATTTATATCGACGCAGAGTCAATGATAGGGGCGACGAGTCACGAGCAGACATGGAGGCAGTCAACCGGTCCGGTGATAGAGTATCTGATACGGACTTCCCCGCACAATTGTCAGTTTCGGAGATGGCAGTGCTCTGGGAATGATTCTCATAGGAGGAAATGTGCTGAGGCTTGAGATACGCTTCAAAATCCCGAGGGTAATCGGGCGCTAGGACGCTATAGCTACTCCAACGCTGAGGGGTGATCGGGGCCTAGGCCTAGCGCCCGAGTGTCCTCCCCGGTACGCGCTGTGATTCGCCCAGACTGCTATCTCGGTTTCGCCAAGTGTGGAGGCTGCAGGTCAGCCAGCAAAGCATGGGCATAGTTCTCCAACTCGAATGTCGCAAAAGGCGTGTGGACAACTGGTAGGTATAAAACCCACTGCATTACGCTTTTTCGCTACATTCCAGCTTGATCAATACTCGCAGAGAGCTGGAATTCGAAAATGCCGAAAATCACGATCGTCGGAGCTGGGTATGTCGCTTACCTGCCCATTAAGCTGTTACTAACGAGAAAATAGTATCACTGGCATGGCTATTGCCAGCATGCTGTCACGTTCCAACGAGGTGACAATCGTTGCTAGAAACCTTCCGGGAGATGCTGAGAGCCGAGAGTGGTCCAGTCCGTGGGCAGGCGCCTGCTTCCTCGGACTCGATGGGTCGACACCTTTTGAGCAGAAGTTGCAAACAGATTCCTTCTTGTACTTGTGGAGTCTCGCGAAGAGCAATCCCGAGTCAAGTGTCAGGGTAGGGTGCCAAATTCCCATTGGGAGAAGGCCGTCTAATCGGGGTAGATTATCGATATGCATGATCTGCAAGACGACACGCCGTTGGAGAAGATCTGGTACCGCGACTTGATGCCAGAGGTGAGTGATCCGTGATATTTGTTGCACGTGGACTGACCTCTTCTTAGTTTCGCGTCATGTCCCCAGATGAACTCCCGGCGGGAACAAAAGTCGGCATGAGTTGTAAGTCTCTCCTCGATTATATATATTTCACAGGCTAATTGGCAGACAAATCGGTGGTCATCACACCGGCCATCTTCCTTCCATGGCTGCGCAAGAAGCTCGAAGACGCCGGCGTGAAATTCGTCCGCAAAGACCTCAAGTCCCTCTCAGACCTAAAAGGCTTCGGTCACGAGGTTCTCGTGAATGCTACGGGCTTCGGGTCCAAGTTCTTGACCGACGTCGCGGATCAAAATGTGCAGCAGATCCGCGGGCAGACTGTTCTCGTCAAGACGCCGCATGACAAGATCTTTATGCGCCATGGGAAGGATTACACATATGTTATACCGCGGTTGGATGGGACCGCTATCCTTGGGGGTATCAAGCAGGTTGACCAGACGTGGGTGTCCGACATCCTGTGGCGAGTTCTATTCTAACTATCGCTCCAGGTATCCGGAAGTCGACCAAGATATCAAGCTGGACGTACGTGTCGACCCTCCTTTGTGAAAGACCCGGCTAATGGTAGCAGATCCTACGACGCGTCCATGAGAACTTACCGCAGGTCTTCCCCGGCACGCAACCGGAAGACTTTGATGTTGTCCGCGACAATGTCGGTATTCGACCAGGACGAACGGGAGGAGTAAGGGTGGAAAAGGAGATCGTGGACGGGGAGAAGATCGTTCACGCGTACGGGACCGGAGGGGGAGGCTATGTGTTTAGCTTTGGGCTGGCGAGAGCTGCTGGGACGATGGTTAACGATTTTATGTTTGCGCCGCCGAAGTCGCGGCTGTAGATGGTATTTAGAGATTGTCTTACCTAGGTGTCTCCAAGCCATGGCGATGAATGCTGTATCAGCAACATCAAAGCAAGAATCCTGCGGATAACTGAATCACGATGCGACCAGGAGTGGGCGGGCGGGGCCGTCGCTCGCCGAGACGATACTGCCGTCTCTCTCCGCTTTTAGAGGCACGTGCCGTCTCATTTCCACGCACGTGATCGCAAAATTATTTTAGCGTTTGGCAAGCACAAACTATCAAGGTTCTACGGAAGACAGTAACATCAAAGCAAAATGCCTAATCTAAGTCTTGGTCCGCTCTCTGACCTCACCCATACACGCTATGTGATCCATCTTTCGGACGGGAAGCGCCTGGTGCTTTTCCGACTGCCCTCCATTGAAACCCCGCAGGGCCGCAAGACGAAAAACGACAGCAGCGACGGATGGTCGTACTACGCGATGGAAGCCGAGTGTCCGCATGCGGGCGGCCCGATGGAGGATGCGCAGGTTGACATTGAGGATTCGGCTTATATTGTCTCGTGTCCGTGGCACGCGTACGATTTCAATGTAGAAACGGGCGAGTCGAGCGTTGGCATCAAGGCTTGCACGTTCCCGGTTGATGTGCAGGGCGAGATTGTAACTTTGACATATGGCGACAATGTCTCTGTTGTCAAACTGGAGCCCGTGAGTGAGGAGATCAAGTTGAAATCGCCTTGCTCGGATACTTTGCCCTCGGCAGAAACGGTACCAACGAGCCAGCCTGCGACCGCTCAGTATCTGGATGAAAATGCGACGCTCTGCGACTGGTGTGCTCATATCTTGAATACTTCAAACGCTGAGCACAAGATCGAACTTACTGCCCACTTGTTTGCCACATTTACCTCAAGAGAAGGCTCATCTTCGCCGATGACTATTATCTCGCCAGACACTGTGGCGCTTCCTGAAATGCCCCCTCGCGAGAAGCTGGTCGAAGTGCAGCCCGGCAAGATGCAAAAGCCCGGACGAGGAGGAACTTTAAAAAGCAGAATCGCCATGCTCCACGCCTTGGCCAATATCGAGCTTTGGGCGATTGACCTGGCGATTGACATCTGTGTCAGGTTCGCCGAGTTCCAAACGAACCCGACATCAACAGAGTCTGAAAAGCCGCTACCACGAACTTTCTTCCATGACTGGCTCAAGGTCGCAAACGACGAGGCTAAACACTTTTCTCTGCTCCGCACTCGCCTGGAAGAAATGGGCTCTTACTTTGGTGCACTTCCTGTTCATCATGGTCTATGGGAGTCGGCTGAGCGGACTGCACATGATCTTCGAGCTCGAATCAGCATCATCGCTCTTGTTCATGAGGCTCGCGGGTTAGACGTCAATCCGATGACCATCGCCAAATTCCGCGCTGCCAAAGACGACGAGAGTGTCCAGGCCCTCGAGGTGATTCACAATGATGAGATCACCCATGTCACCACCGGCCATCGATGGCTTTCGTGGATATGTCAGCAAGAGCAGACTGACACAGTGGAAGTATTCCGGTCAAACGTCCGCAAGTACTTTATCGGTGCACTTAAGGAGCCTTTTAACCGAGACGCCCGCGCGATGGCAGGCATGGATGCACGATACTACGAGAACCTGGCCTACTGAACTTGACGGCGGTAATAACAGTCAACTCATCAGTCATTCACGTCTATATCTATCGTACAAGTCTATCTATGCAGTCAATTGGGCAGCTCATCGACAGGCTCCAGCAATGGGTCCCACACGGTCGGCCGCCCCTTCATTACCTGCTGCCATTCTGGCAGACCCATTATCGTCGCGGCATACGCACGCAGGATTGGGGGAACCAAATCCTCCAGGCTGATGTCGGTCAACCGCGCAACAAAGGCGACAACATGTGCATCCAGCACGGTCGGGCCGACATCGCCGAAGATCCAGATGGTACCATTACCATGCTTTTCGAGTTGAACGACAATCTCGTCTAGAAACGCGGTGGTTTCTTGTGTCATGCTGTGCCCGTCAGACACATTGTTCGCGACGACCTCGCGTTGCTTCCTCTGGCTATGTTTGTCAGCGGAGTTATGCATTCCACACTAGGTTTCAGGGACGAACCATTCGCGCTTATACTCGAGTGCCTGGCGGTGGGTGGGGGTGATGTCATGGTTGGCTAAAAGGTCTTCAACGGCCGGATTGGCACTGCTGTAACCCTCAAAGTTTTCGTGTAATTGGGTGAGCAGTCGCAATATTTCTGTGCGATACTTTGCAGGAAGCAACTCTGGACATTGTTCACAAACCCAGTAGATGACCGAGAGACAGTCTGTCAATGGCGACGGCAGCCCTTTGCCGGTCAACGTGGGAACCTAACAATGGCCATTAACAATTTTCGGACGCAACCATAATTCAGTCAAATTACTCACCCGACCGAGCGGATTGACTTCTAGCAGATACCACTCCTGCAAATTCTCATTCTTCTCCAAATTGACCAGGCGATACTTTAGATGGGCCAAGTCGCGGGAGGCCCGGAGTTTCCCCCGCAGGGCCAGGGCAACCGTAAGCTGGACGACAATGCACTGGATGGAAAAGGGATAGACGTAAAGACACAGACCATCGTGTTTATTTGTCTGCCGTACTTTTTTCCACAGCCGAGAGGCCCTCGACATCCTCGCTCACACTGCACTTTGAGGAAGAAGAGTGTCGAACAGGAGATTCTCGATCAGACGGCGTCGGCGATCGCAGGGAAAACCCACCAGTGGACGTCACACTTTTCGCAGCCCCCTAATTTATCCGAGTCCGCCCGCCGTCTCGGAATTAGTGTTCCCCACCCCCGTTGCTTGAGCCAGACTTCACCACTGTGAGCCCTGCCGAGCCCTTGCCCGCCCCTGGTTGCCGCAGCCCGCAGCCCGCAGCCCGTTGGCCCCTGGCCAGGCCATGTGTCTCATTAATTGACCGAAGCTTGGCCGCTCCGCCAGCTGTTTTACATCTGTTTCTCGCGCCCCGAAAAGGCAATTTGGATTCATTTCTCCTGATTCTGCATGGTTTACGGATAATACGAACATGGAGCTTCCCCCCACTGGCGGAGAGGCCCTAGGGGGCTTCATCCCCGGCCGTTGCCAAGAGAATGCCACAATAGCCTGTCGCAGGTACAGTTTCGGGTCACAGCTTGCACAGTGTGAACTGAAGCTATATAATGCAGGGACTGGCCACGCAGGTCCCCGAGGGATCTCGAACCCAGCGCCGCTCTCTTCTTCAAATTGACCCAGCTATTGACTAGCTCGGTTCTTCATTCGTTCTTCTGTGTTTCTTTATACATTCATTCATTCTCTGTACAAATAAATCACCATGAAATCCATCCTCTCCCTTACCGCTCTCCAGCTGCTGGCCAGCTCCTCCTTGGCTCTCCCACTGGCGGACAGGGACATCCCCTGGCACATCACCGTGCCCAAGAACCTGACCCCGGGTCTATCCAAGCGCCAATCCCTGCCCACAACCTGGGACCCCCCCTCCAACCTCGTGACTCCGCTCGAAGAAGTCTGGCAGCATCAACTCGACACCTACAGCGACGCCCTCGGGTTCCAGAACTACGGCTACGACCAAGTGATCGCCGGCGGCGGGAAGATCAACTACTGCGTGCGCTGGGAATCCAGCCAGACGCTCACTGCCGCACAGCGGGACCAGATCGCGGCGGCAGCCAGTCGCTCGTACAACAAGTGGATTTCCGGTCTTGCGGGCTTCGACGGGTGGCCGTATGACACCGTTGAGGTGAATGTCGTCGGGTATGCGGTTTCCGATGCGTCGCTTTTGGAGGGCGATACCACCGGCCTCGACATTTATACTACGACTGATGCCGATGGCATTCCGGAGTGTGATCCGGCTTGCGGACGGTTTTTCCATCAGGATGGGGATTATAGCGGGTGTGCGGCTGGGGCTGATCGTCATTATGGTATGCTCGTTCTGAAGTTGCTTTTATTTGAGATTGGTAGGGCTAACTGGAATAGACGAGAGCCTGTGGCTCACTGATGGCTTCAGTGGCGGTACCGGTGGCGACTGGGGTCAACGCATGGGGCGGGAGTACTTTATGGAGGCTGTCGAGTCGGAGAACATCCACATCTACCTGCACGAGATTGGACACACCTTTGCATTGGATGGTATGTTGTCATTTTCCATTCCCCTCGCATCATTCGTGTAGACATCCACTGACTGCTACAGACTTCTACGACTGGACCCCCACCGGCGTAACCAACTTCATCATGCTCGCTGGCTCCGCGACCGAAATCACCGAGTTCGACTACTGGATGGTCCGCGACTGGTGGCGCAACCTGAAGGACCGATACGATCTGTCCAACACCGGCTCCTCAACATCCCCTGCAGAGTCTTCAGCCGCGTCTTCGTCCTCGGCCACCGCCGCGCCCACCACGCTGGTCCCCGTCCCGACTCCGACTTCCTCGTCTCTGACTACCCTGCTGCCGACCATCTCGGCCCCGGCTATCCCCACCCAGGTTGCTCCCCTGCCTGGGGCTGAGACTTCGTCTGTCCCTGTCGCCCCGGTGCCGACCCCTTCAGGTACAGCAGCTCCTCAGCCTTCCGCTACGACCACCAAGAAGCCTTGCTCGCGCCCGACTTCGCTTCCTTCGTGGGGCAACAATGGCTGGGGTGAGCACAAGTGGCAGGCACACCCCTGGGCGAACAAGCGTGCTTGATCTTGAAGACGTCAAGTTTTCGGCCTGATACAAGTACTGTATATAGCCAGCTTAGTATGTCATAGCCAAATATACACAGTTGTCTCCTAGATCAATCATTTCGGCGTGTTTATGTTTTACTGCCGCGGCGAGTAGGGCAGTCAAGTCCTTGCGGATGAGCTGGACGTCCCGTGAGTCTGCCAGGCACGGCAAGTCCGGCAAAATGGCTGTGCTGTCGACAGACTGGGCAGCCTGCGCTAGACATTGTCCCTTGCGGCGCGGGAAATATGACCGCCGCGTCATCTCTATTGAGCCATTCAACTGAAAGTCTGTGACCGTGATATCGATTCCTTTGCACCCAGTCCGAGCAACTGTAGGCATGGCGAAGCCGTTGAGTTGCACGTTATTCGGACAATTTATAGCGGATGAGCAATCCGAGCCGTTATTCAGCAATGCGTCAAAGTATGCTTCGAAATTGTCGTATTTCTCTACGGGGCTGCGCAAGCACCGCTTATTCTGGCACTGGAAAAGGGCCCAGAGCATTCTTGCCCAATGTTTCTGCCTGTCCACGGCCACTGGTGCGGAGATACTGCGCGGGTAATTGGTGATAATTCTCAGCCGCCGAAACTTTGCCATATCGGCCATGCTACTCTCTATCCAGCACCGTTCTGGTGGCTTGCGGGGGCCAAAGGCGCTCGGCACTCGTGAAGAGGCTTGATTAGGGGTACTGGTCGCCTGGGGTCGTGGTCCACTCGAGTTTGAGCCGAGTCCCGGTCGTTCATCAAGCTGTTCAATTCGACGGAAGATGATGCCACACGTGGTACTATGTCTCTGTATGAGCGACCAGTGCTTTTGCCAGATTGAGCGACTTACCACGTAACCTCCTCCTCGGCTGCAGCAGCGTGAATGGTCCTGCACCGTGGACAAGAAGCCTCCTGGGCCACTTGTTGAAAAACCATACTCATCGCAACCCGCTGTCCTGGGTGAAAACAGAGATCCCACTTCTGCATCATGTCAATCGGCGCATGTGTCCCGCAATCCTCTATAACAAACTCCCCACGATCTATCTTTCCAGGCCCGCAGCCAGACTCTTTTAGATTGACTTTCAACACGGAGAGAAGCGCCTCCGCGGAGCGTATAAACTCGAGGTGGAATGGGCACTCCTTGTTGAGCGCATCGACGAGGTAGACAGGCTGCTGGCGTTCAATCTGCGGGGGTACGGTAGATATCATTGCTTGAAGTTGCTGGATGGCCTGGAAAATACGCATATTAGACTGAACGACCTGCGCGCTAGATTCGAGAAGCGCCTTGCAATGCCGAACATTCTGCGCGATGGCATTTGTCATGTGGCCGAGCTTCTGCATGACTTCGGAGCACATGGACTGGATGGTGGTCACGAGTGTCCGATGTTGGATATCCGACCTGGACTGCCCTACTACCATTGCACGGGCGTGGACTGTCGCGAGCAGCATTTCAAGACTGCTAGTGTGGCCCCGAATTTCCGCGCGGAAAGTGTCAACATCCTCCTGTCTGCACACTGCCCACTTTATCTTGGCCCATCCGTCCCTGAGCCTCGAGTTTGTCCCTCCATCTCGTAGGTGAGGCTGGTATTTTCGTACCTTGGCATAAAACGCATCGATCGTACGTTGGCACTGACAGGCGGCGTTCTGAAGAGCGACCTGATCGGCGTGCTGCGATTCATCGAGGTCAAGGCGCTTGATATGAAGCAGAGCGGTCTCGAGCGCGTATAGCTCTTGTATGAGCGATTGGAAGTTGGTCCCGGCATGGGAGGATTCGCGGAGGGCGTCGATGACGGTGCCGACGAGCTCGAGAGCAGCGAGGAAATCGCCTACCGAGAAGCCGAAACCGACTGGCATTCTTTTATTTTTCTAGCTCAGTTGGCAAGAGTAGGATAGATGGGGTGGATGACGCTGACAACAATATAAGACGATGGGTGCAAGAACAATGCTCGAAGCTGCGAAGTGGGCGGGGTTGCGATACGAGTTGGGCAGAGAGCGCAGCCTCATGTGCCCAGACTTGCCAGCGCACTTTACTCAGCCACCCGAGGCTCTCTTCCCTCATCGCATTGTGTTGGATAAAGACAGCTTGAATTCCGCGGAAATGACGTTGGGCAGATGATCAGAAAGAATACGATCGAGGCTGAGTGCATACTGCTTTCTCGCAAATCGATGCACATTATGAGTAAAGTTGGGAGTAAAGAGAGTTATCAAGCAAGAGAGGCAGTGTTGGGGAGATTCAAAGACTGGAACTCAAGTATGGGGCGGTGCATCTGGCCGACGGCATCTGTCAAGGAAGGTGCTTCACTGCTTTGCCCACTGCTTGTTGCGAAGGTGCGGCCATGGTATTGTTCCATCTGAGGTACTACTTAGTTCCACCCATGTTTGACAGATTATCAAAGGGGAGATACTTGCTGCTTTCAAGTCGATTTAGGATAGTAAATGTTGGGGCTTTACGGATGATAAAGAAATCCCGAATTTGCTATTCTCATATTGCTAGCGTAGGGCCCATCTAGAGTTACTATACAAAGAAAGAAAGAATCGGCCACGATCCTATCACAAGATTAGACACACCGACGTATGGCAGGAGACAGGTCGCTACGGTACTTACAGACACCACTGATATGCCCGAGTTCCATTCTCGGCATTGAAAAGTCATACCGCGCCCGCCCTAGATCCTCTCCGAACGTGTCTTAGTCTGGGGCCATCATCCTGTTCACAGGGCCTTACGTCGAAGTAATCGATGAAGGTTGTGATGCCGGTACGCCTGCCATAGGCCAACGAGAGCCAGAACTGCCATGAAGATCCCAAAGACCACGCTGCTAATCGCAGCAGGATCCCAGCGCGTGTTCTGCATGTTCCGCGCCTGGTAAGGATGGCCCAGTGGAAGACGATGAAAAGGTTGAGAAGAGAAATCTATTCGCGTCACTCCCACTTTCTACGCCTTGCCTCAAACCGCCCAGGTGAACTCAGTGAGTTTGCCCGATGTTGTCCACGACGCAAAGACCTCCTAGACGAAGCGATCCTCACTTATCGTGATATCCTCGATGACGAGCCCCCGACAACCCCGCGTGGAGTCTTCGCCTTCATCAGTCTTTCATATGCCGTGGATGCCGTTCTGCGCTGCCAAAATAGGCAAAGCCTTTTCTCTCCAAGTCCAGCGGACTTTCGTCTCTGGAGGAAAGCATCCCAGATTATGGACAGAAAGGGGCATTTGACCAGCTGGCATCTCTTATCTGGCTGCCAAAGTGTTCCCCCCTGTACCAGGTGGACTGAGCCTTCACTTTGATCAAGGCCAAGGGCTGGAGAATCAATGCAAGTAGCGGTTGATGGGATTTTCGACAGTATGGAGTGGAGTCCGGACTTTCAGTTTTCCGTTTTTGAGGAGTTTTGCAATTTCGACGAGGCCGGCCCCAGCGCTCCTTGGCCAATACTTGATGAATTACTTCTTGATTCAGAATCTCCTTTGCTACACAGGAACTGTGAGACGCCGGATGAACCTGGTGGATCTGAGGTCTTTGCACCAGATATAGCTCTCGACTTGGACAATCAAATCACCGGCGCGGCCTCCCAGGAATACATACTGGAGACTCCACTGCCAGCCTTGGGTAACCCTCCCGCTGGAAAGGAGCTGGCGGAATTACTCATTGCAACTATCATATTCCAAATAGTGAGATCATTTATTGGCGGTATGTGGCTCAGCAACGGAATATCGATCAAGCTAACTAGGATACCAGATCTATACGCGGCTGGGATCCTACTCCACCACCTAAGCGGGACAGAAGAATACCGCAAGCCTCTCGTGAAAAGCCGGTCGAGCATCGAAATCACGTCGTACGCTCTTTTTGTCACGAATTCCCATTGGCAGGTCCTCGTGCCACTTCTTCGAAGCTACCAATCATTACACTCAGTTCATCTCGCCCTCTCAACCTGTCTCGCGCTCCTCCACACCGGATGGATATGCAGCCTTGATGGAGTCCGGAACTATGCTATTTGAGTCGCACAATCTCTCGCTGCCCTTTTTGATGGCCAAAGTGTCTTTCCAGATTTTATCATAGAGCTGCTCCGGCGTTGCTCAAATGCGGCATCACAGATCAATCCCAGATTTCATTGCATCCCCGCCGGCGGTGATGTTCCAATATACGATCTCACGTGCATCGACAGCAGAATGACCCAGGAGATATCGGATGATGGTTCTTCTCAACAGCCGTCCATGCAATCTACCGCTTGTGGTAACCATGTTATGCCAATAACAAGCGAGCCTTACATAACTAATAGTGAACAGTCCCTGGAATGGTGAATAATGCACCTTTCCCGTTATCAAGACAAACGCTGACTTCATTCAATAGCAACTCTTCAGACACTGGCTCCGCCGAGAGCCGCTATCGAGCCTCGACACCGTCCACCGCATCATTCATGCCGCTATCCGCACCCCACAGTACCTCGATTGAACCTCTGTTTCGTGCCTGCGACATTGACGGTTGTAATAAACGATACAATGGCCCAGACGCGCCGTCAAACCTCCGTCGCCACAGGCGCGAAAAGCATGATGGAAAACGCTTTCCATGCCCGTTTAGCGAATGCCCCCATGTATCAGCAAGGAGATCCAACCTGAGAACTCATTGGAAGCGGCATCATAGAGGCCTTGAGATGCCACATTGTCTCACCTCTCGATAATTCGGATGCAATGACCGTTTGATGAGTGCCGGGCGAATAGTGTAGAGGGTTGTAGCGGAGTGGGAGAAGAGACTTTCAAATGATCTTGGCTATCTACTGCACCGTTGTGGCTGGCATGGATATATAGAAACGAGGTGTATCTGTTAGGTGGATTTCGATCATTCATAAATCATTGAATATTCACTTTGTGTCTGATACTGTCAGATTCCACTGTTTGTGAATGTATTTGGTTTGCCACCTATATCACTGGAATTTAAGGCTCAACATTCCCCGTCATCCACCAATCGCAGACCCCGCGGGGGAACCTGTTCCCCTCAGCTCAAAATGAACCCGAAACTTCTCTACTTCGCTCACGCCTCTATCCATCGCTCGACTGCGCAACGATGGCGCCGAATTTGGAAGCCAGTCGCGTGGAAATCCTCACCCAGCCTACTTCCACTATTACAGGGTTCCCACGCGAACAGCACAGCCTCTTCTCGATGAAGTGGGCAGTCGGCGAGAAGTGGTGGCACCGATCAAAGTTTGTCGCGACTAAGCTTCTGACAGCCCACACTACTAATTTATCTCAGTTACACGGGCGCGCTCATCTTCAACGCGGCCTCATTCATCCTCCCCGCTCTATACGGCACACTCGTCAAGATCTGGGTCGCGAATATCAACTCCTCGCTGGTCGCTACGACGGACGTCTACACGTACATCGGGACCATCGCAGAAGTGATAACATGATGTTCGCGAAGCAAGTATCACCTATGTTCGCATCAGCGCCTTCTCAGCGCTTAGCTCTGCTGTCGAGGTCGCGGTCTTGAACGCGACGCGCGCTCTTGATAAACCGGATGTCCCGCTGTTTATCAGTTTCGTCAAAGTGACAGTCAACATCGTCCTTGACTTTCTAATTATATCGACGTTCCACGTCGGCAGCTGGACGCCAGATATTAACATGCAAGCCGGGATCCGACTTACCTGCGACATGATCGCGGCTATTTCCGGCCTCGTCTACTTTCTCTTCACAGTGAGTTTCAAACGGAATGCCGATGCTCCAACGATGCGCGGATTTCTGGTCCTCCTACAACCGGGCTCGATCACATTCATTGAATCAGCTGTTCGGAATGCGCTGTATCTCTGGCTTGTTGCCGGAGTCGTCTCAATGTCAGCGGATTACGCCACGGCATGGGGTGTGTTCAGTACGATCCGGTGGGGTCTCATTATGGTTCCTGTGCAGGCGGCGGAGGCGACGACTCTGGTGTTTGTGGGTCATGCTTGGGGGCACCTGAAGCAGAGGACGGATTACCAGCGGTGGTCGTGGTTGAGTCTTTACGGTAGTCCATCCCCTCTCCCACCAGCCTTTATGATTATCTCTACACCTGGAGCTAATCCTGATATGTATAGTGGTTACGCGCCCGGCCCTCCTATCCGTCGCAATCGTGCTGACGATCGAGATCCCACTGTTGATATTCATGTCACTGTATGGATGTGAATCCTTCGCCTTTTGGCTGAGCAACTCGCGCCCCGTCGCGAAGATCGTCGAAAATATGTGGCGCACGATTGACTGGTCCGTCCCCATGCCCTCCTGTACCCCGTTTCGCCTCACTCTCTCTCCCGGCTAACTCCTAGCAAATGAAGGTGCTACATCCTCTACGCAATCTCCACCCAACTTGCCGCCATCCTCCTCGCAACGCGAACATCATGGTACCTTGCGCAATCCTTAATCAGCAATATCTTCTACGTCCTCCCCTGGGCGATCGTGTGCCAGGTCGTGGACCTCAATCCCGAGAACGCATGGACATACCATAGCCTCGTCTTTGGGGGGAGTCTGGTGTTTTCGTTTGTGGAGATTTTGCTAGTGGATGGTGTTTGGGCGTGGAGGTTCCTGCGGGGGAGGTTGGGAGTAGGGACTGTTTGAACCTAAGCGGGTTTCTGGCCGCCTGGAGCTTTAGATGACTGGGTAGCTTTCTAAGCTATTCATGCGGTTGAATCATCCCTGCATCATAGCCTGGATCAAGAATTCACTTAATATAAGCGCTCGCTCCCATCTCCGTTCTGGATAGGGATAAATGGAGAAAGCACTGATGGATTGTTGACGTTCCAGGAATGATTTCAGTCTCGAGATGCATGTATTCAGAAATGATGAGGATACCTATAGGTGCGAGAACCTTTTTTGGCACCCAAAGCAACTGGGCTGCGCAACCCGGGCGTTAAGTATGGGTTGGTCGGGCGAAATACCCTTTGTTAATAAGACCAATTGGCAGCAGTGCCTCCGAATCAAGACTGAGGTCAGCATCTTAAACTAGTCTACTTTCTTAGCAGGGGAAGTACCTTGTATTCATTCTTATCAATCTTGACAGGATGATTTGGAAGTCTATAAGTCTATGTTCAAGCTGGAGGCGCCGGTCGTATTGGCCCTTGTAGGCGTCGGCTTATCAAGGCCACCTAGTGCGACAGCGACCCGGCGCTGTAACGGAGTGAGCCTGTAGTCATTGCTCGCAGGCCTCTACTTTCCATCCTTGTCTATGTATTCTTTCCGCCCTTGTGTATTTAACCTCGGCACCTGCTTATATATTAGATCAATTAGCCCTTCAGCGTTTCAACGCTTGAATATCATCCTTACCTTGTTTTCGCCCAAAGCCGCAGCAGAGTAGAACATGGAAACGCAGTCGGCACAACTGATAGACAATGGCACTCATCAAGCCGGACCCCTGCACCGAACCAACGCAGCCAGGTTCTGGTGGACGATCATCCATCCCGTCATACTCAACGGGTGCAATGTGCCCAGGGGCCTCATAAGCCTCGATGGAGTGCCCATAACTGCTATTCCCACCATAAGGGCAATGCGCGGGGTCGAATAGTCCATGATAATCGCCGTGGCCGTCGTCATTCCATCCTCCGCACCGGGATCGCCATGGTCGTGGCCGTGGCCGTTGTGCTGGTCGTGCTCCCGCTGCCGCTCCCGTCGTGCTACCACCCCGACTATGGACGGGAGAAGAACTGCACGGCTGAAGGCCTCGAGTAGGAAGAAGACTGCCGCTTGCAGCGCCAGTTGTGCCGCGGAGGGCGGGGAGGCGGGAGTGGGAGTCGGCGCGGGGCGTCCTAGAGCTGCTGGATGTAGCGCGAAGATAAGCGGGAACTCGAGGGCTGGCAGTGTGATGACGAGGGCGGAGAGCCAGAAGGGATACATTTGCGTATGAAACGCTGCTAGCAGAAAGGACGGCAGAGAACAGAGTAATATGAGGCCGCTGCTTGCTAGTGGGTTTGATGAGAGCCACCTCGCGAGGCTGAGGTAGATGTGTTGTTGTAATGGCATAGTCGAGGATGAGGCTGAGAGTGGTTGGTAATGAAATCTCGATGCTGCTTTTGAAGGATGTCATGGATGAGTAAACGATGAGCATAAACTTGGCTGTTGGGGTTTTATCTCTGAGGCAGCCGATTGCATGATCTCGGGTCCGCGAAGCTATTCGCCGGTTCTACAGGAGTGGCAAAGTTACGATAGCCACCATCTGATCCCGTTATGAGTCCCATTCCATTGTCCTGGTAGAAAATTCTAGCACCTATTGAATTTTGCATGTTATTTAGCTATATCCAGTAGATCTCCTGTAGATAGCTTTATTATTCCTGAATAGATACATGCGCCATGGATGAATTCTGTCCTGGAGCTTCAGCACTCTGTCAGACCCCCGGTGCCCTAGAGTGTCATAGAAGTAACAATCATGGATAGCACGTAACATTGTCCTCGATGCGCAGCGAATGAATCGAGCTATGCTGTTGTCGGATTCAAGGTTCTGCATTCACACTCCCGCTTCCTCACGCAAGACCAGCACGCAGGCATCTCCCATGAAAACGTCCATAACGGTACACTAGGTACGATAGCGGTTTATAGGAACAGATTGCGTAGCAGATTTATCGCCCACATGGATCCCTTCTCCAACCGTCTACAACACCCCGGCAATGGGCCCGCCTGACTCCTCGCACGCGCCGTTCAATAACTTTCGTCAATCGTCAATACCTCGGCCTCGCAGATATTGACCTGTGGAAGATCACCCATGTGCCCATGTGCTCGAGACTATACAAAGCGCTTGGACGTTGGATATTGAAAGGATCTAGCAATAGATTAAGTATACGAAATGGCTTAGCAGGCTTGTGCGAGTCTTATACCGAGATAGATGGGTGCCATGTGTCATTGATTCATCTATGGGATCCCTGGAAGGCAGGTGGTTGCAGTTTGATTTGGTGCTCTTGTTGTGGCTATCGTATATAATATATAGATGCCTCCGTGGCAAGCCTGCGCATTCTCCCCGCTCGCAAACGGGTGCCATGATCTTCAGAATCGACGGAAAGGATCCGGTATGAGCTACTGGTTGACGTTATGCGGCTCTGTACTGATCACACTGCCCACCTAATCGCAACCGGTCGCAGGTACATCAAGTGGTGGATGGAAATTGGTCACCGGCGTTGTGAGCGGGATGTCGTGCGTATAAGCAACACTGCGCCTGGGACCGGATGGCTGCGGCGCAGGAAGGGTACATTTCTCAGGAAGGACGCACGCTCACGGCCACTTATTTAGCCATGGGTCCTTCAGGAGCTCACTAGCAGTTTTCCTATCCTCAGGGCGCCACTGAAGCATGCCTCGCATGAATCTCAAGAACTCTGCCTTGTTTTCGCCCTCGAGGTTTTCCTCTGACTCTTCGAGACTAGTTTCCAGTGGTATCGGGACATCCGATATCCATTTCCCTAAATACCACTTGTGTGAAAGGTAGCTTGAGCAGAATGGAACGCCAAATCTTACCATCTTCTGAGAAAAACTCTCGGCTTCTCACTCCGCGACTAATCATGTCCAGCGGCGGTGGACCTAGAAGGGCAATCACTTCAGCGAGATGGGCGCGTGTCGAATAACCTATACCAGTGGGATCATCACCATAGAACATGTGCTTGTCCTCGAACAAGTCCCAGATCTAGAGGCAGTCAGTATACTACCGCGGCATGGATGGTACGTATTAAGCAGGGCATACCATGACGCCCACATTCCATATGTCTGCTGGATAGCTCCACTCCGTTTTGAGCATAACCTCTGGTGACCTGTACACATTCGGCTGAGCATCGTGGTTCCTTTTCCTATCTCCTTCGACCGCGCAGCCAAAGTCACTCAGCACAACACCACCAAAGTCTTTTGGAAGGTCAAATGTGCGAGACTTGTACACAGTGAAGCCGTTGATGGACTTTCGAGGAGATGGCACCTCCAACTCTGCCTTGGTAAATGCCTTAGAACTTGTACACAATCTCTTGGAGGAGATTGTCGGCTTTTATATCTGGAAAATATCAGAGGTACTCCCTTGGGTAGTGATTGCAGATAGTCCTTACCGGTATGTACTAATCTTCACTCAGTGTGTAGATAATCGAGACTAGAAAGTACATACTGCAGAGTCCCCTTGAGAAGCTCTTCATTGAAACGGTGTGTGGGGTTTCGGCGGAGAAGGTCTTGAAGACTCTCCCACATGGGTTTCTGAACAAGACACTTGTGGCCGCCCTCTGGCCGATGGAGTGTGAATGACTCGAGAGCCGTTTGAACACAGCTATATCCAGGATGAGAGGGATTTGCCGATCTCAGTTTCTCGTATATCTCAATTTCACGCCTGTCATCTCCATCTCGAGTACAGACTTTCAACGTCACATACTCGTGATCTCTATGCATGGTTAGCGATGCCATGAGGGGAAGGCAGAAGCAGTATGGTGCACAGTGCTTACTGGAGATTTCTCAAAAGCAACACTGTAGATGTGGTCCCGAAACCAAGCATGCCAATGACCTGATACTTGTTGGCGTGGACGTCGCCTATTGTTGACGGGGAAATATTGGCCTTGCTTGAACTCATCAAGTTGTTCCTCTTCTAGCACTTCTGACTCGTTGATGACGTCAAATCTGGCATTCGGAAAGCGCAGAGGTATAGATGGGGATCTTTTGAGAAGTTTTCCGGCCCATCTTTTGAGGGATGCCATGCCAGCTTTGCAAGACAATCCGCTGCTTCCCAGAGACGTGGGGGGATACGATCTGGTGTTACGCAAGAATGAAAGAAAAACGAGACCACAGCGGGGGTAGTCAAATGAGAGATCTTGGTTGAAGCGATAGCGATAGCGTGCTGCTGAGACCTGCTTGCTGCTAAGATGATGTGGATGACGGAAACGCTCCAAAACGGGAACTGACGATGATCCCCTGGAATCACGTGTCGGATGGAGAGCACAGCCCACGATGAACGGGTCGGTGCGGTCGCCTGGTTTCTCATTAATCACAAGAACGAGCTGGGCGTCAAGGCTGTGACCAAGGTCTGGGTATTCAAGACAATCGGGCGGGACGTAAATGGGCAAGCGGAGGATTGGCTTCATTTCATCTTCTACATCGGAGAGCCCCCAAAGAAAGGACGAAAATAGCCATGGTAACAGTATTTGGGTGCGATGAATCAAATATAAGTAGACCTTGGAATAGTACGTAACCAGGAATCCGTCAAAAATAATTTTTTTTTTTCCCCCTCTGGTGGAACCGTGTTCCTCCTGGATATAGTTGTTCCCCTGTTGATATTTTGCCTGTAGTTACTCTGATTTTCTTAATAAGCATGACCTCTCCTCCCTCTGCTCCAAATTCCCCGACTTTTCTTCTCTCTCTCATCGCCAGTCGTCTTCGGTCTGCCATGGACCCCTTTGAGAAGCTCCCTCCCGAGCTCATCCATGATATTATCACTCTTACGGCAGACTTTGTGGGTGTAGAAAGCCTCCTCAGAATCTCACCACGAGTCCGCGCCGTTTTCCATGCTCAACCCCGCATAATTATATTGGACTTGATCGACGCCAACCCGATTACTACGATGCCCGATGTTCAACAGTTATGTCGGAATATCTCACTGATTCAAACTCCCTCGACCAAACCTGCCGATTTTGATGAGTACCGTCGGATCTGCGAGAACATCTCCAGCGTCCTCCCCGAAGATCTGACAAACGCCGAAATATACCACATTTTGCAACATGCGGCACGGATCCAGCGGTTAGCATGTCGGTGTCTACATACCATGCAGCAGAACTTTATAGCGGCAGTGGAACCGTCTTGTGCAGAAGCTGCAGGCAAGCCTCTCCTCTGGCTGGAAGAGTATCGCGTGTATTGGGCGCTCTGGCATCTACAGCATTACTCTTACCTTCGCAACGCCGCAATGGGCCGCTGGGGATGGTCATACGAGTCACTAGCAAAGCTCGATGAATATACTACCGTGAGGGGAATCCCCTCCTCGTTTCTTTCAGAACACTTTTGGACAGTCGCCGCCGTGCTCGCCGACCTGGGCCTGGGCCCACCATCATATGGACACCACACCGGTACCGCTACCGATACCAAGGACGACTGCTCGTCACCAAACGAGGAGCCCGAATGGGCCTCCTGGCAGTATCCAGACTCGACACCCCTCCCATTCTTCGCCTCTCTCGACCTCCCCGCACATTGGCCCGATGCTTACCCCATCTGGTGCGCCCCACCACTGCCAGAAGACGCCAGCACGCCACCAGACCAGCGTGCCGAGAAGCGACTCAACATCACAGTGCCTACGCGGCTGTACCGTCTCTACTCCCGTGTCCTCTCCCGCCACGGGCAGGGTAGTGCCTATTGGGACATGATGAGGTTCGCGCCCTATCGCCGGCTTGGCGTCGTCTTTTGGTCTTCGTATCGCATGTTGGAGGCTGGGTTGCTGCGCGGGCAGTCGCTTCCTGCGGCGTTTTACTCTGCTGCTGATAGGAGTCGGGGTGAGGTTGGTCAGCATCGGATGTGGGCAAACTGGTTGGGGATTGTTGGGAAGGGGCTGCCGTGTGGGCATTCGATCGATTGAAACTGCGTCTATGGGTGTCACCCAACTTTGTCTTTTTTTCCTCAGTTTTGCATATTTGCGAAAGTCATGAGCCACCAGGAGAGAGGCGGGTTGATGGCCAACTCGTTGAGGAAAGTAGCCGGAGGTCTGACCCATTCTGAACCATTAAATCTCACCCCGTGACTAGGTTGCATACATCCCGATCATAGCAAGAGATAACCTGAAAGACCAAGTAGAAGTCCATGTCCATGAAGGACTGCTACTCGAGCAATGTCTGTGTGACTGATATTCTAACCATGCTATGGCTTCGTCCCCCTGTGCCTGTATTTCAATATCCACGGGCCTGCCCTGTCTACGGAATAAGTCAATTCGTGGGGGCCTGGGCATCACATGCCACTGACTACGACCTTGAGCGTATATGCACGAAGGTTGTTTTTGAATAAATGGCGTACAGTTATAGTAAGCATCATTTCCCTTCCTACGGTTTGCTTGATATAGTGGTACGGGCAGGGGCAACCTGCTGAATATCAAGTTCTGCGCTGTTCCACTACGACCGCGTGGATAAGGTATAGATCAAGACAAAGACTTTGTAGTTTGTAAGGTCTCTGATCATCCGAGGGCAGAGGTCGTTCGGTACCCGTCACTTCGCTTTTCCACGTGTTTGGGTGTTAAATGCTTGATGGGCCAATGCCATGTCGTCGATTGTTGATACCTTGTATAAGAGGCAGAGTATGTGCGGTGTGTGATTAATACACAACGTAAGAAAATATCAGTCGCACCCTGTGCACATATTATTTTGTAGATAGCAAAGGCTGGTTGCCTGGGAACCTGATGCCTAGTCCGTGGGCTCTAGGCGCAACAGCAACGATAAGCTGAAAATGGAGATGGAACCAGGTCATATACTAGGTTGTTCCACAGATTAACAGTGCTCCACCACAAACGGGAGCTCCCTTCTAGTTTCAGCATGTTGTAGAGGTACAATAAAATGTATGTATGACCTGGGTGTCTGTGCATAGGTAGAATGGCAGGCAGACGCTTGACGGGCTCAGTATCACTGTAGGCGCTGTAAATCTCAGAGCAATGGCGGTTCTTCTAGTCCTATCTGATATAGCTAAAACAAGATACATAGACCATTCCCGATTCCTCAGCATTCGGCCATCAGAAACTGTGTACAAGGTGCAAAAAAGGGTATCCGACCCAGGCGCAGACATTGCATAACTATGGAGGGAATTGAAGGCCTGCAACTTGAACGCATGCCCCAGAATCAAAGGATCTACATTCCTGCGGTCGTAATCGAATCCAAGCTCGGGCGCTTGTTGGACAATGAATATCGCAATCGACAGCGTAGAGAATTCACCACACATGAGGCAACTTCAAATCTTGCCTGCCTCCTCAACAGTCAATTCTGCCTGCTCTTTGCTTTTAGGAGCAGATGCAGGCGCAGCCTCAGCTCCAGTTGCAGTCTGAGCCGCAACCCCCTGATCTGACAGCGGCATCGAGTTCGTATGCCGAAAAACAAACGTACTCGACCTTTTCGTCGCCTTATCTGGATACTCATACGTAGCCCTCAACGGCCCTCCAGTCTCCACATCCTTTTCCTGTAACCCGACAGGACGATCCTGGAATAGGGCTGCGACGACCACGCGCGTCGGCGACTGTGGGGATTCAATCCACATGAGCGTTGTTGCGAGGACGATGACGATGCCGATGATTAGGATGACCGCGCCCAGTGTCTTTGTTCGTGAGTCGATGCCGTATTTCCAGATTTGGACGGTGGCCCAGGATGTGAGTGTTGCGGCTGTGTATGGGTTATTGGCTTCGTGTTCGCGCTGGAGGGAGCGGTCCGAGGATGTGGAGAGGGTGCGTGTCGTGTATGGAATGAGGCTAGCGGCCTGCATTGTGGTCCACATGTGGATGAGGCCGAAACGGGCGTATCCCACGGCTGGGTCTGAGATGAAGCGTTGGTACGCGATGACCAAGTTCCTGCTTGCGCCGCGGCTCCCGTCGACGCGCCCGTTAGTTGCGTTGATGGACCAGGCTGCAAGGATCCAGTCTGCGTGGATGTTCAGCGTTGCGGCTCGGCCTCTGTTGTCTTCCGTGTCTATGTCTGGGCGGGCGTGGAGTACCCCGAGCTGGGCCAGATGGAGGGAATTCGAGACTGGGGAGGGATCGACGGCGTAGGTGGCGAAGCTGAGCCAGGCAATATAGTCGCACCAGATGACCCTGTCCCCGAAGTCAGATGCGTACTCGTATGTCTGCTGGCTGTCCGAGATGTTGGCCACTTCGGGGGCAGCTGGCTCGTTGAAGATTCGGTCCCAATCGCATGATGCGTCTTGGAAGCAGTTAGTATCGTACAGATAGCGTGCATGCGGCGTGCTGTAGACGGTGACATTGATGTCGAGCTGGGTCACATCGTCTGCAACGGTAAACGAGGCCGACGAGGCTGAGGCAGCATCGTCCCAGCCGTTACCCCAGCGGATACACTTGGTCGCAGTGTTATTTTGATTGTCGAACAAACCACTGTAGCAACGGATACTCCTGTCGTCAGCGATTCGAAAGACTCGAGGCCCTTCGTATGACCAACAGTCACTGCTAAAGCCGATCGTAGGCCCCGTCCGTTGCAGCTGTACCCGGAGCGACTGGTTGAACTGCCGCGAGTCGGGGTAGACGGCGTAGTCGCGCGGGTAAGTCTCGGACCACAGGGTTGTCACATAGTAATTGGACAAGTCGGCTGAAAACTCGCGCGCGACCTGACGGCTTGGGGCCCAAAAGAGCCCCGCATCGTCGGAGATATTAGGGCTCAGGGATAGTTCGGATTCCTGAGTGACTGGGGGCAATGCAAGTGAGCCGTACGCTGCCAGATGCCTCTCGGTCGCAACAGCAGACGATATGAGTTGGTCAAGGCTGGATGCGTATAGGTTGGACGTGCAGCTGTAGAATCCGCTGGAGAGATCTCCGGGCTGGCAGCCGCGGATGAAGCTTCCCCTGGGAGGATCAGCAGAAAGCAATTGATCGAATGCAATCGAGTCGTTGACATTAATGTCAATCCACTGCAGCCCCGGAAGAACGAGCGTGGCAGTGGCGACCCCCATCAGATTGGCAATCGCACACAAGCCGGCGACGACAAAGATGAAGCTGTAGAGGATCCATGGGTGGATCCTCGGGGGAGCAGAGGCCGGTCCAGTTGTTGTTTGTCTTTTTTCCTTCAGAAACTCCCTGATCCTCATGGCCAGGTCTTTGAGATAGAGGAGGTCCATGAACTCGGCGTACACCAACAGCAGGCTCACGGGGAGCCGGTCATCCTTGACCGAGATGTGCACTGCCAGGATGTAAATAAAGCTTGCAGCCACGTACATGAACCACACCTCGAGGCCTTTTGCGACAAACTGGAGCGCTCCGAGGACATCGCGGTTGGTCGAGTCGAGCCGCTCAATCTGCTGTACCTGGCTTGTGGAATATGGATCGATGCGACAGTGCGAGCGGCAATTCAGGCCGGAACCGATGATGTGGTTTCGAAAGTTGAGGATGAGAATTGCCAGGGCCGGGCCCAGCCAGAGGAAGCCGATCACGTTGCGAGGGTCGATGAACCGGATAAAGCCTCGCTTGGAGCGAAACAACAGTTTTCGTGGCGTCTTGACCTGCGCCTGCGGGGCACTTGGGGGATCAGAGGTATCTGCCATGACGACTTTGGTCTAGAGAAGGTGGATAGGAGCCGTGCGAGAGTCTTGCAAGAGGAGGCCAGCCAGGCAGAGAGCCGGCATAAGAGGGGACATGAGTCTACTTCATCGACGGTGTGACGACGGGCTGGTCTGGTCACGCAGACAGCACACTCCGCGCCTGTGAAAGCATTCAGCTGTCTCGAGAACGCCTCCAGACCTTGACTCCGCTGGGCGTAAGACCAATGCATCTATGATAGCACAGAAGACTCGGTCTAGGCGGAGTTTCGGATCCCAGTAGCTCCTGTGCTTATCCTCTTATTCGCACAGGCAGCAGCGCAGGGTGAAGTAGACGAGGGCTGTCGTCCGCGGTGGGACGCAGAATCAACCATGGCTGGATGAGAAGGGGCAGGCCAACTTTGCTGAAGAATGGAGCAAACATGATGCAGCCTCCGTTGAATCCGACTGGCCATCCTGGCTCGACTTTGTCAGGTGCCAATGCAGGCGATTTAGCGATCAACCAGTTCGACCTCTCAGCCTTGCACGTTCGGACAGCAAATGACTGCGTCCTTCCGGGCAGAGATCGAGCTTGCATTGACTCTCATCTCACAGGTGCCAGCGCGGTACATCTCATCTCCGAGGAGTAGCAACGGCCTAGGCGTGATTACAATCAAGACAATTGAGCAAGTACCCAGAGGTATAAGTATAAGTATGGGCGACGCTCCACTCCACGCTGGCAGTGTCTCTAACTAGTAACCGACACGCACTTCTGACATCGCCGCCACAATGAAGCTGCTGACGCTCACCTCCTTCCTCTTTGGTGTGTTCCTCTTCCTCTCCCCCGCTCTTGCCCAAGACACCACTTCCTCCGAGGAGGAAGAGACTCCAACATCCACTGGCACCGCCCCTACGTCTTCGCCAACGCTCTCCTCGCTCGCGGACACTGCAACCGAGCATGGCGCCGGGCGATTCGGCCAACTATTCGTGAACAACCTTGCGGGCAACGCCCCCCGAGCCCGAACCGTCTTTGCCCCGCCAGATGATTCCTTCCGTCACCGTCTCATTCGACAGGCAGACGTCACTGCGCAGTATCTCTACCAGGGTTCAGATCAACTCCTTACTGCCGCGGATCTCCGTGGGTTTACCGGTAGTCTTATCGGTACCTTGGGCAGTGAGTCTACCCTTGGCGGCCGCGGTCAAGCAGTCCTATCTCAGGGGCAACGGGCTTCTGGTGGCGCCTGCAATGGCACTTCCCCGATTGAACTCTTCAGTGGGCTTGGAAACAGTATCACCATTCTAGAAGAGGACATTGAGTTTGAGGGTGGAATTCTCCACATCGTCAGCGGGTATGTTGCGTCTTCTCAGTAAGATTGCACCTTGCTGACTTGCACAGCCAATTCACTCAGCCCAGCCCCTTGATCGAGTCCCTCCGCGCGGTCTCCGAGACCACAACCCTCGCCTCGTACATCTCCGGTCACGCCAGCCTCGAGTCGAGTAACTCCATCACCGTCTTCGCTCCATCAAATGCTGCTCTGGCTTCCACCTACGGTTCTGACACTACCATCTCAGAGTCCGAGGCAACTGCACTTGTCGACTCGCACGTTGTCCTCAACTTTGCCGCCTACTCGCCCTTCTTGGTCAATGGGGCACGCTTCCGGACGATTGATGGCGTTGATGCCGTCGTGAACACCCGACCAGACGGCTCAATTGTGCTCAACGATGACATCAATGTCATCAAGACGGACATTGTGGTGCAGAATGGCGTCGTGCATATCATTGACCGTGTACGTCTCACTCTCCATTCCTTCTAGGTTGTATCTGGTTCGCTCATGACTACCACAGCCGATCTCGCCAGGCTCCGATACCGAAATCCAGACTACTGGCACTGACACGGGCACCGAAACTGAAAGTGAGACTTTGCCCGATGGGCCCAACCAGTCCGATACAGACACCGGCACCATCTTCACTGGTGCCTCTCCGCACCGGCCGGATATGGACCGACGCAGCGTGCTCGGTCCGCTGGCCGCCATTGTTGGTGGTGCCAGGCTGTGGTACTAGGCTTGTAGCTGCAGGATTTTCTGCCAGGTGTAGCAGTACTCGGTGATGACATGGGAGATTGGCTCGACAAGTTTCTACACTGTACGGATAGCATAACTGAAAGCGGCATATAGCTGTGACAGTTAGTTCTCACGTAATATTTAATTCCAGGCTGACATTTGTCTTTTTGCCCTCTCTTTCCATCAAGTCCAATACGCCGTCAATTTCTCGTCATTCCAAATCAATCCTTGCTGGCCGGGGTTCCTAATTTGTGTAACAATCGGGCATTACTGCGCTCTGCCTACAACACTCTTCACAGCTGCAGCTCCCCACGATCCAGCTAGCCACCCCGCTGACTCTTCAGTCCAGTTGATAACACTAGAATCTGATATATCATTTACCCCTCATCGGTCCAGATCATTGCGGACAATGCCCCCCTGTCGAGTCCAAATTGCGCAAACTAGGATACACCTTCGCTGCAGCTAAGTGAAACCCCATCTCTCAGGTCTGACAACCCGTAAATCTCCTGAGGCGGCCCACGATGCCTCATAATGGTGATCGATTGATAGATTGGTCGAGGAGAGTCGGCGCGGGCTCGCCCGGAAATTAGCCCCGATGTCAGACGTCAGATGTCCGATGTCAGCTGTCAGCTCCTAGCGCTCCGGGGCCTGATAGGACGATGAGCGGACCCTGGTCCCGGTTCGCTGACTAGGTAGCAAACAAACGAACGGGAGATGTCTTCTTCGGCCAAAGGGCCAGCTTGCTATAGGGAGCCCATGGAGCTGAGCCAGTATCTGTGTACGTACTGTACTGTCCTGAGCCGTAGGGCCCGGAGATGATGCAGAAAACGGGCCATCGCATGGATATCAACCAACTTGGAGTCCCTCATCCTGTTGACTATCCTACCTAAGTGCATGAGCTGGAACGGGTTGATCTGGAGGTTGGACTCGAAGGAAAAGCAAAAGAAAAAGGGGAAAGAAAAAAAAAGAAATTCTTTTCGCGTACTGTTGAGGTGATATTTGTAGTTTCCTGCTCGGAATTCTTGTCTTTATACACACTCGAACGAAAAAAAGGCTTGTATCGGTCTTGACTCAATACAAGATAGATAATTTCTGAGGACCTCAACACGCAGAGCTTTTCGTAGGTTGGCCTGACCAGTGTGATGCCATCCGTCTCGTATAGACAGGACGCCTAGAGATGGATGGAATAATACCATCTTCACTGGCGCCGGATCTTGTAGATAGGTACCTAGATGCTCGACATGTCGAGCAACAACGGGAAAGAAACAAATGCTAGATGAACCCGCTATCAACCAAATAAATACCCTACGCTCTAGGGCCTAGGAATGCCCATTAGAATTCAATTCAGTCAAGCCCATAGTTCAACCTCCTGCACAGCCCATACGTGCCCGACCACCAATCTTCCCCCTGCCCCTCTCCCTCTCCCTCGTTCCCTTCCTGAGTATCCCCACCATCTCGCGCCGTCCGCGAAAGAGCCCACAGCGGAAACAGCGAGTGGCACCGTCCCTCGGTGATCCCGACGATATCTGACATTGCGCGGCCGAAGCAGGGGAGGGTTAGGATGTTGGTGAGGGTGTGGCGAAGCGATTGGAGTGTTCCTTGGGTTTTCTGGGTGCGGTGAGGGAACGAAGAGGGCGGAGACGAAGATGGAGGAGGGGAGATGGAAATGCAGGGGTGAGGATGAGGATGAGGATGTAGATGCGCCGCCATGTATGTGACGAGGAGGAGAAAGGCGAGGTAATCAATGGCCATGTATGAAAAGTCGTTTGAGGGGAAGAGGCTTGGGTGTGGGAGGAGAGAGGGGGTCGTTTCTGTCTTGGACAGGTGCCAGGTCTGTAGTAGATCCGGATATTCGCTTTCGATCCACGTCGCCCGCCAGGTATGTAGCTCCTCCTGTAATCGGGTACTCTGGTCGAGAAGATCCGAATGATCCACGACAGGCTGTTTCTCAAAATCCGCATACACCTCCGTGACCCTGACAGCAATATCATACAATATGTCCCTCCACGTCTTTCTAGACCCCTTCCACGGCCCCTCGACCCACTCCCTGCGCGCAAGAAACGTCCGCTCACCCCTCGAAAGCGCCAAAAGCACCGCCATCTCTCTCAACTTGCAAAACGCAACATGGAACCCACCGTTCCGAAACATCTCGGGCCCCTGCGCTTCCATGAGCGCCAATGCACCTGTTAAATGGCCCGCCCAGCCAGAGTCGTAGATCGCTGTTGGTCTTTGCTGGCTTGCTTCAAAGAGCGTAAAGAGGAGGGAGATCACGACAAGTTGCGGTTTCGTTTGTTGTGATGGATTTGCGTTCGCGAGTAGAGAGCGGAATGTCTGTAGGCCCATGTTGTACGCCGACAGGCTCATGACGAGATATTTCCCGTTCGGGTCGGAGAATGAGAGGCGGATTGTAGCTAGCGATATAAATGCGAGATCCAGCGCGCGACTGTATGCGCCCAGATCAGTGACTCCCAACGACCAACATGTCGGGGAGCGCGCATAGCGGGCCTGGAAATGCGCCCAGAGCGTCACGAAGTGGTTGTGGAATTCCGCGGGGGAGAGATCGAGGGTGTGCAATGCGTTCGTCGAATGAATCCCATACTCATAATCCGATTTCAATGCCGCCATCGTCAGATCATCGCTATTTGCGTGGTTCGCAACAATCGCATCCCGAATAAGCCCCTTCATCCGCGTCCGCGCCTTCATCTTGCCCGCGTCGAGGTTCACAAAGACGCCCTTGACATGTGCTTCGTACCCGGCGCATGGGCGTCGGGATTTGGAGCAGGTCCCGCAGGAGGGTTTTGCTCCGTCGCACTACTCAGGGGTCAGTTAGTGGGAGGAATGGTGTGAAGATAGATAGGCTATTGCGTACCGCTTTTTTCCGGGACCGGCAGGTTAGGCAGGCGCGGGCCATTGGATCGTAATGTGTGGGCGGGGAATGTGGAATGTGGAGATCGTATAACCACTTGTCTATGGATCATGGTCGGGCCAGACCAGGTTAGATCAGGATGGAATCATTGAGTTGATGGAATGGGGATTCGTTGAGATGATGTAGTGTCCTGGTGGTGAGGCTGACAGCCAAGAACGAGTCAGAAAGGGTCTAACCCCTTTGGGCATATCGGACCGCGTGGGGGAGGAGAAGAATAGTATACAAGTGACAATCCAGGAAGAAGAGGGCATAAAAAGGAGACCAGATCCAGGTGAAATTTTAGGCATCAGACTCATTTCCTTTTCTTTGAACAAACCAATCCCCCAAAAACCCTTAACAATGCCCACCTACCCAACCCGCACCATCGCCGGCGTGTCGGTCATCGACACCACCCTCGTCCAAGCCGCGCTGAACTATGCAAAAACCCACAACGACGCCCTATCCTACAACCACGTCTGCCGCTCCTGGGTCTTTGGCTGCATAATCGCAACCAAGATTCCGACACTCGCGAATGCCGAGATCGACATGGAAATCCACGCCGTCTCTGCCATCCTGCATGACCTCGCCTGGGACACGACGAGCCCCTTTTCAACGCCGGACAAGCGCTTCGAGGTCGATAGCGCGAATGCGGCGCGGGATTTTCTAGCCAAAGAGGGACCGCAGCTTACGCCTCGCCAGCGGCAGCTCGTCTGGGATAGTATTGCTCTTCATGCGATACCGAGCGTCGCTCACCATAAGGAAGGGGAAGTCGCGCTGTGCCAGATGGGGATTAGTGCGGATTTCCTGGGGTATAAGATGCCGGGGGGTGTGATTACGAAGGAAGAGTATGAGGCCGTGATTGAGGAGTTTCCGTTGCTGGATTTCAAGGAGGGTTTTAAGAAGCTTATGTGTGGGCTCTGTGTGCATAAGCCCGAGACGACGTATGATAATTATGTGAGGGATTTTGGGGAGAGGTTTGTGGAGGGGTATGATGTGACGGGGAAGACTATGGTTGATGTCCTTATGCAGCCTATTCATGGCTGAGTGGGGTGATTTGATGTATATGCCACGGGAGTTGTCAAAGTGTTAGGTCGTTGAGTGATAGTAAATGATATTTGTTCGATTTCCGTTCAGTAGCAGACTGAGATGCCGGAGTAGACCAAGAGATTACCTAGAGTGGCGGTGGGTTCAAATCCAACCCTTCAACAGTCAGTGTAAACGCATCATTGCGCGAATAGCTGCCGGCAAGGTCAAGATCCAGTCGTCCACGAAGACAATCCTCAAAGTCAACCTCGACAACCTGCAAACTCGCCTCCGGATCGCTATCATCATTGACATTCCAAGTCGGTGCCGCGAGGACTTCACCAAGCGGTCCAACAATGCAGGAACCTCCACCGCAAGCCCAAGCCTCAGGATCTACTACCGTTAGCATTTGTGAAACAGAGGCGAGCGGAAAACGCATACCGTTGTCAGTCTTGTCAGTCTCCGACTGCGTAACCCAGTCCGGCAGTTCTTTGTATCGGCCAGCTTGGCAGGCAGATAGCACAACGGCTCTGCCTTCGAGAGCGATCGTGCGCATAAGGGGGAGCCACGTCTCGCGGCAGTCGACTGTTGGAGCCAAGTAGAGGTTGACGTTTTGCGAGTACAGGCTTTGTCGGAGGAGGGGCATGTAGTTCTCCCAGCAGATGGCAGCGGCAAGAGTCAGCTGGACACCATTGATCTCGGTGGTGACGGCCTTGAGGGTTGAAGGGGAGCCTTGAGCCCAGACGAGACGTTCAGAGCCGGTCTAGAGATGTTAGTCCAACAGGTTGCGAACGATGGGTTGAAAAAAGAGCGACCGACCGGCATGACCTTCCTCCGCTTCCCCAACACCCCGCGCTTGGGATCGACATACAACGCCGAGCAATACAAACTGCCCCCCGCGCGCTCAATGACTCCAACAACAATCAAGATCCCCGTCTCATTCGCGATCCTCTCGAGCGTCTCACGCGTCCCGTCCCCACGGTACTGCTTCCCCTTTGCGACGGGCAGTTTCTTCTCGACCCAGTCATCGCCCGCACCGGCAGGCGTATCGCCGAGATCAACTGCGCCGTTGAAGTACTGCAGGAATTGCTCTCGTCCGGCCGCCTCGCGGAATCCGAATTTTGTGCCAAAGGTCGCGGTGCGGGGGTAGCCGCCGAGATAGGCCTCGGGGAAGAGGAGGATGTTCACACCTCGGGCAGCGGCATTTCGAGCCGTTTGCTCGAGGGCAGTCAGAGTGTCGGCCAGCGACTGCCGGGTGTGCGACTGGGATACGGCGACCTTGAGTTTCGACATGATGGGTATGGTGAGATTGAAGAGATTGGAGAGATTGATTGTTGGTTTGAACGCGGAGAGGGGGAAAAATGTTCCTCGGCCTCAAGTCCGATGAGTCATGATTGGCTGCCGGGAATCCGAGTGTTGCAGTTCCAGATTTTCCCCTCGTCACGTTTCTTTGTCTCGCAATGATCCCCTGAAACCTTGCGCGAGCGTCGTTGGAACAGCGCAGATCAGTGAGACAAAGGACATCTTTCAGTCGAGCCCATTGGGCCGATGATTCGATGGCTTACGCCTTCCGAAGCCTTTTCTTTACACTTTTCCTTAAGCTCGCGACGTCATCTCGAAAAAGCCGAAGGTGCTAGGCGGGTTTTGTTCTAGTGCTCACCAGACACGACTCGCGGATAATCAAACGCGACGATGTTGTTGGCTGCGGCGACTGCTCGATCATTGATGCCTTCCTCAAAATGGGGCCATTTCGCGCTGTGCAGTGGGAGTCCGCCCAACAAAATCGACGCTCCAAGATGTGTTGGCCTGGGCTGCGCTCGGAATATATAAGCTTAACCACCCCAGATCACAACCCCGTCTCACCCGGTCTTCGATGTACCTTTGCGTCTACTTATGCTCCGCTGAGCTCAAGCGGATAACAGGATGAGTGGCCTGAAGATCTTGATCGTGGGCGGCAGCGTCACTGGCCTCACGCTTGCCGCCATCTTCGAGCGATATGGCATCGACTACACTCTTCTCGAGAACCACGCCGACGTCACCCCAGCACTCGGCGCCAGTATTGGACTCTTAGCGCACGGATCGCGCGTTCTCGACCAGCTCGGCTGCTTCGAAGAACTCCTCCCATTTGGCAACGGCATCGAGAACATGGACATGTACGATCCGGATGGGAAGAAAATGGGAAGCCATAAAGGATTGGGAACATATATGGAGTCAATGTAATTCGCACTACCGGCAGTTCACGTTCTGGCTGCGCTGACTAGCAGGCTTGGCTATCGTATATTTTTCGTGGAGCGGCAGCGCCTGCTTGGCGCGCTATGGGGCGCCATCAAGGACAAGTCGAGGATCCACCTGTCATCGACCGTCGCGAAGATCGAACATCATGATGGCGGTGTGAGCATCGAAACCCGGGACGGTCGTATCTTTACTGGAGATTTTGTCGTTGGCGCCGATGGAGTGCACAGCAAGACTCGTGGAGAGATGTGGCGTCTTGCAAAGGCCGATGGGCACGATCTGACAGCGGATCGCAAAGGTAATTGGCCTATTCGTGTTTAGTGTCAAGCTCACATCGCGTAGCAATCAAGAGCACCCACAGTTGTATCTTTGGTATATCCCAGGGGTTGACACAAGTCAAGTCGACCGACGCCTGGAGGACATGCCGACAGGATCGTCACTATCTTATCTGCGGTGCTCCAAATGGTCTGACCTTTTGGTTTTGCTTCTTCAAGAATCGTAAGAGCGCTGCCACTTGGGACGCTCTTCGATACTCTGAAGAGGAGAAAGAACAAATTGCAGTCGAATTTGCGACCGATCACACGCGACCCGACGTGACGTTTGCCGATTTGTATAGAACGTCTAGCTCTCTAGGAGTCGTACCAGTGGAGGAGTTTGTGTTGAACAGATACTACTATAAACGTATTCTCCTGTTAGGAGACTCCGTACACAAGGTATGCTCGAATGTCTGTTTCCCATCCTATCTAATAAAGTAGATGCACCCCATCACAGGACACGGCGGAAACGCAGCAATCGAGGACTGCGCCTATCTAGCGAACCGTCTTCAGGACCTTCTCGAACGTGGGCAGACTCCAACATACTCACAACTCCAAGACATCTTCTACGAGCTGCAGGAAGAACGTCGGCCGAGGACCGAGTTCCTAACGAAAGGCGCGCACCGGCTGGCACGGTTAGAGTCGTTTGGCACCCCGGTTTTAAAACAAGTCATGCTGCATATCTTTCCCCGGGTTCCGTGCGAAAATATCCTGGCTGGATTGGCGGAATCAATGACGCAGGGAAAACCGCTCATGTACCTGCCGCTTCCCCAAAGGGCTAAACGTCTAACGCCCTACGACGATGAGGTGGCAGTCACTCCAAAACGCCGATCAGCATTGTCGTCGTACACCTGGGTCCTTTTGTTTCTTCTAGCTGGTTCGCTGCGCTACTTGTTACCTCTAGATGCCACAAGCAGCCAGAATCCCGCCAATCTTACAGAATCCGCCTCCTGGCGACACTACGAGGGTAGGACATATTTCTGCATCAGCGCTATTTGGACCGTCGAATCGTATCGATCAGCACTATCCCTGGGCCCTCTCCTGACTCCGATCCCATGGATGCTGCTATCTGAATACATTGGCTGGCACATCGCTGTGTCCCTCTACTCTGCTCTGTGGGTTCTCGGTACTCGGTATCGTGGCTTCTACCACCCGTGGCCGCGCGCCGTTCCTCTGGCTGCTGCAGAGGCCCTTCTCATCGCACTCCCGGTTGCGTTGTGGGGTTCGGTTATCTTCAAGGACATTGCTCTCGGTGCCTTTACCCTCTATCGTGGGGCCGCTCCGTACATACTCCTTCCGGTCCTCACTTCACTGCTCAGCTACGTCTTCAAGCGTGACGGGACGCGTTGGGTACCAGCCCTGCAGTGGGGAAACCGTGATATCAGCTACACCTCACCATTCTTCTCTCTCATATTTATCGACGTTGGGATTTCTCATATCAGCTTCGTCATGAACGATCTAATCCCGGTTCTGGGTGCCTACACAGTGTCTCTCCCAGATGAAGTGGTGGGGTTCGTGTCTATCACCCTGCTCATCATGCTCTGGCTGCTATTCACAGCATGGGACCTTCACCGGGTCAAGATCCTCAACTGGGCTCTGGGCCGTGCAGGACTGTATATCGTTCTGGGACTCGCCCTCGTCGGCCCTGGAGCCACACTAATCGCCGCGTGGTGGGCAAGGGAGAAAGTTTGGGAAAAGTCTCGTCAGAGAATCTCGGACGCCCGGTACGCTGGGGCTGCCCCACAACTCAAATAGCGTGGCCGTCTAGCCCAGACTGTCGGATAAGGTGTCCGGGGACAAGGTTGGAACGTGGTCCGACGGCCAAATATACTTTCTGTCCAATCAGTCAATCAACCGATGACGGCTTTTCAGCTCCGTGAAGCTTATAATGACTCCTCGCTTTCCTGATGTAGAGGAGGATGGATAAGGTTATTAGCTAATTTGTTGAAAATCTCGACACCTCTTTGAGCCTTTTCGTTGCTACCTTTGCCTCTAGTCTGCTATCTACGTTCAGTTCATCGCTTCTCTGATTATCTGACCTTGTCCTTCGATCTGAGTCTCGTCCGAGGGTTCTTGGATCTCTCTACGCTCTTGCGGTTATCTTTCCGCTCCGAGATTCTGTTTCTGTGCATTTATCTTTCGTCGTTGTGGTCATCTCGACCGCCTGCGTCGAGTTCGTTTCCAAGTCTGCAGTCTCGGGCCTTTGGTCCTCATTCTGTCGGGTTACAACAGCGGTCTTCTTCTCTATCATCGGTCACTGTCGTTTTCTGTATCGTCTTTACCCCTGGTAAGGCTTCTGAGGCTTCGAGCCTCTGTCCTGATCCGCAGGAGCTTCTCGTGCTCTTCGTTGCTAAGCTTTTCATTTCTTTTCCACCTTCCAGTCACTGTCCATCGACTTTCATCGCCAACAACACCATCTCTTTTCCTCCCCTCTATCACTCATCTTAGGAACACCGTGGTTTATCAACAGCTGTTGACCTTGTGACAACTTTCGTCGCCCTTGAAGTTCCCCTGCTCATCACTCACCTCTCCACCGGCCACTCATCTGCACCGTCCCATCCGCAACGAACGCCATCAAGGCCAACGCAACAACCACAACTCAGAAAAATGTACTCGACCAAGGAGCTCGAGTATCTCGCCTCGATGCAAGGCTCCCAAGACGAGGTCCCCATGGACCAACACACTTTCGCCAACCAAGCACAAGCCAGTAGCAACGACAACAACGGCTGGGACGATATTGACGGCGCCACCGTCCGCAACCTCCCTGCCTCGCATGTCCAAGGCACCATGAACCAACGCGCTTTCGCCCATCAAGCACCTGTCGACAGCGGCGACCCTGAATGGAATAACGGCACCTGGGATTACGGCGCCACCATTCGAAACCTCGCGGCTTCTCAAGTCCAGGCTCCCCTGATGCAAGGCACGATAATTTCCGAGAATGGAGTCAACGGCGGCGATAACGACAATGACAACGACTGGAATGACGGCGCCAGTGTCCGAAACCTTGCAGACTATCCAGTTCAAGTCCCCGTGTCTCAAGACACTTTCGCCCACGAAGCACCAGTCTACGTTTACGACGACAACGAGGCCGCCACCATTCGCAGGCTCGCGGTCTCCCAAGTCCTCTTAGCCTCGCGGATTCGAGCAGCGCTGATGCCGCAAAATACAGTTGGCGGCCACAACAACGACGACAACTGGAACGATACTGCCGGCGCCACCGTCCAAAACTCTAATTACCATGCCGGTTCCGATCATTATTCAGGATATCCCAATCTCAACCAAGAACAAGGTTACGACACCATCAACAATCAGGGCGTCTTGATTCCAGGCCTCGATGACGATTACGACGGACCATCACTCTCTCACTTCGCCAACGGAGAGCCAACGACAACCCACGCGCACCCCGAACCAACCGTGCAAACACTCGAGAACGAATTCGATAGACTATCTCTCTCCACAGCTCACTTCCCCAACGCAGAACTAACCCGCGACCCTCCCGAAGAGACCCCATACCACAGACCCATTCTGGCAGCCTACCTTCGAGACCTAAACGCCATCCTCGAAAAAGCCAGTACACAGGCCGACTTCATCCCAGTGGACTACCTCCGCGAGATGCGTTGTTTCGCTACCAAAGTTGAGTTCGTGGACATGAGCTATAATCTAGTCTTGGACTTCAACCCGCGCTTCTTCGACCCGATGGATCGGGGCCAGCTTACGAGACATAGACCGGCATCGAGCAGGCCCACTTACCCAATCATGGATCTGCCGTGGCCGTCGTGGCCGAAGCGGGGTGAGATTTCGCCCGTTAAAGAGAAGGAGGTGGCTTTGTTTACAGCCACTGGTGGTAGTGCCCTAACCATGAAAGCCACACACGGGGACTACTACACGACATACAATTACAGCCCATCTGTACCCGCCGGGGTCGAGCCAACCCCGCTGCAACTCGCCCGCGCAAGACAGGAGCGCGTGCATGAGTTTATTAATATTAAGCGGTGCATCAGGCGCATCGAGGGGCCTGCACATGGTGTTGAGGCTCTGGGGACGTTGATGGATCGGGCGGCGAGGTATATGGAGTATAGGACGTGAGTCGACTTCTTCCTCCTTCGTTACTTGCGTGCTCTTCTATTAGTAAATGCATCAGTGATGCTAACATTGATTCTGTGGTATAGCGCAGCATCCTACCTCCCCGAAACCCCCACCAGGGATGAGGCCGCGCTCATCAACCTCCACCCAGACTTCCTAACAACAACATGCATCTCGCCCTTCTACACAAACTACACGCCGCCAGCCTCAGCATATACCTCAGCGCAAACGCCCCTCGAATGCAACGGGGCCGTCGAATCGCGGGACCCGTCTACACCGTACACGATCATCCCGCTCCGCCTGGGCGCCGAACCATATGAGGATGCCGTGGGTGTAGGCGAACTACGTGTGGCTGTTCGTGCGATGCTCTTCAAGTTGCTTTGGGAGGGCGAGAGTGATTTGTGGCTTTTCCCGGTAAGTGACCTTTCCCCGTTTTCCTTCGAGTAACCTCATTACTGACTCCGTATACATATGTAGGTGCTGATCGTAACCTACTTCCCCCGCCACGCCCGCATAATCCAAATCCACCCCACGATCAACGCATCCGACCGCCATCGTGCTCGGAATCATCCGCTCGCGCAGCTGAACATCCAGTACTCGCCGCTCTTTGATCTCACAGAGTGTCGTGTGCCGATTAGTCTTTTCGCGCGGTATACGCTTGCCAGGCCGATTCCGTGGGCGTGGAGGGTTAGGGGGTCTGTTCCGAATCAGCGTTAGGGTGGGGGTCTTGGGGTAGGGCGAATCTTGGGGTAAATTGGGGATGATTTGGTAGTTTACGGACGATTTTTGGAGAGAGGAAGAAGAGGAATAGAATATGGGATGTGTATGAGAAGGGGCTTTTGTTCTTTGGGCGTTGGTTATTTGCGTGGACACTGCGTGTTTGGAGTTCAGGTGTCCAAGATCTTGCTGAGTCGTTGCTTCTGCTCTTTTATCTGGTTTTTTTTTCTGCTTTCGTATATGGGTTTGGATGGCTCTTCGTGCCATACATGTGTTATTATCTTTGGAGTTTGGCGTTTATCAATCGGCGGCGTCCGCAATGCTTGTTTTGGGTTCATGCAAAAAAAAAAAAGATCTCAAAACATCATACATGGTTGCGTTGCTTCTTTGCTAAGGTTGGAGTTTTGTCATTTGTGCTCAGACTTGGGTATCATACATGGTTGAGCCACAGATAGCTTCGATATTCATAGATTTGCTCCGTTACACCCAAACACGTCAGCAGCTCGAATGCCGCGTTGTTGATGAAGGCTATGTAAACTAAAATCATAGATCTGCCTCCCAGCCTCTCCCACATCAGCGCCGTTTCGAATAATGTCGTTGGCGATCTTCTCTGCAAGCATGTCTAGCCAGTCAGTAATCTGAACTGATATACTGGACAGGTACGACGTACAGCATGTCGACTGGGGATGTCCCGGTAAAAGTAACGGGAATGCGTGCGCTGGCGTCGACTACTCGCAGCCGCTTCACACCAAAAACTCGAGCCCGGCTATCAGACACTGCCTGTGTATCATTGGATGTACCCATTCTGCATGCGCAAGACGGATGCCACACTGTCATGACATTCTCCCGAATGTACTCTAGTATCTCTTCATCGGTTTGGACCTGGTTTCCCGGAAAGTATTCCTCGCCGATAACCACCGGATCCATCACATTACTGGCGAAAACCTCGCGCATACGCTTAAACATCGCCATAACTACTTCCTGGTCGGATCTGGTGTCGAGCCAATTCATGTTTATAAGCGGAAGGTCGGCCGTATCAGCGGTTCGTAGGGTGACGGTGCCACGCAAGGTCGGTGCAATTAGGACGCCGATAATTGAAGCATACTGGTATCCATCATCGGGCTGATCTGCTTTCAGATTCGAGATATTTCCGAGAAATCCTGGTGCTGACATGTACTATGCCTCGTTAATTACCACTTCATTTAGCGGACAATAACGTACATCGACTTCGGGCCAGTCACCTGGGAATTGCGACAGAGCCTGCAACGTCTCGGGCGAAAATTGCCTGCGCAGCTCGTAGAGGATCTTCTCCCACGCAAGAAGATCTGACACCGGATTCGTCAATGGTCCCAGCTGCTTTTTCGCCCACCGCAGGTACTGCGAAGCAAGATAAATCGGGCTGTTTGCAATCCTGGTCACTGTTTCGACATTCCCGCGATAGCCCGGCCCTACAAAAGGATGGTCCCACATATTCTGGCCGACCCCTGGAGAGTCAACCAGCACCTCGATTCCATGGTCCTCCAAGTGCTGTCGTGCACCAACGCCGGATACCATGAGTAGCTGGGGGCGACTGAAACACACCGGCGGAAATTATAATCTCCCGACTCGCCGTCAAGTTCCGCTTAAATCCCTGGTGGCTAACTTCCACCTGGACGGCGTTCAGTTCATCATCGAAATGACCCGTTTCGCAAGGGTGTCTGTGTAAACTGTAAGGGTTGGAATTGGCTGGGCCAGGAGTGACGACGTGGAGCTGCTTCGATGCTGAGCACTCGGTCGGATGGTCGAGGAACAGTACTGGTATCCCTCCAAATTCCCGCTATTAAAATCGACTGCCCGGTGTATGCCAACCTCTTCGAAGCCGCCTTCTAGCCAAGTTGAGAATGATTGGGCATAGTTTGGGTACGTCACCTCCAACGGTCCACCAGAAGGAACAAATGCATCTGCGTTGTGCAATACGCTCGCATTCTCAAATCTCTTTGTGGTGGTTGGAGGCGTGAATCTGACGCTGCGCTGGTACCAGGGCGGGACATTCTCGATTAAGTAGCTCAGGTCCATACTTGACAAGGCCCACATGTCCAGAGACTGTTTCGTGGGTCTATACTAGTCGGCTAAGCGCTGTCAAGGAACAGACTCGACATACCGCTGGTAGATCATAAAGTTGAGCGCGGAGCTAGCACAGACAGTTATTAGCACCGCCGGTGAACAGTTACAGCTGCACAAGACTTACGATCCTCCAAGACATTTTCCTCGCGCAATGTGCAGCCTCCGACCATTCGCGCCGGGAAAGGGCTCGGTCACAAAGCCCCAATCTATAGGGCTTGTGGTTTCCGGATCAGAGCCCACGGGCAGCACGTCTGCTCCAGGTGTCTTCGCTAGTGGGTATCGCTTCTCGTAGCGACCCCCAGCTTCGACGAGAGCGACGTTCCAGTATTCGGCGAGAGGAATAGCGAGGGGCATTCCGGTGGTATCTCCGCCAACAACAACGTAGTCGAATTCCTTGGCGAGGACTGAACAGGCGAGGAGAAGGGCGCTGAAGACATTGATCGAGACCATCGTTGGATGCTAGCGTGTGGTGGGAGGAAGGTGAGAGAAATGGAGAAGTCAGAGTAGTCGGAATAGTGACAAAGGTCAGGGGGATGGGGCCAAACGAGAGAGGATAATGAAAAATCGACCCCTGCTGATATCCAGGGCCAACGGTCTAGTCAGCGAATGGAAGTCACGACACCTGCCTACAGTATATCAATCCGGAAGGTACGGGGCTGGAGGGTAAACATCCATTGATTTCTCACTATGTCGTCTCTTCATCGCAAACTAACAAACTCCTTGAAATCATTCAGAAAACCACGTACAGCATCAATGAACTGCTCAATCTCTTCGTTACTCGTTCCAAGAATCAGGCTCAACATCCCACGACGGGCGATCCAAAACCCACGCTCAATCATATAAAACCAAACCAGCTCGCGCAGGATTGCCTCTTCGCTCTCCGGTTCAACCTTCAGATCTATGATCGACGTGATGTTGGTCTTTCCTCCTCCAGGTAGAAAGTGTATGGTCATCACTGACCCAACGCCAGTCACAGTCATCTTCGTACCCTTCGCCAGAGCATTCAGGCCGTCACGAAGTTTATCGCCCATTTGATTCAACGCGATACATGCCTCTGGCGTATATACCGATGTCATCGATTTGTATCCGACGTTCATAGCCAGAGTGTTGTTGTTGAAGGTCCCCGAGTGACTGATGTTGGAGGTGCGCGGGTCATAAACCGAAAGCAAGTCGCGACGCCCGCCAAAAGCGCCAATCGTCAATCCACCCGCAATCCATTTTCCCAAGGTAGTCAGGTCCGGCGACAGGGGAGTTCCGCGCTCTGGATGAAGTACAACCGACTGAAGGCCTCCCGGGGCGAGCCGAGACGTTGCCACTTCGTCGAAGATGAAGATGATACCGTTCGCGTTCGCCGCATCTTGGACAGCGTGCAGGAATTCAGCCGTGGCTGGAATACAACCTCCAGCACCTTGCATCCCTTCAAGAAGAACTGCCGCTGCTATATCTTTGCTTTCAGCGATGAGTCTTTTGGTGCCCTCGACGTCATTGTACTGGCCGATGATCCAGTCATTTCTGTCAACAGTGTTCGGGGCGACTCCATGAACAAAAGTTAATACACCACCATGGTATGCGCCCTCAAAAACAATAACCTTGGACCGTCCAGTGGCCTGTCGTGCAACACTGAGAGCGTACAGATTCGCCTCGGTACCAGAATTGCAGAAGCGAATTTGTTCAATTGATGCGAACCGACCGCAAACTGCGTTAGCAAATTGTGCTTCGGCGACGGTCGTGGCACCCAGATTCATCCCAATGCTGTTCACAGTCGACACGATCGTCTCGGAAATAACGGGGTGAGAATGTCCATAAACTCCCGCGGTCATTTCACCTACTAAATCAAGGTACCTAGACAGTCAATGGTTATTCTGTCGTCTGGGCAGGCGGCCACGAACTCATGTCCATCGAGATCAATCACCCGATTCCCACGGCCACTGGCCATGCTTAATGGGAATGGACTCCCGTGCAGCACCGATCGCGTATTCCCTCCCGGCAAATGGCGTGCAGCTACCTCATGCTGTGATTTCGACTTGGGATTCCTAGCTTCATAATGCTTTTGGGCGACATGAAAGTAGTCACTTGCTGTTTTTGAACCCGAGAACATGGCGATGATGGCGTTGCTGTTTGTTGGAGTAGTCGTAGCGCGGGGCCCAGTTGAAGAGAGGCTAGGGTGCATCATATACTTTGGAGTAAGAGCGGGGTAGTCGCGGCCAAGCATCACTGGGAGCAGATAGCATCGAGGATAGCAAATCGTTAAGCTTATTTACTCGACATACTTGACCGGTCAGATCTCCTTACTGCACGTCCACCGCGCCCACCGCCCCGCGATGCAGTCCTTTCTCGAGAGCCTTCCCGTACAACGCTCCGTATCTCTCCTCCGTCGCCAACATTGATCACCACACCCGAACCGTGCGCTTCCCCACCCAGCCCGTCGTCGCTTTTTAGCAGTCTTCGCCACCACGGTGGAGTTTTGATTTCGCTCGCATGCTTGACGGTTTCTTCCAAATGTTGATCGTACCGGTGCTTTTCGAAACTCCACCATAACGCCCATCCGCCGAGTGTGAGAAGCGTGAGAGGGGCTGCAACTACCCAATAGATCCAGAACCGAGGCGAAACAGTGTCCGATGCCGCCTCTTCCCAGTTGAACATGTTCATAGAAAATAAAGTCTGCATTAGTTAGCGCATGGAAGATGGGGTCGAATAGGACTTGAACACACAGCAACATAGCTTCCTGGAAGAAAAATAGTCGTGATAAAAGCCAGGATCTTCATTGAGGTGCTATCTCTCCCGGCTACTGCTGCAAGGCGCGCACTGAGTCGATTGTCCGTTTGAGCAACAAAACTATACAACTGCAGCAAGTTAGTGAAAGGTGTGTTATACAGTCAGCCCAAACATACCACATTGAGCTGTAGCTCCAGTCGCTTTTGCAACCCGAGGACATGATCCTCCATTGACTTTGCAAGGCTGACATTGTGCTCCAACATCTGTAGCACCTCACTGCTCAAGCCGAAAGCCTCGGCTCTGCTGCCAAGCAGTTCTTTCTGAATATCGATAAGCTGCGTGGCGGCCTCATAATTCCACTTCGGTCCTCGCGCAGTAAACAGTAACCTTGTTAGCTGAGTGTTTATTTGTGTGGTAAGCCATTCAGCTTGTGGTCTTTCTACTGGCTTTCCCGTGGCTCCAGGCGTATGCGTCAACGTCTTTGAACTCCTCCGACCGACCTTGGTCACCCCTAGCTGCTCCTCTATGTATGTGACACGCCGGGTTAGGTCGCCACTGCTGAATTGCTGTAGCCTCTTCAGGTGATCGTTGAGCATGATGCATGGAAGCGTAAGAGGTTCGTTCCACAAAGCAGTTGACGGGGCGAGGCATGCTCGAATGATAGCACAAGGCGAGTACGATGCATGGGGCAGCACTGAAATGTCGTCTAAATGGGTATACCCGTCGAGTATTGACTCACCAGCCAGCAATGCAGTTGTCCAGCGCGAGTTGATGTCATGAGCGAGGGACAACATGAAATTGCCAAGCTCATATTTTTGGGGCGCTTTCAGAATAATCGCTATGTTTTGTCAGTCACACGCCACATTCAGTCCAGAGTAAAAGATGCGATTGACAAACATAATTTATTCCTCTGTTGTGTAACGTCGAAATGTCTCGAGCATGTCCCACTACCCACCTCCAGCGCGGGAAGGGTGGCTGGATGAAGTCCAAATATTGACTCGACCAGCTCAAAGTCATCGCGAGTCATTCCGAGGGAGGCCCTCCTGAACAAGGTGTAATCGCAAGCCAACAATCGGATACCTCCGTCCGGCCTGCCGACGGAAGGTGGGGAAGCGGGGATGGCGAAGCTCCCGGTCTGGTAGATCCATTCTTCAACCTGCTGGGGTTCCAGAAACCCATGGCGGAAATTCCAGGGGGTTGCCGCGCTGACCTAAATCACGATCAGGTATGCTTCCAGAAACGGGCGCGTTGACCAACCCCAGGGAAGCTCCAGGCCTCAACAAAACATAGCCGTCGTGGGGTCCACTCAATGCTCCTTGCGGCCAGATCTCGATTGTATTGAAACATTTCGGTCGACGAGCTTGAAAAGGAGATTCTATTGCGAGAAATCCTTCCTCCAAAGCCGGACTAACTTTAACTGTCGGATCAAGGCATCGCTGTCGCAGAGGGAAATTTGCAGCTGAAGCTGAGCGCCTCCCTGCGTCGCGCTTGTTTGTTGTGACTATGCCGGAAGCAGTATGGCGCGAGAATATCAGTGACTGTTGAGACCCCTGCCTTGGCGACTGTCATACACCGAGCCTTCAAGGAAAGTGTTGAAGCATTGCGGACTCTTTGCGTCGTCCCATGACGAGTTCTCGCCTGCAGTGTAACGGTCGTAGAGGATAATCATTGTGTGCATTAGCGTCCCTCGCGCGCCTACCTAGATCTCTCATTTGTAATCTGCGTGCGGTTGCAAACCTCTGGCACGAGTGGACCCGATGCCACAAGGAACCCCGCCATTCCAAGGCCCAAGAGATCTTTGACGAAGTCGGGCAACCTCCCCCACGTTCATCCCTCTTATCATTGTATTGTCAGATTCCCGTCCGCTATCGGCGCGCGTTTGAAGCCTGAGCGCATGTCATACTGACAAGGCGAGGTCGTCCGAGTATCATGCCCCATCAGCAAAAGAAACATTGTCGCAGTCGGTAAGTGCTCCGTGTTGTCAGATCTGCGGTATCACCAGACTGTCCGGGGCGAGCGCGTTGGCCATTCCGCCGACTGTTCAGCCGTAGAATGGGACCAACGTAGGAAGTGTTGTTTCAACCACAGTATGTCCGTCGAGTTTATCCGCAGAGGCGTGGACGTTTGTTTAATGCTCAAATCCGATGCATACGCGATCGGTAAACGGAAGGTTGTGGGTTGTGTTATTGCGGCTTGTCTGGACGGACGTTCGGCGTTGGCGTTGGCGTTGGCGTAGAAGGTGTAGAGGTATCGAGCTAGAGACAAGCAGCTCAGGGATCGAATAATGGAATTTGATTATAGACTCGTTCAGGGTGGGAATGTCGGTCGTGGGATCGATAAAAGAGGTCGGCGTCCGGGCTTGAGTGTGGAGGGACTCCCTGCTCACAGCTCTTAGCTTTGTAGGACAGTTATGACGGCAGCGAGCGGAATGGTCACTGGCATCGGAGAAGATCAAACGCAAGGGCAAGACGCGAATAGTGACTGCTGGCCTTCCGATTCTCAGCGAGGCACGAGGTCGGTTTGGAGGGGCGTCCGAGGTTCAGCGCTCCTTGAGGAGGCCACAAGGTCCTCACCCTCGCCAAAATCCTTTCTCTCTCGGTTTCGTTCTTCTGAATTGTTCCAACCTCTTCTCACCTCTTATTCATCAAGGCAAGCAGCAAAATAGTTCAGCTCGATGCTCATGGACAATAATGGAAGGTGCAACCGAAGTCAGGTCGACAACACTTTCACCAGCCTGCTTCGTCTCAGCCCTTGAGGCCCTCAGGAGATTCCTCAGTCAGGTAACGCTGTCACCAATGCGGGCGGCAAACGGCCGTCGCAACTTCTCTCAAAACCGCTATCTGAACTCCAGAGATATGTTGTTATTCGAAGATAGAGGATCGCCCCAGAAATCACCTTGTTTGTGCGCGGGTGATTTCAGGTAACCGCGTCTTCTGCTTCTTCTGCACGATTCCTTCGCCGATTGCCCTTGTCCACCATCTATGATCTGACTTGGAACTTGCTGTCCTTGCTGGCTCTGTGGTCACTCTCCACGCAACCTGAGTTCCCCTTTCCAGACCGGATGCGGCGCCAGCATTGCCGGGTGAGGATATCCGTACCGCTGTGCCTTGCGTATCTTCAATTATGGTACTCCCTGACAAACTTTTTTGTCGGTTTTGGCGCTGATTCCAACCGCCTGCCCTGGTGACCCTGATTTTATCACTAACAACGATTCGCAGCGACGAGCGCCTTCACTTCATCGAGGCCTTTAGGGATCAAGCATACGCTTCATACATGATCTTCCGGCCGTATCGACAATTAGTGGATTTAAAGGGGGATATTCGAGAAAATGTGTGGGTGGGGCATCGAGAGGGAACCCCGGCGAGGCCGAGTCGAGGCCAGCTAGAATTATCGGTTCAACTGCCGGGTTCGAGCGTCTTGTTACGCGACGCTTGAACATTGTGCTGAGTGCCCAGTACCGGCTTTCCGACCGATCAGGCTGGTATTCGAGCTCGGTGCCCGCGTCACAGAGAATGCGCGCTCGGTGGCGCATGACGGCCTAATCGCAGATTCGCAAGACCGACCCAGAATTCCGTGCAGTCCCACAGCCGCCATCTGTCACTACGCACGGTCTAGGTATGGGGTTGATGGCCCCGTAACTTAGACCGTCGGTACTTTTCGATTCGTCGAAGTCGCTACAAGCTCAACCCCAGAGAATTGACTATTGTTTTCACCTGCAGCACCGACGCCTCCCCACCTCCGCCCTTCGGTGAGGCCCGAGCCCTAAATCAACGTCCTCAAAGTGTTCAACGACCAGTCGAGCGATTTAGATTGCTCTATCCGCACCCGAAAAGCCTGCGATGAACAAAGTCCTTCAATGCATATGGACCCCAATAAGCGGTTCTCCTAGCCGTTGATATCTGATACAAAGTACATGCTGTTTGTTCGAGGTTACAAGCTACGAATTCCACCTGAATGTGGTCTCCTTCGAGGGTTACACTACAGAGAAAGACATCCCAATAACGTCGACGTTATATATTGGCAAAAGAGCGACTTCGGTGGATACAGCAATCAGAACAGGAGCGAAATCGCGGGAAATCCTTCATCATATCAATCTTCTGCCAGCACCAGCCATCTCACACCATGCGGACCAGCTCCCCCGAATTCATTTTCAGCAGCGTAGTCGAAAACCGTACGGTCGGGCGGGCGAGCAAGTGTGTGTCTTGTCTTGTGCGAGGTAGCTCTGTGGTATTGAGGTCGAATCACACGAGCAGAAGACGACTCGGCAGAAGGGAAATTCAGTGCTATAGAACAACCGTACGTTAGTTAGATTAGACAAGGCAGAGCGGGCGCTGGAGACTTACGCTGCAGGTGCTGCAAGCGCAGGAGTTGCAGTCACCGGAGCAGCAGTTGCAAGCGCAGGGAGACATCTTGATGGTTGGTTGGTGGTTGGGTTGGTTTGAACCGGTTGTTTTGTAGTAGGCTTTGGAGGAGGTAGAGTGTTGTTGATGAGGAGGAGGAAATGCTGAGAAGTCGTCCTTGAGCGGAGTATTTATGTCATTTCTGGATGTTGTTCCTCAGGCCTCCAGCGTGGGATGTACCACGATATCTTGGTCACTGTCCAGCGCTCCGTCAAATCTCACAGCCAATGCCATGGCACAACACGAGTCGGATGATCCAGTCACGCCGGGAGGGGAAGAGCTTAGCGATGGGGACGTCGGGAAAGGCCGAGTGGGGGGCATCGTTTCAAGGCATTTTCATGCTGCTGGATCGTTCCATAATCCTTGAACCGAGTCAGCCGCGATTAAATGCGACCTTGGTGAGAGTCTGATATCATTTTCCTTGGGATAGCCCCGTCTGTGGATATGCGAGCAGGCAGAGGGGGCCCAAGCGAGGAAAGGTGGAAGCCGGAAGGCGCTGGAAGAGTCTTGCTAGGCTGTTTCGATAAGTGGGCAGTGTGACTAACAGAAAGCAGCCCTCGAACAGCGCCGGAAAACACCCCATTCTCATCTCTTTTTGTTGGTGTCAATATGCGGTGTTAGAGAGGCAGAAAGAAGAGGAAAGCAAGTCTTCACCCGTGCTGCAGATTAACGCTGGCATCTTATATATCTATCAACCCCCTGGGTGAGTACCCTGGAGGTTCCTCTCCCCGTGCGAGTCTCAGGAACCCTCGTAGCAGACGCTCGGATAGTCACAGGACGACGCATGGACGAGATAGGCAGGGCATCCTGCACTTCTCCTGCGAGCCAAGATTTTCACACCCAAAGCACAGTGCAACGCCTTATCCTCTCACTCGAGTGGGGTGGCCAAGGTTGCCATTGGGCGAGAAACACTTCTAACCTTCAACCGCGTGTTGGGGGCCGTATCCACATTGATGCAGCCACCCTGAATGGCCCGACCTGGGGCATAATACGCAAGGCTACCTATCTGCTTAGCTTTGTAGCCTACGCAGGTCAGGAGATGCGCAATGACCATTGGTCGCTCTGTTCATGGCTTCTTCAAATGGGCGTATCTTCACGCAGGGGTGGATTGGGGCATGGGGGTCCGCAGGGTGTGACGTTCCGTTTCTCGGCTGGATACGGCTTGGGAGACAGGGCACTTGGGCAGAGAGAATTGCTTTCTCAGTAGACTTCTCGAAAATCAACCCGAATACTATCGTAGTCGAATATACATCGATACCAGCAAGAAAACATCTTCAGCGATTGATACTGCTGTGGCTCGCCTTCCAGGTAAATATCGCTGTGGTAGGTTCACAGGCCCGACGAAGTCGACGTTAGAGTTTATATAGCCGTAGCATAACATCTTCGCATCAGTTCTCAGATCTTTCCACCTGCTGTATATTGTGGACCTGGTCTTGGAGTGCGAGAGGAATCATCAGAACATACATAGACCCAGAGCTCAACTTCATGGAAGGGGAAGGGACCCGTGTGTGCCTTTTGCTCAGGACAAAGGTAGTTTGAGGCCGGCTATCTCCTATTCCTAAATAGCAAAGAGAAGGATGAATGGGGAAGCGACGACTAGGTGTAGTAAATGGGCCTTGTTACTTCAGTGGCCTCGACTCGTGCTTAGCATCTTGAGAGAGTCGCCTTATATTTATAGGCCCTATTGGAAGGAAGAACTCGTTGTGTAGCAACGCCATCTTAATATATAGTTGACTGCTGAGAATCTATATTGTACTATGTACCAAGTAATTCTCAAGAATTACGCAGTTTTCTGATTCACTAAAACCAAGTATTGTGAAGGGGTGCCCTAGATATATATCTCGCACACAACCCACAACAACTGTGACTTTCGCCCGACAAAGGTTATCTCATCAGAAGCCAGATACCTAGATTAAACTTGTGCTTATATCAGTCGCCAGAGTAGGTACTCGTCTTATCTTGATGGAAATCAATGTCTTTTTGTCTCCCCCGAATCCCCCTGGGAGACATCTCATACGCACTCGCTTCGACTTTCTCTTTAATATGTACGTCTCATTGTTTTATGCTTAATATGGCGAGTAATATCCCCTCCTTTTATTTGTGCATATATCTACGTTGTTGTTGGTGCTTTGTGATGCGGGGTATCACGCGTCCTTGCTCGCGAAGCAGTTTTCAATGCATCTAGTGTACTGGAATGTATTGGTGTTGGGTATCAGAATACAGGTCCAGTGGGTAATAGATTTGCGATAGAATAGTGAGTGTTCTCTTATCATCTTGGAAGAGTCTGGAAGGAATGGGAGAGGAGGGGGAGTTACAAGGAGAGCGCGTTGTTTTGCATAGCACACTAGTGAGCACAAGAGATGATGTAAGCAGGGAGAGAAAATTTATGCGCTTTGAAAAAGAGAGGAAACAGGATGGGGATGTTTGCTTCGTTTGACCTGTTGAATGGAATGCTAAGACGCTACCTAGTAGGTAGCCTCTGTTCGCGAAGAAGCAATAACAGCCAATCATTCATGGACTAATCAGGCGCGAGATAATACAATAGCCATAGTAGAAACTAACTACCTAGTATATCGAGCCATAAGTTATATAATAGTAGCTACTTTCTGTCTTTCAGAAGCGCAATCCCTCTTTCGTCCAGGTTAGGATATTTTGATAGTGCATAATAATCGCGCCAAAACTCGCGTGCTTTACTATGGTCATGCTTCTGCTTCCGTAGGAGATTCTTCCACTCCACATCTTCTTCACTCAATCCGATACCCGCACAAGTAAACTCCCACCACACTGGAAAGAACCCTGACGACTCCCAATCAAGTATACCTGTAACTCGGCCATCCTGTACCATAATATTGACAATGGTAAGGTCGCCATGGGTAAAACTGAATGGCTCAGCAGGTGGCATACCTTTCCGAAGTTGTAAGCGAACATCCTCTGGGACTTCCTTCAGCGCCACGTCCATATCGGCCCAAAGCTCGTCATTTGAAGATAGAGGCCCATGTGGCAGACCATAGCCATTGCGGAAGAGATATGCAGAGTAAATCGGCTCGTCGTTGAGTCCCTGCATCCTGGCGGAGTGAATGGAGCGAAGCTGAAGCAGATAATCAGCTACCTGCTTTGCTATGCTTTCCCTCTCATCCGTTGACATTTTCGCCCACGACTCGCTGAGAGGTTCACCGGGGATGCGCTCAGTCACAATAAAATGCCGTTCACCATCGTCCCAGTCTAGTGCCATCTTGGGCAGAGGAATGGTCGTCCTTTTGCTGCAAGAATTGTATATTGACACTTCGGCATTTGGTGGGCTAGTGGATCGTTTTTTCAGAATTTATTTCGAACCTAACGGCCAGGTACCTCGATCGCTGGCTTCGTAGAAGATTTTGATGTGACTTTCATATCGACAGTTCGCTTGTCGCTCAGAAGTCCAGCTGCATGCTGAACACCGGAAGGGAGGGCTCATTGTCGAATGATGGGATGGAAAGCTTGAAGTTTCTGCTCGATTAATTCAAGAAACCTTTTAGTGGGAGCGTCAAGTATGTATATCTATAATTCCAAAACGGTGGGCAATAATTCAGGTAATAGATCTGGGCCCACAATTCTCGCCTGACTATACATAATTTAAACGCGATGATGCCCGATCTGCATAACCAGCGCCAGCCATTTTCGACTCGGGCACCTTGGAGTTCCAAACTTCATCTTCAACGACAACAAGGGTCGACTGGCTCGAATGCGCGACCGACCCCACCCTTCATAAGTCGAGAGTCGACGACTGGACGACGCGTCACATTCACCGGATCACCCTAGATTAGGCTGCAAAGGTTGAGCGCGTGATCCTAAGCCTGGGGTTGTCGTGTCCTTAAATGCACGTTCACCTCCCTTTTACTGCCCTGTTTGCGCTGCACAGCTTATAATATCATTGTCAAGTGCCAAAAGAACCGAACCATCGCAAAATACGGCGGAAAAGGCTGTTCAACGTCTCTGCAAGGCTACAATCAATGTTCGGTCCGGGACTTTTGCCGCCGTTCCACTGAGGGTTGGGAGTTGACGACTCCATCAATTCAATTCGCGTTCACACCAGGCATAATCCTGGCTTCAGTTCCCACAACAACCTGCGCGTTGGAGTTCGCGGGGCCAGTAAGCGATAGCAGAAAGTATTGTCGCACGAGATGCTGTTAGGAGGAATGACGAGTGTAGACGAGGAATCCCTGCCTCTGGACCCTGGGCTTGCATGACTGGTGAACCAGGAGGGGTGATGCACCTACACTACCAGCTATCTCAAGGCTCGTCGGTCGGTTTTAGGAGGGACAGGAAGACTTGGTTCGAATAGATCTCCTTGGCTAGGGATCGACACCTTGCTCGCTGACGGGCCGCCAATGTCTTGCCAAAGTTCCTGTCGGCGGCGAGATTACCGTAAATCGAGTTGCAGAGCCGGACTGTGAGATTTCGCCAGATACGACCATACCCTGTGCTGAATATATGGGTTCGCTTTTCGACTAGATGTTCCCATGTTTATCAAGAGAAATACGCCTGGCAGAGCAACGTGTAATTATGGTTATCGAACGGGCTCGTCTTCGGTGTGTTGGGTCTGGAAAGCTAGAGTCTGGGGCGAGACGCTAAAGTACTTATCCAAGACTGGTTGTTCAGGCATTCGCCCCGAGCGTCCCGAGCGTGTGTTCTGGCTTGCCATAATTACCACTGGAAGAGCGCCCGATTCTTTCTGCGCGAGAAAGGTCCTGTCGTCGATCCATGGTTTCGTAGGTCTTTGTTGTAAAGTTGGGTTTTATAGGAGAATCCAAACGATTTCAAAAAGATATAACTCCCAGGACAACTATCCTGAATTGACGCAGATGATAGTCAGCAGGATGCTGGTCGACAAGGAGAGTCGGATGACGTGAAGCTCTAAAGCAAGTCACCGAGGGTTCTTCGCGCCTTCCCTAACAGTGTTAGGAGAAAAGCTCCCCTTTCCTGCACCAACTATACGGAGTCAAGATGCGATAAGTAAGATAGGAATTCTTACTTGCAAAGCTGCATTTCTCCGCGGCTGGATGGCAAAGTTTGCTTCATCACTCAGCGGGAAGCGGCGGCAGCATGGGCTGTTCCCTGTGACCTAAATCAACCAGGTAAGCCGCCTCAGCGCTCCAGGTTATGCAAGAACCCTCTAAAGCCTTGGAAGTCTCTTCATGAAAGGCTTACGACCAACAAGCGCAAAACCGAGCTCCATGCAAGCCACCCTAAGCTTATACGCCTGAGCATGAGCATTCTCGCCTGCCTGAGATACCCGGCTGGTATAGTGTTCTGTGAACCGTAATTCGAACAATCATGCTCTGATTTCAATTAGCCGGCCTAAGGAGTAGGCCACGGTCCTTCTTAGCGCATTGAAAAGCCGACATCTTCATTACATGCAGACCGGGAAACTTGCTTTAGGCCTGTCTTCGAGATGATTGAACTCCTTTTCAAAGGAACAATAACTCCTGCAACTGAAAAGTGGACATACTTGAATTTGCCAGCCTGATCGAGACCCACGTACCATAATGACGGGACGGACATTGCCTGAACTCTTACCGATAGGTACTCCGTAGACCCATGGCCAGAGCTTCGGTATGCTATGATATCATCTTGCAGAGCGCCGCGAACCGTAGCATGTCAAGATCTTGTCCGTGACGAACGTTATCCACTGTGCTTCTCCATCTGCCCCTCAAGAATATTGGTAGCCGAGGTGTATGAAGTCATAATGCTTTGGACTACCGACTCCGCAAAAGTCCCAGGCACTTGTGTGAAGTCGATCGCCCATTCGACAGTGATGCTCGCAGAGCTGGCAGGTTACAGCTAAGGATAGCTGATCTGACGCGATGATGCAAAGAGTGACTTCCTCGAGCCTGCGGGAGAGCTTCGACATCTTGCTGGCTGTGCAAGACGTGAAGAGGGACGGCAAGAGGAGATTCGTAGTGATGATTCCATCTTGCATCGAAGAAACCCACTTATGCACGATTGACTCCACAACGAACTGATCGCGTTTCGGTTATATAGCTGGAGCTTGAGTGGCCCGCGGTATCCACCAGGCAAACCGGGAGATTCGTGTTCTCTGGCTGACGAGAGGCATCCATCGCGTCGACGAAGAGGGCAACGACCAAGCAAAGCCTATAAGTGATTCCTCGAGTTGTGGGAGGTGGACGAGCGAAGATCAGGCAGGTTGCTCGACGAAGTTCTCGGGGAAAAGGGAGCGGGGAAGGTTGATCAGTGCGGCGATTAAGCTGATCAGATGGCAAAACCATGGGCATTTGCGAAGGAGTCGGAACTTGCGGAGTGCATCCGTGCATGCATGAAGCTGTGATGTAAGTTGAGACCTCATAGCCGAGGAGAAAATCCAAGGCTGGGATCGTGCGGGACAGGTCCTCTTGGAGGAAGAGGCTAATGCATGTTTGGTGGGGGTAATGCAGAAGGCGCACTGGACGGTCGGCGTCAGCGAGGAGTTGCCTTCTTGCTCAAGGGTCTGCAAGAGAATATTCATGCCCTGGAAAGGAGATATTGATGCTGTGCGACAAAGACTGGATTGACAGCGACGAACCGGCGATCTGCTGTGTAAAATTGCAGCAAACATGGTACACGAGGGCGGGATCCGTGGCACTTTGTCGATCCGATCCATTGGACCCGGAGCCCGGCGGGATTATTATCCGCGCGCTGGATTCGGCTTAGCTGTCCCGGGGACCTCTTCGCTGCTGCAGAGCCAAAATGTGGAGAGCTGAACCTCTGCATCTGCAACAGCTGCTTCTCTTTGTCTGGTCTGGTCTCGACCCGGTTCCGGCAACTCCGTCCATAGCACTTCTCATTACTTTGCAGGGGTAGGGAATCCACATGTCAGCACTCACCAGCATGGGCGCATTCAATTCAAGTCTTGTCGGGATCGCCGGCGACTTGGGCAGTGCGCACAGCTCCTTTTGCACGTCGTCTATTTTAAACCCGACTCCCAAAATCAATGGGCGGGCCTGGATCTCACAATGGCCCATTGGCGAATGATTGCAGAATCCTGCCGGAAGCTAAGGCATGTCGTAGGAGTCTTTTCCGTGCCGGAACCTTGAGGTTCGAACCATTCCGTCTCCCCATCGATCAAGAGTTCGTTCATTGAAGATCCTTAGATCATACATACCCACTTGCCGTCCCTAAAATGTCCCTGCACATGAGATCATCACAGCTCATCCGCTCTATACTCGGGGATCACAGTCAGACCTGCGAGAAATGGTGCACGAGGCTCCATGCCCGAGCGCGACACCCCGCAAACAAAACGTCTCAGACCAAGACAACACGCCTGTCGAGGACGTGTCCCATTAATGCGACCTGTGCAGCGAATCGGTCAGTCGAGAACGCGCCACCCGTGTTGAAAGTAATTCGCGTCGAGTCGGGTTTACTTGCCGCGCTGAGAACCCCCTGTCAGCGCCTCCACTTCCATTTCACTAATTCGGTATCAATCGAGACTATCTGACCTCAAGATGAGGACTAAACTGGGACCCATTGGAGAACATGGCGCCCCACGGGTGCTTTTGCATGAAGGCTAGCTGATCGACGTCGTATGCACAGCCAGCCATCTTCACCCCTCTCGGCAGCATGAGCACGAGAAGCTCCTGACGTCGGCTCCGCCGTTGGTCGGATGCTCGCAGCTCGCCTATATATGAGGGTACATTTCCATTGAGACTGAACATCCTATCACTTCATCCTTGTGCAATTACTTTGAATCATTATATCCCCCCAGCCGCCACGCTGCCTCGACTAATCCATCGCATCTTGTACTGTGGGTGTCGCCCTTACCCTGAAGAAACTGCAGAGGCACCTCCAAAACCCATCCCTTCCAAACCTATTCCTCCTAAATTGACCTCTCCAAGATTGAACTCCCCGATCCCCAGCATCTCTTCCACTCGAATCGAAGAACCTCCCCAACTGCCTCCTGATTCCATATCCTTTACGACTCCGATTCCGATCGCGACCGAACGACCAATATACACACGTACCATCATGGCCCCGTCTATTCTTTCTCCTATTGCCCCTACCCTGGATGGAATCTTTCGTACCAAGCGCATGTCAAGCTCCAGGAGAGTGTCTGGCATTAATGATGCCGAGAGTGTTGCTTCGGGCGTAGCCCGCTCCGTCCATTCGCATCCTCGAGTGACCTCCAGGAAGTTCAACTCCGGTGGGACTACAAACATCTCTAGTGTTGTTACTTCGATACAGCGCCGCAGCGGAGAGGAGCTTGGCTCCAATACCTCCTCGAGACTGTTGGCCGCCACTCACTCTACGATCATAGAATGGATCCGCTCCGAACGTATGAGCCTCCTGCCACCGGAAGGTAGTGACTACGATAAGGTGCTGGCTTGGGCACAGCTCTTCGTTGATAGGCTTCATCACTTTGACGTAGAGATTGAGCAGTTCGCCGGGGATAGCTACCTGGCTGCCCAATTATCCTACGGTTTCTGTGCGATGCTTCTCGAGGTACGTGTCCCCACCTGAAAAGGCCATCACAGAACTGATAATGTTGTCTTCGTAGCTTGGTCGAGAAAATGCCGCTGCCTTGATGATTTCGTTCGGGTTCTTTTACAGCATTTCCATTCCCCTCGCTAATCTTCTTGAACGGACCGAGCTCTTTACCGTCACCCAAGAAGTCCAGGAACAACTCATACTCGCTCTGTCAGACCTTGTAACCCTTGTTGCCAGCGTCTCGACCCACTTCCACAAGGCAATCCATGGATTGACCACAGCGTCGGTTTCTGTAAATATTTACCGCACCTTCCCTGGTCAGATCCAAACATTCCAGCAGCGATGCGAAAAGATTGCCGAGTCCATGTGGCGGCATCAGCTTCTCAGAGAGAACTTGGATGGTGACAAAGGTAAGGTATAATCTTCCTGTTCATGCTATCATCTTGTACTAATTGTTGGCTAGTCTCGGAAGTTAGATCCATTCGGTCTTGGCTGGCTCCAGAGGATCGAGTGGTCACCAATATTGTTGAAAACACCTCACACTTGGCCCACGACCGCGAGGAACTGACCTGTCTTTGGATGGGCCCATATTTGACTCGCTTCTTGAAGACTCAGCAAAAACACCTGAGCATTACCGGCCCTTCGGGCTCTGGTAAGACCGTCCTCGCGTCGGTCATTGTCGATCATTTGCAGCATCCTCACGGCGGAGTCTCGTACCAGACGTTGTTCGTTCCAATCAGTATGTACTTCCTCACTCTAGGATTGTGCTGTTCTCTGACGTTGCGTATAGATAGCAGAATACCTGCCCAGAGCAGTTCCTATGCGATCGCGAAAGCGATCCTTTCTCAGCTCTTTGAGAAGCGCATTGGAAACGTGCCCCTTTTCCGCATTTTAAGCGATGCGTTGCACCGAAGCAGAGTGGCTGCGGACTATGAAACTTACGACGAAGTCCTTTGGGATGCCGTGGACCAGGCTCTTGGCGCCTCGCTCCGCGGAGCAAATGACCTGGTCCTCGTTGTTGATGGTGTCGATGAGGCGAGTTGCGGCGAAGATATCCTGCTCCAGCGCCTCATCAAGGCTTCAAGCAAGGCTGCCAATGCCAAGCTGATTACCCTTGGATCTCAAACTCCCCCACAGGCCCCTGGTCAAAGTCGAGTTCGGATCACCGACGATATCATTTTCGATGATATCGCCGCTGTTGTCCGAGCTTGCTTCGAGCCTAGCAAAGTGTACGCCAAGCTGTCACCCATCGAGCAGGAGACGGTGGTAGAGCGAATTGCGCAAGCCTCCAACACATCGTTTCTCGCCGCGAAGCTCATTGCCAAACGCGTCCGTCAGGAACAGAGCCCCGAGAGTTTCCACAAGATCCTCGACAGCTTACTATCAACAAAGCCGACGATCACTGATTTCGTGCTTTCTGCCCTGCAGCAGCCCGAAGTTAGCGCTGAGGCCAAGATGATGCTTCTTTGGCTTGCGACCGCTGATCGCCCGCTTCATGTCAAGGAGCTTTCTGCCCTGGCTGCAATCCAGACTGACAAGCAAACCGTCTCCGAACCACGTGTCGACACTCTGCAAGCTCTCAAGCCGCTCAACTCCCTGGTGTACCTCCAGTACGAGTACTTTTACCTCCGCCATGGTCTCATTCGTACTGCCATTCTGGACGTCTTCAACCAGGGCAAGCTCGTTCCGTCGCTCAAGGACCGACATGCCGATTTGGTGACACGACTGCTGCTTTACATCAAGACTCATGTTACTGAGCAGCAGGAGCCATCCTCCCTTCCGTCCCTGGACTACCACGACACCCGAACACTCTTGGACAAGCATCCGCTTTTGGAGTTTGCTCTCCGCTACTGGGTTCCTGTCTTCAGGAAGACAAATGTGTTCGTCAAGGATGGCGAAACTACCGCCTCGAAGGATATCTCCAAAGTGCTGCCAGCAAACATCACGGTGATTCGGCTGCTAAGGTCTATTTGGGAGAACGTGTCTACGCCAAACCTGGTGACGTTCCAGACGTCCGTGACCAACGTCTACCGCAATGTCTTGACAAGCTCGAATGTCACTACGCTCCAAGCGATCATCACCTTGGCCACCCTGTTCCGTGATATCAACCGTCCAGAGCCGTTCACCCTCTTCCATGAGGCTGCCATTCTCAGCCAGAAGCTGTTAACCACCCGTCACATCGTCACAATGCAAATGGTTACCATCTTCTTGGAATTGACCTCGCAGAAGATCACCGAGTCCAAGACGGAAATTATGGTCAAGCGCGAGGACATGCTCCTCGTCCTCGTGGAATGCTACAAGATTCACTACGGTAACACTTCGGAGAAGGTCGTTACCGTCATGCAGCAGCTCGTCGAGCACTACCGCAAGACCAAGGACACTCAGAAGCTGCAGGCGATGATCACCACGATCCAGTCCATCACCTCGACCGAGTATGGATCTGGCTCCACCGGAACATCCGGCAGCCTTGACGTCCGTCTTGTCGGTCGCGGAGATGGAGGTAAGGGGGGCCACGGGGAGAGCGGATACCTTCTCAACCTGGACTTGACCGAGGAAGACGAGTTCATCGAGACCATCGATACCTACGAGGTTGAGGTCCTGATCCAGTTGGCTGAGAAGTACCTGAAGAGCGGCAGAGTTGATCTTGCGGAGCGCACATATGTCGAGTTCTGGCAGCGCGCCACCCGCGAATCACGCCTGCACTCGTCCGCCGTGTGGGAGGAAAAGAAGATGAAGGTCGTTTTGGCGTACTCGAACTTCCTTCGCGTTCAGAAGAGAGAACACGAGTCGTCGTCCGTCCTGACTAGCTTCTGGCAGGACTACCACCACTCGAGCATCAGTCTGTCCGAGACGACCGTGACACATCTCCAGGAGATTGCCAAGGTCATGACGAGTGTTGGGCTTTCGACGACTGCGCTTAGTGTCTTCAAGCAGTGCTCCGAGTACTACCAGAGCACGCGCAGCACGGAGACGTCCAGCTACAAGGAAGTGCAGCAACTGCTTCAGACGACCACCAAGGAAGTCATGCAGTCTGCCTCATCCACATCCGTGATTTCTGAATCGATCCTGGAAGAGATGATTATTGAGACGTCCAGCTCTTCTTCGTCTATCGACCAGAGCTTCTACACCAGCACTGAGACCTTGGTCTCGCTGTACATCTCCCAGCGCCGCTGGCAGCATGCTACTCGCACGATTAAGCGAATCCTGCACAACACCTGGTCGTCCTTCTTTGCCACGACTCTTCAGGACGTGACGCTCCCTCACAAGAACGTGGACTCCGTCCTGGCTTTGGCTGAGCGCCTGGCGCAATGCTACCACTCCCGCCACCGCCTGGCCAAGGAGCAGGATACCCGTCTGCGGATCTACTACGCTGTCCGCTCTGGTCTCAACGTCGAGGACAAGCTGCGCCAGTACCACGTTACCGAGCTGCTGCGCTTGCTGGAGCGTACTTCGCAAACGGACCTGATCATCAGCGTCTACCAGGAGCTTCTGAATGACTATATCAAGCACTATGGCTCAGTTCACGCAATTGTCATTCAGACCCTGCGCACTCTTGCCGAGCTTACCCGGCCCCGTCCCATCTTCCTGGACTACTACCAGCAGATCATCCAGGCTCTGAACAAGGACGGCAAGCAGTGCCACCCGGATGCACTGGAGCCTCTCAGCATCGTTGCCACCGAGCTCTGGGAACAGGGACGCTACTCCGATGCCGTACACTACTGCAGCATCCTCTTCACTGCCTTCCTCAACCAGCCCAAGCTGAGTCCCAAGTTCCAGGATGAGACGTTTGTGCGGGGCATATTCACCCGCTACACTCAGTGCCTGCGCTCCGTGCGCACTGAATACTCGACCCTGCACAAGGTGACTGTCGAATACCAGACCAAGGTCAAGGCCGTATTCGGCGCCACGGCATCCATCACTGTCCAGGCCACGCTCACATTGGCTCAGCTGTGCCAGGAGTCGAAGCACTACGAGATCGAGGCGATCAGGTTGTATGAGGAGCTCCTCAAGATCAAGTCCAAGGAGGTGGACCTGGATGAGATCTCTGCTATTCTAGAGGCTCTGTACGAGGAGCAGTCTGCGATCATCTCGAACAGCGAGCTCACCGAGTCAGCTTCGTCTACACAGGTTGAGCAGGCTGTCAGGGTGTTGAAGAAGCGCATCACCACTCTTCGTGAGAGCTATGGATGGGCTCATGAGGAGTCTCTTACCAAGATGACGGAGGTCATTAGCTTCTATGCCAAGCAGAGCAAGCATGAAGAGGTCGTTCGGGAGCTGCAGGAAGCGACGGTGCAGGTTCTGTCGTCTGAGACGTCTACTGTGCGCCTGAGCCACGCCGCCGAGACCATTGTGTCTTCATACATTGCTACGAAGCAAACCAAGAAGGCGGTTGAACTGTCCGAGGAGGTCTATCGCCAGGCAATCCTCAAGGAGACCACCAACGTCAAGACGTCCAAGTTCGACCTGACCTCAAAGAGTCGTGAGAGTTTGATCTTCCTCGCACAGCTCGAACACCAGCTGCACCGCCAGTCCTCCACTGTGACAGAGATCTTGGCTTCTCTGACTACTGAGCTGGTCTACTTTGAGGAGTTCCGGCACCAGATCCAGTCGAACAGTACTTTCCTTTCCGTCAGCTCGTCTGCTGCTCGTCTTTACCACTACTTGATCTCGAACCATCGCCACTCGATTGCTACCATCGTTGCAAATGACTTCATCAACTACTTCCTGGCACATGAGGGCAAGCAGATTGGCTTCAAGTCATCGTCCGAAGTAAAGGTGTTCCTGATGATGGTGCTGCATTACTTCAGCACTCGCCAGTCGAAGGACATTGTGCGGTCGATTGGAATCGCCAGTAACAGCCAGGTTATCGAGCTTATCAAGACCCAGAAATTCGATGATGCCTGTGATCTCGCTTTAGCTGCGTACAAGTACATTTCTGCCCAGCCAAGCTATCGCACTCCAGGCGTCGCGAGATTCGTTCTCGCTCTCAGCATGAACGTCTCTGGGCGTGGTGTCCAGGTCAACGAGGCCGCCCGCAAGAAGATGCTCCACGTCTCTGCAACGATTCTCAAGGACGTGCTCAAGGTCATCGGGGAGCTAAGAATCAACATCGCCCAGGTCGGTCTTGAGCATCTCAACAGCCTAATCGGCCTACTTGGCGAACAGGGCGACTACCAGACTCTTGCCACGGTCCTGACGTCGGTCTGGAACAGCCGGGAAGCCCAGCGCGACTGGGACCCGTACATCACGCTCTCCTTGGGTCGTCTGGTAATCATGGTGCGCTACCTTGTCGGAGACACCGTCGCGGCCGTCCGCCTCGCGGAAGATATTGTGTACAACTGCCGCCGCGTCCATGGTGCCCGCCACCCCAGCACCCTCCAGATGTCCGTCCTCCTTTCCCAGCTGTACACCAGTATTGGCCAACGCTACAAGTCGCAGAAGGAGGGCCAAGACCTTGCAAACAGGTACTACAAGCGTAGCGCCGCCGTCCACGAGAACATCCTGCGCGCACTGAGCGACCCGAACTTCGCCGACCTAGACGGCAGTCTCGACGGTGGATTCAGTACAGACGGCTCCGCATACGAAGGCGACTTTTCCACCGAGTCCCTGTCTGCCAACAGCGTGCCACTCGCGGACCAAGTGCGCCAACACTTCCGCCTCTTCAAGCTGTCCATCCAGCGTCTCGGGGGCTGGCCAAAGGACTACAGCGAGTACGAGCGTCTGAACGCCGATCTTTTCCGCGAGTATCCTTCTGCGTTGGAGGGCGTTGAGGGGATTGAACGGTGGGACCTGAAGTCGTTTGGATCGGGCAAGGCGGAGAGTAACGAGGATCAGGTGGATGCGGGCTTCAAGGACTGGCAGCTGTTTGGCGAACAACAGCTATCTAATGGACATGGGCATGGACATGGGCATGCGGAGGTGGAGGAGGAACTGTGATCTGTCAAAATGCTTCTTGTTAATTAATTTGTACAATGAGATGTAATGGTTGTTCTTTTTTTCTAGCGGTGAGGTGACTTGCTCCAGTTTCTGTGCTCTTTCCCAAAACAGCCATCGCGAACATACCGCACAGGGAAGCTGCGGGCCCGCGCCTGTGGGACACTCTATCGATGCGCTTGACACGATCGCGTCTCTGCAGTTTCGTCTATTTACCCAGCCACTTTATTCTTATCACCTATTCTTATTTTTGCGCCGCCAGTCCGGATCCAGCCTCAATCACTCACCGTCCCACCGGAGTATCTTGGCTGCGCTCCTTACAGCACCGTCGATCCATCGCAAACCATTGATGTCAGTCCCCGCCACCAACCCCTGCACGGCCCCGCATACCCTCACACGACGTCTGTCACTCGCACGGTTCAGGTCCGTCCAGGTCCAGCTTGCCCAACATGACTCGGGGCGACACACGACGAGCGACGCCTCGTCCTGCGAGGGTGGGCTGATTATCGATCTCCGATCGATGCGCGCAGTGTCAGTTGATCCGGACGCACGCACCATCACCGCGGCCGGGGGGTGTGTGTGGAGGGATGTCGACCAGGCCGCTGCGCGACATGGGCTGGCAACTGTGGGTGGGACGGTGAATGACACTGGGGTCGGGGGCCTTGCGCTCGGCGGCGGGTATGGATGGCTTGCAGGGCGGCATGGTCTGGTTATTGACAATCTGCTCTCGGTGGAAATGGTATTGGCGGATGGGAGGCTGGTGACTGTCTCGGAGGAATCGCTGCCGGATCTATGGGCGGGTGAGATTGTGCTCGCGTTCGACAAGGTTGACCTGGTTTTCGACTTTGCGAATGATCTAGTGGAAACGACGAATGGGGACTCGGCGATGATGGTCACTCTCTCGACGTCGCCTCTCACGAACGGCGAACTCATGATCAAGATGGCCGTGTTTCACAACGGCGATGCGAAATCTGCCCAACGGATATTCCAGCCATTGCTCGACGCAGACCCTCTTCTCGTAAACGTTGCTGAGCACCCGTATGCCGCGCTCAATGGCATGATGAACCCCAGCTTTGGCGACCGTAAGCGCGCTGTTGACAAGGGCGCCGCAGACACCATCCCCCTCCGCCCGGGTTTCGTGAAGAAGGTACTTGCGTCCGAGTTGTGGCGACTGCGCTCGCTAGTCCCAGAGTCGGACGAGACAAAGCTCCTCTTTGAATTCTACAGTACGGACAAATGGTGCGAGGTGTCTGTTACGGAAACAGCCCATGGACACAGAGGGGACTTCCAGAACATGGTGATTGCCCCTCGATGGAAGTACGCAGAACACGATGACATCGTCGAACAGTGGACGCTTGATGTCGCGGCGCTGGTAGTCCAGGAGCGCGAAGAGCACGGGCCTCCCATCGAGGGTCCAATTACCGAGTATGGGAATTATGATCACCTGTCTGCCCATCCGCGAGGCGTCTACGGTGTGAATCTTGAGAGGCTCATTGAGGTGAAGAAAGCGTATGATCCCGACAATGTGTTCAACAAGTGGTACCCACTGCTCGATGAGGAGGAGTGATGGTTCAAAGGCCTGGCCTGTACTCCGTATTGTCACTCGCACCCACCTAGATAAGCTTGGAAATTGAACAACTGACTTTTGGTCTTCTAGCGACTGGCCCAACCAGATATCGGTTGGATTTTTTTTCCGGGAACTGCGAGGTCCTAGCGCAAACTGCAAACCAAGCCTTGAGCTCCAACAATATGTCCGCCACCATGTATAGTTTCCTACTGACTGGAAGTAAGGGGGGGGACGGTGAAGAACAAAACCATCGCTGCAGAATGCACCACGAGGGAGACAGCAGTCACTCTCAGTCACAAAGCCTCAGCTGGGGCTGAGGAACTTTCGTAGATCTCCGTCCCACCCACTATCTACAGAGTACCCACTTGGCCTAAAGAGTCGATACTGCGGTAGATACACGACAGGTCTCTTCCCAACCGCCCTCAACCACTGCACTGCACTCCACCAGCTCGCAGCTCGTATCGACACACTGCACAGTCCACTCAATGCTTCCTACCATGTCGGCCACCAGTCACACTGCGTCGCTCGCCGCCGAGGGCGGAACTGCACCGCCTGAAGACAGTTGTTGCAAATCGTTTCGAGTAATCACCTGTTCACTTATCTCGCTTAGAAGAAGCGGGAAATGTCGACGAGATTGAGGGACTCGCTGAGCGAGAGTTTGTACTCTGAGTCCAGTACAGATAGAACTTGGTATTTGCCGTCCGGGCGAACGGGACGCTCGCTCTCTTAGGGCTGCCAAACATGGAGTATACTCAACCCCTCACAATTTTATTGTCTCACCACCCACCCCAACTCTGAGCGACGAAATCCATTCCCAAAATCCAAGATAAATCCAAGCCACTTCCAAACAAACAATAGACCGATCCTTCACACCGGGCACTAAAAGAACCGAGATCCTGGTTTGCGTCGAGAACTACAAGGCTTGACCTTGAGGGCTGAACTTAACGTGGAGCATTCCTGGGAGTGGAACCTCTCGAACGTTCAGCTCTTCAGGTCTCAATATCTCATACCTCGTATGTACCCAGGGACCTCTGCCTCGAAACTTCGTCGATAGTCTCATCTCGCCTCGTCCGTTGTCGCCACGCCCCAAAAATCAGACCACAGCCGCGCAAGGCGAGGCGAGCGCGAGCAGAAGAAAGTAAGCCTCCAAGAGTCGCTGTCCTGTGCTGTGCAGACACGACAGATCCAAAATTAAAACACAAAAAAAAGCCCGGAGCGCAAAGGGAAAATCGATAGTCGATAGGGTTGCTCCGTCAAAAATCAATAATTCGATCGTGTCGCTTGGTGATCGGCAGTGCCAGCCGGCCACGCAAGCTTTTTAGGCTCGATTAGTCCCTAGTGGCCTTTTTCTGGCCGTGCATGGGGAAATTCCCAAACTCCGAAGCGCTGAGGAACACCTGATTCAGAAGTCTGAAGAATCGAATGTTAGGCGGGCAATTGGGTTAGGCAGTGACCTTTTTTTTTTCACCGCTAGATTACTGCGGGTTTGGGGGCGTTTTGCTTGTTTGGGGGCCGATTTGGGTATTCCGTGACGAAGGATGTTTTACATGGATGGGAATGACAGCGAGGTCCAAAAAAAGGTCAAATTATCGTATTTAAGAACGCCAGCGTGTCCAGACATCCGCCGCCCGCCCATCCGTTGTTCGTACTCCGTGCCAGTATACAAAGGGGAATCAGTAATAACAATGCCGTAGTATTTCGTCCACTTCAGCAGGATCGCCTCACAGCCACGGGATCCACGATCGAACAGCGTCGAACCGCGACTGGGTCTTCCACTGCAGATTCACAAATAGCGGAGAGAGTAGGAACGTGTCATCGCCCCATGAATTATTGTCCAGAGTACAATACCGCCGGTCGAAATCTTGGATCAACGCCCCCAGCTTGGCGAGCTCAGCGCGTAAAATATTGGCTTGGGTGACTTGCTCTTTGCGGTGGTCGGATGGGGTCCGTGGAGGGCATGTCGTCGGTGACTGGGTCTTGTCTTTTTGCTGCAGGATCTGATCAAAAGCAAGGACCATGTGAAACAAGAGTGCGATTATCTCGACCAGCAGTATCATTCCCGTCTTGTGCTGTTCGGCGGAGCATTCCAAAACGGCTGTGCATAGCGCCATCTTTGCCCGGTGTTCCTTTAGAAACTGGTCCATCACGAACGCGCCTTGTTGTTTGGGGGTCTTCAGCTCAGCCAGCTTGTAGCCAATGGTTTGTTGACAGCAGCACGATCCTGGCGAGGTTGGGCAAGCCGCCGTAGAAAGCGACCCAATATGACTGCCCCGCGACGCGGGGGGCGAAATGGGGCTGAGCGGGATTGTCATCGAAGGAAGTCCCATCTGCGAGGCAGTGAATGACTGGAATGGCGGCGACGGTGGGTTTGCATCGCCAAGTGGAAACGGAAATGGGGACTGGTCCACGAGAGAGGTGTCAAAGGTGTTCAGAGGCAAAAGGGCGCTGAGACCATCGTTGACGAAGGTGCCGGTGTAAAGATCGGTATTCCAGTCGGGGAAGAAGGGTGCTTGCCCATTCATATCAACTGTGGTGACTGGCAATGTTTCTGAGAGAACAGGTGATGGCAGAGAAGCGGTTCTCTTCTTCTTTTCTGGCTGGGGAGCTTCCGCAAGCTGTGCCTCTGTTCGCGGTCTCTTCATCCCTCGCAGTGAGACCCCGTAGACACACGGGGTATTCCGTGTAGCACATCGTCGACAGGTCGGTCTATCCTTCGAGCATCTGACCTTGGCTTGGTTGCAATTACCGCATGAATTTCGAAGAGGAAGGTCTTCAGTAGGTCGAGGAGGGGCAGCAGTGACTGTTGATGGCATTGGGGCAGGCATGTCGGCCATTTCGGGCATGGGGAAGCTGCCCAAGTCGGTGTGAGTCGGTGTAGTCATGTTTGATTGCGGCCTCGGTGCGGTCAAATTTTGAATCCAAGCAGCCTGGTTCATGATGTTGGACAGATCGAAGGCAAACGCAGGGTAGAAGAGCAGATCGGAGATCTTTATAAGCGCCTGTAGCATCATGCCTCGAGATTTATCGTCAAGCTGCTCGATTTTGAATTAAGAAAATAGTTCATTGGTGGGAGCGGAGCAACCTATTCCAGCCATGGTGGAATGATCTGCAGTTGCAGAAGGATCCTCGGAAAGCCCAGAGCCTCTGAAGAGAGCTCGTTCTTTTCCCTTTCCTGTCACTTCTGTTGTGTTTCCTCATGCGCAGCGCCTGGTGGGTCGCTAATTGCTCCATGTCCGTCCTAGCATCGGATCTAGCCAGCGATGGAGCGGTCGACGTGGATTACCCGGCTCTGATCCCTCGGGGCCTCTCGAGCTCAGCTCAGCCAGATGGACTCTGAACAGATGTTCGTGCCAATGGGCGGGTGAAGTGGGGTCACTATCGCGTAGATCTTGGCCCACATATGGGGCTATCTTCCTGCTGTCAGCGCCGCGGGAAGAACATCAGAGATCGTCTCAGGGTACGGAGTACATCATCCCTGTCAACCGGAAATCCATTGATTGGAATGCCAGGTTTTGGGTAATCAGAGCCCTGGCAGATATTGGAGGGCTGACAGGAGTCGACCTGCAGCATGCACCACCTGGCATAAGGTCGCACTTGGAGCTCTGCGGGCTCATCACAGTGATACGTATATCTTGTTCAAGAGGCCCGTTCGTCATGGATTTGTGACCTTGGTTTCTCGCCGTAGTCTACATCGCCTTCCGCGCTTGTGACGGAGTGGCTGGCTGGATGAAGAGCCAATGGCGAGACTCCACTGTGACGGAAAGCTAGCGGTGATGCTTGAGTAAGCTTAAGCAGGATTCCAAAAGATAAGCACACGGGTTTCATCATCCTCTTTAATGTGAACCAAGCACGATTCTCCCACGTGTAATGGGTCAGTTGGAATCTGAATGCAGCGCTCATGGCAGATCGAGAGCTTGACGCACTGCGAGTGACCAGAATACTGATATACGTCATGGACCTTGGTGTGTAGAATCACGTTCTGTACGATAGACATCCAACTCGGCTCCACTGTCTGGCTATATCAGGAATATGGCAATGAAGCTAGAGAGCTCAAGATAGGTTGTCGAAATATGTCGATATGGACAAGACCGTGCATCTTCATTGGGAGTATGGACGCTCCTGCAAGCTCTGGCTGCGACAAGAAAAAAGAAAAAAATATGGGGGCCACACCTGCCTGATGAGCTATTTGGTTGCGAGCTGGTGGGACTCCCTGTGTGTCCTGAATCCTTCAACCCGCGCCTGTTTGCGCCTTGTTCCTGCCGTCTGAATGGCTTGTTTGAGTAGCCAGTTCATCGGGCGGCGGGCCAGAGTTTGGCCCTCCTATGACTGGCTAGCGCTGACGTCCGTCACAGGACGGAAGTAATACAAGCCAGCAATTCATTCTGACCCAATGGGAGACATCCGTCATCGCAGTTGTTCAGTGTCCCACTGGCCTCGGTATCCTCCATCATAAAGTGGAAATGGGACATGCCTCCAGATTTACACGCAAATCGATGCCACTTTACATCTTGTGAGCCCCAATAGAGTCTGCTGTCAGTCTGCCTCGCTGTAGAATGTTTGAATGCACACTGCTCAAGCGGAGGCGTTGAAGACCGCCCGACGACCATCACAGTTGGTAGGGACGCGATTACCCTGCTGAAAGGCAAGGCCATTAGCATTTGAGATGTGGACAAATCCTCCCGCCGAAGCTGCAAGTAAGGTATATACCTCGCTTAGGAACCAAACCAGCCAGTGGAAAGCCGAGTATAAGCCGCGAGCATTGGATTATTGTGCCCTTTAGCCAATCGGCGTGGTGCGGTTTCCGAAAGTGCTAATCTCGGACCACTCATGCCTGCTAGAGACTAGAGTACCAAGTGAAGCCTTGCCCTCGCGATGCCAAAGTCGGAGTGCAACTTGAAAACGGCATATCCCGCCATTATCGGCACTGGTCCAGCGCGCAACGATGACCAAGAGGGAGGTGTAGCGCCGCGCGCGTACGTACCCCCCCCCTTCAAATTGTGGCTGCGACGATCGTGTCAGGAAGGATTCCCGTGCATATGGCTACAATCTCCTGCAGGATTTGTTGCTCAATCGTCATCGAGGGTCCCCACGGCATTTCCGGCACAAAGCGGCAACCATCGACAATCCGATGCAGATCTCCATGATCAAGACGGACAAAGGCCTTTTTCAGCGCCGCCTCTTTCAACAATCATCGGGATATCCTGAGGGCCACCCGATATAACCATAGTTAGCGCAGATCAAAACACAGATCTCCAATTCTGCAGGCACGATAGGCAAGATGCGCGAGGGAACCATTTGCTTGGCACGAGCGCATGTACAAGTGCCTCGTGAGGCAACACGGGACGATTGTGGTCAGAGCGGGGCGATAAAGGGAAGCAATAGCCAATTCCAGACCCATTTAAATTTGACCAACGGGACTTGCCGCTATCGTTTCCTCCAGAGATCGAAGGCGAGCGGCGAGCCGTCGGCAAGCACGGACGAAGGGGGTCCGGCGCTGTCGTTGCTTTTGTCTGACCTTATCGAGAAGCTTTTGTTTTGGCGCGTAACCCAAGGCCTCAAATCACTTATTATGTGCGCCAAGGGACCGGGTGTCTCCTCCTAGAGCTGCTGAAATCTCTTCACTAAAGTCTGAGCGCCGGCGTATGGCGAAGTTCGAACCGACTCGCGAGTCGCGTTTGGAGGTCGCTCCAGGGCGTGAGCACAGTCAGCGCTCACCGGGGTTTCTGAAAGATCATATTGTTGGGAGCTGCAGGGGTCAGAAGGAGAAATGCGAGCACCGGGGCTGAGAGTGGCGAAAAGGGTGGAATTCACGATGACTTGGCTGTCGTAGTGGAAGATTTGAGGTTTCGAGTGGGAAGTGCTGAAAGAAGCTGGGCAGTCTGGCGCGTCCCTGCCTCAGGCAACGAACCGCCGCGGCCCAATCACCAGCCACACCTTCCAGACTCTCTGCGAATCTTGGAAGACTGCCTCCGAGTCCTTTGTGCAGACAAATCATTCTTTCTGAACAGGCTGCTCGAGAGCTACCATTACCCACTATTTTTTTTGAATTCAGATTGATGCATTCATGGCAAACCTTAGCTGTTCCGGTCGTGAAGTATCCCACAATATATGTTTGCAGTTTCTGACGCAAAGACGGACCTTGGCCCGTCACAAGAACCACGACGTCAGTGACTTCTAAGCAACATACCTACAGGCGCCCTCTTCTAGTGCCATGGTTCTCACCTTCAGAAGACAAAAATCATCCGAATACCCGTCTTGATGGGAAACGCAATTGACAGTGATTGGGGGGTCAGATCCACGTGACGAGTGAAGGCTGACTAAAGTGCCGATACCGCCGGTAGCAGGGGTCCCCCCGCCGGAGACGCGCCGAGAAATGAACTTTCAGCCCTCGGGCGCTCCCAGACATTCGGCGGTATAAAACCACATCGAGAGGGCATTCTAGTCCATTGGCTCAATCACAAGCTTCAATCACTCCTCATACTACCAAGTCATGCTATTCTCCAGTCGCACTACATCCCATCTGTTACCCCGCGCCCTGACAGTTCGTCACTTTCCCACAAGAACAATGGCCACCAAAGACTGGAGCGCGCAACAATACCTCAAATTCGAAGCCGAACGCACTCGACCGTCTCGAGATCTCCTTTCGCAAATCCCATTGAAATCGCCGAAGCGGGTCGTCGATCTGGGGTGCGGCCCCGGGAACTCCACGGCGGTTCTCCTGAAGCAGTATCCCGACGCTCACTTGACGGGCATGGACTCGTCGCCAGATATGATCCGCAAAGCAAGCGCGACACTGCCCAACATCGAATTCACAGTGGAGGATTTGAACACATACACACCACAGGAACCGGTGGACGTCTTCTTCTCCAACGCCGTGTTCCAGTGGATCCCGCGAAAGGAGCGCCTTGAGGTTGTTAAACGATTGATTCGGTCGCAGCCATCTGGCGGTGTCTTTGCTTTTCAGGTCCCAGATAATTTGACTGAGCCGTCTCACGCTGCCATGCAAGAGACAGCGGCAAACGGTCCGTGGGCGGAGGCCTTGAGCACTGTCGGGCGGGACACCTTCCAATCCCCTCAAGAAATCTACGATGAACTGAAACCTCTTTGCTCAGACGTCAATGTCTGGCACACGCACTATTATCATTCCCTCGAGAACCATGAAGCAGTGGTGGAATGGGTCAAAGGCACGGGTCTCCGCCCATACATTGACCCTCTCTCAGCTACGGATAGAGAATCCTTCTTGGAAGCCTATCTAGGTCGCTTGGAAAAGCTGTATCCAAAGACAATTGATGGACGAGTGTTGCTACGATACCCGCGACTGTTTGTCGTGGCTGTACGCGCATAAACGCGATGCAAAAGATCTCCACAGCTACTGTGAGCTTAACCTCGGCCAAGGAGCTTATCGCTGGAAACGCGGCTAGTGGGCCTCTCCTATCAAATCGCCTGTTTTCGCCACGACCATGTTGTGCAATTCCTGTTAACCTGAAATCGATTAGGGAGCTCTTGAAGCCATCCGCATGGCCAATGGAATGTCTATACCCGGGCCCAGATCGAGGTCCATTCCACGGCACCGGGTGGGCCTAACCACCTAATGATAACGACATTCCTCAGCAAAAACTGCACAAAAAAAAATGAAATTTTCCCCAGACTGCCATATCCCATGAACCGTAAATCAAATGCCTGGCCTCAACTATATCCATACTACTGCGGTTGATAGCGATGCCATGCTCTCGTGGATCCATCCCCATCTAGCACAAAGCATCGACCCTCTCAAGGGCCGCAAACTGCAGGCCTCAAAGCCCATCCAAAGAGGCGAGGTCCTCCTTCTCGACCCGCCGTACGCTATCATCCCAACCCCAACCCCAACCGTAGACGCCGACGCCGAGTCCGCCGATAACACAACCACAACCCTCCTCTGCAGCAACCCTCTCTGCAACCGCTCACTACCTCAAAGCACCGGGACGACCTGTGTCAACCGCTGCAGCACAGACGTAACCTGGTGCAACGAGACATGTCGCGAGATAGACAAGCCACGCCACGACTTTGAATGCACCTGGCTCGCGAAATACTCGGCGCCGTTACGCACGAAATGGGGCGAGTACAACTTCGGTATGCTCTGGCTGATCGTGCGGCTCCTTGCGAGACGACATGTCGAGGGTCAGGAGGACAGCGACACCAACGGCACCTCTAACCGCACATCCGCTACAAATGGCACCAGCACACATTCACCAAGCACGCCTCTCTCAACATCAACATCACTATCTCCATTATCATCAACCTCAGAATCGATCTCAACCTCAACGTCATTTAAAGCCGGCTGGCCCGCAATCTCGTCCCTCTGCGGCACACCCGAAACATGGTCTCATGCCCAAACGCGCGAATGGACCGTTCTCGTGAAGAAATATCTCAGCAAGACATCGCTACCGCATGGCCTGTCCAACGCTGACGTCTTGGGCCTCATCTGTAAAGAAGAGGCAAATTCGTTCGGGCTTCATCCCCGCGAGACGGGGATTTATCCGCCACCATCGGTGAAGGAGGAGCAGGTAGGGAGGGGAGAACAATTCGGCGCAGCGGTGTATCCCCGCGCGTCGATTGCGAATCATTCTTGTTGTCCGAATGTACGTATACATTTTCCATGTCTAATCCACAACCGTACCTTCCTCAACTCTCCCGGGCGGAACAGAAATAAGGTGCAATGCTAACTCAATATTCCATTGTAGATAATCCACAAACCCGACAAAACGGCCCGAATGGTCTTTACAGCGGGGCGGGATATCGCCGCGGGAGAAGAGTGCTGCATCTCGTACTTCGATATGACGCAGTATGTGTCTCTGAGTGAGCGGAGGGCGCATTTGTCCGGGTTGTTTCGATTCAAGTGTGGGTGTCCACGGTGTACAGAGGAAGACGTGGATGGTGAGGAGGGGATGGGGTGGAGCGGAGATGGACTTTTGGGGTTTGAGTGAGGGTTGGGGTTTAGGTACGGGTGGATTACTAGTTTGATAGTATGGAGTCGGAGTGTGAGTATCACTTGAGTTATATATGCAACGGGACTGGTATTGATAGCGGGAATTAACGAGAGTGATAAAGTTTAAGGCCCGTTCATTACTTCTGGTAGCAACACGGTTGAAACATCCAGAGACTAGTGAAGCGTTCAAAAAGCACTTGGTTGGCATGCAACAAGGTATTTCGAGAAGTGGAAAGTAATCAAGTCGCTGCGTTTCTCCGCTCCTTCAAATCCATCCATCGCCGCCACTATCGGAGGTCAGTACCCAATGCCACAAAAGAGATATCAACCAAGACAACTTACCCTGGGATTCAAAAAGTAAACCGGGACACCCAACAAGAAAACTCCGCCACAGATCGCAGCGAGAATGCCCATTGCGACGGGATAGTCATACATGTTGACCATCGGATTAATCCCATAACTCAACCCGAAGGCAACGATGTTCTTCACGCCGACAACAGCCACGATCGCGGGACCGGGATTCTTCTCCCACGCCTCAGCAGCGAACGACGTTGAGAGAATCAGCACCGAGACAAATGTAATCTGGAATAGCGTCCAGCCCATATAAGGTCCGCCCCAGGTAGCGCTGCCGTTCGCAGTCAAGCCGTAGAGGAGGAGGCCGACTACTCCGAGAACGCCGGGGAAGATTAGCAGGGGAAGGCGGTGCTCGGGGGTGTGGACTCCGCCGTTGCGCTTGGCCATCCAGAGGATGAATTTGTCGCCGAAGAAGCCCGCATAGAGCATGCCGCCGAAGCCCCCAAAGACACCGCCGAGGTTGATTAAGCCGATTGATTTCGGTGCCCAGCCATAATTGTATTGAAGGACTGTGTTGTAGGAGAGAGACATGCCGATTGAGGCCCCGAGAACGACGGAAGAGAGGAGCGTTGCGTAGAGAATTCCCGGGGACATGAACGCCTCAAAGATTTGGAAGGTAGTACGGGGAATCAGTGTCCAGGGGCTTTCTGTCGGAGAAGACCATGGAATCAACATTTGCAGGTACGTTTTCTTCGGACGCAGCTCCTCTGGTATGTGATCATCACGGCCAGGATGTCCGTGAGTCTCCAGGTATTCTTGAGTCTCATGTTCAGTAAGCATGCGAGTCACCCCGAATTGATCAGTGACGACTAGGCGGCCGTTCAGAAACTGGCCGCTGCGCTGGTATTTGGTCTCGAAGCCGAACAAGGCCATCAAAATTAGGCCAAGTCCAACCGCGATGGAGAACACCCAGTAGTACCATCTCCATCCTAGAGCGGCAACCTCATAGGAAGCGGCAAGATTGAGAAGTCCAGTAATGGTGCTCTGTGCTGCCCAGTAGAATCCGTACACTGTTCCATGTTGATGAACGAATGTCACTTCAGCAAGGACCAGTGGAAGGATCTATCATTTTAAAAAAGTTAGCTCTGGTAAGCAAAATACGGGAAAGTACCCTCACCGATTCAGTCACTCCAGCTGCCAGGCCTTGAATGATTCGCAGGGCGAAGTGTTGCTCCCAGGTATTACACGCCGCACATCCGATCGTTGCTGCAAATAGGACAATGGTCGAGACGATAGTGATAAATCGCCGACCGTACAGGAGCCCCAATGGAAGGACGACGAAGTTGCCTGCCAAAGCAGCTGGTTAGGGGCTGTAAAATGTTGAGACTTGTTATTGACTCACCAATACCGACGAAGAGAGATGGAAACGTTGAAAGCCAGACTACCTGATTAGTAGTATGGCCAGTGGCCAAGTACATCTGGAAGAAGACATCTAGAATCGGGCCCAAGCCTCCCACCAAGGACAATGACATGGTTGCTGACAAAATTCGTTAGCGCCTAGCTGAAGTATCGTCTTCAGATTGACTCACAAAACCAGCAACAGCTGACGATGATACCAATCTTCTCCCATTTCGTGTAGTTCAACGGATCGTTGGGGTCCTTGCTGGGCACTGGCAGTTGCTGGACCTCTCCATCGGCGTTGACCAGGACGTGATCTGCCGCCGGCTTCCCAGATTCCACATTCTCCGCCAGTTCGATCACAGTCTTTCCCTCAATTGGGCTCGACATGGTGCCATGCATGGCCTGATTCAGTGCGGCCGCCAGAGATGTCAGGCGATTTATCTACCCTGTCATTGGGGATATGGCAGGCCCCACGAAGCACGGTCGTCCACCAAAATGCGGAGACCCCAGAAGATTGGAGAAAAAAAGGTTGAGACTGCCCACCGGATGTGGAGGAGCCGAGGCGTGGGCGGCTTTTCCCCACTCAATTGTTGCCCACATACCGAATACTTCCATTGGAGAAAAGCATCGAACCCGAGTGAACGGAACGCCATGTGGTCACAAGAACTGCACAGAACGATTGCCGCGTAAGACGCCGGCTATGGTAAGTTTCCCAGATCGCGTATCAGGTTACGCAGGTTATCGACCAGCGGAGGAAAGTTATCCGTCACTTCGGGAAAGTTGCTATCGAGGACCTGTCGCCCTACATCCATCACCAAGCGAGGGCTGCGAAGCGGATAGAATATCGACTCCTTGTTTCCATCGGGCGCGGTATCTTCGAAAGTCAGCCCCGGCTGGCCAATATCCCGATTGATAAAGGATTTCGTCAGTTCCGTTTCAGGGCCGTCAAGGGTTATCAGCAGCTCTTGGTGACCACTAGGCGGACTAACAAGATCTTCGCGCTGTCTCTCACCGCACCGGAGTAGCCCAAAGACCCAAAGCGCCAGGATGGCATGGTAGATGGCTAGACCATCAAACCCACGCAGTTGGAACGGGGGCACCCGCCGCCCAGCACGAAGGACCTGCCCAGCGTGCCATATAGCAACGCGAGCCTCTTTTGTCAAGCTCCAATCCCGGAGTCGCGGATACTCCTGGCGGGCTTCTGATTCTCCGAACTGGCCGGCAAAGCGCTGGATCGAATCGAAGTTGATATGTAGATACATCTTGGAAAACTCGCTAAGCACGGTCGCGATTGCCGGGGCGCCTGTCATGTCCTGCTTCGCTGCATCGATAGAACTCAACCTAGTTGCGACGTAGATCGTTAGCTACATTTCTCCGGGTGATGGAGATATACTCACAGGTCTTCCTGTCTGCTTTGTAGCCAGAGTCGAGTGACCGCACGGGTCGTAGAAGGACTGCTATCCAAGAGTAGCGCTTGTTGACGGAACTCCCAAACTTGACTCATGAGACCATGTAAGAGTGCCGAGTTGACCACTCCTTCGTCCACATTGGATGGAAGATGTTTGAGAACTGACGGATCGGCAAGTGCTTCTCGGAGAGACAGACCCAAAGGGGCTTCATACGAATGCTTTGTCTCCCACAATTGTTTCCAGTCCTCCGCTGTTGGCGCTAGCCATAAGTCGCGAGCGCTTGGAAATGGCAAAGTATATTCCGTGTAGCTGGTAAGGGGAGGTCGATTCATGGCAGTAGCGGCTTCTACATCATGCTCGAATAGATGATAGGCTAATCTAGGCAAGGTCAGTGATGCGAGTTTTTTCATTTCAAAATACTTACCGTTTCAGTGACTCTTGTCGAATCCATTCATACCAGACATTGTCTAACGACTCTCCATTGTGAAGCTTCTGAAGAAAAGTGGGTTGGGAATAAAATGAGCGGTCAAACGCCCCGGCTCTGCGCAAAGCCTGGAAACATGTTAGATGTGGAATTACTATCTGATGGCATACTTACAGTGCACAATGGCTGCAGATGGCTCTCTGCGATTTGCATCTTCCGTTTGTAACCGCAGAATACTCCAATATCGAGCCACATCATGGAGGCTTGGAAATATTGTAGATCTCGGAGAACACTGTTGTCAGATTCGACCTTGCATGCCATATGAGTTAGCGGAATTCGCGAGCAAAAATCACTGTCGACTTACAAGTTGTGCAAGGCTAACCCGAACAATCTCTAGCAGCAGGACGCCGGTCTTACTGATGGAGGGTATAGCAGAGCACACACATCCTGCCGCAACTAAGGCTGTCAGGAGCTCAGGTCTTGAATCCTGGAGGTACAATGTATAGGGATGGATCCATGCATCCGTTTCTGTTCTCTTGGAGATGCCAATTTTGATAAGCGCGTCAAGAGACTCTGCGGTCGGAAACGAGGGCACAGAGAGGCGTGTACCAGCGGTCCTCAAAATTAGTTGAAAAATATGGTCGCGTAATTGGTTGGTCAACTTCCCACGGATATTTAGTGCTTCGAGGCGAGACCTATGCAAAGATGAGATCGTTGCGGTCATGTCTCCATCGCGAAGTGGTATGTGTGCTTCTTCGCTAAACCCATTCTGATTCTTTTGGGGTACCCAAAGCCTAATAGAAGTTAACCCGTAAACCAATAAGATGCTTCGAGAAGTAAACTTATCAACATACCATAGAGACTTTCGAAAAGCAGCTACCCGCTGCTTCGTACTTTGGTCTTCATTTGAGAATTCCGAGTTGACATTCGTTGCCGCAGGGGAAGGATTGAACTCCAGTATCTTGTCCAAGTCCATCAATATATCCGAGCCGAATAAACCAGCATTCGGACTCGTGAATTCCGGCTCACACATGAAATCAAACACACCTCTTGGGTGCTGCACGTCGGAAACGACATCCGAAGGAAAGGGATTCGATGGCATCATGACGTGCTCGAAGAAAGCTGGGAACTCGTTCACCTCGTACGTCTCGAGGGAGTTTCTGGGTATATAATGGCTCGAGATGCGATCTGAGAAGGGTGGGACTGGAGACTCCGTTGGACCGAAAATACCATTCGTGTTGTCACTATTCCCCGAGCCCACTGGTGTTTGGTAAGAATCAAGTCCAGCCTCTGTGTTCTCCACTGATGGTAGAGCGCTGATCTCCTCAATAAACCCGTCCCCCGGTTGCCGTTGCGGTGCGTTGGCATCTGATGCGGGGGTGGTTATGGACTTGGTCGACTGTCGACGAAACTTTCTTGGAATACACGAGACGTTTTTCCGTTGGCATCTCTGGAGAGAAATCAGCGTTGAACGGTATAATTCCTCAGCACTGTACTCACATTGCAAGGCCTGCTGTTGTCGCAGCTCACCTTGGCAACTGCGCACTCCTCGCAGGCTTCTAATACTCGGCCTTTGTGCTTGGTGATGAGTTTGCCGTCTGTATGGATCAACCTATGCCGTTGTAATACATCCCTTGTGAGTGGTCAGCAAGGCTTTAGAGGCATTTCTTGGCGCCTTCGCACCTACGATTGAACCCGCGGTGGCAGGTTGGGCACTGAAAGGTCCGCTCATTTCGATCTAATTCAGCGTCAAAACAAGGAGCCCGTGGCGATATATATAAGCGCCAACGTACGAGAGTCTAAATGGCGTGCCAAATGATCGGGCCTCTCGTAGGCCCGGTCACAGTGGGGGCACTGGTGGAGGCTAGTCGCGTCTTTGACGCGCGGGGACTTGCGCGGGAATGACATTGCACCATCACTTGATGACATTGGAACAATCTGGTATATAGTGAAGATACATTGAATGAAACAGAAGATCAAGCAGATTTGAGGAAGTGCAAGGGCAAGAGAAATTGTCCAGTGTTGTCGGCAAGTCATGTGGACCACTTCAATTGTTGTGCCGACACTAACCCAATTCAGTCTTCTCCCCAACCAGCGGCACGTATCTCTTCCTCTTTCAAGTCTCATCTCTTCCATTTATTGCGCTTGAGCGATGAAACAACTTTCTGACTGAGCGCAAAGGTCGCGACCCCGGGTTCGATGCGTCCAATCGGGGGCGACAAGGCCGATACCGGCAGAAATCGCCCTCCGTGATCGCGGGGCTGCCATGGTCTCTCCGCAAGACAAACAACACGTGGGAACGACATTCCACATATCCGATTCATCCAAACGACGAAGCATTCTAAACTTTCGAATCTACCTGCCGGCAGAGCCACTCCTTGGCGCCGTTATACATGCAGTTGAACGCCATGAACTCGTCCGGTTTCCTAGAAATCCCGTTAGTCAGTGAACACGCGGCATCGCGGGATTACCGACATCGTGACAGTCTTTCCTCCCTTTGCCGCACCCGGCTTAGCAGCCTGCCGACTGTATGCCTGGATAAGGCTTGCACGCGCCTGTCGGCTGTGGAATATATCCTAGGCAAAATTAGCACCGCATGGACGGTGAAGGGACACAGGAGCCTAAGTTTGCGTACCTGGAAGATTCGTTCAATCTCCTCGAGCGCGGGAGCGGCGATTATATCTGCAAAGAATGCACCTAGTGCTTCGGAATCCTCAATGGCCTGACTGGCCCCTTGTCCTTGCGTGGGTAGCATCGCATGCGAGGCATCCCCGATAAGGATAAGCCGCCCGCGGGACCAACTCTCAAGAGGATCCTAGTAAGGTCAGTGTAATCATTCAGTTATTCAAAAGATGTACATACTATGTCGCGCAATTGCCACAAGCCAAGGTCTGCCGAATGTCTATTCCGGGGTCAGATAAGTCTTGGAGATCGAAGAAGCGACTGACTTGAAAATGCTTGTCATCCATTCAGGGAATTCGGAAAACGTGTCCAGCATTTTCTCGAGATTACCCTCGGCGACCCATGATTGCTTTTCGTTAGGATCCTCGTTCATTTGTTCTACAAAAGGTCAACATTGCTCTTTCAACGATTTGAACGGGCATACCATCAGGGACCATTGCAACGATTCCGAATACATCTCCTTGTCTACCGGGACCCATAATCAGGCGGCAGTTATGCGCGATCATCATTGAAGTGAACGAGCTGCGTGGGTTGATCTTACTGCAGAATTCCTTTTCTTGCTCTTCAAGAACGTCCGAGGGAATCTGCCTTGTTAGCATGCATTTGCTGAACCATAACGCTACGTACCATCAAGCGATATGCTGCCACCATTAGTTCAGCACCTTGCCTAGCGGTAAGCGAGGGTCTTACCGGAATGTCCTGTCGGCAGAGGAGTAACGTGTCTATCTAACACATACTTCCGAAGCACGCTATGTCTGGGATAGCTGTCAGTAAGTACAGTTGTAAGGGGTTTGATGACTTACATTCCGTCTGCGCCGACGATAATGTCGCCTTCCACTAGACTACCGTCTGCCAGCTCCACGGTCCCCTTGACGGGATCGCATGCAACCACGCGCGATGAGACTCTTATTTCAACAGGATCCCCATCCCTTTCTGTGGAAAGCGCGGCCTTTTTTAGCGCATCATGCAGGTCCATGCGGTGGTAGACAATTCTGTTTGCTCCATACTCGGTCTTTGTTGTCAGCGGAACGTGGTTCACGAGCTCTCCGCTGGTCGAGTACACGCGGAAACCTTCATCTACCAACCCACGCGCATCTTCCAGATGCTTACCCAGTCCCCATGTATCGTATACAATCTTGGTTGCGTTTGGCTGTAGCGAGATCAACGCACCAATCTCCTTGTTCAGTCGCGATTGTTCAAGCACGACGATTCGCCGGTTGGGAGCCCGCAGCGCAATGGCCGCCGTGAGCCCGGCTATGCCTCCACCGACGATAATAATGCGAAATGGGGTGCTAGGCTTCATGGTGTGCTGGTTAGAATCTACATCTCGTGAGCCGCGCATATTTTCAGGTCTCGACGCCCACTTGTTGAGGGGCCACTCCTTCCTCCACCTCCACGCTCCTCCACATCCAAAGCCGAGGTGGCGATAATCGGAAAAGTGGGCGGTGGGGGTGGGCGACACCACGACACCATCAATGGTTCCAGTGGTCTCCATGCTGGGTATAAACTCGGATAGGGCGTTCAACGAAAAGGTACAATCGAAAAGTATCAGCAGCAACAGTATTATATCCGACACTCAACAATGTCAACAACTACTGTCATTACGGAGACTATCGCTCCCCAGAACGTGGCCATGCGCCTCGACGGACAGGATCCGAAATTTGGAGACTTCAGAGATGACCTGGCGCGTGACGGATTTGCCGTGGTAAAGGGCGCTATCCCGAAAGAGCGCGCGCTCAAGTATGCAGACGAGATGTATTCTTGGCTCGAGGGCTTGTAAGTCTCCAAACATACTTTCCAGCGAAATTATACTAACGATGTAGCAACCTTGGCTTCAAACGAGATGACCCATCAACTGTCCACAAGGACAAGCTGCCGCTAATCAGCGAAAAGGGCATGTGCATGCATTATGGTGTCGCGCACGAGAAATTCGTCTGGGACGTCCGCAGCGAACCCGGCGTTGTCGACGCCTTCGAAAAGGTCTACAACGACAAAGATCTCATCGTCTCCTTTGACGCCATCAACTTTGGCTTCCCCAAGTATGCACACACCCCTCGCCATACAAAGCCACACTAACATTTGCAGCCGCACCGACCTCCCCCCGAACAAGCCCTGGCCCCACCAAGACCAAGACCCCTCCAAGCCCGGCTTCCGCTGCCTCCAAGGTCTCGTCAACCTGCTGCCCAACGGCCCCGAAGATGGCGGTCTCATTGTCTGCCGCGGTGCACACCTTCTATCAGAGGAATTCCACCGCGACATGGCCGACGAAGAGCGCATCCCTGCATGGACGCCGGAGTGGTACGGGTACACCGAGAACGGGATGAAGTGGCTCGCAGACCACGGCTGCGAATGGGTGAAGGTCTGCGCTGAGCCAGGTGATCTCCTTCTTTGGGACTCGCGCACGCCACACTACAACCTTAGCCCAAAGGGGTCGACGCCGCGATTCTGTATCTATACATGCTACATGCCTGTTGCGGACGCGACACAGGAGGACCTTGTTAGGAAGAAGGAAGCATTTGAGAATTGGCTTGGCACGACGCACTGGCCGAATGCGAGGCACACGGGATCGAACGTTGCGAAGCGAGATGGCAAGGAGTGCCCATATAACCGCTTCAAGCCTGTGCAGGAGCCTGTACTTGGGGAGCGGGCGTACAAGTTGACGGGCATTCCCTATCTGAAGAGCCAGGCGTGATTCTCTATCTAGTTTGTCATTTTGCTTGTATAGTGTGCTATTCAGTGTTTCAAAGTCATCGTTTTTCTATCACAATGTACATAAACGCCTCGAGTGAGAGCTCGGGCCGTCAGTTCAATCACTGAAAGACCTGGCTACCAAGCTCTATTTGGGAAACAATTGATCCATTAAGCAGCCAGCATGGCATTCACGTCGCATTCTCGGCTACCATAACTGGAGAAGCAACCCTAGCCAGCGATGGCTTGAGACAACAACCTACTAGTAGGGATGAAATCAATGGTTATCAGTTTGTCAAGCTCAAAGCTGATTTCTTTTCCCTTTTTTCCTCTTGGTTCGCACAGGCCTCTATGGGACCCCGATAACTCTAGCCACAGCGCCCACATGCCATAGTAGTAGAACCTCACAAGCTACCCAGTGCTAAATGGAGGATGGGGAGGAGATTGGATGGTCGGATGGGACGCGGAGGAATTCCAAGATCCAGGACCATATGATATCCCTGCAGTGCATACATATCTAATCTATACTATGTCTACCCGCTTCAGCGAGCCGAAGTGCAGATCCATCTCTGTGCTATATACCGTCGAGTCTCAGCTCACAACGCATCCCTCGCCCCCTCTCCCCTCTCCTCTTCCCACTCCTCAAGCCACCCGCCAACAAACCTCACAATCTCCCTCTGCAACTCGACAACCGCCCGCGGCGCCTTCTGCCCCTCCCCAACATCCTCAGCCGACAACCCGTTCTGGTCCCAATGATGCACGCCCCCCCGGATCCCATCCCACACCTTCTCAGCGGCAACATCCAACAGAAGAAACGGCTCATCATCCGTCGAGACCCGTCCCGGCAGACCCTCGGCATGCGGCGTCGCATCGCGCCACGGATCCGCGACCCCGCCGAGGATCGCAACGCGCGGATACGAGAAGCGCAACCCGCCGTGTTTGTTGATCTGCGAGACGTCCGGTGGGGCGGTGATGTTGAATGTCTCGGGGCACACGTTCGCCGTGTACTCGAGGGTGATCAGCCGTGAGAGTAAGGGGCGGATTGAGGAGGGGACCGTGGAGCCCGGCATGAAGTAGCCCCATTCTGTGCAGACTTGGTATGTCCAGCTTGTGCCGGCGTCCTTTGGTAGGGATCCGTTGGATACGGATTGGTTGGTGGGGGTCTCGGAGGACGCGATGTACGACTGGACAGTGTGATTCAGGTACCCGATTTCATTCCGCAGGTTCGCGAGGAGCGTCGCGTTGCTGGCGTCATACCCTGCGGCCGCGACGAGAGCCGGTAGAAGCGCGGTGGCGTTATTCGGCGGGTACAGCGGCTCCGCCGCCGTGATGTTATCACAGTAATGCCGGAACTCATACGAGCCCACGGCAGGATCCCAATTCCGCGACTGGAATGAACCCAGCGGGCCCGAGAGGAGGTTCACAAAGTCCGTGTTGTTGATTGGGTTTGCGAACCCGAAGGACGCCTGCAGCTGCGCGTGTAGCGTCTCGTTTTTTGGATTCCCAATGAGCAGTCTATCGACTAGATCCGTCCGCGTCTGAATCGCGTCGATGCACTGCGCCGGTCCGTAGTTGCGGATCGGCTCAAAGTACGCCCAGTAGTCGATTATCGCGGCTGTTACACCGGACGACGAGACGGCGCCGAGGAAGGTCTCTGGGTAGAGTTTCCGGAGGAAAGCGACCATTGCACCGGCATAGGAGCCGCCGTAGGCGATCCATGGCACATTGCTAGCAGTGAGGTCGAGATCCTCAAGCCCGGGAAAGACGACGTTGTGCGCGAAATACGCATAATCCGCGAGGGCCTGGTCCGTCGAGAGGAAGCGGATATTCTCAACGGTGAGGTTTTCAAAGGGGTAGCTCTCGCCGTAGTAGCGATGCTCGAGGATAACGCCGAGGCCACTGTATGCCTCTGCCAGCTGCGTGACGATTCCTTGGGAGAGGAACGGGAAACGGTCCTCGCCGTTGGTTTCGCCGGCGGCGATGATAAAGACGGGACCACCTGGTGCGTAGTGCGAGGCGTCGAACCAGTAGCGCAGGTTGAATGTGTTGTTGGTGTGTGGCGCGTACCGGGTTTCGTTGTGGAAGTGGTCAATGGGGACGGAGATGTTGTGCGCTGTATAAGTGGTTGGTGACGCTATGGTTTGGGACGAGGGGAGGGCCCTGAAGAGCCCGAGGGTGAGAGGTGCGAGTCTCATTGTCGCTCTTGGGCCGAATGAGCGAGATGAGGGGAAGAGGAGAAGAAGAGGGGATGCTGTGTTTCTCAGGAGATGCAGACGATGCAGTCAGGCAGTGTCAGCAGCGGCGCAGGGATCGTCGCCTTGGCTGCGCTTTAGTCCACTTTGGGCCGCGCCATCGCCCATCATGGAGGACGTGGTGGGATAAGCATTCGGCAGAGATAGCGCTTATCTCGTGCATTGTTATTCTGATGACAGCTCTATATAAAGAGAATGCGGGATCAGAAACCTAGAGCTGGGATGGAAGAGTTCTAGAAAAATCAAGGTTTGATTCGCTTGCCACCGATGCCGAGGCCGCTCGGTTGCTCGGTCTGAGTTCTTGTTTGTGGATAGCTTCAGCGGGGTCCAGTTAGTGATCTCCAGCCTCTCGCTGCTTCATGCAGGTGGCCTGTCACTGCCTGCCGCCGTTTTCAGACAGCGGTCGCAAAATGGTCGTTTCATGCGAACCGGTGGAGATGAGACGTTTGTGAGCTACCATCAAACCCTGCTTTGCGAGAGACTTTTGCGTCTAGTTGGAGTAATAATGCGCTATAACGTTGGGCCTAGAAGTGGAAGAATTGAAGGGGTTTTCATATTTTTAGGAATAGGGATCTCGATCAAGTCCATGGTGCGGATATATATCACGAAGAGTTGTGACACCAAAATACAGGCAAGGCCCGACACAAACATTAGTAGTAGTCGGCAGCAGGGAGTCTATATAGAGAACCTTAAGTGTTGAAAGTGACCGGGATTACCCCGAGAGGGACGCTGAGCTGGCTGGTTGTCTTGTTGTGGTCATATACCGTCTACGGAGAACTTGAACGAGGAGATGCTCTCAAGTAAATACGGTTCTCGCTACACTACTCGATGTTCGCAGCGTTGCATCAGGATCTGAATGGAACAAAGAGCGCTCAAACGCTACGATTGCGCGTCATGCTCAATCCAGGCAAGCAAACCAAGGGACGTGGTTCCGAGGGAGGGCGGGGAACCTCACTGCATCGAACTCCACCACAGTGACAGGAAATGGCCTGATGAGACGAGAGCACACTACAAACCACCTACTCACCACTGCGCAAGAAGAGGAGCAAGAGCTCGTATAAAGCCGACATGTGCGACATTCACATGGTCGTGTTCGAGCGGAGATATAAAGTTGGTGTTTTGGGCGCGGGAATAGACCGAGATCACCGCGAACATCCCAGCCCATTTAATCAACGCATCACCGGATCATACCTAAAGCTCCGTCAATGCCGCTGGATGGCATGGTGCGTTCACTGCTTCTGAGATTGACAGGTTGATCTCCTTGAGTAAGGGCATAGCGCCAAGCGACCTCCTCACTTCCCCAGCTTCGCAGCCGAGGTCTGTAGATCCTGCGGGGAAGGCACGACCGAGACCGTGGAGAATCCCTGGGTCCCTGCTTTATCAGTATTCTTTGTTCCAGTTTGCCGGGGATATTCTGCATCGTGCCGCTCTTGTTCTGCGGGTTGCTGTTTGAGCAGAGGCTGCCGTGAGCTTGGAGGTCATCAGTCCTACACTCCATAGTCTTTGCAAAATGGTGAAATTCAACCATCCGGTCGGGAATCTTGACTACACCCAGTCTACGGTGGTTATCATCGGGGCGGGCATCTCGGGTTCGTATCCAGTCTGGTAGTCGGGGCAGGAGAGTGCTAACCTGGCAGGGATGTGCATGGCAATCGACCTCTTGCGGCGAAACCATCGGAACTTTGTTATTCTGGAAAAGGGAAGCTCCATTGGAGGGACTTGGAGCGATAACAAGTATCCCGGGTGCTGTTGTGATGGTTCGTGTCTAGTCCCTGCGTGGTGACCCGAGACTAACCTGTGCAGTCTGGAGCTCACTGTATAGTTACTCCTTCGAGCAGCACGCCAACTGGACGCGCGAGTACCCCGGTCAAGAAGAGATTCTGACGTATCTGACTGGCGTCGCGAGCAAGTACAACCTATACCCACACATCCGGTTTAATACGACCGTCAAGGAAGCAAGATGGGATGACGCTACGCGGCAGTGGAAGGTGCAGGTCATCGTATCGGGCGCAAAGACTAGCGAGTTCCAAAGCGCGTACGAGCTGTCGGCGAATATCCTCATCTCGGGAGTCGGGCAGCTGAACCTACCTCGATGGCCGGATCTCCCTGGGATTGACGAATTCAAGGGCAAGAGCATGCACTCCTCGCGATGGGACTGGACGTATGATTGGACTGGAAAGCGGATTGCCGTGATTGGAAATGGTACGCTAGTTCCCGCTCTGTAATCATAGGATACTAACAGGCCAGGCGCAACGGCTGTTCAGATCATTCCCGAGTTGGTCAAGACGGCATCGCACGTATCGGTATACCAGCGCACGCCGCAGTGGCTCATCCCTCGCATGGATATGGAGATTCATCCCGCGCAAAAGGCGTTGCTCAGTGTTCCATTCATTCGACGATGCAAGCGAGCGCTCATGATGTACCTGCGGGAACAGAGCCACGAAGCTATCGTACAGCCCGCCTCGTCCATGTCGCAAGAGATCCGCGACGTATCGAAGGACTTGCTGCACAAAGGCTTGCCTGACAAGCCAGAGCTGTGGGAGGTCTTGACCCCAAAGTATCCACCTGGCTGCCGGCGCATCATCGCATCGGACGACTATTACCCTGCGTTGAATATGAAGCACGTACACCTCGAGACGAGAGATATCCAGCGCATCACGGAATCAGGCATCGAGACTGTCGACGGAGACAATGCCGAGTTCGACCTGATCGTATATGCGACTGGCTTCCGCACAGTTGAGTTTCTGCATCCGATCAAGCTTTGCGGAGCAGGCGGCCGCGAGCTAGCCGATATCTGGAGCGGAGGTGCCACTGCATATTATGGAGTGACGGTGGAGGACATGCCTAATTTTGGGCTGCTGTATGGGCCCAACACGAACCTCGGTAGGTGCTAGCGAACGAGCCCCTGTGACAGCCAAGCTAATCTCCGAAAGGGCACAACTCGATCATCCTCATGATCGAAGCGCAGAGCCGCTATTTGGCGGCGCTGTTGGATCCGATCATCCGAGCGAAAGCAAAGGGCCGGTCCATGGCCATCCAGCCACGAACCGAGATTGTTCGCGAGTTTAACCAAGAGCTCCAGGCCCGCCTGGCCACCAGTAGCTTCGCGGACCCGAGCTGTAGGAGCTGGTACAAAACAGCCGAGGGTCGCATCACCAACAACTGGCCGGGGAATGTGGTCGAGTACCAGCAAGCGTTGTCGCGGGTGCGGTGGACAGATTATCTCATCCAAGGGGACACGGGCGGCGAGCACATTGGACAGAAGCAGGAGACGCGGATTGGATACGTGGAGGAGGTGTGGCCGGTCAGCAAAGGTGCGCTGCTGGTTGGGATGAGCGCGGCAGTGGCACTCGGGGGGTATTATTTCCAGGGGGCGAGGGCGCGCAGGCGTTAGACCATGACCAGACTAGCTCGTATCATTAACATTATTGATTTGAATCGGCCATTGCTCAGGTTAGTCATGCTGAGACATGTGGGTTCGCCTGTCCAGGCTGCCAGATTCATGTTCCATTTTTATCTCTGATTATTGGTTTGAGACTCGAACATTGTGACCAAAGGGGAATTGAGTTTTGAACAGGAGTTCTCGAGACTTGGGAAGAAAAAGGACAGGCTGCCTCTCCGCAATTGACAAAACGTCCGGTTGGCTTCTGGGCGGCTTGGCGCTCTGCGGTATCGTGACTGCCTGCCAAACTGGCGCAATCAGGGACAAAAGTGGGGCAGTTTCTGTTAGTAACACGAGGGCCGTGGAACGAGACCAAAAGTCGGGTCTCCAACGGCGGGAGAGCAGGCTCGACGCTGCTGATCATTGCATCACCTTTGTGCTACAATTCCAGGCGAAAAGGCGTGCTTTCCGTCCGACATTGTCATCGCGTGCTGATCGCATGGCTGTGTGTTGGAGAGTGCCAGATTTGCCAGAGACCGTCCGAAACAGCCAAAACAGCCGCAAGCACCCCGGCCAATGACCGACCCGGCACGCGACCCGCCATCGAGGCTGAGATTTCACACGGTGCAATTGGTGGAGAAGGGGCAAAGTCTCCGTCGTCCCAGTCGGCGAAGGCCGAACTTGCCCCAAGAAGAAGGTGGTCACTGGGCCCGCGGGCTAATTTTGCTCTCACAGAGAGACATGTAACGGCGAACAAAACTCAAAACTTTCAAAGGATGGAGGCGTGGGCAGCAAACTGGGTAAGCAACGGGATAATCTTCAAGACAATCACCCCGTTTCCCAGTTCCAACCCAGGCAGCGCTGCTCAAGCTTTGCTCGGGACTCCGTTGTGCTATAAATGGGCCCACGCGAGTCGCCAATCAGGGTCTGGTGCCAGCTCAGGGTCCAGTCTTGAGCTCAATTGGGGCCAAATGAAGTTGACTCTCCACGTTTGCGCTAGACAATGCGCCTCCCAGTCTGTCCAGTGGAGTTAATTCACCGCAGCCTCTGCTCTTTGCTCTTTGCTCTTTTCTCTCTGCTTTCTCCTCGCGTCGTGTTCTTTGTGTTTGTCTTTCAACAGCTCTCACACACTCTCTTCCCCTCCCCTCTCCATCTCTTCTTGTGTTATTCCCTCTCGCCTTCACGCCACACGGTCTGCTCGAGTATGAGCCGTCCACGCTGAACCCACTGCGACGACCAAGATGAGATCCGTACACCAGAACCTCAAGCTGTTTCGCAGCTGCGCATCAATATGGAACCGTCTGCGGTCGTCGCCTATTGATTTCTTCGACGCCTTTTGGAACTGGACCCGTCGCTTCTTCTTCGCACTGGGCTTCCTTGCCCTCTTCAGCGCCAAAACACTGCATCTCTACGCACACTTACACTCCTTGCCCGCCCACAAATTCTTCCTCTGGGGCTTCACCTTTTACACGCAAGATGTCGCCTTTACGTTCTTCATTCGGATCCTCACGCAAAAGTTCCCCTGGCGCTGGTTGGACGCCGTTGGGGCCGTTTTGGTTATCCCGTTCAGGTACCACTACTCCACACTCCCACACACCTACTCAAGGTCGTGACATCACTGACTTTCCACTTTTCTCTGGCTCTTCCAGTCTTATAATGTCCGGCATGGCCTCTGCGAACATTTCCTTCTACTTCACCGCCGGCGCCGAGATCAACTGGCGGCAGGCCAAGTCGTTTCACCGCGATGCTGCGGCTATCCGCACCCTCCTCACCGGCCTAACCGGATTCCTCATCGTGCAAGCAATTCTCGCCGCAATTGCTTGGGTCTTTGCTCCTTTCTTCCACCGCGTTGTTGGCGGTATTCTCCACGTTCTTGCCGAGCCGTTCAAGCTCGTGTTTCGGCCAATTTGCTCGCGTGTGTCGACATACGTCCGAAATATCCGCCAGCGATACCAGCCTCTGCCGGACCCTGAGATCTACGAACGTATGGCCGTTAATGATTACGAGGATTATAAGAGCGATGATGAGGAGGATTTTTTGCTCAACACCGCGGAGCGCCAGCCGCTGCCCCAGAAGCGTTTACCTGTCGGCCGACGAGTTGCGGTCTGGCTCCCGCTATTCCTCCTCGCGGCCTTTCGCATCGCGCGCCCGCCGTATCCGTCGTACATTTTCCTCTCTGGCGCGCTGCCATTGACTCCCTTTGCTGGAATGCACCGTGCGACACTCGGCGAACAGGCGGGTTTTATTCCGGATTACGTCTGGCTCGAGGGACAAACTGCGCTTACGAAGCCGCCGGCGTGGGATTGGTTGCCGGAGGAGACGCTGCCTGGTTTCGAGGACTGGAAGGGGAATCGCCAGCACTATTCCCCGTCGAGAGATCCGCTGCATCTGTCGAACCTCCAGGAGCCGGTGCTCGAGTCGTTGCGCGAGACGTTGGAGAGCGGCGACGTGAATATCAAGCATGTTATTCTCCTCAAGCTCGAGAGTACCCGCGGCGATGTCTTTCCGCTGCGCAATGGCTCGTTCATGTGGAATAAAATAGTCGATTCATTTGACGGGAATGAGATGCCGGAGAGTGCGATCAAAACCGTCGCCAACCTTACCCGCACCGCCGAATTCTTGACCGGTTTTGATTCCGGCTTCGACCAGTACCGCGAGGGCGAGAGAAAGTCGTACGGCGGCATCAGCGCTAGCAACGCGTTCACTACGGGCACATACACGATCAAGAGTTTGGCTGGGACAGTTTGCGGTATTACTCCGCTCGTTGCTGACTTTAACCGCGAGTACAAGTACCACATCTACCAGCCGTGCATGCCGCACATCGTCAACGCGCTCAGCCATCAAACGGACATCACCGAGGAAGAGGACTACCGCACCTGGCCGTGGCACTCGGTCTGGATGCAATCTGTGACAGACACGTACGATCACCAGAACAAACTGACGCCAAAGATGGGATTCGAGGACATTTACACGAAAGAGCGCATCGAGAAGCCCGATGCAAAGCACTACCCGCTCAAAAATAAAGAGGTCAACTACTACGGCTATCCGGATACGGAACTGGCAGACTACCTCCGCGACGCGATCGACGAGGCCGAGGAGAACCATTCCCGGCTCTTCTTGACACATCTGACGGGAACGACGCACCATCCGTGGGGGATGCCGAACGACGAGTACGAGAACATCCTTGGGCCGTCGTTCAAGGGCAAGAACAACGATCTGAATAAATACCTGAACACGATCGGCTTCGGCGACCGCTGGATCCGCCAGATCATGGATATCCTCGAGGAAAAGGGCGTCGCGAACGAGACGCTGCTCGTCATGGCCGGCGACCACGGCCTCTCGCTCCCCAACGACGGCGGCATCACCCCATACAACAACCCGCACATTGGCAGTTTCCACGTTCCTATCGTGCTGGCGCATCCGCACCTTCCCGCGGTTGAAGTAAAAGACCCCGTCATTTCAATGCAAATCGTCCCGACGATCCTCGATCTCCTCATTGAATCCTCCTCGCTCGGCCCCAACACCACAAAAGCCGCCCGCGACATCCGCGGGATCTACGAGGGCCAGTCGCTTATCCGCCCGCTGTACCAAGAAGCCAACGGGATGGAGGACTGGCAGTTTAGTGTGATGAACACAGGCGGGTCGTGGCTTGCCGTGCGGTCGGCAGCGAAGCCCGCGTGGCGCATCGTTATCCCGCTCATCGACGACGTCGAGTGGCGGTTCAGTGATATCGAAAAGGACCCGCAGGAAAAGGACACGATTACGAGTTTCAGCTTCTACGATCTGACCGACGCGCTCTGGCATCGGTATGGCGAGAAGAAGGGGCGCCATGGTCACGACGACGACGAAGAAGACGAGGACGATGAGAAACACGACCGACGAACCGCGCATGCTCTTTTCCATCACCCGCCTCCTCCCCCGGGTCCGATCTCCCGTCACCCGCCAGGTCCGCCGCCTCCACCCGGCCATCCAGAGCATCGCCCCCCGCCGCCTCCTCACCCTCCGATCACCATCTCGCCTGGTCGTCCTCGCCCGGAGGATCGGCCGTGGGAGCCCGAGGTCGTTCGCTGGGCGCGCGACGCGGCGCACATGGCTGAGTGGTGGATTGCGGATAATTGGCGGCGATACGAGTACAAGAAGCGATAAACGAGAACAAGGACTCGTCGCCGAGGAAGAGATTTCCTTTCTTGCATATTCGACTTGAACCTTGAACACTTTAATTGAAAATAAGTGATCTGCCTGGGTATGATCATATCCTCGATTTCCTATCTCCCTCACCACTTGAACAACAAAACAACATCACCTCATCACCTTACCACCCACCCACTCGGTATCTCACTATATGTCCGTGTATTTTACGATCAACGATCGATTTTTCTTTTGACTTGTTTTGGGATGGATTGGACTTGATTTTGTTGCATATCACATCACTCGCAATCAGCATGGCGGCGTTTGTACATACAGTCGAATCTCGAGGTTTCTTTCTGGTTGTCGCTACCGCTGTCTCTGTCTATGTCTGGGTCGGACTGAATTGAATTTATCGCATCAACTTGACCTTGCGTCCCATCTCTTCGTAATCAATCAAAGGTTCTCCGGGTAAATAGCCCACTGCAACCTTGCCAAGTAGTCCTTGATGATCTCTCTGCAAGTGAGTGTGCAGTAATCCCCCGCCCCTCATTCGCCGCGCATCCTCACCCGCAATCTACATGAAGAAGATCGACACCAACGCGGCATCCATCCCGCCCCGCGCGCAAGATCCACCGTTTCGTATAGAGACAACACCTCAAACACCCCCTTCCTCCTGATTCCACGCGGAAAGGAAGATGGTTCCGCGAGCGGGTGAAATTAAAGCAATCGCATTCGTCACGGAGTCAAGGTACGGGGGAAAGTCCAGGGGAAAGTCCACTACGCTGATACGTTGCATCTCTACCCAAGACGCCAAGGCTGGCGCCTGTGTTTTGCGTTGGTGAACCTGGGGCATCCTGGGTAATATGAGTGCGAATATCTTTTCTGGATGGGGATGCTCCCCGGTTCTGTTGGATCAGTTGATTAGCCTGGTTTTGTCGTTAATTGACTTTGTGTTGTCTTCGAGTATATATTCTCGCTCTCGCTGCTTCGAGTCGACTGGGTCTGTCCAGCGCGGTTCGCGGTTTGGTCTGGTCTGGTCTGGTTTGTGCTCGTCCTGGTGACGCCGTCTCTCACTCCTTTCACTCTTTTCTTGCTTTCTTTGCTTCTTACTCTCGCGATGCATCTCGCCCAGAAGCTGTCCGCCCTGGTGGCGGCCGCAAGCCGTACGTCTCCAACCCTAACGTTCCAACCCACAAAACACACACAGTCTAACATGACATGAACCAAAATGTATAGTCCTCCAACCAGCCCTCACCCAATCCAGCACGCCCGCCGCCTACACAGACCCGGACACGGGCATCACCTTTGACACATGGACCGTTGCGCCGACCTCGTCTGCCGCGGGACTCACCTTCGGTGTGGCGCTGCCCGAGGATGCGCTTAGTAGTGATGCGAGTGAGTTTATTGGGTATCTTGTACGACTCCCTATCTATATTATACTATATCCGCAAAAATACGCTTAGAAGGAGCGGTCCTAATGGAGACGAATGTCTAGTCCTGCGGCACCCCCGGCTGGTGCGGCCTGTCTCTCGGCGGAAGCATGAACTCGAACCTGCTGCTCATGGCGTACCCCTCGCCGACCACCGACACGGAGGTCCTGACCTCCTTCCGCTTCAGCTCGGGCTACGCGCTGCCCAGCCTGTATTCCGGAAACGCAACCCTCACGCAAATCTCCTCGACCGTCACCTCCACGCACTTTACGCTCCTCTTCCGCTGCGAGAATTGTCTGGCGTGGGACCACGAGGGCGTCACGGGGGCTGCGAAAACGAGTAATGGGAGACTTGTGCTTGGTTGGGCGCAGGGGAGTGAACCGCCGACGGAGGCGAGCTGTCCCGATGAGCTGGTTGTCGTGCAGCATGAGGCGCAGAGTATCTGGGTGGGCATGTTAGATTCCGCACCCTCTGCCGAGTATACGTCCTGGACGGAGCTTGCGACCGAGGTCGTACCGGGGACCTGTGAAGGTAACGGCGGAGGTGGCGGCGGAGACGATGACATACCCGGCATCCCCGTGCCTTCCAATGCAACGTACGACTACATCGTGGTGGGCTCGGGCCCGGGCGGAATGGTAACAGCCGACCGGCTCAGCGAAGCCGGGCATCGCGTGCTGCTGATCGAAAAGGGGCCCCCGAGCATCGGGCTCTGGGGCGGGACACTCAAACCAACCTGGCTAGAGGGGACGGAGCTCACGCGGTTCGATGTACCCGGACTCTGTAACCAGATCTGGGTGGATAGCGCGGGGATCGCGTGTCCGGATAACGATCAGATGGCGGGGTGTGTGCTTGGAGGGGGCACGGCGGTGAATTCGGGACTCTGGTGGAAGCCCTACTCGAAGGATTTCGACGAGGGGTTTCCGGATGGTTGGGGGTATAATGCGCTCAAGAGATCTGTGGACAAGGTCTTTTCGAGGATTCCAGGGACGATTCACCCGAGTACGGATGGGTTTATATACCTACAAGAGGGACCGAGCGTTCTCATCAACGGATTGTTGGCCAGTGGCTGGAAGATGTCCTCTTTCAACGATGCGCCCGAGGAAAAGTACAAATCTGTCGGGTACAGTCCGTACATGTTCTCCAAGGGCCAGCGCAACGGGCCCATGGCGACGTATCTCGTTTCGGCGAATGGACGGACGAACTTTGAGATGTGGGTGAACACCACGGTGCGTCGGGTTGTTCGCGAGGGGAGCACCGCTACGGGCGTCGAGGTGCAGCCCTTCCTCGAGGGCGGGTACGAGGGCGTTGTTCAGCTGAGTGAGCAGGGGAGAGTCGTCCTTTCGGCGGGCGCGTTTGGGACGCCGAAGATTTTGTTCAGAAGTAGGCCCTCATCTCCCTCGTCCTTGCTTTGTCGGTTGGCTTACAACCCCAGGTGGAATCGGCCCCCAAGACCAGCTCACCGTCGTCAAGAACTCGAAGCTTGACGGCGAGACCATGATCAACGAGACCGACTGGATTAACCTGCCCGTCGGCGAGAACCTCATGGATCACCCTAACGTACGTCTCCCACTAGATGTCACCGAGCAAAGCTAACAGCCCCAGACCGAGGTCGTCGTCCAACACCCCGACATTGTCTTTTACGACTTTTACGGCGCGTGGGATGATCCCATCGAGGCGGATATGAACAGGTACCTGAGTGAGTGACTACTGAAAATACCCTTGCGTACCGTCTACTGACTCGCTAGCCAACCGCACCGGCCCGTTGGCACAGGCGGCACCGAACGTCAACCCAGTGTACGTCCTCCTACACATATTCAGACTCTAGGCCAACGAGACTAATATGCGAGTGCAGGTTCTTCGACCAAGTCACCGGCCCCGACGGTATAACCCGCCAACTGCAATACCAAGCGCGCGTCGAAGGAAGCCATGGCATCGCTAACGGCCGTACGTCCCCCACAACATATGTACCCACATCTCATCCCTCACACTAAAACTGACATATAGAAACAATAACAATAACCCAATACGTCGGCCGCGGGCAAAGCTCGCGCGGAAAACTGACAATAAACTCCGGGCTGAACACCGTCGTCTCGACACTCCCCTGGCTGACCGACGCAAACGACGTGGATGCCGTTGTCCAGGGATTCGAACGGTTGCAAGCGGCGCTGAAGAATGTCTCAGGTCTGACCTGGGCGTTCCCGACGAGCAATGTGTCGATTCCGGATTTCGTGGACAGTTTGGCACTCACGGGACGGGGGAGTAATCATTGGATGGGTATGCTGTCTTTCCCTTTCTCTATACACATCTAGAAGAAAGGAAAGAGGATCGGCTGTGCTAACGAGATGTCTTCGGTTTAGGCTCCTGCAAGATGGGCAGCGACGACGGACGCGACGGCGGCACTGCCGTCGTTGATCTTGACACGAAGGTCTACGGGATGGACAACCTCTTCGTCGTCGACGCGAGTATCTTCCCGGGGATGATCAGTACGAACCCCTCGGCGTATATCGCCGTTGTGGCGGAGAGGGCCGCGGAGAGGATTCTGGCGCTGTAGGGGTTGGTAGTTCCACTTGGCTGGGGGTGGGGTTTACATCTATCTCATTTGCACTGAGTACTAGTATGCTTCTAGTCATCAATTCTACACCTGGCGTATTTGATCTACTCATTGCTGTAATTTCTCTAGCTGGAATGTGTGTGATGTGCCAAGAAAATCTATAGTCGAATCCACAGCACGTGCGAGTGACAGAGTCTACCATGTCATCATCAACCCTATTCTTCCCTCTCCCCTTGATCCACCACAAGTTCTATTCGCACTCTGGCTCAGGGCGAGGGTGCGGAGAACCCGCGGATCCCTCGTATCGCTATCATCTCCGAATCGGAAACCCGCTTGTTGGAAAATTGGGCTGGCAAGGTGATAACCCTGACCTACCCCACCTCGTCGTGGACCCTTAAGGAGAAGCTCAGCGAGTATAACACCTAGCGCGATGCTAAAACCTTTTATAGTTACTATAAGCTAGGTAGCACGTAGGCCTGGTTCCTCTACTATAACACGCGCGACCCTAATAATATTACTATTATTAGGATTATTATATAGTATCTAGCTACTAATTACTATTTATAGGGTAAGTCCTACTATGAAATACAAGGCTATTATAACAAGGCTAATATACTATAGTAGAATCCTATATACTAGATTTAAGTATGCCTGCTATAAAGAACGCGCCTAGTAGGTATCTAAGATCTTAGATATAAACTCGCGTGAGCTTATTAAGGCTAAGTAGACCCTAACTTAGAACTACTATAGGGCGTGTCCTGTAATCTACCACTATAAGGTCTTCAAGCAGGGCGACGACACCAAGCTGGTGCCCGGCGGATTCCCGCACTACCTGTGAAGGGCTGAAGCCGGACTTATATTCAATCTAGCTAGGCCACGAACTGTGTATGAAAAGCTTGAAGAAAGAGAAGTTCTCTAGTCACGTTCTTCCCATTAACATGCCATGGTCACGTGTGCGGGCGCTAGCCCGTGCCTGGTATTAGGCACTAGCCCATGATAATACCCCCTCCTAGTCTAAACCTTATAAGGGGTACAATAACATGGTTATTATTATTAAGTTAGCGCTAAATTACCTCTTAAACAGGGCCATGTTACTTCTTAAAGACATCTAGTACTATATAGTCCTAGATAAAATCTAGTTTTATCTATATCTCGCGTGCCTACCCTACCTATTTTACTAGTACTTTATTATAGTATCCTCGTCCTATCTTCCTATATTATATAGCTAGGATGTGTTTAACTTCATATTCCTCTTCTCTATTAACAAGTAGTAGGGGTGGCTGCGTATTATCTATAATTTAGGATAGAAATAGGTCTGTAGTAGCTAGGTAAACTAGTTTAATATAAAAGACTAGGTATATACTAGTAGGTATATTAAGCTAAATAGTATATAGTAATAGGATATCTACTACCTAATAGCATATATATAGCTAGTCTAGTTTCTTTAATAGTTATTACATATATATATTTTAGAGATTTAACTAAACCTAATTATCTTTCTTATACGTGGGGGTGGCCTATTATTATTAGTTTATTTACTCCTCTTATTAAGCCTACGCGGAGGTAATAGTAGCTTAGGCCTAATTAGTAGCTTCTTATAAGTAATTTATAAATATTTCACCTACTATTCTTAGTAGTATTAGGATATCCTATAGCTAGCTTACTTTATCTAAGCTAATTAAGTTAATATAATATCTATATATAAAGAAGAAGGGTGAGATTCCTATTAAGGTAGTATTATGATTATTAATAGTAATAGTAACTATTAGTAGTAGGTCTTTCTAGTTATCTTACACATACATAGTAAATATATATAGGATTTATTTAATCTCTTAGTTAGCATGTTCTATTACGCCGTCTATCTAGGAGTGAAAAGTAGTTAATAACTAGTATTAAATTAATAGTCTTTTATAGACCCTACCCTAGAATATACTTATAAACTAGGGTCCATGATTACTTATAATAGCTAGTAGAACTCTATAGTATATATAAAAATATATAAGGAATACCT